AGAACAAGAATAAGATCTGTGAGCCGCCTGTCGGCTCAATCCAGATCCAAGGTATCATATACACGTATAATGGAAACATCAGAAGAAGAGTGAAAAAAAAAAAAAAAAAAAAAAAAAAAAAAAAAAAAAAAAAAAAAAAAAAAAAAAAAACCTAATCTATACATGTGGCTTGGGTATGCATGCAAAGAAGATGGTATAGAACAGGAACCTGCAGGAACCGTGTCCGGTATCCACACGTTATTACGTGACCAGTCCACTGCAGATGAAATGCAGGTCTGAGAGGGTCGGACCCAATAAGAGTATGCGATGCGCTCGTAGGCAGAAATAAAATAGTCGACCAGCCGTTTCCGATTCGCGGTTGCCGGTCAAATGTCGTCAAAAGGGGGGTAATTTGAAAATGAGGAAAAACTCCGTATGCGAGAATGGAAGACGATGCGTTGCGACTACCCTTCAGCCTAGCATGACGGCCGCCAGCGCTGTACAGGTCAATCCGATGGCCATTCCGATCCAAGGCGTCTGTCCGAGGGTGCCTTCGCTGCGAGCGCGCAGGGTCTTGGTGTCCCGCGACGAGGCGGCCGGCGTGCCCAGTCCGCTGTCGAGTGCGGCCTCGTCGCCGCTCTGTAGACCCCGTTCTGGCAGTCGACTCTCTTGTTGAACCCCCAGCACGTTTTCTTGGTGATCGGGTCGGAATTGGATCTCAGGTAAGGGAGCAGGCGGGGTGGTGTCCGGCAACGAGGGAGTGGGCGAAGGTGCCCGGTCGGCTTCGACGGCGAGGGCTATCGTCGGGATGAGACAGAGTACGATCGTTGAGGGCTTCATGGTGCAAGTCGAAATTATATGCAGCGAGCGTCAAAGCGACAGGACCAGATTTATTTATTGTTGTGTGTTGAGATTAGATTGAGGGCGTGCGATGCGCAAGGAAGGCTAGCTGGCTCCACCGGGGCCCGAACGTGCGCGATCTCACTCGTGCAGAGAGACGAGCCACCACGGTTGGGAAGTGTCGCACTAGAATTGATCTAGTAGTTGTCGTACTTTTCGGACGAATCGAGGTGAAGACGGGAGAGAAGATAAGAATCCCCTGAAACGTGCGGGAACGAGGAGGATCAACAACAATAACAACAACACACAGCCACGGAAACGACAGGCAGCAAGAAACCACTTTCAGCGAGAGGAGGGGTGGATTATTCTCGACACGCAAGTAACGAAACCCAATGCATATGAAAGAGGGGGGAAAGGGGGAGGGGGAGGTGGAGGGGGAGGTGGAGGGGGAGGAGCGAGAGTGAGTGAGTGAGTGAGTGAGGCCAAGGGGAAGAAGATATAGGAGTAGGAGGAGGGGGGAGGAAGAGGAGGGAAAAGGCAGTAAATACCTTAGTTTGGAGATGGAGGGAGCGAAAAGGCTGAATAAAGAATAATAATCAGGGAGGGAAGCAGGAAAAAAGGGAAAAAGGGATAAACAACCACTAACAAGCACTAACACCCACTACTAACCACTACTGCGGGCCCAGAACACGGAGTCGCTGACAGGCAACGGGGGGGCCCTGAGACTACCTGAGATTACCTGAGATTACCCTGAGATTATCATTGGTTCAAGGAGTTCCAAGCCGTGTCCGCACGGGCTGAAGCTACCCTTACTTTAGCCTGACTGGGATGAGCTTGTCAGGGCTTTTGCAGCCCGAGTCCACCTCAGGGAGTCGAACCAAGGGTCGATATTCCCAGGCCTGCCTATCATTGCCTCTTAGTCACCCGCTCTCTGAGACATTCCTTCTCGTGCGGGAAAAATTTAACCTTGAAGACTGACACCACAGTGGCACATGGTGGCAGCCTATTCTCTACCGTGTACTCCATATATTAGTTCTAAGACTATTGTCTGTCTACAGACGCCCCAGTCAAACAATCATTCTGGACAAGAACAGAGGTCATAACAAAGAGTGGAAAAAACCAGAGGCTGGTTGTACGGTGCAACTTGTATGGCGTCATCAGCCCCTCCGCCCAGTGCATCCAGTGCCCACCACAACAAGACCTACTGGTGTACACCACCAACCACCCCATCTGGAGTCAAGTGACGTCTGACGTCTTTTATTTGGGGATGCTCAATGCAATTGGTTCATTCAGTCATTCAGCAAACAGTCTATCATTGATCAAGGCTCCAGTACAATCACAGCATCTTCTCCCAGTCCGGCGTCACTGTGAACTTGCCGCTGAGCTGGCCCATCGCCCACACCTTCTTCTCATCATCCGGGAACTCCTCGTCACCCGCATTCGGCGGCGTCGACACAATCAACGCTTCCTGCGAAAAGTCCACCGCCGTTGCGCGGTCCAGTTCGAAGCTGATCCCGCCCCAGTCCAACGTCACCCGACCCGAAGCGTGGACGTTCAGTTTGCCGACCCGGCCAGCCAATAAGCCCGGATCAGCCGCCGTCACCACCTTGCCAGAGCCTGCCGCCGCCGTCGCATCGTCATCTCCGTCGAGAATCTCCATCTCGTTCTCGCGCTTGATCGGCTGGGCAGTAGGCACAGTCTCCGTGGGAGGAGGATTGGCGTCTGTAGTCTCAGTTCCAGGAAGCACCAGGTTGGGGGTCAATGGAGGGAACTGCATGAGGAACAGCTGTCCGGCCAGTTTATCCTCCTCTTCCTTGGCTTCCTCCTCCTCGCCCTCCTTCTCCTTGCCCTTGTCCTCTCCTTCCGCAGCACCCTCGGCCGTTCCGGTCAACGCCTCGGGGCGTTCAGGCCGCGGCTCCTTCTGGAAGAGACTCTTCACAATCTCCAAATCCTGCTCGTGACGCTCGTACTCCTCGATGTCCTCCTTCGTGCGTAGTAAACTCTTGGGATCGATGACCACCTCCGGTTCCGGGCTGTGGACCGTCGACTCGGAGACAGACTTAGACGGGCTGAGCTTCCGACGCACCTTGACCTTTTGCACGGGAAGCAGCCCATCATCCATAGTCGTAGCCGTATCATCCGCATGAGGCACATCAGTCATGACCTGGTCCTCCTCATCCATAGGCTCCTCCTTAACCAACTGCTCATCCACATCATCCTCTCCATCCTGCGCCACAAACAGCGCATCATCATCATCCTCCTCAACAGCCCTCCCCTTTTTTTTCTCGGCCTTCTCCCTCTTCTCCGCCTCAGACTTCTTCGCCTGGGCCGCCCCCGTCGTACTCGACTCCATATTCACACTAACCACGCGCTCCTCATGCTCATGCCTCTCCAATCTGAGCGGCCGCAACCCCCCGACCCCGATTCCCCCGTTCCCCTCCAACTTGAACGCCCCCTTCTTCGCATCCTTATACTCTCCGTCCTCATCATCACTCCCCAAATTAATCCGATCGATACTAACCCTGACCTCCCCATCACTCTCATCCGAACTCACATACCCCGCCCCAACCTGCTGAGCCCCAAGATCCATCACGCTCCTGGACCGCGACCTGGAATCCAAGCCCCCAGCAAACGCACCCCCGCGCCCACGTCTCGCCCCACCAGGCCCCGAGCCCATCCCGCCCCGCGCGCCCCCGCGCCCACCTCGCCCACCATTCTGCTGACCACCCCCGCGCCCGCGCTGAATCGCCGCCGCCTCCTTGAGTCGTTCGCGATTGCGCTGCGCCTCGAGCTTCTCGATCGCCTCGCGCTCCTCTTTGCTGCGGCGGTTCACGGCCCGGGGCTTGTATTTAAGGGTGGGTTTCGCGGGTTCGCCGCTGAGGGGAGGCCCGCCGGCGGAGGGGGTGGGGGAGGGGCGGGCAATGCTTCCGGATGGCGGCGCGCGTTTCTTGAGAGTTTGGAGGCGTTGAACGGGGGGTTTTGTGCTGGGCGCTGGGGTGGAGGAGGCGGTAGAGGAGGCGGTTGTTGGTGCGGCGGAGGTGGAGGTGGTGTCAGCGTTAGTGGTAGGGGCAGTGGTGCGTCGAGTTCCTGCTGCTCCTGCTGCTGCTGCGGCTGATGCTCCTCCGCGGCGGGGAGGAGCTTTGGGTGGCATTTTCTTTGCCTGTGATTTGGTTGTACTGTGTACTGAAGTGGAGGATTGAGTGAGTGGCGCGGGGGGGATTTAGTGTAAGAGTAGGTGGGTATGAGGCTTCCAATCGAGGCTATATGGGTAATATAGAGAAACAAAGAGATTGGGAGGATGGTGTCGGGAAGTGCGAAATGAGGAGAACGTGATGTGGTCAAGTTTCGTGAATCTCCCGCCGGAGGAAACTTTTTTTCTTCCGGGGATTACAGCCTCTGGGCGGCCAGGCGGGGCAGAAAATTCCACGATGCGCGCGGCTAACCCCTTCAAGGCGGAAAGTGCGGGGCTGCGGAATATTGGCCCCGCTAACCTCGTTCGGGTATGGTCTGGCCTGACCCGCCAACTCTGTCAGGGACTTAGTCAGCTCGGCGCTCATTCATCCTGAGATGAAGAATAAAGGATGTATTGTCGCAATACAGAGTACACAGAACTCTATAAGCCGAAAATTTATTAAGTCGTTAATAATGGTCGTCTGACCGGTCTACGTACTTGCTGCTTCTGCAGTCAGAAACCTTGTACTTGCCAGCATACAACATACCATTATACAACTTATGATCATATATATTTCATTCCATACCTAAACCTGACAGTTATTTCAAACTCCAGCACATCGGTCGGAATAATGACTGCCATTCAAAAACAACAAACCAATCAATCCAGATACTTGGCACAATCATCGCATGTAATGAGTGGTGGAAGGCGACCAGGCTCCCCACAGGGCCGCATCAATGTCAGCTGCAGAAAACGCCAAAAGAACACGACACAATAAGCACAATCAACCCGCTCAGTTCAATCGCTAGAACCATTGAATAGAATGCAGTGTAAGACGACAAGCATGACCATGTGAAGGACCAGAACAGAGCCGGGGCTCGTCAAATTTGATGCAAGGTTGTGAGGTCGACGGTCGCAAGAGAGCGTGGGTGTATGGAGGTGTAGGGAGGATGTGGTTGGAATGAGCGACATATCACAGAGCCTGTCATGCCATCACAAACCACTACAGAGAAATGTGGCAGGTGATGCGCAGGGACAAACGACTCAAGATGGAAAGCCAACGGTACAGTGTCAGATTGGAAAGGAGGGAGGAGATGCGATACACAGATAATTCCACTCGTCTATGTTAAGAGGTAAAAGATAAAATATGTTTGCGGAAATGCAGCCACCCAGGCACAGTTCATACCTCGACATCGGGCAAACGGGTGCAGGTGCAAATGCGATTCTGAGACGAAGGACAAAAAGCAGCAGGACCGTCATCCTCATGCCTGATACAGGATGAGTCTAGCGCTTGCGTTTCTTATTCTTGTCCGCGAGAGCAGACGACGTCGACGACGACGAAGGCATGGGCGCAACAGCCGCCGCCACAGTGGCTCCTTCAGTGCCATTGGTAGGAGAATCAATGGTTTTCTTGACAGGAACTCCCATGTGACGGCCGTAGCGGCCTTTGCGACCGTTCCCTTCGTCTTCGCTGATGCAGCCATCAAGGCCAATTCCAGCATCCTTGCATCGGCCGCAAGGGCGTTGCCGATCACAGCCCTTCTTACTCTTGCGGCATCGTTGGCAACGCGGCTTGGTAGACAAATCCTCCTCGTCAGCAGCGAGTGGGTGGGAGTGCTGGTGTTGAAGGTTCACAGACGAGGTTGAGCTCTTGCGTACGGGCGCCGGGCTAGCCAGAATCGGGGACACCGCTGCCTTCTGAGTGGGCACCATGGACACCGGCCTAGCCTTGCGCATGGCACCACTGGTACTGGCCTTGGCCGTCTTGTTCGGGCGCACTGCTACTGACTTAGACCCACGGGCCTTGCTCGAGGTCGTGCTGCCGGCGCGGACCTTTGCCTTCTTGGACTTGGGGGCCGACTCGTGATAAAGCGTGTCATCGTCCATCTCGTTCTTGATGGTGTGATCAGGATGTTCATCCTCCTGGTGGAATTCATCGTCGTAGCCGTCGTAACTGCCATCAGAACTGTCAAAGCTCGGCAGAATGTCGTCCAACCGCTTGTGGGTGCGCTTCATGGCGCCGGGGGGTAGCATTGGGCTGGAGTCCAGCCTCTGCTTGGTACGTAAGGGCAAATCGTCATCATCATCCTCGCTGTACTCGTCACCATCGCTGGTGGCGCCAGTCGAGGAGGCAGCATCGGCAGCGCCGCTAAAGGCATCATCCAGGGTGGAGGCAGACGTGCGACCATTGGAAAAATTCGATGCATCACCCAGACGAATCAGCTGCATGGCCACGTCCTCATCAGAGATGCAGCTCGCGATGGTCGGGTCGGGAGTGGGAAGGACCCCAGGAGCAGCGTTGCGACCAGCCGAGTTGCTGTACTGCCCTGAGGATTGGGTAGTGGCCCGGTCGCGCAAGCGGTGTCCGTGATCAGGGACCACCGGCGTGGCATAGACTGAATTCTGTCCTTGATGAAGGCTGTATGCTTGTTCATTGTGTCCGAAGCTCTGAGGGGAAGGTAGAAGGGGTTGTTGTTGTTGCGAGTTGTAGGGCCGCTGAGTGGGGCGGGCAAAAGGTGAGACGGCTCCGTCTTGGCCGATCGACCGGCGCTGAGGGGAGATGGAGGAGGTGGAGGTAGTAAGAGGCACCTGAGGGGGGGCGAACAGCGGCAATTCCTGTGCGAATGCGGATTCTACGGTCAGCGAATGCTCTAGTATGGAGACGACAGATGATTGTCTGCCTTACCGAACTTTCGAACTTGGGCCGCTTCCTGCGACCGTCTTGGAGGATGTTCTCCATGCTGATATCCGAGCTACCCAGCTGCTCACTGCGAGGCTTCCTTGTGCCCGAGACAGACCCATAGCCGCCTTCGCTGTCGCTATAGACTCCGTCCTCCATGAAGCTGCCATGCGTGCTGGAGCCTCTGCTTTTGTTGCCTCCGCGCGACGTTTGTTTGTGCTGAGATGCGCTGCGACGGCTGCGCCCAGACGGTGACATGCTGCGCTTCCGAGCAAGCCGGGAGGCAGGCCGGGACGGTGGCTGTCCATGCTCCAACATGTGCGCAGCCTGCATTGCCGGCGCCATCTGGAAAGGCTCTCCCAGACTGGGACGTTTGCGAGCATCCATGGGCAAATGTCCATAGAAGCGATCCCCGTAGCCTTCAGTATAGGCTTGCACGGGAATAACTCGCACGTACACCGTCATGTTATTTCGGAGATTTTCATACCTGGCAATAAGGGTGATACCCTGTTCATCCTCAAAGCTCACCCCGCTCGCAGTGGTATCGTAAATTCCATAGAAATTCTTAACAGTGGTCACAATGGAATCCGTGGTATCATGAGGGTAGATCTGGACCCGCATAGGTATGCGAGCCCGCACCTTAGAGTTCTCATCGAGTAGCAGCTCGAAGGCAACATTCTTGGGCACCGAACTTCTGGGGGAAGGCTCCTGAGGCGAGCGATAGTCGGTATAGGCAGGCGACGCCCCAGGAGCCGCATGCTGTTCGTACGAGACAGCCTGCATGGTGGGGAAGGGACCAAAAGGGAGTGCTACCACACTGTTATTACATTGATAATCGTAGCAACGGCTGGTCTCGATTTGAAGGTGGTGAGGTTCGATTCGGGTGGATGGGAAGAGGAGGAGTGGGGGTGGACGGATGGAGAAGAGGGAAAAGGCAGAGAGACGGGAATACAAGGGAATGGGCAAAGTCCATCCAAACCTACCACAACAGAGGACTCAGAAGAGGTGGGTTGGAAGATGGATCACCTGCGATTGCTTATTATGATAGGATCGATGACCCCGAGGTGTGATGGATGGGATGAGGACACCCCAAGTCGCAACAACCGAAAGCGACGGGAAAGGCAGGGAAAAAACCGATCGATGCTGAAGGGGAAACCAGCATGAATGTCAGCACAATGTGAAATCAAACAGACTCAAATGGCCAAGAGGTCTACAGAGAAGGATATGACGACAAAAAGCATTGGTAGATAGAAGTCTGTTGGATCGTGATGGATTGTAGACTTGAGGGGGGGGGATGGATGTGGGTGTTGAGGACGAGCAGGGAAGAAACAACCCGAATCACTCGGAAGAGTAGGGAGAGGATCATAGACACACCGATGACAGGTCAAATTGAATTATCCAGAGTCGCACCCATGTACCAGTTCCCACAGGATGGAGAAGGAATGACAGCGATGGCGATGAAGGGAGGAAGTCGGCGGTCGGGCCGTGGGCGATGGTGAGTCGGACGTTCTACCAAGCGCTTGGGTATGTCAGCGGTGGCATCACGCAGAGCCGAGCGAGTCAGGAGAACAGAGCGGGTCAGACCCCATGCTCCACGATTTGCACACAAGAAAAGAAGCCAGAATGATAGAGAAGAACCTACCGAATGAATACTACGCCCAAAAATCGAAGAAGGATGGGGGGTGGAGGGGCGATGGGCGAACAAAGTCGAGGGTTGAGTTGTCGAAGAGAGGTTGAGGGAGAGGAAGAGGAGAGAGAGAGAGAGAGAGAGAGAAAGAGAGAACAGACCAAAGAGGGAGAAGCCGACTGAAAGACAACCCAGAAAGTGGTTTCACCCACACCACTTCCAGCTACGTACTGGGGTCGGTGACCACCTACGTCTATGATTTCTTTTCCCCCTGCCACAATTTATCTGATCGCTGATTCACAAACAAGCCCGACTTCATCATATCTCTCCATTGAGTCTATATTTGTGCCGTGCGCGATGGTTGAATGTCCATCGCAAAGTCCCAGATCGCATTTCGTCTACCGGCCCGGATACGACGGCGTTTTACGAGGAACATCAATCTCTCTTGCGACCCTCGGAGGGCCCAGGCCGTAATTACTTCCGACTGCCATGAATCGCAATCTCTATCTAACTAGAATAACGGGCTTGTTTTGAACCGTAGACAAACGGATGAAGGTCCAGAGCGTGCGACAGGCATTTGGATGTTGAGGCATCAGCCCGGGTTTTGGCGCAAACTGACAGCGACTCCTCCTCCCTCATCCGCAGATCTCCGTCCTAGGGGGCTTAAGCATGACCAGCTATCGCCATAAATAAAATAGTCTTTTCGTTCGCAGATAGCTTAGTTATACGGAGACTAGAAAATAGAATGAATAAAAATACCACCAGTCTCGTCGCACGACACAAACGAACACAGAGAGACCGACGACTGAGGGATAGAAAGCGGAGTGGCGTCGGGTTGGCTGGCACATCCTCAGCGCGGCCACGTCGAATGACACCCCCGAATCACATCCCGGTCACCACCAGACATGGTCCAGCTGCGATTCCCAAAGGAAAATGATCCGGTTCGAAGTCACCGCCAGAATTGGTTCTTTTGTCCAGAAGAACCAAGCCGAAGACAGAACAATCCGACAGGCGCAAACCGGGTAAAGCAGGAGATTCTGTCGCAAATCACTTGAATGCGCCAATGCGATCCGAATTGTTCCTCCGTTGTGTTCACTGCTTTCGCTAGACCTGCAGGGCTGAAATACCCGTCCGGAGCTTGATTCATACCATAATCTCAGACTCTGGGGTTCAAGAAAAGCGATGCGACCATCATTCCCTTCTTCACCTTCGTCTTTCCTCCCCAGATCTGTCACCACAAGCCATGCGGGTTTAACTAAAGGAACGGGAATGGGGAAGATAGAGAGGGACAAAGATGGAGCTGATGGGGGGCACCATTGGCTCTGGCTCCAGGCCAACAGCACCGACCAGCGATCACGCCCAATTGTTGCCTCGTTTCATGATCTGCGCCTGTCCAGACTTGTCCTTTTCTCTGTTTTACCCCTCCTCCCTCCCTCAACCAGCATGGACTACGTAAGGTTGGATGAGTGCATGGATAGATGAATGATTGAATGATTGAACGATTAATTGATTGAATGAATGAATGAATGAATGGACGAGAGATTGTCCTTATGACATGCGTCGGGTAGACACAAGACATCATCCATCGACCTATTCTTCTCTTCCCCCCCTCCCCCTTCCCCTCCTCCTCTTCTCCTTTCCCGTGATTTCACTGTATGTAAATTCAATCTATCCGCGGGTAAAGCGTGTTCATCCAGCCGTCTCTTTCCATCCAGTGAGTATTTCCCAGTCAGTCTGCAGGTCCCGGTGTGACATCGCATTCACTCTATCAAGTTTTCGCCGTCACATCTAAGGTACTCTCTCTGCTAAGACTAAAGGTGATTCTCCGGCTCAGGATTTACAATTGTCTGCATCCCTCTTAAAGTTACTCATGGCTTGGGGAACCTTGGGGAAACCGCTTCGGGGAAGGGTGAAGGGGTAATTCAAAGCGACTAAGAAAGCATGAATGGAAGCGCAGAGGACGACGAGCAACTCCGAGCCACCAGCAAGCGGCGCAACAATGTCGTTAGTCGGGTTAGAGTGGGGGGGGGGGGGAGGAGAGGGAGTTGGAGCAGGTGCAGTGCGATGCAGCAACCCACTCCCTAATAAGTAAGGTTAATGATTATAGGTCACATATCTTCTCCCAGCAGGACTTCTCTTTCGCGTATTCGGATGGATTGGGTTAAGAGAGACAGAATAGCCATTTAAGAGGGAAATCGAGGATGAAGTAGAATCAGATGAGTTGTGGTTGTTGATGACTGATGATAATTGTTGTAACTAGTGTCACTTGGATGGAGGGGAGACCGAGTGTGTGCTTCGGCGGGGCTCTTCAATAAACTCCGAATAAAGAAAGGATTGAGTGACTCTGTGCAATTGTTGTCCTTGGGCCACACCGTAACTTTGCGCTCCTTCAATAGTTCACCTTGGCTTGCTCGCAGAGTCCTCAAAAGTCGGCTGTTTCCTGGCCCTGCTTCTGCTGCTCTCCATCTTCTATTCTTCATCCTTTCTCTGTTCTAGCGTGGTTCATCGCGAGCTTGCTTACTTCTTGATGTGGATACTTTTCCCTCCACTCTATGCGAAAAGTCGCAACCCTTTGTAGGACCGATTTCTGCTGTCGCGATCGGCGATTGTCCAGACGAAGATTAATTCCCTCCACCACTTGATCCTCCCCTCACGGATCATGATAGGCAGCGCCGGATCCGCGTCCCACCGTGGCTTCCTGGCGACGTTGGCATTTGTGCGGGTGTAAACGGGAACCAGAGAACAGGCCGAAGCAAGATGAAACCCAAGAGACAAGAACAAGAGAATCAAGATTGCGCAGCCAGCGACCAGAACATGGATTCTTCAACAAGCCATTGACGCTTGTTTTATCATTCATTCTTGCCATGCGCTGGCACTGATCTCGATCGCAACAGCCATTCCCTCTCCCCCCTCTTCAATCCTTCATTCCTATTCTTCGGCTACTTGTCCCCCGCGCCTTCAGCCGATCACGGCTGTATATGGCATGGCTTCAATTACCTCCTCAGGAACATTTGCGCTTCGTAGCCACGAACCACAGGTGTTCTCGCCGATTTTCTAACCCTTGCGATCTCGAGCATCGACTGCCCCAGCGAAATGGCGGAGTGTAGCGCCCGGGATGGTCACGTGGTTTCGCGTCCTGGAGCGGGCGGTTTCGTGTCGCTCGGCGCGTCTCCCACAAGTACATATCCCAGCCCCTGTACGCTCCCGCCAGAAGCAAAAATGCATTGATGTAATTTAGGGATGAGATCGCATTATTGTGAAGGCTAAGATGACCATGCAGAATAGGGTCATATATCGAAGGGGCGTCAAATATCTGCATGGAAGAAGAATGAAGTGCTGGCGGGAAGACGCGCTGAGTGATGTCACTCGAGCCGAGAGAGGGGAACAAACAAAGCAAATCAGACAAACAGATGACATAAGCATACTGCTGGTTGTTGCCGGTAACCACGGGCAGCTGGCAAGTAAGGAAGGTGACCGTTTTGGGTAATGCCTTTGTTGCCGGCCAACCAACCGCCGGCTGCTGCTGCTGCTGCTCCTGTATGTTTTTGTCCTTGTCGCGCTCTCTCCCTCCCCTCCCTTTCCTCCTCGTTGCTTGTCCTCGCGCTTCATTCTTCTTGTCTCTCTTCCTGACTCTCTTTGCCAAAAAGCCTCGTGCCCGAATCAGCGCTTGTCTTCCGTTCCTGAGCCAATTCTTCGAGTTCTGCATTTGGCGTGGATGTTGTGGTTGTTTGTTTGGGGCCGCCGCTTTTAGTATAACTTTAAGCTACTGCGAGGACTGCTGCTTGCGCAGGTCGCATAGGAGTAAACAACAACATCAACAACAACCTCACTCCCTTCCGCAATCCACAGTCCACAGTCCACGTCGAGTCCTGGAGGCTCAGAGTGACTTCTGATCAGGTCCAGCATGGATGCAAAGGTACGTTGCTGTCTTCTGATTTTTTTTTTCTCCCCTCAGACAAAGTGTCGATCACCTGGTTGGCCAGATGCTATCTCTGATCCACAATTTTGCCACGCGCCATGGGACTTAGGACTATATGGAGATCTTGATCAAAGTCGCGTTAGGCTAGATTGGAGAGCTAACTAAGATTACTTCTCTCTCATAGCCTCAGAGAATCCGCGTCCGTGGCGACGAAAATGCCCCCTTCCCTACCGCGGCCGGCAAAACCCTCCACCAGCGGAATAAGTCTACCCCTGCGTTGTCGGCCCTCTATCAGAACGGCGTTACGAAGCCTGCCACGAAGCGAGCGGCCTTTGGGGATGTCAGCAACACCTCGAAGCCCATCAATGCTAGTCGCGACGACACATCCCTTGCTGGGAGGAAGCAATCCAACGCTGGTGACAAGCCGTCGGTGGTGATTGAGAAGAAGGCCACAGTCCTCGCACAACCGGCCCAGCGTCCGGGAGGTATGAAAGGCATTTTGAGCAATGTCACCAACGTCACTCACGCGAAGTCCGTCGAACCATCGAAACAAGCGGCCAATACTCGCAAGACCCTCAACAAGCGAGCCACTGTCTTCAAGGATCCCTCCAAGGCCAAAGCCGAGAAATCCGAGATCACATCCAAGGAAACCAACAAAGAAGCAAAACAGGGGCAGATTGACGCCTCCCTTGCAACTGCGTCTACTGCACCTGCGAAGCAAGATGGCGTAAAGGAAGAAACCAAATTGAAAGAGGTCCAAGACCCTGTGGTGGGAGAGTTGGAAGACTACGCCGCTGTCGTCTCTGCAGTGGAAGAAGATGACAAGGAGTCGTGCAAGACCGACGAAGATGTTTGTGAAGTGCAAGATGTGAAGGAGACCCGCAAGACTCGCGAGCAAATCGACTCTACAAGTCACGACGTCGCCGATCCTATCATCAAGACTCATGGCGAACCTGCATCAGGCTCCCGCATAGCCCACGATCGTCTACCGGCTCAAGCTGAATATGAGGAGTATTGGGACGATGAAGAGGAGGAGAATGAGGATGATGATGGATATATCACCGCTCGCTCTTACCGATCGCGGGGAGAGAACACCACCGGTGGTGCCACAACCGTCCTATTTCCCAAGTACACTCAGCAGGTCCGACGGGAACTGGCCCTTGCAAAGCAGGTCGTCGACGCTACGCGAACGGAGGAAGATATTGAAGATGAGTTTTGGGATACAAGTATGGTTGCGGAGTACAGTGAGGAAATTTTCGAATACATGAGAGAGCAAGAGGTATGTCCCTGTGACAGATGAAAGCGATGGGTAGGATGTCCCTAACAAACCCTTATGGCGTATAGATCCGGTTGTTGCCAAATGCGCATTACATGGACAACCAGGCCGAGATCCAGTGGTCGATGCGCTCCGTCCTGATGGACTGGCTTGTGCAAGTCCACCATCGATTCTCATTGCTGCCCGAGACCCTTTTCCTCTGCGTGAACTACATTGATCGGTTCTTGTCGTGCAAGATTGTCTCCCTCAATAAGCTGCAGTTGGTGGGCGCCACCGCGATCTTCATCGCTGCCAAGTACGAAGAAATCAACTGCCCGTCGATCCAGGAGATTGTTTACATGGTTGACGGCGGCTATTCTGCTGACGAGATTCTCAAAGCCGAATGGTTTATGTTAAGCATGTTACAATTCGAACTGGGATGTCCTGGTCCGATGAGCTTCCTGCGCCGCATCAGCAAAGCCGACGACTATGATCTGGAGACGCGCACCCTTGCCAAGTACTTCCTGGAAATTACCATTATGGATGAACGCTTCGTTGGTAGCCCTGCTAGCTTTGTTGCAGCGGGTGCTCACTGTTTGGCGAGACTGATGCTGAGAAAGGGCAACTGGGTATGGTTTCCACTAATTACTTTGAGTGATATGCTAATCGAACCATAAGACACCCGCCCATACCCACTATGCTGGTTATACTTATTCCCAGCTCCTGCCACTCATTTCTCTTATGATGGAGTGTTGCGAGAGACCTAGCAAGCACCATGCTGCAATCTACGAGAAGTATACCGACAAGCGGTACAAACGTGCTTCTCTCTTTGTCGAAGCCGAAATGAAGAGAGGGTTCCTTCTCCCCGACCACCACAAGGACAAAGCTTATGTTGGGACTGTCGAAGCAGCTCACTATTGCAAGAAGGTCAACATCTAAAAGCCACACATTCACAGTTTCACAGTGGTTTGTGTTGTGACATTCTTGGTCTCTCCTTCTGAAGACATGACCCCAGCTCATGGTCAACGGGATGAGCTGATCGCCGAAACACCAGACGAGGAACGAGATTTCACACACTAGGTGCTACTGACCAGGAATCTTGGTGCCTCTTTCACCCTTTTACATTTCCTTACATTTTAATTGATCAGAGACTGGGGCAATGTCCCAAGTCATGCACATTGGACTTTAGACCCCGCAGAAAACAAGAAACCTTGACAACAGCTGTCAGGACATCGGATACCAAGGAAAGGTGGAGTTATTCTGATTTTTGTATTGATCTAATGATTCGGATGACACGCAAGCCGCGCAAACACGTCCAGGCTCAGGAGTTTATGGAATCGATGGCTAGTTATCTCTTTTCTTTCTATTTTTGTTTTTCGTCTCTTACCCTGACAGGTGTCACTCCTTCAGATTCTGCTATTTCCTCTCCTTTGTCTCTTCGCTTTTTCCTCCCCCTTTTATGACCCACCAATTCTCGCCATGCCGCATCATGATGACTCTATGTTTCCGGCATGTTTTGGTCTCCAATGGACAGTTCCCCTACGACACGAGATGCGAGCCTGTCACCGAGTGTCATGCACCATGAGTGTACCTATTCCCCCTTTTTCTTTTATGTCCCGGATTTTGGATTGACGTTTGTTCTTTCCTTGTCTCACGCGACACACTACTTCGTTCTTATTGTTCTTCCCGCTCTACGGATTATCGTCCAGGATTATGGCGCAGGTATTAATGAAAATGAACCTTACTTTTCTTCTTGATATGTGTCGCAGCGGCGTACCTTGGCCTCTTAGACGTATTCCTCGGAGTCAACGGGCAAGTGCATGGAGCGCATCCATGCAGCCATTCTCTCATGAAGTAGGGAAGTATATACCCCAGCCCAGCTCTCCAACCTCTCTAGTCCCTCTAATCTCTCTATCTAGGCCAATCTATGGTATAAGGAGTTTTCCCTCCTAACAAATCAAAAAATCACCCGCCAAAAGAGTCCAACCTTCTACATCCCTACGTATCGACTTGACCAGCTTTTTCAACCAAACGGAAATTCACGTATTTGTCCAGCGCGCAGCAGCAACCTACTCACTGGTCCAAACCATTGAACTCGACCAACCTCTTGACCACCTCAATCACCTGCTCCGCCAGGGCCCCAGTCACCCCGCCAAAGCCCGCAGCCACAGATGCAGACGCTGAAGCAGCAGCAGGCTGATCAATCCGGCCAGCGATCACCTCATCCAGCATCATGCGCAACCGCGACACCAAGACACCAATGCGCGCCCAGCCGCGCAACCGCAACCAACCGTCAACAATCAGTCCACGACCCGTGGTGTCGAGGTTAATGGACCCGCAGAAGAGGAGAAGGGAGAATGCGTTGAAAGCTACACACACACAGAGAGAGACACAAACATCGATAGATCAGTACCAGGTTGCCCACATTTCGCCAACAGATGAGGGGAGAGATCAGAGGCAAAGGGGGAGGGAAGAACTGGAAAGGCTAGGAGGGGTAACTTACGAGTCAAGTCCCTGACAAACACCTTACTCGTCGCCATCTTGGTGAAGTAGCTCAAATACGCGGCGCCGCCGGGGTAGTTCTGCGCGGAGAACAGCAGCGAGCTCGGGTGGATGAAGACGCGGCCGTTCTCCTGGTTGAAGTACTTGATGGTGCGGGCGTCCGGGTCGATCTCAACGGTGCCCGTGATGGAGGCGGCGAATTTCTTGTCGGGGAAGGAGATCTGGGCGATCTGCGGTTGAAAGGCGCCGGCGATGAGAGCGCGAAGGAGGGGTTTGTTGTTGGTGTTGCGGTTCCAGGTGCTGGTGTTGTTGGGGCGTGAGGACTGGGGTTGTTGGGAGGCATAGTCGACGGGGAGGAGGCCGGCATCCTTGAGGGAGGTGAGGAGCTGGGCGCGGTTGGAGGAGATGTCGCGCAGGGTTTGATGGGAGAGGAAGTTGGCGGTGCACCAGCTCTGCGTTTGCCAATAGCCGTGGGCTTGGACGCGATCGGACCACTGCTGGTAGGCTAGCAGGTCCGTTAACAGGTCGCCGTCGTTGGCGCCTTTGGTGAAGGCGGCTTTGGCGGCGGTGGCCTCGTCGCGCTTGTCGCGCGGGGAGACGAAGGGGCTCTTGACGGTCAGGATGGCGGAGATGGTCACGCAGGCGTCAATGCAGCCGAAGATGGAGCCGTAGACCATCAGTTTGGCGCACCGCAGGTCCGCCGGGATCATGGAGAGGTAGCGGCCCAGGGCTGTGAGCCGGTCGTGGTCGAGCGCCCCGACGCGATGCAGAAACTCCAGCGCGCCCTCGACGGCCGTGCTCTCGGGCGGCGTGATGGTGTTGGCCAGGAAGTGCGCGACGTCATTGATGCCTTGCATCGCTTTCACGGAGAGACAGAGTTGCTCCAGCGGAACGCGCCGGATCTCGGGGTCGGGTCGGTGAGGCATGCTCGTCTCGGCTTTGCGGGTGTAGAGCTTGTAGCAGGTTCCGGCCTGGACACGACCGGCACGTCCGCGGCGCTGCTTGCAGGCTGCTTGCGAGGCCCACACCTCTTGGAGCCGGACGATGTTGTCCCGGGGGTCATAGCTGGTCTCTTTCACCCGGCCGGTGTCAATGACGGCCACGATGTCTTCAATGGTGATGGACGTCTCGGCGACGTTGGTGGCTGCGATAACCTTCCTCATGCCCTTGGGAGCACTCAAGAAGACGCGCCGTTGCTCGGCTGGCAGAAGTGATGCATGCAGAGGCAGCGGATGAGCGTTGGGGATTCTTCTCACCGCATTGAGACATCTTTCGATCTCCATGGTACCGGGCAAGAAGATCAGGATTCCACCGGGCTGGTCACCCAGCTTGGCATCGATGTATCGAACAGTAGAGGCTATCAACTCGTAGTTGATACCCATCCCCAGGCTTCGAAGGACTTTGCCAAGCGGCTCGTCAGACTGCGCCGATGGTGAAGCTTCTTCGTCGAATTCCCGCTCCGTGAATTCTGGATAGAATCCAGTATCACGGATGACATCGTCCAAGTAGTAATCGTCAACTGGGAAAGTACGTCCCGGGATGTTGACCAGGCCAACGGATTGACGGCCGCCAAAGTAGTTGATGAAGATATCTGCGTCGAGGGTTGCACTCATCAGGATGACTTTGATATCCTTGCGGTGGTGGAGAACATCTCTGAGTAGGGCGAGGAGGAAGTCAGTGTCGAGACTCCGCTCGTGTACCTCGTCGACGACGACGTGAGTGACGTCTGAGAGAGAGCTTGCAACGTTGCCATCCGGACCACTGCCGGACTGCATGCGCCGAAGCAAAACACCTGTCGTGACGAACGTGATCTTCGTTCGCCCTGACTTGATTTTGGATTCCCCTCGGATGATGTATCCAACCTCCTCGCCGACCGATGTGCATCGCTCATCACTGACTCGATCTGCCAGTCCCAGTGCAGAAATCCTTCGCGGCTGCGTACAGATGATGTTCGCGACAGCGCCGAGGTCACGCTTGATCAGGTCATCAAGCAGGAACTGTACAGATTGAGTACTCTTTCCACTACCAGTCTCTCCGGAAATGATTGTGACTTGATTTGTGTTGACCGCATCTATAATGGCCTGCTGGGTGTTCCAAGCCGGAAGCGCTTGGCGCTTTCGAAGCATTTCCTGCTGTTCTTTGGTTGACTGCCTCGCTTCCCAAGATTCGCGTAACGAAATGCTCTGCGGGGCGCCTGGTTGCCATTTAACCGCATTGCCCCTCTTGTGCGATGAGCGCACGGGAATATTTGAGATGGTCCCGGATGGGGCCAGCGGGGCTGTCACTGTTGATATGTCTCGCAGCTTTCCAGGGTTTTCCATGACCGAGGGGAGGTTGGTCTCCAGCCAGTCAAGCACATTATAAATCATGGGCTCTCCCAGAAAGTTCTCCTCGGAGTATTGAACCACCTGACGTATCGCACTGAGACGAATATAAGCCGGGATACCCTTCGCCTGGATGGAGACAATTGGCGGAGAATACGGATAGTGCGTTGAAGGCCGTTGGAACCGAAAAGTCAACGCCTCCGGCAGATCGCTGTTCTCGCCTTTGATCTCACAGACCTTGCCAGAAACACGAGAGTACCGTTCCCCGAAGATAGCTTCAAGTGTTTCCTGCTCCTCTGCCCATAGGTCCTCCTCCCCAGATACAACAGGCTCAGCAGGAGCGTCTCCGCCGTGAACCAATGTATTCTGGAGAACCTCTGCTGCAGCAACCTCATCCCCTTTCTTGCTATCCAAGATTCGCGTGCACAGGTCGACAGGATAGCCGATAGATGTGAGCCGCTTGATTTTCGCCTCTCTAGCAAGATCATCGCTCGCCAGGCTTACACCCGCCGAATAGCCCTCAGGCAAACACCAGCGGGGCAGATCATCCTCTGGCACGTAGATGAGAAGCCACTCAAGGACCTCTTCACGGTCCTTACAAGTGCCAACAGCCTCCTCGACGTGGCTGCGTCGAAAGCCCAGACGAGTGAGCTCGTCAACAATGGCATCGCGCTCCTTCTGCGGTATCTCTACCCCGTAAGGATTCCAGATTGCATGCTCTCTCAGCATGCCCTCAATCTCACGGCGAATCTTGCCGCCCAGATCCACCTTGGGCGCATGCGACCAGATCTTCCGACTTTTGTTCTCGCCGCCGGTGCCGGAGCCCAGCCCCAGATCGACCGTGGTCTCTGCTGCCTTGGCCGCTTGCGCTTTCTCCCGCTCCTTGCGCTTCTTCTCCAGGTCCGCCGCGGCGCTTTCTCGTTCCAGCTTGGCTAGAAACGGATCGGCCTCGTACATCCAGCCCTTTCCTTCTTTGCAGTCGGCAGTTTTAAGATCCGCGAAATCCTCGCGCCATAGCTTCTTGTATGTGGGCGGCATCATCATATGAAGGTTCTTCATGTTGCAGACTCGGTATAGTGTGTACGCGGCGGCGAAATGTCGAGCCTCGAGGGCGGTAGGCTGGGCAGCGAGATGCTTATGCGACGGAGGCAGTTTCATTGGGGGGAGGACAATCGTTTCGCGAGTTTTGGGGTCCACACGCTTCAATATCACGCTGGAGACGAACCCGTCTGATACTTTCATCTAAATTGGCCAATTTCCCGTTAGAACACTACCTCAGTCGACTTGCTCAATTTCAAACAGCAACGGCACAAAGACCCTGCAACGAGGATAACACCCAACCCACCATAGTGTATTCCGGCTTCTCCCACTTCTGCTTCTGGCAATGCTCCGCGAGCATATTGACGGGGAGTTTCCCCGTCCATGATGCCCCTCCAATGACCTCCTTGACAGAGGGTTTTTTCTGCTCGTCGGTCGCGGTCTGCGCTTTCTTCGCCGTCTCAGCTGACCGCTCGGCCGCGGCTTTGGCCTGCTTCGTCCCGGGTTTGGGCGCGCCGCCCCTGTTCTCGGACTTTTTCTTTGGGCCCATCTGTTGGGGTGGAGGTTTTTTGCTCTTCTAAGAGACGAAGAGATTTTGGAAGAGGGAAGGGTAGAAACCAACAAGCGATTGCCCCTCAAAATTCAAGGCTTGCACTCGCTTGCTGGACTGACTTCAGTTGGGGAGCCTTACGGCAGTACGTACTGCGTAGTAAGTAAATGTTTTTGTCCCGCACTTTGACCGCTTTAAGAGCTGTTAGTTTTGCGGGGGAGCATTTCAGCCTTTCAGGTATTCTGCCGGCAGAAATTCTACACGGGCCAGCCCCGGTCGAGATGCATTAGCGGCGGGAGTTTTCTCCACCAAAAGACTGTCAATGGTCATGTGACCTGCTCTGGCTCATCATCTCCCTCCGGTGATAGTATTCTTAACCGGGAGCATTGACCCGCATAGTCGATACATTTTTCTATCGATGCAGCTCTAGAACCGACTGAGGTCTTCCTACTATGACTGATTTAGTCTCGCAGCGAGTATGACTCGAAGATGTTTAATCCACATGGTGCGTTCTGCAAGAGCTGTGGGATGGCGGACCATGTAGTGCCTCTCTGTCTCAGAAAAGCCCTGTGTAAACTGTCATCAAGAAGGGCATATTATTCGACAATGTCCAACGTGCCCTATCTGCACCCACTGTGGACTGAAAGGACATGATTTCCAAGTATCAAAACGCAAGAGATGCTGTTTCAATCCTTGATGCTGAAGAGCTCACTGAAGCAGCTATTGTCGGAGACAGAGATGAGCTTGAAGTTACTGGACCAAAGTTCCTGCCCAGTCAAAATCAAGTTGAAATTACACAAGTAGCCTACTGTTCCAGCAACACTACACAGCAAATAACTTCTAAATATCCTCATGATCCGACCTACACAAAGCTGTTGCCACAGGAGCTCCGGACACAAGTGAGCTTATTTAGTAGACACATCTATAAGAAGCAGACTGGGACAATCAAATCCAGAACAGAAAATACCCAAAGATATTGTTTAGTAGCCGGATCCGTATTCTTCTCTTGATCATCTGCAGCTCCGTGATCTTTTTACATCAAGAATAAGCAGGATAAGATTCTAGTCAAAGTCGAGCTTACATTACCTGGAGAAAGACATCCTAATCCTCGTATTACACCTCTAACTACAGATAATCCAGCATACCATCTAGCTTTTCATCTTACTCTAGATAATAAAGCAAAAAGTGAAATCTTCGATTGAATACAGAATCACTCAGAATTCTTCACTGGTTATTTCCAAAATAAACAGTTTAGTTGACTAGATAGATGGATGGTGACATCCAAAAAGGAAAAATGGTAACGACGCGGTTCGAACGCGCGACCCTTTCGGGACCTGGGATTTTCAATATTCAAGATATTTCTTAAATCAGGCGCCTTAGACCACTCGGCCACGTTACCCGATGGTTGAATTTACAGCCGTCTCAATGACCTAAAATATCATCTGAGTTTTTGTCAAGGACATTGTGGCTCCCGCGGCTACAACTCTCGCAGGTCATTTATGTATGGGACAGACTATTTAACTGTCTCCCACAACCACCCGGCCTGTATTCAGTGTGCTATAATGGTAGACAACTTGACTTGTAGCTTTTTGTTTTTTCGCGCAATTCGGGGCAAGGCGTGGGTGGGGAAATGGAGCGGCTGCGGGGAACATTTCCTGGTCAAGTCGGTCCCTCTCTTACACACATACACACACACACACTCTCTCTCTCTCTCTCTCTCTCTCTCTGCTTTGCTCTGAGCGAACATATGTGCGAAAAGGATGGTGTAGTGGCTAAGTATTTTCGACATCTGCTTCCATGTCCGAGTCTTCGGGGTACAGAGCAGACAGTTCAGGAGATGTGGAAGAGAAGAAGAAGGCACCGGTCAAGCGAGATGCGTGTAGGTCCGACCCTGTGCGCAACGATTGCATCGCTCAGTTTATTTCACTCCCCCGCCTCCTCCCATCATACCTCAGCCTAGACCCAGACGAGCAAACTTACAAAGAGATGACTAACATGACCTTTTTGATCGAATTTCACAGTCGCGGAACTGATGTCCTCGAAAACCAAGCAGCGCAAATCCACGGACACAACCACTACCACCACCACATCCAAACGAAGAGCCCCGGGAGGTCCTCGCGATGGACTCGGCCCCTACATCGCCAACCCATCCTCCTACCCCTCGCACATCGTCGTCTACCACAACGACGAGTTCGTTGTGATCCGCGACCTCTTCCCGAAGGCGACCCTGCATCTGCTCCTCCTGCCGCGCGACGCGACCAAGACCCGCCTGCACCCGATCGACGCCTTCGACGACGCGGAGTTCCTGAACAAGGTGCGGGCGGAAGCGGAGCGGCTGCGCGCGCTGGCCGCGGGCGAGCTGCGCCGGCTCCACGGGCAGTTCTCGATGCAGGATAGGGAGCGTCGGGCGGCGCTGGAGGTCGAGCCGCCCCCGGAGCAGCTGCCGCGCGGGCGCGACTGGGCGCAGGAGCTCATGTGCGGCGTCCATGCGCATCCGTCCATGAACCATCTACACGTTCATCTTATCTCCGTGGACCGGTACAGTGATCGGTTGAAGCATCGGAAGCATTACAATAGTTTCTCTACGCCGTTCTTCGTCCCGCTCGGTGACTTCCCGCTGGCGGAGAATGATCCCCGCCGGCGGCCGGATGAGCAGGGCTATCTGCGGCGGGACTTTGTCTGTTGGCGCTGTGGGAGGAACTTCGGAAATAGGTTCTCGGAGCTGAAAGCTCATCTCGCGGAGGAGTTTGAGGCATGGAGACGATTATGATAGGATGATAGGTCATGACGGATATGGAAATGGTAAAGGGATAGTTGCGGTTTCAAAGACCAAGGGTGTCTGGTCCACCCTTGTCGTAAGTTAACTTCATTGGTCATCCCAGGGCGTTTCTATTAGACCCCTGAAGGCTAACTTGCAAAAGCCTCAATTGCCTATATCATTGTGGACATAAATGTACACGCAAAATTGAAATACAGGATTAACAGTTGACTGATAGCATTTTTCAGCAATCATGCGTGTCTACTGCTTGCCCTGTCTTCAGACTCACAGAAAGAACCACTCAAGGTCCCCTCTGCGAGTATCGAATCCTTCCCTGCAGCTTCATCTTACACGGTCGCCATTCACTTTCTCGCCAAAGACAATCTAAGCACGGCTCTTAGACCGGGAGCTGCTGCCCTTGACCTTCCGGGCCTCGGGGCGGGTGATGTGGTGAGCAGGGATCCAGTCGGCATTGTAGGTGGTTGCGGAAGTGACAGCGGGTCCCTCCACGGGAACCTCCTCCTTCTTGGGAACGCCAGTCGACTTCTTGGCCTCAGGGGCCTTGCCAGTGCGACGCTTCTGGGGGAAGTAGGGGGCGATCCAGACGCTGTAGAAGAAGTAGACGACACCAGAGAAGCAGGCCAGAAGGAAGAAGTAAAGGAAGAGACTGTGGTCGGCGAGGTTAATAAAGATTCATCCAAATGAAGGCACTGTGAAATCTTACATCTGAGGGTCGAAGATGCTGGTCTCGGGTTCAACCACACTGACGGTGCTGTTGTAGGTGTAGAGAGTGTAGACGTTGCCATCAACATCGGAGATAACGGAAGCCAGCTCAAGTCTCAAATCCTGGGGATGCATCTCGGTGGCGAAGTTGAAGTTCACGCTCTCCTGCTCCCCGGCGGGAATCTCGAGGCTGTACCGGTGGGTGGTGAGGTTGCGGACGATGCGGCTGTCTTCCTCATCCAAGGACCACAGGGAACCTCCAATGAAGTTGACCGTCACGGGGTTGGGCTCATCGTTGGCGAAGGTGATCAGCGCCTGGGTCGGGAGGCCATTGACTAGCTTCACACCGAAGAACTCAGAGGCAGGGAATGCAGTCTGCGCGGTGACGGCAAGGTTGGGCGTCTGGGGGGCTTCCTCCTTCTCGACAACATCCTAGAATAGGCGAAAAACGAATTGTGTCAGTCAATTGAAATTGAGGCAAATTGCGTAGCCGGATTCAGATGGAGGTAGAACATACAGCCGCGAGACCGCCGCCGATCAAGGCCTGGACGGAGAGGAGAGCCAGAGACAAGAAACCGAGACGAGCCATTGTGAGACAGCTACAGGTGTAGATAGGAAGACCAAAAGAGAGGAAAGGGAGAAAGGAGAGGCGGAGGGGTGAAGGTAGTGGAGGAAGATGGAAGAGGAAGAACAAGAGGAGGAGGATTGACGATGAGTGTATGGAAGGGGGTTTGCTCCACGTAGGCATTTCGGTTGCTTTCCTCCAACATGAATGACTCAGCAGTAGCTGAGCTTCTTAGGACAGAAGGCGGTCAGACCAGCCATCTGTCAATCTGCCAGCCGCCCGCCAGTTGCCGAGCCGCGCTTGTCCTGTACTCTATCATTAGGTATTCACTGCACCAACTCACTATTTCAGATAAGTGGCCTGCCAGTGCAGCTCCTCACCGTTTGTTCTTAGTCTACAAACCCCTGTACAGGAGTGAATCTCTCTCCTTCCTCCTCTTCCCCCTCCTCTGAATTTCTCTGAGAAATAACTGTGGATAATTAGTATATAATTGGTTCATCATCTCATCTGCTTGGATTATAGCTCGTTTTTATAATATATAACACCAATTGTTTTTGTTTTCTTCCAAATATCCTCCTTAGTTATATTGTCCAGTGCACAACCAATCTGAACCACTACTGCTTCATATTACATTCCTGCTGGAAGAAGCATCATGACGGCTATTACATATCTCGATCGCTACAGAAATCTAGTTCACACTGAACAGAAAAAGAACCTGCTGATTGAGGTATATACCAGCTTCCATGTTTGTATACATCATGTTGACACGTTTTTGGCGCATAGGAACTCCTGCAGCGGGTGGCGCAGCTTGAGGATGCAAACGAACAACAGAAGCTTGATCATGAGCGTGAGAAGCTCTTCAATCGAGATATTCAGCTAAGTGAAATGGAATTGATGGGCCAGGTTTCACGGTTCCAACTTCTAATGGTGGGTCTATACTACTATATAGTTCCCGCCATGACTACAGTCTGTGCTGACACTCATCTTCTCCGACCTCTAGAACCGCCAACCCTACATAATTGGTCTTCTTGACGGATCTAGCTTCATATTCCAGGACGAATACCTCAAGAAAGGCGCACAGGGGGGAAAACTCGCGGCGGAGAAATTACACGACGAGCTTGAGGGTTATGTCGCAAATCAACTCCCCACCGTCAAGGACCTTAATATTTTGATAAGGATGTACATTAATGTGAGAGGACTGAGCGAGACTTGCATCCGGGGCGGCATCACAATAGATTCATCATTGCTGGAGGGATTCATTCGCGGGTTCAATAGTTGCTATGCTTCCATGGACATCGTGGATACTGGCGTTGGGGCGCACATTGCGCACGACAAGATTGCAGGTAAGCTTCGCTTTGCTCCGCCTCTCCTTCATCCCACGCTGAACTCATATATTCAACCTTATTCAGAGGCTTTTGCGCTCAACCTCTATAATTGTCACTGCCATCAGATCTTGCTGGGCTGTGCAGATGAGGATTCCTTCATCCAAGTCCTTGGAGACAATCTTAAAGACAGGGAATTAATGGGACGGGTCACTCTGTTCGAAGCATTGCCCTTCGAAGGGAACCTTGATGTCATCAAGTCATCTTTCAGAACTATGCGCTGCACGGACGTTTTTCGCGATTCAAAGATCTTCCCCATATGGTCTCCCTGGAAAGCTGCTGTGGCCACACAGCCCCGCACGGAGCTCACTCCATCGCCCATGCCAGAGCCAAAACAATCCCCGCGGTCCGTGAACAATGCATCTACCAACCCCAGTACATCGATATCACTTGCCTCCTCCAGACCGTCCAGCCCAGAAGGGGGATTCCAGGTAGTCCGCTCCAAAGCAGCCAAGCCCACACGGCCCAAGGTGATCGAACGCAACAAGTACGGCCAACGGGTGGACAAGCTTAACCTGAAGAATATCAACCAACAAGACTTGAGTCGCCTCAAGAAGCTGAAGTTGTGTAACTTCTATTATCTACTGGGCGAGTGTCCCGCGGATGACTGCCAGCATGAACACTCGCGCAGACTGACCAAAAGCGAACTTGTAATCCTGGCAGCCATTGCCCGCATGATACCTTGTCGTTATGGGCTGGAGTGCGACGACCCCGATTGTTTGTACGAACATCGATGCCCTCATAGTGAACTCGGCCAGAAAGAGTGTCACTGGGGCTCAAATTGTCGGTTCGAGCCAGCTGCGCATGGCATTGATACCATGATCGTGAAGGTGACTAAGATCTTGGGCCTGCCCACAAAAAAGTTCATTTGAAAAAGTCGTTACCTTTCCTTTTTTTTTTTCTCTCTTTGTACTTCTCTCTGGCCAGTCTGAAGTGCTGACCTTGGGGATATCATTTTCTTATGATGGGTTCCCCTTCAAAATGAGCCCGTCTTGATTCAGCATTTCCCACTTCGGGTTCAATATACGGAGCGGTTTAGTCTGCTGAACTCGATAGATTGTAATGTACTCAACATAACAGTAGGGCTTTGTGAGTCAAATGAGTACAAGCCACATGGTGGTGGGCGCCATGAGCCAAGATGTGAAGGATAGAAACCCTAGGGCCAGATTAAAATTTGACCACCAAGGCATCATGAAGACGATATATGGAAGTCCAAAGTAGACAAGAAGCGCCACTTTCAACCCATCAGGCATCTATTGTGGTCATAAACATCGCGAACCGTCTCTCCCAGCCGAAGCAGTCCTCTTGAGTACATCCCACGCCAATATTCTCTTCGACTGTGATAGCGCGATGCATGCACCTGACACCATACTCTTTAATGCAGCAGTTGAATGGTTGCTGAGATAACGCACCCAAACCTTGCAGGATCCCATCAGCTCCTTCATTCTTAGCTTCTCTTTTGAGTTCCTCTAGGTTTCCCCAGAGATGGAACAGTTTTTCTCGCAGGTTCCCTAAGACGACCGAATCCTTTCTCAGGCTGAAGCATGACGTTCAAGTACAGTATTAGTGTCAGACAGGCATGAAGAGGGCGATCAATGGTGACAACTTACTCTACCGCATCAAGGCGAAGGAGGTACACCGCCTCAGCGCCAGACACGAACAGCCTAACTTGTTGCTTTGTCTGGCCCAATGGAGGCGGGGGAACGCTCTCGACCAAGAGACAAAAGCGCCACTCCCAGGTCGTGAAATTGCTATCTTCTCCGTCGCTGGCTTCGCTCGACGAGTCTCGAGTCTTAGCAACCGCGAAGTCTTCCAGGTTTGGAGGGAAAAAGTCGACGACGCGAACTTTCGATCGATAGCAGAAGTTCTGGAATGGGAAGCGGTATTCGATGTTGTCCGGTGACTGGTTAAGGTGCTCTTCCGAGGTGACAATGGCTTCAAGACTGCGAGTGGGAACGGACGGGTTGCCGGCGCGTACTGTGTCGTTGAGGGCTGTCTGTTAAAAAATCCTGCTTTGCCTTTGGATATTATGAGTTCCCTCGAAGAAGAATGGACTGACCATTGGAGTTCGCTTCGTAGCGGCTGCGGCTAGTGACCGCTGGGGCCAGAGTCTGTTGGCCTTCCTCGGGGGCTTCCTTCTTCCGTGGCTTTGACTTGAATTTCTTGGGGGCCTTGGCGGGGAGGTCTTCGTCGGCTGGTTTTCTTTTGCGAGAGTGCGATTCCCAGTATTCCGTCTTCCGGTCGAGCAGCTGCTGGGCGCGCGGATCCTTGTGTGGTTGCACGACAACCACGTTTGCGGCATGGGAGTTGGTCTTATTGGTGTGCACGACGCCTTCCAATCGCCCGTTGATGCGATTCTTACGGATGTGGACGTTGTAGAGTAGGATGATGTCGTTTTCCTGGACATGTTGACGTGCATAGCCGGCGTGCGGCTCCCACAATGTGACTGCGAGAGACAGCTGACCCGCTGGCCCTGGCCACTTCTTCCGGAATCGTCGCTGGTAGTTGAAGGTGTCCCCTTCGCAGCCTTCACCGTTGTCCTCCCCGGTGTCCGGGGAGTAGTCGTGCAGATCTTTGTTGGACGTGTAGTCCGTCAGGTACAGCAAGGCCTTGTCGCTATCATTGGGGTATATCTTGATCACCTCTCCGACCAAGTCGACAAACGTCATCTCTTCGATATCTTTGATGAGGCAGAACTTCTTGCGGTTGTATGACCTGGAGTTCGGAGCCGAGGCATGCACCACATGGTACGGCGGAGGTCGGGCTTCCACTGAGGCCTTACGGAAGCTATGAATCCCCGCGACCTTGTCCAACAGGTTCACGGCTATCCTCCTCTCGGCCGCATCAGGCTCAAAAGGCTGTGGCCCACAGATGGGCGAGGCTCTAGCCATGGGATTCAGGTCCGCACGGAAAATGGCCCATGGGATGTCCTTATCCTGCGCGGCCACTCCCAGGGTTCCTCCATGCAGTGAGCGAACCTACAGCAATGATTGTGAGTGTCAATTGAGTAAGGAGAAAGAGAGCATTTGAGACCCCCTAGGATCACGAACCCATAAGTTGCGCAGCAGGATGACATCGTGCAATTGCACGGGCGGCAGGGCATCCTCGTTGTCGCGGAAGTATTTGACCTTCAGCCCGTCCCATGTGTGACCGTTTTCCAGGTTTGAGTCCTTGATTGTGAAGGTGATGCAGGTAGAACTGCCCCTGGACTTCCACACGCCAGGCATCACGTCGACCACAACCCCAATGATGTTGACATTGCCAGGCGACGCGAGCGCCTTGGCGACATCCACTAATCTAGGCGTGAAGTTGACCGGCATGTTGACTGGCTTCAGACATATTTAGGTCCCAAAACGTATCTAAGCCATGCCAAAATATAATGATCATGGACTAGATCTCATTGACTGCCTTCAACTCGGTTGCTCGACTACTTATCGTTAGTCTAGTCTGTCAGTTAGATCCTGCTTAGAGCCACGTAATCACCAATAGGTCAATTGGGATCTGCAAGCATTGAGGCTCATTTTGTGACAAAAGTTGTAAAGCAGGAAGCTAGAAAACGACCTGGTGATAACACGCGCGACGCGGTTCCGTGGGTGCTTTTTAATCATGAGCAGTTTGTAAAGGGCATATTATCCAATAGTTGTCGCTTGATCAGCACATGGCTCGCATGGCTTAGATGGTAAAGCGCAGCACTAGTAATGCTGAGATCCTCGGTTCGAGTCCGAGTGTGAGCAAACATTCATTTATTTTTTCCCCCCTCTAGACCGTTTTTATCTTCGGTTTCAGCGTCTTTCATCCTGAAAAGGGTGTTTGTTTTGTCTCAAGCTTTCGACCAATTACTTGCTCCTCTCCGACACAAGCCCCTCGGCGGCAGAGATCGCTTGGGCGGAAGTGGCGCTTGCAGAGGACGGCGGCCGCAAGCAGCAAATCAGCGGCGCATCCCGTGACTGGAAGGCCAATCCCACCTCCCGCAGCATCAACACTTTTTTCCCCTCCTTCGACTTCACTCTTCTTTCTTTGCGCTCCATCTCTTCTTTGCCCAAGGCTCGCTTTCCCTTGGTATCCCTTTGTGTCAAACCATCCCCCACTGGTTACAACTTCATACTCCACTCAAAAATTTACCCGATCCCATCTCCTTTCCCTTCTTTCCCCTCCCCATCCTCGCTCCTAGCTTATCACTCATCTGTGAGCTTTGTTTTCACCCCTCCTGTGTCCTAAGCAACCATGGCCGAACGTTATATCCCCGAGCACCGCCGCACCCAGTTCAAGGCCCGCAACCAATTCAAGCCTGATGAACTCCGTCGTCGTCGTGAGGAGCAGCAGGTCGAAATTCGCAAGCAGAAGAGAGAAGAGAACTTGGCCAAGAGGAGAGGTATCCAGACTCGTGATGGTGGAATCGGCGTAGGTGGCGGTGTTGCCGCTGCTGAGAGTGACGATGAGGCCAGTGCCATCGAGAGCGAGGTAAGCTTTTCTTCCTGATGCTTTGCTTGGCTCCGATCGGTTGTCGCTCCATGTTTTGTCGCTCGCGTGCTTGATCTGCTACAAACGGTGGCGTCGTCGCAGCTTATTTTGTTTCTCCATTATGGAGCAATGAGCTTTTCACCGCTTTGCCCGCAAAGTCGACGCTGAGTCGGATAGAGCGTATCGGCGAACAACAAGACATTCCCCGCTACCGCGTTCAGCTGTGCAATTTTTTTTTTTAAATCATTTGTTCATAATGGCTAACACTTACCGTTATAGCTTAACGTTGAACTCCCGGAGATGGTCAAGGGCGTCTTCTCCGAGCAGATCGACCAGCAGATTCAGGCCACCACCAAGTTCCGGAAGCTGCTTTCCAAGGAGCGCAATCCTCCTATCGAGCGCGTCATTGAGACTGGAGTCGTGAGCCGCTTCGTTGAATTCCTTCGTTCTCCTCACACTCTCGTTCAATTCGAAGCTGCCTGGGCTTTGACCAACATTGCCTCCGGTTCCGCCCAGCAAACTCAGGTGGTCATCGAGGCCGGTGCCGTGCCGATCTTCGTCGAGCTCCTGAGCAGCCCCGAGCCCGACGTGCGCGAGCAAGCCGTCTGGGCCCTCGGTAACATTGCTGGTGACAGCCCTCAATGCCGTGACTTCGTTCTCAATGCTGGTGCTCTCCGTCCCCTCCTGAACCTGATCAACGATGGTCGCAAGCTGAGCATGCTCCGCAATGCCACTTGGACCCTGAGCAACTTCTGCCGTGGAAAGACTCCCCAGCCTGACTGGAACACGGTATGTTCACCTGAAACTAGGTAAAAAAAGAGTTTCGCGCTGACACCCGCATTCCAATAGATCGCCCCCGCTCTTCCCGTTCTTGCCAAGCTTATCTACATGCTTGATGACGAAGTCTTGATTGATGCTTGCTGGGCCATCTCCTATCTGTCTGACGGCGCCAATGACAAGATCCAGGCTGTCATCGAGGCCGGCATTCCCCGCCGTCTCGTTGAGCTTCTCATGCACGCCTCGACCTCTGTTCAGACTCCCGCTCTTCGGTCTGTTGGAAACATTGTGACCGGTGACGATGTTCAGACTCAGGTTATCATCAACTGCGGTGCTCTTCCCGCTCTTCTCTCCCTTCTGAGCTCCACCAAGGATGGTATTCGCAAGGAAGCTTGCTGGACTATCTCCAACATCACCGCTGGCAACTCCACCCAGATCCAGGCTGTTGTCGATGCTGGCATTATTCCTCCTCTCATCAACCTTCTCGCCAACGGTGACTTCAAGACCCGCAAGGAGGCTTGCTGGGCTATTTCCAACGCCACTTCCGGTGGTCTTCAGAAGCCCGAGCAGATCCGTTACCTCGTTACCCAGGGATGCATCAAGCCTTTGTGCGATCTCCTTGCTTGCCCTGACAACAAGATCATCCAGGTTGCCCTGGATGGCCTCGAGAACATCCTCAAGGTTGGTGACATGGACAAGGAGGCTGCGCAGTCTGGTGATGCTCGTGTCAACCGCTACGCCCTGTTCATCGAGGAGGCCGGTGGCATGGAGAAGATCCACGATTGCCAGAACAACGCCAATGAGGAGATCTACATGAAGGCGTACAACATCATTGAGAAGTACTTCTCCGATGAGGACGAGGCTGGTGATATCGATGAGGTCGCTCCTCAGCAAACACAGACCGGATTCGCCCTCGGCACGACGCAACAGCAGCCTGGCGGCTTCAACTTCGCCAACGGTGGTGATTCCATGGACATGTAAAGAACAGACTCTTTTGATGCCTAATCTGAACCTTCAACGATTTGGTGTATTTATGTCAACTCTATGCCTTATCGCTAGATCTGTCACACATGCGCCTTCTGAAGGCTGCGCTGTGAATCCCTCAACCTCCGCATGCGTGAAGGCTCTGGTTTCTTGAGCTTTTGTGGCTGCTCTGGACTCAGGTTCTCTGATGCTAGAGTCTTCAGGGGGATTCACTCGCACCACACCGAATGTCCACTTCTCATTTCACGCTTCCCCCTTCTTCTGCTACTCTCGAGGTTCCGACATCTGCGCCCCCCCTCCACAACCCTCCAACACATTCCAATTTTTGATCAGTTCACGATAAACAAGATTCACCATCATGTAACTCTCCCCCAATTACTCCTCCCCAATTCTCTTTACTATTACCGTAGCATCCCTCATACACCGGCGCACCTGATCTCATTGTCCCCCCTTTTCGGTTTCATGTTCATGTTTCTCCTGGATGGTTTTTCATTTCCCTGCCCTCGGCTCTTGTATCTCGTTTCTTTTGTGGGCCTAGAACGCGGGCGGTTCGTCCGTCTCTGATTTGAACCAAGAGATTGATATATTGCCAGCCGTATACAGCTTTCCCGTGCCTGCGTGACATCTCAGTTGGACTGTAGCCCTGGAATGAGGGATCGGTGGTTCAGCGGTATATCTGTCTTCCGCACAGAGACGATAGCGGGGAAACCCCCCGCGCTCTAGGTCAGAAAATTCAAATTCCTCTTTTTCTCTTAATATGCCACGTTCTCGTAGAGTCAGGTAGCTGGTTTGATTTGCCTTTGTAGCTGTGCAGCATTCTGTCAGTTCTTTAGTAAGAGTTGGGCGCCAACATGAGGCACTGGTTTCGACACATCAAGGAGATGACGACTTTTGGAATAGAGACCACTCACTTACTTGATTTTAATGTTCACCAAACCATGTATACTTCTCGAAAGATGCCCAGCGAGATCAACTCCAGCACTCGACCAACCACAATATACCCAGTCGCTACACACTCACCCAATCACTCAACCGCAGCACACGATCGAACATTGTTACCACCTACAACAACCTCACCTCCTGCAAGTGGAGAAGATGAAAGAGAAAAAAAAATAGTGCAGGAACGGCCACCCACCTTACAGTTACTGTGCTGTAAGCATCTAATAGGGAAGAAAGAAGTAGTAGAAGAAGAAGAAGACAAACGTCAGAGTCAGACATGATATCAAACTACGCTACCGTATCGAACCATACACAGAGAAAGGGAGACAAGACCAGACAATTGTGAAGGTACAGTACAAAAGGAAAAAAAAAACCCGGAGAGATTTTGCCTCTGAACATTGCCTTCCAGACAGAAAGTAAAAAAAAAAAAGGTAGCAGATGAAAATATGAACATACATGAAGGAGAGGGAAAAAGTAAGAACATTAGGAGCGGGGGCAGTTATTCGTAAGGAACACACGATCAATCTCATCTTCAATCACCCATGACTTCGTCCTCATCGTCCGGGTCAGAAGCCGGGTTTGCATCCTCATCGTCGATGTTTGCTTCCTCAACGAGCCCTCGGGCTCGGAGATCGTCTTCGCCGTCTTCGGAGCCGTGCTCGTTTGCTACCTCTTCCTCTTCCTCTTCCTCCTCCTCCTCTTCTTCCTCTACCGCTTGCTCTTCATCGTCGTCTCGTATCCTCTCTGCGGATTTGGCGGTGTTTTTGCTACGCAGTTTATTATCGTTGGTGCTAGTTGAGCCACCGTTGCGGGACTTCTCAGCGGCGGGTCGGGCAGGGGCGGATTGTTTCGCCCTGGACTGCGCGGGCGTGGCTCGTGAAGTAGCGCTCTTAGGCTTGCGGTCCTCAAGGAAGGCCAGGACCTCGCGGTAATTTCGGCCTAGCTTGGCCTTATGGTGAAGGAGTCGCTTCCGTAATTGTCCCTGATCCGAGCCAGATGCGTCAAGAATGCGGCCTACAATTGCAAGGACGATCTTTCCGGTCAGCTCGCACAGCCGCTGCTCGGCCAGGATGCTCAATCGGAGACGCTCATCGTCAAGAGGTTGATCGGCGTCCTCCTCCTCTTCCTCCTCCTCATCCTCGTCTACCGGTGCTCTCTGAATATCATCATCGGACAAAGGCTCGTCATCATCGGCGGGTTCGAGCATCACGCGGATTTTCCGGGCATAAGTCCGTTCCGCGATTCCGTGGATCCTGGTGATCAAGGCTTTGGGCTCGGCCCCGATTTCGTGGACTAAGCTTTGCGTCTGGAAGATGGTGTCTTCATCGTTGCCTACGCCTAGCCCAGCATGGCGGAGGGTGCCGAATAAGGTCTGGAGGTCTAACAGGGTCGTGGCTGCGCAGAAGCGGATCTCGTCTAGACCCGAGCGACGCTTCATGATAGCAGTCAACGCTGCAACGAACATCTCACGGCCCTTGGTCAAGGCCTCGAAGAACGCGGTGTTGAAGGCTGCCTTGCCGGCATTGAGAGTCGAAACCAATGAGTGGACTTTCCACATGAAGTAGAAAAGTAGCGTCCTAATAGAGTTGACCACCAATTCCGTTTCCGCCTTGGCCAGTTCTTCGTCATCTTCCTCTGCACGAAGACCACGTTCGACAAGGTGCAGAAAGGTATTGAACGGAGCCTCCGCAAAGTCTTTACTCTTTCCCCTGGCCCGGGTGGATGGCATCGTTTCCAGAACGTGAGTGCAGTCAATGATGCTGGCCAGATTGGAGATTCTGGTTACTGTATTGATCAATTCGTTGAGAGTGGCCGGAGCTATCGAGCTGCCCTCCGCAAGTTCCTCCTTCCGAGACAATGTACTCAGAGTGTCGATCATATTGTCCCATAGTTCCTGGACTTTGCCCTCCAAAGCCTCCCGCATGTCATCAGAACTTTTAGCGTGCAAGAATGCGATGCTGGCTTCAGCCAGAACATCCCGATCCGAGTGAGTGAGAAACTGCTTGTTGATGTCATTTAACAAGGAGGTATACGCTGCTGCATCTTTTTGAATGTCTTCAATCTTGCCAAGATCAACCAGATGCTCGAGTCTAAGGACAGCAGTGGCAGCCTCTGGTACCGAGCCGAACTTATTCAGAAGTTGTGGAATAATCTGTGCCAGGCTGTGCGCAATCTCTTCCTGCAACTCTGGGATCTTATCGGTCAGTGCCTTGACTTTTCGGCCTCGTTTGTCAATGTCAGATTTGGCGATATCAAGAACGCGCAGCTTCACAGCACTGCATAGGACCTCAAGGAGAATCACTTCCTGGCCTTCTTGCATCTTGTAAGCTTGTCGGACCGAGGCGGCGGTGTCATCCTCTGCGGCTTCGTCGGGAATTTGAGAATGATCGTAAAGGAGATACCCAGCTAGAGACTGCCACTGAGAGAGGTCACTACAGTGGGGATAGATGGCCTCTGTAGCTAAAACGAATCGGGTTTCCATTGAGGCGCCCAGGAGGGCGTCGCGTGGTGGGGTTGAAGGCTCCTCTCGATGTTCTTCGGTCTCCAGGTTGTCGTAAGCTTGAAGGATGTCGGCCAGGCACTTGTACTTGATCCAAGAACGCTTTGGTGATTCAAAGTCATCCTCATCTTCGTCGCCAAATAGTTCGTTCGCTTCTTCGCCGAGTTCCTCCAGAGTAGAGTCAAACACGTCTTCAACATTGGCAACGAAGAACCGGCCAGCTGCTTTACGCACGCGCGCCTCGTTATCAAAAACCAGTTTACCAACAGTGTCGATATCGGCCGGCTCGATCAACCCGATCTCGCGGGCGAGGTCGAGTAGCTCAATAACGGCGGCACGCACTGTGACTTCTGCATCGTGAGCGGCCATCTCGACCAACCGTTGCCGGGAACTTTGGTTGAATCCTCGTACCCCCGCAACATTGTCTTTGTTCCCATAGATATCGCGCAATTGATTGACGGCGGCGAGGCGTGCCTGAGGAGAGTCGTCGGCGAGAATCCAGCCAAAATAATGGAGAAATTGAGTTTCGAAGAAATATTCACGATATGTGCGTATCCACCGTCCTAGAGAAATCATGCATAAGGTGCGAATGTGGGGGTCAACATCCCGGTACCGATGCACAAAGATGATATTAAACCAATCTTTCAGAGCATCATCGATCAACTCGATCTTCTGTTCGTTGTCTTCTATAGCTGACGCGATAGCGTCGGCTCTTCCCTTGTTCACCGTCTTCTTCTTCTTTTCACTTTCGAGTTGCTTGCGAGATGTTGAGACCAAAGTCGTGAGCTCCCGGGCGAGATCACAGAAGGCGTTCATGATTGCCATGGATATGACGACTGCCGTGTGTCTGAATGGTCGGCATCGGCTCGTGGAGAATCCGGCAATCCAGACAAGCAGATTTTCAAACAAGTTCGGGTCGGTATACAGGACAGAAGAGTGATGCAGGGTCTGGGTCAGGGCCATGAAGAAGCTTTCGAGGACGGGTTGAAAAGACCTCAATTTCCGGGATTTCGATATAAGGGGATACTCCGAGATTCCCACCGCATCGTACCGAGTCGCCAAGTCTGCGATCCGAGTCGGGGCGTTGTCCACGTCCTCAATGTCGAGAGTATCAACATCAAGGTCGGTTCCGGAGCACCTGAGCATCATGTTAACTAGGTCAGTCAAGGCCTCCGACTGATCCTCTTGGTATGAGGTAAGCCACTCCGCTGCGACCGTTTCCACATCACGGCCCTTTCCGAAGATCTCCGCTATGCAACGACCGTGTCAGCCAAGCATCGACAGCCCGACAATTAGGACATTGAACCGCTTACCGTAAAGACCGCCTTGCCGAGCGGCCATGGTTAACCGCGCCTTCATCTGCTTGGGCCGCGGCCGTTTGCCGTTCGCTGCCGGTCGCAAGGCCAGCTGACGGCCAATGCCATTGCCAGCAGTAGCAGCGACCTTGGGTTTCTTGGCGGATCGCGCCGAGTGAGATTTGGTCGACTTCGAGCGTGACGCACCAGACGTCTGCTTTTTCGTGGACGCCTTGCGCGCGGCGCGCCTCTTCTCTCTGATTTCTTCCTCGTCAGGCTCTTCATCGGGGGAGTCGATGTCGTCGGATTCTGACGCATGGTCGTCGCTCTGCTCGCCTTCTTCGTCCTCATCGTTACTGTCGCCGGTCGCGGTCCGCTTGCGTTTAGCCCCACTGGTCGTCGCACCATTGCTGGCGCTGTAGCTTTGTGAGTAGAGTTCAGGTCTGCGCGTTACGCGGCCAGATTTTCTCCGATCGGTTGAGGGGGAGGCATCGCTCTGGGTGGCCAAACCAGGCTGGGGCGTAGAGAGGGGCGACTCGGTCTCCATTCTTGTCGGGACTCGAGATTAATTCACTGTAGTTGGAGCACACGCATTGTCAGTTGAGGTGGAGGTAAATAGGCCCCGCGAAGTTGTGGATTTGGCGCAAGGTAGTTGAGCGTACTGGAATGTTGAGTGGAAGGATGCTCGATCGGCACGGAATTGGGGAACGCGATGTTGGGCTTCTGCACCGGGATTGCGCGCGCGTGTATGTTTTGGCACCTTCGGGTTGGGCGGGCCGGTGGAAACAGTAATGCAGGAGAAGTTGGGGAGTGATTTAAGTGGGAGACTGGCGGAGGATAAATAAGATGAAGCAGGGGGGGAGGGGTAGGGGAAGAGTGATGTGATGGTCACTAATGTTGAATAACAATCAATGGACTGAGTTGAAACAGACGACGAAGACGCGCTTGATCTGGCAAGGATGGAGGGAGGGTGGGTGCCTGACAGATGCCTGAGGCTTATATCTGGTGCTCAAGGCGGAGACAAAGGGCAGAATCTCAAAAAGGCAAATGTGGAGGTTGGGGATATTTTATGCCGTAATGAAAACAGGGGCTCTGCCTCACAGGCTCCATTTTATTTTGTTGGCTTCGGTTCTGGTTCTGGAGAGCCAAGAAGAATTCCAGACGGTGGCTTCATTCACGGGATCAATTTCAATCAATTTCAGTCACTCCATGTCAATCCAACCCCGCTTCTGCTGAAGGATTTGCAGTCTTCAACCGTCCCTAAACTGGAGCTGTGCTGGATCTACAGCATCTCTTTCGTCAACAAAGGCTCTCCAGCTCCATTTCCACCGGAATAGTTACAAAAACACTGCAGGGCCAAGGGAAATAGGACCAACTCAACGTCGCATGACGCCAACCCCCTCCCCTTGGTCGTGTGGATTTGCTTTTTGAGATTGATCCAAATATAAAACCCAATTGCTCGGGGGAAGAGAAAAGAGAGAGACCATGCTGTTAAAGCCTGACGGATCGACGACCTTCTCTTTTCTTTCCTCTGTTCTCCATTAATCTTCACTTTTCTAGCCCTTCTTCCCGCTTTCCCCTTCCCCGGAAGCTTCCCCGCAAAAAAGAAAAAAAAAAGAACAATCCAAGAAGACACATTCTTTCTCTGAAACATCCTTCCCCCCCCCCCCCGCGCTGCCACTGCCGCTGCCGCCGCACCAACCCCCCCCCCACTGCCCACAACTGCCACACCATCATGCCAATAAAATCCCCCTTTGAGTCTTCGATAGCGAAGCCAGGGGAGGGCAAAGTTGTCCTCTCTCTGCTGCCCCCCTCCAATCCGACCTTGACGACGCTGACCTACAAATACCCTCTCAAACTGCTCACCCGCACGCCGGGCTTCGTCCCCAAATCCTCCGCCCTGACCTGCCCCTCGCAACCGGTGCACCTCTACCTCCTGACCTACGGCGGCGGGCTCTTGCCCGGGGACAAGATCAATGTCTCGATCACGCTCGAGCCGCGGACTCGCATGGTTGTGACCACTCCGCAAGGCAGCACCAAGATCTTCAAGACGGAGCCCAACGCCAGCGTCAAGGGTCAGCGCGGCACGCCCAAGCCCCTCCTCTCCGACAAGAGCAGTCAAACGCTCAACGTGCACGTTGGCCAGGAGGCTGCGCTCTGTTACCTCCCGGACCCCGCCGTGCCCTACCAGGACAGCCGCTACGAACAGGTGCAGACCTTTACCGTGGAGGGCTCCACCTCCAGCAACGACAACCCGCGCCGCAGCAGCCTCTGCATTCTCGACTGGGTAACGCAGGGCCGCGCCTCCCGCGGCGAGGCGTGGGACTTTCACCTCTGGCGCGGCAAGAACGAGGTGTGGACCACCACCGAGGAGTCGGGCAAGAGGAAGCTCCTGCTCCGCGACTCGCTCATCCTCGACCGGGAGCTGGACGAGGCCCAGCTGGAACGAGGAGACCCCGAGCTGTTGAAGCACACGAATGTGATCCGAGAACGGACGCATCCCCACGGCGTCGTCGGGACGTTGATCCTCTACGGCCCGGTGTTCGAGCGCCTGGCCACCTTCTTCATGGACCGATTCACCTCCCTGCCGCGCATTGGAGCCCGCAATTGGTCCTCCTCGCCTGCGGTAGCTAGCGGTTCCGCCGCCACAGAACCCACGCCCAACTTCGACGCCCAGGTGACTTTCACGGCGGCCCGGGTCCGCGCGGGCTTCGTGCTGGTCAAATTCGGCGCCCCGGACTTCGCCGCCGCCAAGGACTGGCTCGGGGCCATTCTGAGGGACGAAGGGTCCGTCTACGCGGAATTTGGCGAGGAGGCATTATTCTGCTTATGAGTCTTCTTCTATTGTGTTTTTCTTTTTTCTTTCATTCAAAAGCGTTTTTGTTCTTTGTGTCTGATTCACCCAATGACCCACCAAGTGGGTCAAATGATACCCAGATTGTTGTTACCTTGGGAACATAAACAAGGTTTCTCAGCAGCTAAGCGCGAGTTCAAGCCCGGAATTCGCTAACTGCTACAAATGACACTTGATCAAGTCTCTCCGTTTAGTTCTCTGTCTAAGTTCTGGTGTCTAGCGATCTAAAACAAGCATCCAAGTAGTCTAAGTCTCCGTCCCCTCTCGGCAGGGAATCCACGCGTAAATAAGCCCGAGGATATCCATAATCGACTGTAGTCCTTTTCCGCGGAAGCATCAACAACTGCAAATGCGCCCACCAAACCAACCGAGATCAGAAAAAAAGGGCTCATTGCCATCAAAGATAGGGTATCACTGAAGGAGATCTTCATCCCAAAAACACAAACAAAAGAAAAAGGAAGCAAAGAATAAGCCAAGCCAAACTCAACGCCGTTGCCAAGATCCGAGCCAAACTGCACAGAATGTTTTCCTTCTCCCTGTCTTCTCCCCACTCATTTCTGCATAATAACTATCTAGTCACTTACCTAGCCAGGTAGAGAGAAAAAAAGAAAATTTCTAGCTCGTCATTTTCAGAATCTCAAGACAAAAGAAATCAAAATCAAGCGAGGAGCTAACTCCACAAATCCGACAACTTGGGTCTCCAATCCTGCCTCGTCGCGCTCTGCAGGTCATCGACGTTGAGGATATCCACGCCCTCCTGCACCAGCACGGCCCAGAGGTGGTTCCGGAGACTGCGCGGCCAGCTCGGCACGCCCCAGTAGCGGACCTTGAGGCCGCGGCGGTGGGCAGCGCGGATCTGCGCACGGATCTTGTCGACCTGCTGGGCCGAGAGCCGGAAGCCTCGGGGGTAGCCGATGGATTTCTTGAAGGAGACGGAGGCGTAGTAGCTGTTGGTCTGGTCGAAGGATTCGGACTGCGGGGTGACGCCCGAGAGGCCTTGGCCGATGTTTGCGGCGGGTGGCGGCGGCGGCCGGGTCCGGTCGCTGTCCTCTTCGGTGGTGGTGGTGGTGCTCAGGGTTTGGGGTAGTTGGTCGCGCGATTGCTCGCTGGTGGAGGAGGGGCTGCTTGGGTCCGTGTCTCTGCTGTCCTCCTCCTCCTCCGGGAGTAGATTGAGAGGGGCATCGAAGAAGATATCGCGGTAGGTGGTGTTGGCGGTGACGAGACTGAAGGGGGTGTTGCCGGTGCCGACGACGGTGATCGGGCCGGGGATGAGGTCGGTGCCGTTGAAGTAGGTGAGGTAGCCGCGCTCCCGGAGTGGGGTCAATTGTGCAGCAATTCGGTTCCAGGTGTCCTGGCCATCAGTCTTGATGTCGATTAACAGCGTCAGGCTCTGGGCGGGATCGGTGTCGAAGACGCCTTGAAGGGGACGGTGGAGTTGCGGGTGGAAATCGGTGAGCGGGTTCTGCTGTTCGAGGATGCGAAGGAGGGGATCGATGTATAGCGTGCGCAGGGTGCGCTTCGGGGTCAAGGCGGAGGTGGTGTGGCCCACGTAGAGCTCCTCGTCGAACAGCCAGACGTCTGCCTCGACTCCAATGCAGCCGGCCTGGAGGGCGGAGAACAATGGGACCGGACGCCAGTAGTCGTTGTGCGAGTGGCAGGCCACGGGAATGATGTCTCGCGAGGCATCGGTGGGCCAGTGGGAGAGATCGATGGCAGCATTTGTCCGACTTGACTGCCACCACTCGGCTAGACTGTCCAGCTCGCTGGGAAAGAATGCGATGACTATGCCGCAGACGATGGAGATGAATTGCACAATGCCGCTGTGGGGTTGGGTGAGTAGGGTGATCTTGTTTGGCATTGACATCTCTGAGACTTACAGCATGATCAAGAATCCGGCGACGGGATAGAGCAGCCAGCGACGCAGCAGTCTGGATTTGGGGGATCTGGGAGATTTGCGGTAAAGAGTGGAGGAAGACGAAGCGGCGGAGGAAGAAGAGGAGCCAAGCAAAGGACGAGCGGCCTCGGCCCGCTGTTTATCGCTGGGCGAAACCATCACGGCGGCGATAAGACCCAGTCCCCGTCTCCACCACGAGGGTCGACGATCTTTGCGATGAAACCCCGGGGATCGCTCCAGGTCGGCCTCGGAATCGAACTCGCTGACTATGATGCTGGGACTCTTGGTGTCGCCGTGGAGGTCTCTGGCCCAGGGCTGGTGGTTCATCGAGGAAAGACACTCGGTGGAGGGCGACAGGGGCGGCGAGGAACAGAAAGAATGCGGGGAAGATGCGGACAGCGAAGATGCCATGGCAGGTCCGTTGTGTGTGTATCGACAGCGATACACGAAGAGAGTTGAGGTAAGGGATGCTGTAGATGTTTCTCCTGTCTTATCCTAAGAATGTTGTCAAAGTTGAAGTTGTGGTGGACAGGGAAGGAGGGGAGGAGTAGTTGCAGTCGTTTGAAGTAGTCAAAGAAGGTACAGTAACCACCGGAGTGAATCAATGTAAGCGTAGGTGTAGGTGAAGAGAAACCTCAAATCAAGAGTCTCTCCATGACCGCCTGTTGCAACAGCAGCCGATCATTGATGTCTGTCTTTTAAAGTGAAGTCCTTCACGGCTAAATCGGACAGGGCCATGTGCGGCGAGCGAGGCTGTCATTGGAGGAAGTGACCAAACTCTGATTTACTCGATCACAGGGAGCTGAGAGGATCATGAAAAGATGGGCGAGAATGAATATCTGCTGCCTACACTACTACAAATTTGAGAATAGACGCCATTAATTCGCTCACCGGAACAGAAACAACTTCCAAATGGCCCCCTCTCTCTGTCTCTGGCTCCTGTTGCGCCACTGCAGACTCTCCCAGTCACTCGTGGATCCCTCGGGCAATATTACCCTCGTACCCCCTCTCCTTCCCGAATGTGGAAAAGATGAAAAAAAAAAAAAAAAAAAAAAAAAAAAAAAAAAAAAAAAAAAAAAAAAAAAAAAAAAAAAAAATCAGGCATCGCGTCGTGTCGATTGGTTCGTCTCACTTGGGATGGCACGAGGTGCTTGATTTGACCCGCTCTGTGGCAAAATATTCACCGCTATCTTTGCCCAAAAAAAAAAAAAAAAAAAAAAAAAAAAAAAAAAAAAGAAAAAGGAAGAGAAAAGAAGACCATCATATGAAGCCAGCCTTAAAAGAGTCTGGATCGGGGAATTTCGTACATAACAGAGTATACGCTGTATGGAGTACGGGATGCTGACAGGGTCTTCCCCCCCCAGGACCCTTCTTTGGTTCTCACCAGTACTCGTCAAGGTAGTTATTGCTGCCTATTCACTACTAACAGTATCTTATCTGGTTTGGGTTAGATTAACCGGGCCAACCACTCACTTCTTCACAGCGGATTCCTTCTGGGTCTCTCCCCCTTGCATGCATCCCAACCCTACCCCCCCCAAACACAACAAGCCTTCTTTGCAAGGATCCTTTTCAGATGGTTATTTCCGTCGGGCTATCCGATTTGAGGAATTCGGAAAGCTCAAACAAGTAGGGCTGTGGCTTGCCCCCACACTTGCGCGAAATACTAGGTAGTATATGAGATCTCTGTAGAAACCGTACGAGCAACCGATCGTTGGTAGACCTGAGTCTAACTAGCAGATCCTCCGGAGTACTAAGCGCTAGCTCTGGTGTTACAAGAATTGAGGAGCCTGGAAGGGTTGCATCGAGACCATTATCCTCCGTCTGACCAGGTGGATCGGTACAGAGTACAGACTGGTAAGTCTTGTCCAACGGATTGAAAACCGAGACAGCGGTAAAGAGATCTGTTCTACGCCTGAGAAGTGGTCTGCATCTGTTCTCAACTGTCTTTCAACAGAAGAAAAAAAAACCAGTTGCCGCATTAGGCAAACATGAGGCTTTACCGGGTGATGGATATAGACCGGGATCGAGACCGGAGTCAGGTCTGATCAGCATCGGGTTTGTTCAACTCCAGCCATCCCGAGCCACCCAATTTCTTCTTCGCCCTCGAACCCAGCACCTGCCAGTCATTGTAATTGAAGCAAGCGACCTTAGGTAAAATGCTACAATTGGGACACTTAGTTGCTGTACACAAACCAGTAGTCCAGCGGCTGCCGATCTTATCGCAGCCGCGGCGATAAGATACGCCGCCGCGCGCGGGCCTTCTTCCCCTTCCGCAAGGGAAAAAAAAAAGATTTCATCACCTCAGTTAGGCTTGCTCCTTCTCCGCCAGCACCAAAGTTTCCAAACAAACACCTCCCCTTTATAATTCATTCTCTGCAGGGACTGATCAATCCCCATACCCAAAATGCCGCACAAACATAAACGCAGACAAAAAGACTCCGAGTAAGTTCTACCACCCAATCCCCAAAACCTACCCCTACTGATCGCAAAACCCACTCTCCATTCCCCCATCCCACAAGTCAAAAGTTACAAGTCAAAAGCCACCTCCCTCACTCCCCCAACAAACTAACCACCTTGAATAGCGCATACGATCTCCCTCCCAACCGAATCGCCAAACCCCTCCCCGTCCGCGACCCCTTAACAGCCAACACGCCCAAACCCAAAGGCGGGCCGAAAAACCACAACCGAAAGAAACCCACCGGCACCGCGCGCAAGGAAAACCCGCAGACCAAGCAGCCGAAACCAAGCCCAAAAGATGCCGCCGCCGCGGCCGCAGCCAACTCGCGTCCGAAATCCGCGTTTGATGATGATGATACCCCGCGCGCGTTTCGGTGGTTGATGCAGCGGCAGCAATCTCAGTCCCTGTCCCAGGGGAGGAAGAAGAATGAGGGGAGTGGTGATGAGGGGGGTAGTGATGACGACGGTGTCACGAGTAGGAGTAATAAGAAGCGCAAGCGGGGTGGGGTGGAGGCGGGGGAGGGTCCTCAAAAGAAGCAGCAGAAGCAGCAGCAGCAGCAGCAGCAGAAGCAGAAGCAGAAGAAGGGGGGGATGGATACGGCAACGAAACAGTCCAACGATGATGCCACAAACACAACAACGGCACCCCTCAAGATTCTACCCGGCGAGAAGCTCTCCGACTTCGCCGCCCGCGTGAACAGGGAAATGCCCCTCGCCACCATGAACCGCTCCAGCAGGCCCGCGGCCGCCGAGCTGGCCAAGATTCGCGAGCATAAGGTCACGAAGCACGAGAAGCATCTGCTGCGGCTGCAGGCGATGTGGCGCAAGGAGGAGGCGGAGATCCTGGAGAAGGAGGCGGCGCAGCGCGAGGAGCGCGAGGAGGAGATGGAGGAGCAGCTGCAGTTGTGGAAGACCTGGGAGGCCGAGGCGGGCCAGCGCAAGGCCAAGAAGAAGGGGTCCGGCACCAAGAAAAAGGGGAAGCAGGCCGGGACCGAGAGCACAGTGGATGATGATCCGGACCCGTGGGCCAAGCTAAACAAGCGCGATCGCGTCAATAAACAGCTCAATCCCTTGGATGTCGTGCAGGCGCCGCCCCAGTTGACCAAGCCCAGAGAGGTCTTCAAGATCCGCGGTGGCGCCAAGGTCGACGTCGCCAATGTGCCTGCTGCGGTGGGAAGTTTGAGGCGCCGTGAGGAGTTGGCTACGGAGAGACGGAATATCGTCGAGGAGTATAGACGGTTGATGGCGGAGAAGAGAAAGGCGGCCTAGTCGCGTTTTTTTTCCGATCCAAGGCTGCTGAATTGAGAATTGTGAAATAGAAACGATATCCTTATTGCGAAATGCTTTTTGTGTATATACAAAAGAATCCTCCAATGTCCTGTAACCCCGATGGGACATCCAGCTTGCATCTATCAGCTTACTCCTGCTGTTGCACCGACTTGATATAGTCTGCGGCCTTGGCCTTGACCTCCTCGACCATCTTCTCGTTACCCAGCTTCTCCTCGAAGGCAAGCCACTTCTTGAAGAAGAAGCGCGCCTGCTTCGGGCGGACCTTCTTGCTGGCCTCGACGGCCGGGCCCCCCTTCTTGTTATCGCGGATTCCAAGCACCCGCTCGAACAACCGGCGCACCTGCTCAGCGTCGCCATTCTTGATCTCCAGATCCAACAGGATATTCCACAAGTCGATCCGCTTGGGGAACGAGGACAAGAGGCCCTCAAACACGGTGCGTCCGCGCTCGACGTCGCCGTTCTCAGAGCGGAACTCGATCTGAGCGAACTTCGAGGTGGTCTCCACGTGGGTGTGAGAGGGTAGCGACTGGAGGGCGCGAGGAAGCAAAGCGCGACCCCGCTCAGGATCAGCCATGGTATCGAACAGGAAGCTGGCGTAGTTGACAAAGAACTTCGATGACTGGAAGATCTTCTTCTTGAGGGCGGTCTGGAAGAGCTCATCTGCTTTCTGTAGCAACAAAAATCCGTTAGCAATCGTGGTGCCCACAGTCGCCTTCCAAGGATACTAACCTCGTTCTTGCCAGACTGGATGTAAATGCTAATCATCCGTTCGTAGACCTCCTGGGTGTCATTGTACTGGCACGCGCGCTTGAAAACCTCCTCCAATGAGTCGTCGGAGCCGTAGGTGTTCTCCATATTGAGCATGGCAACCCAGATGTTCAACTTCTCAGCATCTTGCCCGATAGTGATGGTACGCAGGGCACGCTCAGCGATCTCCTTAGCCTTCTCGACTTCACCCAGTTCCAACTGGAAAGCCATGTATTGCAGCCAAAGCACTGACGAATCAGGCTCACCAAGGAGCAGTCGCTCGTAGTCAGCCACTGTCTGCGGTCCATTGGCATCCAAGTCGCCAGTCCGGTCGACCTGGATTTCAGGCTTGCGGTTCTTTTTCTTCTTCGGGCGAGACTCCGCGTCCGAGTCGGAATCGGACTCTGCCACCACCTCAGGGTCCTTGGAGTTGCCGCTCCAATCGAAGGCGCTTGCACCCAGTCCTCCTTGTCGAGTGGTTGGTGCCTCATCCATAGACTCATCCTCGCTCTCACTCTCACTGTCCGCATCAACTTCGACGCCACCCATGGACACATCGCTATCCTCATCGCTGTCCTCGACGTCAACTCCACCGAAGCCATCAAGGCTGACGCCTTCCGACTCGGCTCCATCCTCGTCGCTGTCCTCATCTTCATCCTCGTCCTCATCGTTGAAATGAGAAGCCTTGAGACTGAACGAGATCTTCTCTTGCTCACGGTCGATCTTCAAGATGACGGCCTTGACAGCATCACCCTCCTCGTAGAGAGTACGTGCATCGTCCACACGATTTTCGGACATCTCACTGCGGTGGCAAAGACCACTAATGTTGGCGGAACCGTCAACTACAATGAAGGCACCGAAATCTTGCACCTTGCGGATCTTTCCAGTAATGACCTGGCCAGGCTTGAGATCGTGGAGCGTGAGTGGAGCCTTGTAGTTCGGGTCCAGAACGGACTCTTTCAAGCTCATCTGCAGTTTGCCTTGCTCGGCGTCGGCCACGGTAACGCGGCCCTTGACAAGCTGGTCGTTCTGGAAGGAATCCTTCCATTCCTTGAGGTAGGAATCAGAGAGATCCGAGACACGAACATAGGCAGTGACATTATGGCCCACAGTCACGAAAAGACCATTGTCGGCAACTCTGCGGATGAAACCACGGATGACATCGTTGACCGCGACGTCTTTGATCGAGGTGATCTCCTTGTCCTGTACGGGCAGGGACGAGCTCAAAACCTTCGACGGACGGGTGGAAAGGAAGATCTTCTTCTTGTCTTTATCGACACTCATAACATAGGCACGAAGAACTTCATTCTTCTGGTAGACCGTAGGATTAGCTTTCGTGTAGTCATCGGCCATGTCAATCAAGTCCAGTGCACCGACGATGGAGTCACTGAGCTGCAGAATGACCTGTCTCTCGGTGACCTTGGTCACTCTGCCGGGCAGGATCATGCCGACCGAGATGTCATCGAATGAGAGTTTGTCCGAGCGTTGTCTAGCGGAAAGGTCGAGACGACCCTTCTCAGCGTCAACCGCCGTGACATGAACCTTCATGGCAGATCCAACAGGGTAACGCTTCTCCACATCGGCCAAAAGAGAAAGATCATCCGAAGCATCCATGAGGCGCAGTCTTCCACGAACATTGGGAGACAAGTTGATCCAGAGGCAGTTGTCGGAGATATTGTTGACAAAGCCTACCCAGGACGAGCCGGTCTGGACCTGCTCCAGATTCAGCGGGCTGGGGCTGCTGGCCTTCAAAAAGCTCGGCTTGACAGAAAGTTCGAAAACGGGGTGCTTGCCGTTACGGTGGCTGATGGGAAGGAATTTGTGGTTGCGAGCATCATGGACGCCCAAAATTCGGGCTTCAATCTCCTGCTTAGGACGGAAAAGACGAAGGGGTTGCTTGCGATCGCTGATGTCCTCCCACTTATCGAACACTTCGGAGACGTCGATCCGACCCTGAATGTTGTCGGCGAGCTGGACGTTGACTTGAGTTGCGCGAACCGAAACAACTTTGCACTTGACGGTTCTTCCAAAGGTGAAATCGGACATCGAGGTTATGCTCTCGTCGATAGGATTGGCGACTGCATCATTAGTAGGAGTGGGCTTGGCAACGGGCTTCTTCGGACCGGCGCGAGTCGCCTCACTGGGCTTCATGCTCAAGATGAAACGCCTGAAATCGGTGTCGAGTGAGTGAACCGTGGCAGTAACAACCTGTGACCTGACCATATCGTAGTCGGGCTTGTTGATGTTCTCATCTGCGATAAGGCGCCTGGGAACGAGTCCAATCAGTCCACCCAAGAATTCAACAAACAATCCAGTCTGAGTGATGTTGCGCACAAAACCAGTGACGTCGGCGCCCTCTTTGAGATCCTCAAAGGATCCAGGCATGGCGCTTTGCTTAGCGGCCTTCTTAAGGGACTGTCTGCCGGAAACTTTGATGAGCCTGTGTGCCCGCTGGATGTTGAGAACAAGGAGCTCGTTGAGCTTCTGGCCGACACGGATCTTAGAAAGAGTCGAAGCCTGCTTGGAGGGAGAGCCGTCAATGACATGCTCAAGGTTGAGTCGGGCCACGAGGCCGTACTCGTCTAGCTTCAGGAGTACATCGTCACTGGACTTCTCGAACACAGTACCCGAAACGAGTAAGCCAGGATGAATCTTCTCGAAAGCCTCCTTGTAGGTTTCGGTGACAGTCGAGGGATCTTTGCAAGAAACCACAAGCTTTTCATTCGAGGCATCCACACTGAGGGCATGCACATTCACGACTTGACCTTGCCTGAAATGCAGGGAAGGATCCTTGATGTAAGCCTCACTCATCTCTGAGACGGGAAGGAAACCGCGGATGGAACCATAGAACTGAACCACTGCACCATGAGGCTTAAGACTGACGATGGTACCTGGGGACTGGGATCCGGCGGTGATGTCCTGGTAATCCTTCCAGATAGCAGATTCACTGTGCAACAGACTCTTCTTCAAAGTCAGTCGGATCTGGCGCTTTTCCAGGTTGACCGAGAGGATCCTTGCTGAGACGGTCATACCCTCACGGAACTTCTTTTCCGGGAATTGAAGAAGGGTGTCAGCAAAGTGCATCGAAGGCACAAGACCAGTGATTCCATCAGCAAGAACAACAATAAGACCATCGATGCCGTTTGCTCCGATCAGAAGCTTGTCAATTGTTCCTTTAACAACCGCTCCCACGGTCACATCCTCGAGCCGAAGGAATGGCTGATCGATAATCTTCCTCTCGAAAGACAAGAGGTAAAGGTTGTCAATGTGGCTGTAGCCAACGACTCGGGCTTCGTGTACGGTGTTCAAGCTGAAGGGACCATGCTCAGGCGAGATGTTTTCCACTTGGCCATCAGCCAGTCTGGAGACGTGAACGAAACCGATATGCTTCGTAGACCCGATTTGGACGTAGACGCCCATTCCCGGATCAACTTGAATAACCTTAGCCTCGGGCAGAATGGCAGAGATGGCGGGTGCATCGTTAGCGGACCCTGGTCCCTGGCTGTCCGATGCGAACTTGGCGACATGGTCGAGCAATGTGAATCCGACCTTAAAAGGCTCAGAGGAGGGGAAGGTACAGACCAAGCGAGCCTTGATCTTTGCTCCCGTTTGATACTTCTTGACCAGGTCTTCCTTTCCTGCATTCGCCCCAGACTGAACGAAGTCCACCGTCGCGTCCAACATGCCCATGATCTTTCCAACCATTCCAGTCGATGTCACCTCCGTCAAGAGGATTTCTGCGGCAGTACCGGGGAGAAATGAGTTAATCGTGGGGGCGTTGGTGAGGTAGTGCGACTTCTTGATGGAGCCAGTGGTCTGAAGATTAGCCGACAACTTGATGACGCTGCCGTTAGCGTTCTGACCCGTCACCATACACAAGAAGACCGAGCCTTCTTTGATAGTAGAGATATCCGTCTTGGGGTCAATTTCCTTCGAGGACATGAATCCCCTGACCTCAGCACCCTCGATACCCAGATCCATAACCAGACCGTGATCTTCCACGCTGACAACGGAAGCTTGAACTGCGGTATTGGCGATGAGATCCGATTTCGAGAGACCTGCGTTTGCCTGTCGTGGGTCGACGGAAAGCTCTATGCGACGCCTATTCTTGGCACTGGCGTCGGCCGCATTACTTCCAACAGAGACAACGTTTGCCCGCAGATATTGTCCCAGGTAAAAGTATTTGTGAAGATCCAGGGATTTGCCCTCCTCGTCCTCCTCATCCTCTTCATCCTCCTTGTCGCTATCGTCCTCCTTAAGGAGTTTCTCAATTTTCTCGTCCAGAACCCGCGACACTGAGGTTAGGGGCACATAACCGGTAAGGTTATTGGGCAACGAAATACCGATGTTGTGAACGCTGATACTCGAAACTTGACCGAGGACCATACTACCGGGTACAAGTCGCTGCTTTTGTGAGCGAACAAGTTTCATAGGCTAACGACAATACTTGCTTACCTTGAAGTTGAGACCCTCAATCCGAATACCTTTCTCGTTCGCATCCTTCTCTTGCTTCTTTCCCTTCACCTTCTTCTTTCGAGACTTCTGAGTGGCGGTCGCAGTAGTCTCACCGGCATCTTCCATATCCGTATCCTGCTCAAATTCGTCATCGTCAAATTTTCTTGAAGAAGGCTTGGACCCCTTCTGCTCGAAGAGGACGTCTTTCGTGGCTTGGATCTGGATTTGCTTTCGTTCCAGAGGCGTCAGCACGCTGCCACCACCACGAGGGAAGGATGGCTCGTCGTCGCGCAGCACTGAGAGCTCGGAGGCTTTTGGCGCATCCGAGGCATTTTTCTGTTTCTTTTCTGCGTTGCGATCCTCTGCGCCCACTCTGACGCGCTTCTGAGGTTGACGGGTAGATACCTCCTCAGCGGCATTACCCTTGCGCTTAATGGGAGCCATAATGAATTTGAAAATGAAGGAAAAGGACTGAATGAGCTGCTCCAAAGCTCCCAGTCCAAATAGTTTGACCGGCGGACTTGCAGACGAAAAATTAAAAATTTTGGACGGAAAAGCCGATGATGGGGAACACCGCCTGCCATATCGGGACCGACCTCCCACCCCATTAGGGATGTTGACCGCCTGCCGTGAGGGGAAGCGCGCGTCACGAAAAAGGCACGTCGACACGAGAAAAAAGGACTTAAAGTGGAACTATGATTACTTGCTCGCTGGGCCAGCCTTCATTCTCCAGCCCAGGTCCACCCACTCCCCAGTTCGATGCTTCTTCTCATCATTCTTCTCTTCTTTTCCCTGTCCATCTCATAGCATGTCTGTGGGCCACAATGGACAGCTATCATGATCTCCCTGAAGTACCTCGGTCGGAGCCTGTTTTCCCTCCCTCATCACAGGAGATTCCTTCCTCCCCACCCTCAATAGCCTCCGATGTTGGATTCCGTCGCAAGCCCAGAAAGCCTCCTCCTGTCACTCCACGCTCATTCAAGAGGTTCTTCACTCCTCGGTCTATGCTGAATAGCGGCAACAATACCAACAATGCGAACTCAGTCAGGACTAACCGTCAGGCCCTGAAGACACTTAGCTCCCCTGCGGTCAATCGGCTGGGTCCGGCCTTTACCAAGACATTGAAGGCCATTGAAAACAGATCCGTTTCTCCCGAATTAGTACGGACTCCCAGCAAGAGACGGAAGCTCTCCTTTTCATCTATTGGCTCGTCTCTTCAATCATCGCCCCTCAAAGAAGTCCATGTTCGGGGGTCAATCAAATACGATCAAGAGCTAGCCGCCCCGGTCCGGAAGATCGCGTTGAATGTGAGCAGCATACCGGAGCATGAGCCCAAGCTTGACACGTTCACCTCCAAGCCTCCTCGCCATGTCTCACCAGTCCGTCGGTCACGGGCTCTACAAACATCGGGCGCGCTACACATGCGCAGTGTATTGGGGAATCGCGCAAATCGAGTTACCGTGCGAGCGAACTCCGGAGCTAGTATGCGATTCTGTTATCAGATAGGTCTTCACTTGTTCTAACTTCTTCAAGGCTGGCAGGAATTGACCTCGAACTTCTACTCCCGCCCGGATGATAGTCACAATTGTGCTAGTGTCGCTGGTGATCGCTATGTTCTTCCGTTCTGTGCGGCGTCCTGCAACAGTGAGGGACCCTACTTGAACATAATAATGAAGCTGTGTATACTGACGGATTTGCAGCCAATAGTCTTGTTGCTGTGGGCGACGAGGAAGGTGGCATCAGATTACTGGATTCTGCTAAAGACGACAAGAACGGATTCTCGCAAGCATACCTTACCTTCCGTCCCCACATGAACTCGATCATGGACCTAGAATTTTCGTCCGATGATCTACTGCTCGCAACAGCTTCCGGGGACCAGACTGCGCTAGTCGTCGACATGACTACACAAACACCGATATATTGTCTTTCGAACCACGTCTCCTCCGTCAAGCGAGTTCAATTCCAACCGGCGGCCAACAACAAAGTCCTAGCAACTTGTAGTCGAGACGGCAATGTGAACATCTGGGATCTTCGATGCAAAGGCTTCGATAAGCCGTGCTTGCAAGTACAGTGTTCCCTTGAATCTGAGTCCGAACCCACTACTTCGCCTATCTCATCCAAAACGACGTTCCCTCAAGTCATGAACACCATCCATGGCGCGCATGCTTGGATGCCACAAACTGCCGCAATGTCGGGAGCAGAACCGCAAACCCGCCGCTCCGATATTACTGTGACTTCGCTGGCCTTCCTTCCTCCTGGGCGCGAAAACTTGTTTGTCACCGCTTCCGAAGCCAATGCCTGCGTACGATTATGGGACATTCGCACGACACATCACAACCGTCGTAACCGGCCAGTCCTCCCTCTCTCTACTACTCGGGAGCCTGAAAGCCACGCCAAATACCGACGCTTTGGCCTGACGTCGATCACACTCGGCGGAGACGGCTCCCGACTTTATACACTATGCCGCGACGGCACCGTTTATACATACTCCACCTCTCACCTAGTGCTCGGCAATGCGCCCGAGCTTTCCCTCAACAATGATCGCCCACGCCGCTCAGGTGGCTCCGACAAAGAAGGCCTCGGCCCGCTTTATGGCTTCCGCCACTCCCGTCTTCAGGTCTCTTCCTTTTACGTGAAAATCGGAGTGCGTAAAGCCGCCGGTGACAAACCCGAAATGCTAGCCGTCGGAAGCAGTGACCGCTGCGCGGTCCTTTTCCCCACCGACGAGAGATTCCTCTCAACCTCATCCGCCAGTTCTACCGCCGCAGAGACCGACTCACTGCCCGACACCCCATTCTCTACTCGCTCCGGGCGTCTTCGCCGTACGAACTCAGGGGTCGGTCTATCCGGCCGATTGGAAGACACCATCCCGATCTACCAATCCGGCACCCCTCTCATCGAGGGCCACGCCAAAGAAGTCTCTGCTGTATCTTGGACGGCTGATGGCGAACTTGTCACCGTCAGCGATGACTACAGCGCCCGATGCTGGCGCGAGGGCTCCGAAGCTCGGGACCTACGCGCAAGCGGGGAGACGGAGGGCAAACGATGGCGCTGCGGCTGGGCGCAAACGACCGACTCGTATGATGACGAAGATGAATGATTTTCTTTGGTCTGCTTTCTCTTTTCCGGCGCTTTTTACCCCATGTTTTATCCTCATAATTCTCGGTGTCAGCATCCTGTGGCGTTTGTGTCCCGTTTCTATATCAATGTTTGTGCTTTAGCGGGTGTTTTGTGTTATTTTCGTCTGTTTAGTCCTGTACGCAGAGAACTGGTTGTGATGGTGTTATTCTATTTAGGTGGGTTGCTGCAAAGCAGAGAACAAGAGTTGTGTCTAGTTACTTGAGAGGTAGAACTGAATCTGCCACAAATAGTGAGGTGAAGCTATCAAATATCCGATTCATATTATAGATCATGTTATGTGCACTTTACCGCAGTAAGAAGGTATTCACAGGAATTCCTTAGAGGAACCACTAATCAATCACTGCCCTGAGTGATCTACATGCTACGAGCATGAGGACATGACAAAAGTGGTACAACTAATGTATTTCATATCTCGATTATACTTTTCCTCTCCCTAAGTATCTCAAACCCCATACGGGAAACAGGAAAAGATGGAAATGGCGCAGGGGCATGACTATCACTTCCAAAACTTGTTTTTTTCTTAGTGACCGTGACCATCGTCCTCCTTTCTCTCCGGGTCCAACTTGATCATGGTATCAATACGCATGATGGCAATGCAAGCTTCGACGGCACTCTTCAGCTGCTTGATCTTGCCCATGCTGGGTTCCAGGACACCGGCCTTGAGAGTGTCATGGACACGACCCTTGGTGAGGTCGAGACCATAGTTGCGGTAGGTCTTCTTCTTGGCGATGGCCTTCTCCTCCTCGTTGGCATCACCGTCCTGCACACGCTGCGAAAGAGCATGTCGGACACGGAGCTGAGCAACAAGCTCGGATGAGTCCTTGGCGGCGTTCACTGCCAAGGTCTTCGGGACGATCAGGAGGGATTGGGCGAATTCGCCGATGGCGAGTTGCTCGCGAGAGCCCTGCAACATATGGTTAGCCGCTTATCTCTCTCTATTCTTGGTTGAACGGAGGGGTGGTAGACAACATACAACTGTGACTGCGAACTCCTCGAGATAAATGTGAAGAGCCGTCTCGACGGCACCACCACCGGGGACAATGCTACCGCTCTCCAAAGTCCGCTTGACGGCGCACAGGGAGTCGTGCACCGAACGCTCCATCTCATCCAGGGTGAAATCGTTGGGGCCCCGCAGGATGATCGAAGCCGAAGTGTGTACCTTGGTGCCCTTGACAAGGATGCACTCGTCATCGGATATCCGCTCCTGCACGACTTCCTCTGCGTAACCCAAATTCGAGGCCTCGAACTTCTCATCACCGTTCAAGTCTGACAGGGTGCTAACCAAGGTGGCACCGGTAGCCTTGGCGATCCGGCGAAGATCCTCCTTCTTGCAACGACGGACAGCCATAGCACCTCTCTCGACGAACAGTTTAAGGACCATATCGTCAATACCCTTGGTGGTGAGGACGACATTGGCTCCGGACTTGAGAATCATCTCGACACGCTCAAGGACGATGCCGGCTTCTCTCTCACGGATCTTCTCCAGCTGATCGGGATCGTCGACTGTGATCTGAACACCAAGCTTCATTCTCTCCTTCTGCAAGTTCATATCCAAGCAGGCAATCTTCGCATCGGTTATCCGAGTCTTCATGGCCTGGGAGGCGACAGTGCAGTTGAGGGCATAGCCGTTGACAAGGACCGACTCCTTACTGCTCTTACCGTGTGCCTTCAAAAGGTTAACTGCCTTGACGGGGTACTTGACCTCGTTTCTCTGGTTGGTCGTCTTGACCGCCAGCATGGCGTCAACGACCATGTTGGCAAAGAAATCGCCGTCTGCGCCGATGATCTTGCTGGACATGGAAGTCTTCGCGATGCTAACCAGGCTGTCCTTTCCAAGGGCGTCAACCTTCGTAGTGATGTTCTCGTTCATGTACTTGACGGCTTCTCTGAGGGCGAGTCTGTAACCGTTGATGATGGTGGTGGGATGTATGCGGTTCTTCATCAATTCGTTGCCTCGTCGCAGGAGCTCTGCAGCAATCAGAACGACCGACGTGGTACCATCACCGACCTAGACAGATATCAGCGTGGTTGTTCTCCCCCCACTAAACGAGACGTGCAAACGGCGGGACCGACCTCCTTATCCTGTTGTTGAGCCAGGTCGACGAGGATTTTCCCGGCGGGGTGCTCGATATCGAGAAGACTGAGAATGGTCGCACCGTCGTTGGTCACCGTGACATCCTAGAGAAGAGTCAGGAAGCTGTTTGGGGGGGGGGGGTGCGGGGTCTTGATGTTATGCATACACCGATGTCATCCACCATCATCTTGTCCAAGCCGGAGGGGCCAAAGGAGCTCTTGACGACATTTGCGATCGCCTGCGTGGCGAGAACTGCGAGTACAAGTCAGGATGCATCCTCCTGAATCGATGCTTCGTGTGATCACAAACCGTTCTGCTCTCGTACATCGGCACCGGTGATTTTCTGCCCACCCAAGACTGTGCGAGTCCGTAATCAGTTTCCATGAGGTCCAGGGGAACATTTGAAAATTGAAACTCACAAAGCGTGTCCGCATTCCGCGGAGCCTCGAAGATGCCTGCCATGTTTGTGTAACAGACAAATGATATGGAAGAGGTGACAAGAGAAAAAGAAAGAAGCACCGACAGCAACAAAAGTGCTTTTGCGTTTGCTTCACTTTTCGGCGGCGGCTGCTGCTTTGCTGCTGCGTCTTGCGCTAAAAGTTCTGCCGGGGTCCAGGCGGTGAGGAAGCGCAAAGGAAGAACATCCCACTTCTGAAGATTGACTCAGAACCCCTCCTCCACGGCCCCTCCCCATCTTCGGTCCTTTCTTTCCTTCTCGTCTGCATTTTCGAGTTTGGCCCTTCAATCTCCCTCTTCCTCAAACTCCAAAATGTCCAGTCAAGCCCCCGCTGACGCTGCGGTTCCCGCCGAATCGGCGGCCGCTCAAACCTTGCCTGACCGCACCCAGGCCCCCGCCGATGCCGCTCCCCAGGCCCAGGGTGAGGTCTCCAAGAACGCCGCGAAGAAGGCTGCCAAGTTGGCCAAGCTGGCTGCCGACAAGGCGGATAAGAAGGCCGAGAAGGCCGCCAACAAGGGTATTGGCAAGCAGGAGGCTAAGAAGCCTGCTACCAAGGCCCCCAAGAAGAAGATCGAGGGTGCCGCTCTCATCGGTATCGATGTCTCCAAGGAGGAAGACTTCCCCAGTTGGTACCAGCAGGTCTTGACCAAGGGTGACATGCTCGACTACTACGATGTCTCCGGATGCTTCATCCTCAAGGTAGGTTACTTCTTGCCTGCGGAATTGGGGTCGTACTCGTACTAATCTTTGCGCTAGCCTGCTTCCTACTCGATCTGGGAGGAAATTCAGAACTGGTTCAATGGACACATCAAGAAGATGGGTGTCAAGAACTGCTCCTTTCCTCTGTTCGTCTCTGAGGATGTTCTCCAACGGGAGAAGGATCACATCGAGGGTTTCGCGGCCGAGGTCGCCTGGGTCACCCATGCGTATGCACATCTCCTTCCTTATCTTCGGTCGCGTGATGTCTAAACTGATACTGATCCGTCCCTATACTGCAGCGGTTCCACCCCTCTCGAGAAGAAGATTGCCATTCGTCCCACCTCTGAGACTGTCATGTACCCCTACTACGCCAAGTGGATCAGAAGTCACCGTGACCTTCCCCTGAAGCTGAACCAGTGGAACTCCGTCGTTCGTTGGGAGTTCAAGCACCCTCAGCCTTTCCTGAGAACCAGAGAATTCTTGTGGCAGGAGGGTCACACTGCCCATCTGACCCAGGACAAGGCCCATGAGGAGGTCATGCAGATCCTCGATCTTTACGCTCGCATCTACGAGGAACTCTTGGCCGTCCCCGTCGTCAAGGGCCAGAAGACCGAGAAGGAGAAGTTCGCCGGTGGTCTCTACACCACCACTGTTGAAGGCTACATCCCCGCCACTGGCCGTGGTATCCAGGGTGGTACCTCCCACGGTCTTGGCCAGAACTTCAGTAAGATGTTCGGCATCACCGTCGAGGATCCCTCTGCCAAGGGCGACGAAAAGAAGCCCCCCATCCACGTCTGGCAGAACTCCTGGGGTCTGTCGACCCGTACTCTGGGTGTCATGGTGATGATCCACAGTGACAACCGCGGTCTGGTCCTCCCTCCCCGCGTGGCCGAGACCCAGACCGTCATCGTCCCCGTCGGTATCACCGCCAAGACCACCGATGAAGAGCGCAGCAAGCTCTATGCCGAGATTGACCGCCTGACCTCCGTCCTTCAGGATGCCGGCGTCCGCGCCATCTCCGACCTCCGTGAGGGCTACTCCCCTGGCTGGAAGTTCAATGAGTGGGAGCTGCGTGGTGTGCCCGTCCGCATCGAGTTCGGCCCCGGTGAGATGGCTGGTGGCTTCGTGACCGCCGCCCGCCGTGATGTCCCCGGCAAGGACGGCAAGGCCCCCATCCAGATTGCTGAGCTCGCGACCGCCGTGCCCGCTCTCCTCGAGACCATCCAAAAGGACCTGTACAACCGCGCCGACAACGAGTACCGCTCGCACCGCAAGCTCATCACCAACTGGGACGACTTCACACCCGCTCTCAACGACAAGAACATCTGCATCATCCCCCACTGCTTGACCGAGGAGTGCGAGGACCAGATCAAGGAGATGAGCGCCCGCAAGGCTGAGGAGGACTCCGGCGAGGCTGAGGACGCCCGCGCCCCCAGCATGGGCGCCAAGTCCCTGTGTATTCCCTTCGACCAGCCCGAGGGTATCGTCCCCGGAGAGACTAAGTGCACTAACCCCAAGTGTACCCGTTTCGCCGAGAAATGGTGCATGTTCGGCCGTAAGTTTTCTATTCCCTTGTTACTTCTACCGCATTTCAGTCTTGCTAACGTTACGATTTCCTATCCAGGCTCCTACTAAGCAAGTCAACCCATCATATCCTCAAATCTTCTCTCTTCTAAGGTTCTTGCGACCATGTGCGGACCCAGAAGTGGCTTTTATTATCTCCGATTCTATGTGCATATCCTCCATCTTATCTTCGTACTATGACTGTTATGACTTTGATTTCCCTGCCATTACAGTTTTCGTGTTGTGTGTCTGTGTGTGTCTGTAAGAACGTCCGGAGTGGTTTTAGGTGGGGTTTTTGGAGAAAGAGGCAAGAAAGCGTGTTGTTGGGGAATTTTCTTTTTCTTTATTTCAAGAAGAATTTAAAGACGTTTCTAGAGATCCTTGCCTTTGGCTTACATGAGATACCTTCCGAATGCGCACTGTGCTATCCGAACTTGAAGTGTGGAGATGGCAGAAGAGGTTGACGGATTCTTTCCTGTGGTCTACTTAACTGGTTTACGGGGAATATAAGAAAGGGGCATATACGGCTACTGTGGTAGACGGACAAAATTCAATGACTAGTACTTGACGTTCATGATAGCACAAATGTGGTATTGTGATTGAGGAGCAAGGGAGAAGGACATGAGACTTGAGTGAAAATAGTGAGTAAAAAGTGATGGCTGCGCTAAATGCCAGAAACAAATGAAGGATAGGTGGTTGTACAATGTGTGGAGGGAGGGGTAGGAAGATATCTTCAGCAATGGGTCAAGGAATGAATGTGTAGCAACAAGTTAGCTTTTCTGCGATCGTCAAAATGATCATGATCCGCAACTCGTTCGTCGTCATCTTGTTTCTCTTCAAAAAGGAATGTCCGATGTGTATGAAAGGAAAGGTGTATGGAGGAGTGGATGATGAGCAGATGTGCATGGGGAGGGTATCATGAAACGATCTCATCTGGAAGTACAAGGTGTAACTAAAATGAATGGATGGAGTACGGTAGGTCTGAGCACCACAGTAGTCGATTTTTGATTATCGAGGAAGGAAGAACGCAGCTGAACACAGCTATTTCACGTTCGAAGTGCTGACAGGGCGCGGCCAGCCCAGGACTCGGTTGGGGCTTTTATGCACAGGGGACCCCGCTCCTGCAGAGTCGTAGTCGACCCCTTGAATGCGCACCTCCGGCGTTTCGAGGCTGGGAAGCTGAATGATTTCCTCGTCGCTCTCGTCGTCGGAGAAGCTGGATCGGGATCCTTGAAGGGAATCCGAACCCTGAGCGCGCATGTAGAGGATGGAGGGCGAGGGCCGACAATGCTCCTCAGCTTTCTCGCGCCAGAGGGACGGAGTTGATGTGGACTGACTCGCGATCCCTGCGGACAAGCGACTGCTGACCTCCTTTTTCGAGGGGTTAATCGCGGAGCTAGATGCACGTGTCTCACTCTCGGAGTGGAGAAGGAGATCCATATAGGTCATAGGCATCTCAAGCTCCTCCTCGGTGTTTTCCTCATTGGCATCCGCCTTATCCAAGACTTGATTCGATGGTAAAGGGGCATCGGTGTGCCTCCGTCGACTAGCAACGCCTTCTGGAGTCTGAAACTTGGCCGTCGTCGACGGCACGCTAGTTGAAATGCTCCTACATTGCTCCGAGTTGCGTTTGTGTCTCCTAAAGGAGCTCTTTCGGATTAGCTTAAGGAGCTGGCCTTCTTTCGCGCTGGCGGGGCCTCTTTCAGAGCCGAGTTTTGGGTATAGCGGCACGCTGAACCCCCGATCGAACGACTCCTGAGAAGGAGAAGGGGTCGCTGATCCTTCTGTCTCAGAGAAAGTCAGGCGTTTGAAGGCGTCGTGTGAATTGATCTCTCGGACGATTGCATCTTGAAGGGTTTCCAAAGTCGGATGAAGGGTAACCACTGGCGGGGACGTATAAGCCTGTCGAAACATGTCCATGATTTCCGCAACCTTCTCCGTGGCAGGAGGCAGAGGCGAGACTGCTGTAGGTGAACCCACTGGCAAAGGGCTGTTCATGAACTCTGCAATGCTCGGGTGCTGGGTTGACTCGGCAGTTTTGGGAGTCGGAGGCTGCATGGCGCGATGTGTGGCTCTTGTATTGGGGTTTCTTCGAGCCGCCAATTCTATGTTGATAGAAAGATCTCGGACATTCTTCTTAGAATGTCTGCGAGAAGATGCTGAGTGACATTGATCACTCGACTTCGAGGTGGAGCCGCAGACTCCTTGTGCTGAATCCTCATCACTCAGGGTTTGGTCGTGACTGATCGATAGTGGTATAGTAGGACTGTCTGGAAGAGGGGTATTACTCCATCTGTTGCCTTGCTTGTGAGCTGGTGGCACACCCAGGTAACCATTGTCGGGAGTTGGGGGCTCTGTATCAGAAGTTCGAGGACGCTCGCCCGCTAGATCAGGCGCCGATCTCTGAGAGCGCAAACAACTTCTCTGGAAGCTCATTTCATTTGAAGACTTTGGACGATCATCGCGCGGAGAACACTCTGTATTAGCGAAACCCTCAGGGGTAGTAGCTTTTACCCGACCTTCCCTTGCCCGCAAACGAGGCCAATGTTTCGTGGAATTTTCGCTTTGGACAGTTGATCGCAGAGGCAAGCCATGTGCTGAATGAGATCGTGTACTTGCGCTGCGTGTGAGAGAACGGCCGCTTCTTCCCGTCCTATTTCTTGCTACATCTCCTTGATAGGAAATTGGACGAGGAAACACCACCTTAGGAAGGAACGTTCCTTTAAGAAAAAAAGCCATGTTTCTTTCCGCGATGTCCTCATTGTAAGGTGTGATGGGCGACAGGGAAGTAGGGCATTGAATATGGTACCGATGCGAAGTGAAGAGAGCATCAAGTAAGTCGACATGTCGGGGGATTTTGTCCGGGAGCTGACTTGAACGGTGCGAGGATGTTGGCCGAGAATAAGGTGATGAGGGGCGTAACTCGGAGATGACCTGGGTGGTTGTTGCCTCAAAAGCTGCAGCGGAATGGTAGACATTGGCCGACGTCCTTGTCCGATTACCTCGACCGTCTTGATTTAAAGCTGGCGACTTCTCTGCGTGTTTCTCTGCGTGAAAAAATCGTTTGAGAGACGCCATGGCGGTGTTGACGGATATTCGTGGACGTTTACAAAGTCGTCCACATGTGAGATTTGCATCAACCCCTAGCCAACAAAATCCGGAGCTGGAGCAATGGTAGTCAAGCTGATAAGGAATCGTTAAGTTGACGATTATGTTCCAGTTTAAGATTTATAGCATGTCTAGCAGATACTGAAGGACAAAAGCAGACTCAACATGCTCGGACACGGAACGTGTGACGGGATGAGGAACAATGAAAAGAGACCCAAGTTAATGAGGAGGGAAGAGCTGAATAAAGGAATTCAGTGTGGTGGCTGCTGCCCCATCTGCAGATCTCATATTTGCTCTTGCCGACATCAGGGGCAGAAGTGGTCCAGGTCCCAGCGATGGAGCCTGCGAATGGTGGACACAGCCAGATTCGGAAGAGAGATCTGGTGGGACATCAGTAGTTATAGGATGTGCATTAATCCTTAATTCGCATACCTGCGAGGCGCAGAAGTGACGCCACAGTCAAGGACACGCCTGTATGTTTCTTGCAAACCATACCTGTCCGGCGCATGCTTTGCGCAAAAGCAGTTCAATCCAGAGCTCCCCTGTTGTGAGCCCTAGGTCCTGCCAACGTCATAAATTAACCTAAAAGCTAGAATCTTTCCCCTAGTTGAGGGAGAGGTCATTTAAAATTTAGATTTGCGTCGTGCCGGCCTTACCGCCGTACTAGTTAGATGGGAATGCCAATCTTAGCAACACTCCTGAGACTGTGGCAGACCGGCAGCCTGACCAGCCGAACTCTACTTTCTTTGAGGACGGCAATCAGCCTATCAGAGATCGGTGGATCATTCGCCGAGAGGAGTCCGATTGCATAACATGGATGCTCTCTCTAAATGGAGGCCGAGGAATTTTGTCGGCTAGAAAGCCGTTTTTAGACAGGTTGGAGCCAGTCAGAAGGCGATAAAGCGGCGCGGGATGGAACCACGAACTCCCCATCGAAGAAGCGGGTCTCGCCCGAAGGAACGTGCTATTCGTTGCCTATCATTGGCCATAACGGGCAGCGGATCGTCAATAGACAACAAACGGCGCAGACACAGAGTGGAGCTGATTTTGCCAGCCGAGCACTAGAGTCCTTGAAATTGCCCCATTGCGATACTGATTGACAGGGGCAGAACCGCTGACTGCCGGGGGTGAGCCGGTGTCAAGTGGTCAAGAAATGTTGGGTGGACCGATCGGAAGCAAGAAGAAAATTGGATGGGATTTTGACAGAAACGGCGTGGGAGTCTAACTGCAGTGGCACTTTGAGGCTTTGAGCACTTCGATCAAGGTGGTTTTGCGGATGTTCTCCGTATCTGCGGAGAGAGTGCCTCAATTGGCAGGCCAGTCCACCAAGTCCCAACCATTTGAAACACCGATCGCGGAAGCACTAATCTTGATTACGCTTGATGAAAAGAGTCAATTGCCATGTCGCAAAACTGAGCAGGGGAAGTGGCAAATGGGCTTTTTCCTTTGGAGTGAACGATGGAGTCCTCTACACATACCAGTCGGTCATCCTTTTACACTGTGCATGCAGTTATGTGGTCGTTCGGCCATATACACTGTGGCGGGCCGATGCATAAGACATGTACATACATCGCATAAGGCTGAAAAGAAAGCTGCTTGAGCTTAGCAAAGGCTTTGCTTGAATCTTGTTGTTAGCATTTCGGCGCAGTCGTCTTCCACTGTAGACTCGCGCTCAAGGCTCCGAGATGTTAGGCCATGTCAGAGTAAATCCGACCCTAGTGTGGCCTGATCAAAATTCACGAGCGGTAGAGGATCCTCGAACAGATTGTTGGTTGCACTCTCTTCAACAACCCAGGATAAATTGGTCCAATGCCAGTCAGTAGCCAACGGCATGTTGTCATAGACGTGAGTTTCTGCGTAGGTAGGGGTTTGCTCTTGTCCAGATGGGAACGCCTGTGCTTGCGACCCCGATGATGAAGGGCTAGCAGACATCTCTCGAAAGGACTGAACATTGGCTTCAGGACAAGCAGAAGCCATATTTCGGCGAATATGAATCTTTCCAAGCAAAGGAGCGTTTAGTGTCAGCTCTTGACTACCAGCCCCGAGGTCTTCTCTACTCAACAGCTCTTTGAGAGCGCACAAGGTATGCATCCCATGTTCGGCGAAGTCAGTACTAGCTTTATCCTTCGACTTCTCTCGCAGGAGCTCGATGACCTGAGACACGGTAGTCTGAAGCTGACCTCTGTCAATCTGAATGCTGTACCTTTTCATGCAAGGCCAGCTGTGTGACATGAGGAGCAGGATCACCGTCGCTGTGAAGGCCTGCAAGTCTAAGATACGAGATATGAAAATTCCAGAATGCAGCCTTCGGCGGACAAACAGATAGCGCTCTACGACGGATGTTGACTCGTCCATACAAGCGAGCCGGTTGTACAAATATTCCGTACCGCAATCCTGTCGCAGAGCTAGCGGGAGATGCGCTCTCATGACCACGTAGTGATGAACCAGCTGTATGATGTGATCCGCTCGCAGGTTCTCAATTTTGTTGTGCACCCACCACGATGCTGGTGTTCGGGATGCAAGCTCTCCCGCTTCTCTGGCAATCTCTAAGGCTAACGTGCTTGGTTTTATGTCTGGTTCGTGCGTCACGTTCATATCTTCAAGCTCATGAATCCGAGCAGCTATTCCTGCTAGCTGACTGAGGTAGACACGTGGCTGAACAGCCCCGTCCACCACAAGTTCAGTAGAGGTTGTTTGGCGGTACCGGAGTGTATCAGGGCGTATGTTCATCATCATCCCCAATATCCGATCGACGCCGCAAATGGATTCCCAGAGTTGTGCTTTCCGGGCCAGAATGTCATTGCTAGCCTGAGCACTCGAACCTTTGAGACGAAAAAGCTGGACTGTTTTTGGTAACCCCGTGAGCTCGGCAAGCGCAACAATGTGCCGCAGTCGAACCCAAGCTTTCTGGAAATTACCGTAGCCGATTTGGCTAGACTTCTGTTAGCTACTCTACGGCCAGAAAAGGATTCATAGTTCCAGAGGAGATTAATGCGCCAGACATGGCCAAGGGAGGGGTAGTATGAGCTCACAGTCGAGCGAAATGCAGGGCCATTCCAAGCCCCTCAAGCGTACCTACTACCCTATCATGAATAAGGATTGTCGTCTCAACTGCATCCGACACAGCGTGCGAGAACGCTAGCTGTTTCTGCATTACTCGGTTATCGTACGCGGGAATGGTAGGCCGCTGGGAAACTTGAAGAGCTGTGATAGCCACCTCCAAGAGCCACGTAGCCAGGCGAATGACGTCCACATTTGGCTGGCTGACCTCCACGTAATTGCCCATCAGCTCGCACTGCGATTTCGCTGCGAATGGCTGAGGAAGAATCAACTCTAGCAATTGAAGCCAATCGTAAGTATGCATCGTGATGTTTTTTGCTTCCTCCCACGAAGGGATCAATTTCTGGAGTGCAGGCCGCGCCACCTCGAGCAGATGTGCGCAGGCTTTGGCTTTTCGTTCTTGTTGCTGCCTAGTACGTCGATCCATATCGACACTAAGCCAGGGGTTTTGGAAGAGTGACCGTAGATGGGCAGGCTCCTCTGCATCAATAAGATCCGTGGCACTCGAATCTCCTTCCGAGTCCTCTCCATCCAAGTGCGTTGTGTCGAAGTTGTGATCACCGATACCTTTACTATGGGTCAAGCTTTCATCATGTCGAAGCTTTCTCTCAAGGTTGCCAAGGGTCTTGGTCAACTGTGATACTTGGGCCTCAAGCTGAGTGATCCGTAATCGCGACGGAAGCCGCTGTGTCTGACGCTGGCGAGAACTCGCGGTCTGGGCGATGCATACGACTCGCCTTTCCTGACACTGTCGACACTCGAGCGCATCATCAGGGATTCGCACGCAGCGAACTTTGCGTCGCCGACCTGTATGGATGGATTAGCGGCATATGTCAACAGATAGAGTCGCCTGGAGCATACATTCTGTGCAGCTCTTGGCGGCATTCTTTGGCGTGGCACGCAAGGATTCCATTCGAGCGTTTGACATGAGTCAGTGATAAGTGGAGACTTTATCACGTATTACTCGTAGAAACAACTCGTGCACCGGCAGGAAAATGATGTGTGCAGACGGGTATGTGAGGGAGCAGTAAGAAAGAGAGAGAGAGAGAGAGAGCGAGCACAAGGCAGAGGAAGGAACGGAGCGGTGATCGACCGTCGGAGCCGATTTCGGCTCCGCGGAAGCTAAATGGACCCTGAATTTCCGAAGGAAGGAACGGTACACTTTTTCTAACACTGTAAAACACTATAACTAAGCCAAGTATTGCCTCTGTCATCTCGGACTCGCGTCTTTGGATCGCCGATTTGGCGTTCATTTCTTCCACACCCAGTGGATGATGAGTCGTCTTATAAGCGGGTAAGCAGCAGATTTTCTTCATCTCTTTACATCTCTCATGTGCAACTACGATACCTTGAATAGCGCTTTGATATGTTGTCTAACTCTCTCACGAAGCGCGGAGGCCCCTATCCGGCCACTACAGCTGGCATGGGAGGCTCGCCCACCATTGTCCCCGATATCCCGGTGTGCGCTGTCTTCATGTGTCTCTACATCGGGTTTGCAGCGACCAACATGACAATTTTCCAAAAGAACCGTCGCCGAAAGCACAAGTTCCTACCCTCCGGAATGTTATTTGGGTTCTGCATGGCACGCATCACGACCTTGATCCTCCGCATTGTCTGGGCCACACGACGCCGAAATGTCCGACTTGCCATTGCTGCCCAGATCTTGGTGAATGCTGGCGTCTTGCTCATCTACATCATCAATCTGATTCTCAGCCAACGGATCCTGCGTGCAATGCAGCCGCGATGGGGCTGGCATCCTGTTATCCGCAACGGAACGAGAATTCTCTACGGCCTCATCGGGGGAGCGCTCGCTATGGTGATCACATCCACCGTCGTCTCAATGTATACCCTGAACCCCGACACGCATGCCTCCTGCCTTGACGTGCAGCGGGCGGGCCTAACCTATCTTCTGGTCTTCACCTGCGTTCCACTGCTCCAAATCGCGCTGGCGGTCCTACTCCCCCGCTCTGACCAGGAGGAGACGTTTGGAGAGGGCGCAATGACCAGCAAGATAGTGATCGTGACGGTCTCTGCCTGTGTCTGCATTTTGATCGCCGGCTTCAAAGCGGGAGTCACCTGGAGCCCCCCGCGACCGTTGGCACATCCTGCGTGGTACCATTCCAAGGCTTGCTTCTACGTCTTCAATTTCACCCTGGAGATTCTGCTTCTCTGCTTGTTGACAGGCACTCGCATTGACAAGCGCTTCTTCATCCCGAATGGTTCGACTCGTCCCGGGGACTATTCAAGGTTGATGAAAGAGGCAGAAAGCTGTGGCGGACTGTATCAAGAAACTAAGGATAGTGGTAGTTCGCGTGGTTAAAACTACAAAGTCGAGCTTGGACAGCTAGGGGTGTTATCCTGTTGAGCCGTTTTGTATTGTACCCTACAGAAATAGATGTTCGGAGGACCGTGTTTCAATCCTTTGCCTGTGTCTGTTGGCTAGCATAGACATCCCAATCTCTATACCTTCGAGCTAGAATTCTGAGATGTGCATGAAAATGCCACATCCTATCCAGCACCTCTAGCATACGACGTTTGCCATGAAGCTCGTTCGGTATCATTTTGACATCAATCAACCCAGAAGGTAGCTTTTAGAGCAATTTCAGAATTCTAGATATATTCTCATCTCAGCGGGCTCACTCTTGTGCAGCTGACCATACTTTGCTCGGGGGTTGCCTCTGACTAGCAGAGAGGCTGCTGCGTGGTATGCCCCCATGGGGAGCTAATCGATGTAGGTAAGGCCGCGCTAATGTCTGTTCGCGTATCAGTTCGACCCGAACCTATTCACGATCGAACGATGGTGCCTGGTCCGTATCACCAACATGCCGACAAATTTAAGCATATATTTCCTGCAGGGTCCTGCATGAATCGTTGGCTCCGGTGAGACCGATATAACTAATTGTCCCCTTGGGCTTGGCGTGACCGGAAACGGGATTCATGCATGAGGAATGCGACAAGGGCGTCCATTGCCAGGTGCACAGATCCAAAGCCAGCCTGGCTGCGGAGACACCAGGTAAAGGTCTTCTGCCTTTATGTTACTCATTAGCTGTTCAACACATTGAATGGATTCCATGATCATCAACGATGGGTATGGTAAGGATACTATGCTGCTGGTAGCGTACATGGTGGAAACGCTAAGCACCATTGCCTCCTTGCATTCCTGCAGCACGAGGATCCCTTGCCACATGGACAACTTATCGATAAGCAACACATGCGAGCAGCTCAGAGCGTCATCGTTTCCGGAATCCCCGCTGTGATAAAAGCGTGGGAGTGGTCAGCCCTAAGGGGCCCGGATTCCGATGATGCAGTTCTGCAATCAGCTCCTGCAAGGAGGATCGATAACAGGACCTGCTAAGCTGTGCGGCGTATCCGGATAGTTTCTTTAGCCCAGAACTGGAGAAGGAGAGAGACTGAGACTGAGGTTACATGCGGTTACTTAATGTTCGACGTCAATCAGACCCTTCCGGCGATTGCCTGCTGCTCTCGCCCGCCTCCCTTCCATCCCTTCCGAATCGAGCAGCTACTCAGAGAACAGATTGTGTGGGGTTCTCTCGTCTTCTTCTAACGTACTTCTTCATCCTCCCCAACAACTCCAACTCACCTCTGTGGACTGACCGATTGTATGACGAGCGTGCAGGCTTTCTGAGTAGGTGGATAAGGAATTCGGGGCCGGGGACTTTCGTCAATTGAATTCCTCCGGCATGGAGGATCCCAACCGTGTGCAACATGGATTCGATCCACCCGAGGATGTGCCTCAACGTTGTGAGGACAAACCGTGGGATGAGGACAAAATCTCGAAAGTCGCCTCCTTCGATCATTCTCCGGACAACAGTGTTGGGGAGGGAAAAGTTGACTTGGTCGCCGATAGCGAAAAACAAAAGGTAGCTGAAGGGGCTGCGCACTTTCGACGACTTGGCTGGAAACGCCTGACTGTGGTACTGGTCGTCGAGGCGATTGCCCTTGGGGTCCTCACGCTGCCTACCTCATTTGCAATCCTGGGAATGGTGCCAGGAACGATCTGCTGTGTCGGGGTGGGCGTCGTCGCAATTTATGCCAGCTACCTTGTTGGGGAAACGAAAATCGCACTGCCGGATATTCATCATTACGGGGACGTGGGCACACTGATGCTGGGAAAGTTTGGTAGGGAGCTTTTTGGGGTCATGTTTGTCCTGCAGCTGATCCTTGTGACCGCCTCGTACTGTTTGACTGGTACTATTGCTTTCGACGTTCTGACCGACAATGCGACGTGCTCGATGGTCTTCGGGATCGTTTCGGCCATATTGCTGATGGTCTTGGCCATCATGCCGTCGTTCACCGACGCCGCTGTTCTGGGCTACATTGACTTCGTCTCGATCATGGCAGCAATTATCATCGCCATCATCGCCACAGGCGTCGACGCTGCAAATTCTTCCCACGGACTGGCAGGAGTGAATTGGTCTGCTTGGCCCAGACCCGGCACAACCGTGGCAGACGGGTTCATCGCAGTATCCAACATTGTGTTTGCCTACAGTTTCTCCATGTATCAATTCTCCTTCATGGACGAGATGCACACCCCCCAGGACTATATGAAGTCTATATGGACTTTAGGTGGCCTGGAGATCGTGATCTACTCGCTTGTGGGTGCACTGATCTATGCATTTGTGGGAGTCGACGTGCAGAGTCCAGCATTGCTTTCGATGAGCAGCTTAATGGCCAAGATTGCATTCGGGGTCGCGTTGCCGGTGATATACATTTCAGGCGCCCTCAACAACACGGTCACGGCTCGATATATCCACTTGCGACTGTATGAAAACTCGGTGACCCGCTACATCAACACTCCCAAAGGCTGGATCACATGGCTGATTGTCTTACTGTCCATTACCGTCTGCGCGTGGATCATCTCGGAGGTGATCCCCTTCTTTAACGACCTTCTAGCTCTCAGCTCTGCGTTGTTCGTTTCGGGCTTTGTTCTGTACATCCCTGCTGTGATGTGGTTTCTCTTCCTGCGCAAACGCGAGAGTGACGCTCGCAAACGACTGCTCCACGACATCTGCGCAGCGGTCCTGTTTGCCGTTGGGATTATTGTGCTGGGTGGAGGGACTTATTCTAGCATTGTGGACATCGTAAGTTGTCCTTTTGCGGGCGAGAAATGAATCTGGCTAATGAAGTTATAGAAACGTCAGTTCGACGCCGGGACTGTGAGAGGGGTCTTTACGTGTGCGCCGATGGCTTGACCATTGCCTGCAACGGCTTTGTTCACCTCATGGAGGCTGACAGTACCATTGCGGACCAGAGTATCGTAATGGCAGTGTTTTATACACGCTGTGGCCCTACCATCGAGGCGTTTGAACCTGAATAGTGTCTCTCGAAATCTAGCGAACAGAATTAGCTGCGCCTCTGCCAGAGGATGTATCACGAAGCTTTGTACCGTTTATTCTCGCAAAATCTGTATAGCAGTTAACGAAATACGATACCAATACAAATGTCTTCCACAGTCTTGCATCTTGACTGTGTCTGCAGAATATTCTTCTAACCTCATATGCGCATCCGGAGTTTTTGAACTGTACTCTCAAGTCTGGCCTGTGGCTGGCAGCTCACTCGGGTAAATCTAGGCCATTCAGCTTGTGCATGTTTCAAACAATTCCGTCGCAACGACCAAGTGCTACTAACTCAGACTTTTCAACTTGAGCCATTTTCCAACCTTTTTCCAAGCAATTTTCTCAGGGATTTCAACCATTCTTTCTGTAAATAGTCTATCTATATGAAAATTCCAACCATCCATCTATGAGCCAGATGATCTACAAAATCTATGCAGAGCATGCCAACCAACCATGAAAGAGACCTCCGACTCACCCACAACTACCAACAATAGAACCGTCCTCAACTAACCCAACTCTCAACCTGCTGCATGGGATTCTCATCCTGCGCGAAACTATGCGGCCCGTTCGTCAGCCGCGCGCGGGCCTTCTTCGTGCGCCGCGTGAATAAGTACCACGAGAGAAGCGTGAGAAGCGTGAGCGGCACCGCTATCACCACGAAGATCCAGAATTGGTTTGAGATGGTAAATCCGCCATTTTTCTCATCGCCGCCGTCGAAGTCGAAGAGGTTCATGCCTAGGATGGACTTTTGTGGGTTAGGTTGTGTATGTTCCCGAAGAAATGCAAATACAAAAAAGTTGGAATTGGTGTGGTAGAGGTGGGTAAGCTTCAGGATCTGGAGAGGTGGTGGGGATGGAGGAGGAGTTCTTACCGAGACAAAGCTCGCAGGGAGATAAATCAACGTGACGAGCGTCATGGATTTGACCGTCGAGCTATCGTCGAAGGACTCGGTGCCGAGCTTGAGCATCTGGCTGTTAACCTGGGCAGCTACGTCCTGGTAGTTGAGATTTAGGATGACGGATTGCTGTTTTCATGATCGGATGGGTTGGTCAGTACTGCTCAGGCTGAAGGGTTGGCTGGCATGGATGAACGAGATACAGTGCATACCATATTAGCAATACTTTGGATCTTCTTCTCCAAGACTTGCACACTGTCTACGCAACTAGTCAGGTCTGCCTCCTGCATGAGCAGCTCGACGTCGAGACTGCGGTAGTACCGGCCATCCAGACCATGATATTGATGTAGAATCTCATTGACGCGACGCAGTTGCTGCACGGTACGCAGAGCAACTGTCAGCCAGGCGCATAGCGGCGCCAGCTGATCGCCCAGGGACTGAGGCTTCAAGACAGAGAAGGCTCTTTGGTCGTCTGAGCGCCGCATGCCATAGACTAACGCGGCCTTTTCGCCCAAAGAAAGATTAGCTTCAATGCGTCGGCATCGAGATGTATTGTGCCTAATAACAGTGCTGTACTCTTTGCTGGAGACCAACGTACCGCTTTGTCAATCTTCGCCCCGAGGCTAGCGATATACCACCTCCAATTACTCATATAAGTCGTGAACACAAGACGAGGAAGAATGCTCCAGTCCGCCAGCGCATGGTTGGTCGTGCTTGCTTGCATGAAGGCATCAAGGGCCTGTTGCAGTCTGGATTTGCGTCGAGCACTCAGAATAATCCACAGGTTCTCCGCGTTGGCTGGGTCAATGCGTTGGAAGACTTCGACTTGGCGGATCGTCCAGTCGGGGGCTGTAGCGCTCTTGAGGTCGTCTTCCGGATAGGAGAGTAGGTAGTGGAGATCTAGAGTTACTCCAGAAAAATTGAATCTATCAGCTATCTCTTGCCCCAGTGGAATTCAGGCTTAGGATACACGGGCAACGTACCGATTATTCCATTCGAGTGTCGGAGGATACGCATTGCTCCGCGGCCGGCATCTGCATGTTTGGGTTTATCGCCGAATGTGAGGCAGAGACCGCGAAAAGAACGGTCGATGTCGTATTGGTCAAGGAGGCGGTGGAAGGCGGGTTCTGTGATACCGAGTGGGCAAACGGATTTGGCCGACGAAATCAAACTGGGTAGTCAAGTAGAATTCTTAGAGGGAGATTCGCCACCAACAGACAAGGTACTACTTACACTACTCGAAAGCGTGGCTTGGGGGTCGTCGCGATATGTCGTTCGAAGGCGTCGCTATGGTTGAAATGCAGCTCGGATGGTATAGCTCCTTTGTCAAAGAGGTGGATGTCTGCCTTCTCCGGCTTGGTGACAAAGGCGCGGTCATGGTGGTATGGACGAGTGGATTCATAGTATGAAGGGATGGTGGGGGATAGGAGAGGAACAGCATTCGGCCAGGACTCGGAAAGATTCATGATGACTGCGACTACTAGGTAGGTAGTTTGGTCTTAACGACTGCAAGATGAAGACTCGGCTAGTAAACGAAGCACTAGAACAGATAGCATAGATATAATTCAGAATGGGTGCAGTATGACAAGACCAGGCTGATGCGAGGCACACCCTTCGTCCAGCAGCACTGGTTAGTAACTCCTCAGTTGCCACCAGGCAAGGCAAGGCAGCCCCTCAGCCTCCCATCAGCCACGCTTCGTACCGTACGTAAGAAGTTACTTTCACTACCCAGGCTGTCCGCTACTGCATGTGACTAATCGTCGTCTAGAATGTCCCTGGGGTCATTAGAGGTTAGCAACCGGAGGCCCAATTGAGGAGTCTGGCCGTACTCCAAGTCATCCTGCGGCGCTCAGCCGTATCAGCCAGCCTTGTCTTTGAACTAATCTCCACATGGAGAGTGAGAAGACGAGGTAGGTATGCTTACTGACCCTAGTCACCTCTCGTGGGGCATCGAACACATAGTGTCCATTTTGGAGCTACAGTGCCACGCATCAGATTCCTAGAACTTTGGTTTCCATGCGCAGTTCGTCCAATATGGAGCTGAGAGACTGACCTTGACTTGAATGCGCCTCCCGAATAGTTCGAGGAGCTTGGCTTCTATCTTGGGTCGCTCGATATATCGGACTAAATCCGGTCCAAAACTGTTGCGGACTAATTCTGGCATGCTGTGTATCTGGATCGGTAGATGTGGACAATCGGTTTGGGGGGGGGGGAGAATCTGGGTTGAGGCTGTACACGCACCCTTCGCGAAGAGCGAATGGCTTCGGAATTTATCAGGATACAACTCCCAGCGTGGCAGCATGGGGGATTTTCCGGGGTATTTGTCGTGAGGTGCAGTATTGGTGCCTTCAACGTCAAAGCAATACTACCTATGATGTCGTAGCAGCGTACTGCAATGCCCCTTTTTGGCCACGCAATTGACATGAATTCTCCGACATCCGCCGCTTAAAGCAGCCAAGGACGCCGTGCATTTGTCAATTGCAAGATTGTACTCCGTATTATTACTGTATTAAAGACTATTCATCGCAACCAAATTACTAGTAAATAGACCAGCGAGAAGTTGAAGCTACTTTCCTGCACCTGAGTCCCGCTATAACGATGTTTCTAACTCAAGCCTTGTCTCGAGGGTGACATTGTTTGGTTTAACTAACTCATCTAAGTGCAGTTCTTACTAATCGAATAGGATTAATTTTAAGATCCGTACCTTAGGGCAAAGTTTGTTGTAGGTATTTGTTCTACAGAATGATGCCAATTCCGGTGCAGAAATTCTTCGGTCAGAAGAGAGAGAGTAAAAAATACGGTGATGATTCTTTACCATGTCGATAATCATGAGATGCAACCCGTATTACGCCTGTATAGGCGATGAGACGGGGGACTTTCGCTGCACATCGGGTTTGGCCAAGTGACGGAACTCCTATCTCCGCTGCAGAGGATTTGACCCTTGCCCCACGTGTTGGCCCATGAGTGGCGCGGGGAAAGTGGACCGGGGAAATGGGCAAGGCTACCCCGGTTCACGCGACAAACAATTCCCAAGAGACAACAACCACTCCGTCGTCATGTTAACTCACTAGTAGTTACGGCAGCCTCGTGATGGGTAATACCGACGAGGGCTCTCCAGACGCGAGTTGCATGTACAGTACTGCACATGCATGCAACCGTGACATCTGACGTGACATCGAAACGTCGAAAGTTACTTGCATCCTATTGCAGACATGAGTAAGTGGATGAATCATGTAGTTAACTAGTGCCCGTGCCGAGGTAGGGCTAGCAAACAACATAGGATGACCTCCGGCATCGAGATAAGGGCTTCAATAACCCCCAGCGGTGCACGTGTTTAGTCCCATCCCACCCATCCCATGTCATGCATGAAGAAGGCCAATCAATTGGATTCATGTAGAGGTGGTGAGACTCAAGAGACGGGGATTGCGCTAGCACTGATTTCTCTGGTCAATCACTCATATTTTCAAAGCTGAAAAGTTGACGAGCCGAGGGGGAAGCTCTCCGTAGATTCACAATCTACTAGACGAATTAAAAACCGGATCACAGAATGGTTGCAATGGAACAGATGACATGAACTAGTATCTTCAGCGAGGCTGTAGCACTTTGCTCATTCTAGGGCGACGGGGACGTTGCTCAGGTGGTGGGCGGAAGCCTCGTATTTCCGGCGAGAGACTAATGTCAGATACGCAAGCCTTGCGCCCAGGGCAAGGTATTTCCGAACCCAGCTTTCGCCCCTCCTCTTGGCTCTTATTATCGAATCATTCATTTAATCTGGCCAGAAAATCAACTTGAAAGTTGGCTGAGATTTCCAAGAATTTAGCGGAGCCTCATACAAGCAGAGTTCCAAGCGACACAACCGCATTCGTGAGCGAAGTCACCTTCGTTTTGCAGCCATGGCTGATGATAATCCCGCATTGAGGTACGAAGGTGGGTAGGGAGATAAAGAACAGAGTTCATCGACTGATTCAGGCATTTCATTCACAGATTCAATATCGATAAACCATTGATCAAGCGAGGACCCACAGATCTGAGGGAAGATGTCATACATTTCCACAAACACTTCAAACTAGAAGGAGTGGTTAGTGTCGAGCAGCTCATAAGGGGAGCTTTCATTGCTCAGGACAAAGCCAATCGATATGCTTTTCAAGAACAAGGTCTTGCCGAACTCACAAGTACGGAGGAGGCCGCACTCAAAGCCGAAGATCCCAAGAATCCCAAAGATGAAGTCGGTTTCTGGCGTCAAACGCAGGATCTCAAAGTCACGATGCTTACTACTGCCTGTGCGGCTATCGTTCAGTAGGTACAATTGATGCCAACATGGATCAAGGGCAAAAGGACTTACAGGTACGACAGGGGGTGGCAACAATCGTCAATTAATGCGACAAGTCAAGCGTGGCAGGCTGCCTTACACTATGACGGGGATAAATCTGACTGGGGCGCGCACCAACTCCTAGTCGGGCTGGTCGATGCTGCCCCTTGGCTTTCCGCGAGTGTTGTGTAGTTCTTCCATCCAAGCATGCATCAGTGCGCAGCTAATATATCGGCAGGGGTACTTGGCTGAGCGATCCATTGCAGGAAGGGGGATTCGGAAGACGACGTGCTCTCTTTATTTCGGCTATATTTTGCATTGCCTCTGTTCTGGGTTGGTTTCTCTTGGCCTCACGCACAATATCCACGCTGATTATTGTCAAGGAAGTGCTCGATGTAACTCGTGGCAAGCTCTTCTCGCCTGTCGCATGTTACTCGGGATTGGGGTACGTACCTCTGAGATCTCTCCAAGTATACATGACGAACCTGAACCGAACTGACAATTTTCTAGATTGGAGCCAAAGCATCCATCGCGCCTGTGCTGGCTGCAGAAGTAGCTGCAAAGAATCTTCGAGGACGGATGTTACTATTATGGCAACTGTTCGATGCTCTGTAAGGTTTCGACCGTTCAAGGCAGGATCACTCTCTGATTAACCTATAATGACCTGTAGGGGCATATTCTTGGGCTTTCTCGCTGTGTGGATTGTTGGAGGCAGCTGGAGAGTTCTCTTGGGAGCCCCCGCCATTCCGGCTATTGTGCTTCTGTTTCTTGTTTTTCTTTGCCCGGAATCGCCACGATTCTTGATTCGAAACAAGGAGTACGCGAAGGCGTATCAGAGTCTTCGCCGTCTGAAAGAAACAGACCTACAGGCGGCCAGAGATTTGTATGATATCCATATTCGGCTTCTAGTGGAAACTCTCGATTTGAACAATCAGGATATCCAGCAGCGAGCAGAGAATGGATTCCGTGTTGACCCAGCGTCGAAGCCCCCCACCGGGGAACCTCATGACCCAGCGCCGAAGCCCAGCATCGGCTCGTTTCCCAAGCGATTCGTGGAACTCTGGACCAAGCCTAGAAATCGCAGAGCTTGTCTTACGACGTTTCTCGTCATGATGGCACAGCAGATGTGTGGGGTCAGTTTCTTCATCAACACTGAGTGCCATTCTCCATTTCACTGACCAAGAGCAGATCAACGTGATAGCCTTCTATAGTAGTACCTTGTTTGGCAATGACGCATGCTTGAAGAATAGTCGTGTCGAATGGATGAATTTTGGTGAGTGCAACCCTTGGATGCTGACAACATTCACATCAGCTGACTGTAGATCTGGCAGGTTTCGGTCTGGCCAATTTTCTATTCACGCTCCCAGCTTATCATCTCATCGACACTTATGGTCGTCGAAAGCTCATTTTGTACTCTCTGGGAGGGATGTTCTTCACTCTGCTCCCGCTAGCTGTTGGGCTCTTTGAGCTGGGCAAGAACCAATTCAAAGCCCGTGAGGCATTGATAGCGACCTTTGGCGTGGTTGTATTCACATTCTGGTATGGTATTGGAGCCGGTCCTGTGCCCTTTACCCTCAGCGCTGAGGTTTTCCCGCTTGCTTACCGCGGTGAGAAGCTCTTCCTTCTGTGTCGAAGCCAAGCTCTCTCATACTAATGGATGAAAACAGAAGTCGGGATGAGTTTCAGTGTCATGGTGAATTTCCTTGGACTCGGTCTTTTGGTCCTTCTGGTGCCAAAAGTAAATACAAGTCTCACCAAGATGGAGGGGGGCAATTGGAATACTACTTCGAACTGCACCGCCCAAAATGATGCTGCTTATACCACCATGGCTGGCCAGGGAATCCTACTTTTCATCTTCATGTCAGTCTTTGTTTCGTTATTCCTAGTTTGGGAACTCAGTGATACTGACCCAGTGAGCTATAGGGGATTTAACGCCGTGGCTTTTGTACTTATTCTCTTCCTGGTATGCCCCTGGTCTGCTCATCCTGGATTCGTGCATTCTGACAAAGTCCCTGGCCAGGTACCAAGTGGTACAACAGCACGCGTCAGTCTGGAGAGCATGAACGTCATTTGTAAGGCTTGATCACTTCCTCTAGCGTTTCTTTTGCTGACCTTACAATTTGAATTAGTCAATAAAAGGACGGTCGAACATAATAGACAGATCAGATGGCTGGCAGGACTGTTGAGACGGAAGGGGAAGGGGGTCTCTGAGGAAATGTCTATGGAGTCAGTACTAGAATCATCTCGCGAGCGTGTATAGTATGGATAATTAGTGGTACGATAAATGGTAATATGAACAAGTTAAAGTGAAGCGTCTTAAGTTGATCGATATATTTAAAGCCTCAGGCAGCAATTCTGGATGAAAATCCGATTCGTTCCCCCACGGGGCAAACCAGTGAGACTCAGACTGACGTCGAATCAAGTAACTTGGAGCTCGCTAACTACATGCATAAGGTACCTTAGTAGGTAGAAATGATTTGAGTAAGCAATCAGGCTGCCCCCCCCCCCGCCTGCCCAGTTCTTCCTTCTGCCTCACTTCTTCCTTTCTCATTCTCACTTGATTAGTTTTTTCATTCATTTTCTTCATTCTTGCCTACCCAGCTTACCTTCATCATCTACACATTTCTGAATCATGAATGGTACAGGTTTGCACTCTATGACGCTTTGCTTGTCTCTTTCCATGCCCATGCGACATCCGCCGTCCTCACACGCTGGAAATACAGCCCACTAGAGGAGTCATTCCCACTCCGCTCTGACTCACCATTGACTGCCAACCCCCAAATACGTGTCATGTCAGCCGGAGGTTCTCAGTTCGCTGCTCTGTGCGACGAATTCAGACGAGACTTCTATCGTCGTGCCACCCAAGGGCGAGACGAGATAGACGAATTTATCGCGCGGGGCACCCTGACGGAAATTTGGCTTGATAAAGGAGATCGATTCTGCAGTCTCATCATGCCAGACATTGACTGGCGTACGAGCCTGCAAGATCATATTCAGACCATGTCTATTCTCATAGATATCAACTGGTCTGGCTGGTCTCGCTTTGAAGATATTTTCTTGCGGACTCCCAACCGAACCGACAGTGACCTCCCCGAATACTCAAAGCAAGACTTCATGAGCTCGGATTTCCTAGGACCAGATTGGGGGGGTAGCTTCGCCAAAGCGCGCTTCTTTTTCTGCCCTATTGACATCAAACAAGGCAAGCGCGTGAATCGGTCGAAAGGCTGGCGCCTGCCGTACATTTACGACAATGAGACAGGCGCATCGCGGCCCAATATCGGAGCGGGCTCGGCTGGTGAAGTGATTCGGGTGGAAATAGCTCCCGGTCATTTCTGGTCTCCATCTGGCAATTACACAGAACTTATGCCAAACTCGGTAAGTCGCGGCTTGGTTGCTTCCCCAGTGTCACATACCATTGAAGCTAACCCATACTGTAAAGAAGAGCTTGTCAGTTGCCGTGAAGAAATTTTCCAAGCGAGGCGCGTTCGAAAAGGAAGTCAAAATTTTGGAAGGGTTTTCCCAGATCCCGACGAGGCACATTCATGTTGTTCAAATGCTTGCTGCAGTCGCCGTTGGCGATGAACTTGGCGTTGTCCTTCCCTTGGCACAAGCAAACCTCGAGGACCTCCTCATGGCTCGTCATAAACTGGAACCAAATTCTTTTGATGTGCCACATCTACTTGAACAAGTCGCAAATCTGGCGGCTGCGCTCGACCACATTCATCAAGCAGACTGCTGTCACCAAGATTTCAAGCCTGAAAATGTTCTAGTGTACGACTCCTTGGACGGCTTTGCCCAGTCTCCGGTGGGTTTGTGGGCGATATCTGACTTCGGCATGGCCAAATTCGTGCTTGATGGCAACACGGGACGGACAAACAGTGAAGGGATCAAACCGAGACGACCGAGGAATGATCCACACAGCACCTACGAAGCGCCAAACTATGGCACGGACCGAGATCCAACAATTGCAAAGAGTGACGATGTATGGGGTTTGGGCTGCATCCTTGTGCGCGTCCTCGCCTTTGGGCTCGACGGTGTGACAGGTCTTCAAGAGCTCGACAGGCAGAGAGCATATACCGATACTGGGGTTTCTGAATCCCGGGATGACTGTTTTTACCGAGGCTCGCCGCCGAGTTTGAATCCACATATCAAGAAGTGGATAGACGAGCTACCCAATCGTTGTAGTGTGAATAAAGCCTTTTGGATTGGGTGTCGAGAACTGCTACTGCAGGCTTTAGCCATGAGTGCGAGTGATAGGCTAACTGCAAGGCAGGTCTCACAAGAATTAAATAGGCTGAGATCAGAGTATCAGCCTGTAGGCTATATTGGGACTCGTCACAACAGCACGGCTTCATCGCACTCATCTGGCGGGGTCCCTTCACCCCGAGACTACGAAGATCTGCGATCTTTTATTCAGAATCACAGATTTGACTACTTGGATTTGCTGCGCACGAAATATCCAGATATACTGCAGCAGTGTGATGATCAAAATACCACACCACTAAATTACGCGATTAAAGTGGGCAAGGGAAAGAATATTTCCACAGTGATGGAATTGCTACAGCGTCTACAATGTCCTGCTGATGTTAATATTCCCTCCAAAAATGGCATGACGCCCCTCATGACTGCCGCTAGTCATGGCTACGGAATCCTTGTGACTCGACTGCTTGAACACGGGGCCGGATGTGGGTATACCTGCGAGGGAAGGACTTGTCTTCATTTTGCGACCCAGGCCAATGACGCAGACGTGATCCGAGAGATATGCAAGTCTGAGCCACAGATTGTCAATGTGTCTGACGCGTCGGGGACAACCCCTCTGCTTATGTTTGTGAAGCACTCCGATGCCGCATACCGAGACCCAAAAATGACTAAGGAGATGTTCAAGGCTTTCTTTGTGGTTGATTCTAACGCGAAAGCCTGTCTTTCCCAGCCCGACAAAGGCGGGGAAACCCCGCTTTATGTAGCCATCGAGAATGGAAACGAGTTGCTCACCAAGCTGCTTCTCGACGAGGGAGCTGAAATTGGCGATCTGGACGTACCCACAAAGCTGGGAAAGATGAAGGAGGAAGTGCGCAACTTATTCTATAAGAGCCATGCCCGTACCAGAGAAATTTCGGGACCGCGATGGCTTCGAGTGTTGAACCTTCAGTGGGGAAGGAGACGCTAATTTCCTTTGACATGCGTTTTGTTCGATACCCTTCTGTCTTGTTGCTCTGTTGTATGTGATTGTGTTACGATATGTTGAATACTAACATGCTCGTCTGTTGTTATATAATGTCTGCTTACTGTCACGGTATTTGGGCCGAAAGCGAGGAGCACTAGTTGTTCTATGCTATAATACTGGAACATCTTGAACATATCCTAGACACTTCTAAGACTCTTCCGGTATGACTTATGATGAAAGAGTTCAAAGACTTGGATAGTAGAGATTTTTTTGTTATAGAGGTCTAATTCGGAGAAGTGGTTAGATGATTATATGCATTGAGTGGTCACATTAGCAAGGATTTATCCGGACTTGGTCCATGTTATACTCCTATATGGTGCCGTGATACATGTCACATTCATAATGAAGCATGAACTCTTACTCTACTATCTTGGCACCAAGCAGAGATAGGATCTGTTCCTTAACTCGAAGGGCAGACAAGTACAAGCATGAAAGTATAATACGTCAACTGGCACCAAACTGTACCAACCTGACAGCAAACTGGCAACACAACAATAACAATTCAAACCCAACTTCCGAGGCACATTCACTGCATCCTTAGCAAGTGAGTAACAATTCATTCAGGACATTACCCCCTTCTCTCCCCACATATTGTCCCACGCAAGAAACCCCCGAGCACCACACACGCACTCCCCGCAAACAGCACGCACTCCACCGCCCCAAACACTGTCGCCGCTTTGAGCACCCCGCACGAGTTCTGTCGGTCGGACGAACTGCTACAGCGTCGAAGCCAACGAGCCATGCGAGGACGGCCATGGCTCGTGAATTGCCTGTGGGGGGGCGGGGGGGTTGGAAAGGGGCCCTGCGCCTGCTTGCGCGATCATGGCGCCCTAGAAAGGCTGGTCGCCGAAGAAGGGGACGACGACTGTGGGCCGGCCGGCGGTGATGCCCGCGGCGGTGGTGCCCGCGCCACCATGGTGCACCACGCACGAGACATGCTTGAAGAGCCTGTCATGCGGCACATTATCCAACATGAAGACGCCCTCAGGGATGCGGAGGCCGTGCCGGGAAAGTAGAATCCCGAAGTAATTTATGTGCGAGTCCCAGTCGGTCGGTTGCTGTATAAGGGCCAAAGACCAGCAGTAGGTGTGGGGGATTCTCAACCGCTAAACCATGATAGGATCCAACCCCAGACATTTGACCCGGAATCGGTTGATGACATCCCCGAGGCGAGGCCCTGGCATGAGAGTAGCTCGATCATGGCATAGCTGATGTGATTGGTCAGTTGAAAGTCGGCGTTCGAGGCTTGGATACTATTGGCCAGGGGAAGAGGGAAGGCCTGGGTCGGGAAATAGGGCATGGTAAACATGATATGGAGCGGGATAACGAGCATCTCTACGCAATGGATATGGGCAAAGCTCGGCGGGTTGGCGATGATACAATTGGCCACAAAGTGTTTGGCGATAGGTTCGGAGCCAGCATCGCTACTCGAGAAGTCGAAGCGGTCATCATCTGAGCCATCATTCGGCGCAGTAGCAGGACTGCCAAAGCGGCCCTGAATGCATTCGGCAACATCTCTCCTCTGCTGGCCGACAGCTCTGCTCATCACGCTACGGAAGCCCGGCCTCAAGCCGGGATTCTTGACTATAAAGGCCATCAACCGGGCAGGGTCGCCGCCAATGGTGAAGAATTCTAATCCATGCTGCTGGACAAAGTCCTTGAAGATGGAGTGGGTTGCCAGACGTACGCGCTGGCCGTAGACCGCCTTCAAGAGCTTTTCCAGGGCAACGAAAGGTTGTACATCTCCGCGAGAGCCCACGACCTAGATGACTATGTTCAAAGGTGGAGGTCGGGGCACGGACGGGTCGTCTCCCAGGGAAGGAGGAATGTATGAAGGAGGAAGTGGAAGACTTTCTTCGACATTCTGAACGTGTTGTTGGAGGGCAGGGGCAATGATCCGGGACAGTTGGCGTTTGAAGTGATTGATGCGGATGGCGACCCGGCCGTCGTCGGCGAGCTGCGCACTGGTGCCCGTGCCATTTCTTTTCACTGTGTATCTCCATGATGCAACGGCACCGTGCGGTGTGAACAAATATTGAAGCGACCTCCCGTCGGCGAAGCGAAGGAAGTCCTATAAGCGAACAATGGAAGGTCAAGGCAGCAACGAAAACACCAATGAATATGGTCCACCCACTAGGTATAGTTAATGCATGGTAGTATAGGGCAGCACAAGCCATGGGCAGCTCTGTGCAGAGCATTGACCTCCAGCTCAAGTTCTGGATAGAGTGAGAGCAAGTCGAAGAGCCAAGGCCGGTGAACGATTGAATATGAGTGAATACATATCATATGTGACCTTTGACTGCTCTGATGAAGTGGCAAAAGGAAAAAGTCTGTTTTCGGGGGAGGTTGTGCGGAGATGTTGAAGTGAGCGAAATCCCCAGGAACTCTGCCTAGTGTCATTACTATCAATTTCTGCTGTCATTTCTCCTTCTGTATCTCTCAATGTGGAGGTGTCTGGATTAGTCTTGAGCAAACGAGCAAACTGGAACGATGGCGCGCCTCTGGTGGAGGAGACGGTTGAGATGCGCAGAAGCGTTTGAAATGTTATAGTTATGAGGCATCGAGAATCGGCACCTAGCTTTGATAAGTCTGAAAGGAAATCATGGCAAAATAGAAACATCAATGCATTTATCTTGGCATAAGAGTCCTAAAGCATAGACCATTTTGAGTCAGACATAGTAGCTGGATCATTATCGCAGGGCAAACGCTCTTCCTAAATGACCAAGTGGTTCATTGTGAGCACTTCACTCTGCAGTCGCATCCCGCACCTTGCCAGTCTCACTAGTATCACTTTTCTGGGGAGCAGCGAGACAATCCCCTTCCTCATGCTCCGCATTCTCAAGCTCAGTATCTTCATCAGCCTCTGCCTCTTTCCCAGCAACAGCCTCAGCATCATCTTCTCCTTTCTCAGTAAAACCAGCACAATCCGCCGTCTGCGAACCCTCTCCCGGCACCCCAACCTCTACCAACGACGAGCACGCCGACCAACACGACACCTTCTCCTGTGACTCCTTTGGCTTCAACCCGTGCTCCTTGTCCACCAAACGAGAAGTAAGAGCCGGAATTCGGCCCTTAGTTTCCCCAGGTTGCTCCCTCTGACCTTCAACGAAAGCCATTGTACTCTTCCTCCAAGCATCCAGCGTCCCATAGATCCCATTACCGAATTCGTAACAGTCACTTTCAGACCCAGAAGACACATCCTCAAAATAAAAGCGCTTGGTCTTCTTCTGATCATGCACCACCTGCTTGCTGTTCGCCTGTGACTGCTCTTCGTACTGCGCTTCTTCCTGCTTAGTAAAGCCAGACTCCCCATTTGTAGCATCATCGGCAGCAACAGCAGCATCGGCAGTAGCATCAGCAGTAGCATCAGCAGTAGCATCAGCAGTAGCATCAGCAGTAGCATCAGCAGTAGCATCAGCAGTAGCATCAGCAGTAGCATCATCGGCTGTTCCAGCAGTACCAACAGTACCAGCAGCACTAACACCACCAGTAGCAACCTCGACATCATCATCATCAGTCATACCACCACTAAAATCCCCCAACAAACCCTCCTTACTCCCATCACCACTCGCTTCATCAGCCCTCAAACCCTTGTAATCGAACCCTCCCGCTTGAATCCTGCGGTCGAGCTCCTGTTTCAGACGGTACCATTTCAACCGGGCAGCGTACTGGGATATACCTGTTGCTGCGGCGACGGCGGGCCAGTTGATCTGTAGATGCCAATTGTTCTCGATTAGTGATTGGTCTATTTGGCTTCGGCTGAGGCAAAGAGGGATGTTGGGGCATGTTCATTCAAGGTTGTGTTGACAGCTTGTGTGGTTCAAAACACATCATGCTGATGCAGTGATCGTGGTGGTGCATTTGACTGAGTGTGTATTGGAAGATGGGGGTGAGACGTGCGGTTTTGGAGTCTGCGTTCAGCAAGACGACGTAGAGGAGAAGGACGTCGGCTTCCGGGGTGCGTTTGAGGTCCGGCATTGTTTTGTATGGAATGTGTGAGAGGCGTGGAAGGCGTTGCTGGAGTGAGAGTGTTGATGGTGTGGGTTGATGTAAGAGATAAAATGAGAGAGCTGGGGGAAGAGAGAGATGACACGAAGGAGTTGAAGTGAGGAAATGAGAAAGAAAGCAAGATGAAAGGAGATGTCTGCGGACTGTATTGGAGATGGGTAGGGACAGTTGCTCGATGGAGGAGGGTGAAGGAATCAGTGATGATATAGTAATTGGCAAATTTGAAAGACCGATGAAGCTGCGTGTTCAAAAGAGCTAGACCGTGGTATATGTCAATGCTGAGATACTATCCTGTGAATTAACAAGAAAATGAAGCTGTTTGCTCAACCACCAACCTATCGCAGGGTGCATGCTGTTCACGCAATGATTTATTCTGCTGATATCTGAAGGGATTAATTTAGGACTTGAAATCACATTCATCATCAAGCTAAGTGAAGAACTGGCTAGGACATATCGTGGTTAAAACACAATCAGGGCATTATATTGCTTTTTATTTCATTAATGCATCTAATTTCTACCTGAGTCGCCTGTCACCAGCCCAGCATACCGCTCAGCCGACTCTCTGACTGCCTCCACAAGAACCGTATGAGCCCCGCGCGCGGCATTGACGGCTCCTTCAATCAGCGCTTCATGACCCAGACTGCTGTCCTCCACCCCCAACGCAGCCTTCGAGTGATCGCCCTTGAGCCAGATCTCGGTGATCTCGTCCCGAGCAGGCATGTAAGCGACCACGCATGCCGACAGAATGGACTTGTGCTCGGCTGGATCCGTATCCAGCATGAGTTCAGGCGTTGTGGCTCCTTCCTCGGTAGCTTCCTCGTCTCGGACGATGGCAGCCACACCTCCAGCCACCAAGTCCAAACAGTCAATCCGAGCGTCAGCAATGGCTGCAGATGCCGCGGTAATACATCCGGCCAGTACGTTCATCATGCCCCACGGAGCGTCGTGCGAATCAGGCGCATCCCCCCACCACCGATCGTCCTCGGCCTCGAGAATAGTGATTGTGATATCCAGACCACTCTTCGGCCACCGTTCCGCGACAATCACACCCCGGAGCGCAGTCTCGAGGTGAACGCCCAGATCCCGTTCGCTAGCGTCCCGGATGTGTCCCTTCCGTTGACGAGCGGCGAATGGTGCATATTTGACGTGCGTGGTGAGGACAAGATTTGGTGAGAAGGTCGCCGAGCGGGGCAATGGCTTCGGTCCGTGAACGGTGCATGCGAGCTTCAACGCTGAAGAGGGAGGAATCAAAGACTGAGGCGAGGACCGAGCCGCAGCGAGAGAAGCGGACGGTTCGTATTCAAGGTATGCGGAACCGGAGGCCGAAGGAATCAATCCCGTCTTCAGGACTGGTTCATAGTTAGTCTCATGTCAGACAACACCAATGGAGAGACAGAGTAAGCTCTTACAGATCTTGCGCAACTCATTTGGTTGCCGATGACGCCGCGGTCTTTCTGCGACTGCGCCAGAGGCGGATTTGAGAGAAGAGGCGAAAACCACAGGCCTCGTGCCGCTAGGCGGCCCATTAATTCGTCGTCTGTCAGTCATTACACATGTCTTTGCATCCCTGCGATCAACTTCAAAACGTGATCGAGGAAGAGCAGATAGTAATGGGGCAGGGTTGATAAAGCGGACCGATAGCTGGCGGTCGAATTGCCCGGCGCAGAGCTACAATTTTGAGAGGTGTTTGCCTGGTTTGCAGGGTGGGATGCGCGGAAGCTCGGCGCCTTTTTTTTCCCCCTCGTTGGGTTTTTCTTCGGCTTTTCGCTTCGCGTGCTTTTTCTCCTTCTCTTCCTTCTCTCTCCCCACAACACAACGATTGTACTGAATTGACAGCTTCCTGGCTCTTCTCATGCGAAGACAGCTTTTGGATGCGTCATTATTCCATCATTTTGCCTGGAACTAACATGTAGATTGTGAGTATTATCTGTTCCACATACCCATCTATCTGTTCTTCACTTGCATGATGAAAGCGATCCAAAAAAATCGAAGTTCTGGCGACCTAAACATGGGCCTCGAACAAACATGCATCACCATCTGACCACCATACCCTATCTTCACTTTTGCTCAGTCATTGTACTGCAGTGGACTACTTGCTAACGTTCACTCAAGACGGCAACAAACCAAAACACCTCACATGAGGAACACGTCCTATTGATCACTTGTAGATGAACTGGTATGTCACCTTTATTCTTTCTCTATTCCCCACCACCGCGCATGTCGAGTCCTTCGCTCGGCCGACCTTTCATGATGAGACAAATTTTTTTCAGTTCTGCTTCTGCAAAATTTTTGAAGAAAACAAAATACCTTACCAAAAACTCCTGATGCGAATCATCTTCCCTAACACTGCTTCATTTGCACACATTGAGGAAGACAACCCAGCATGCTAACAGCTGCGAAGACTCTAGATATCGTAGCCACACAATCACATTTAAATCCGCAACACACCTACAAAGGTAAGACCGACCTTCTCTTCAGCCCCACACATCCACACCACTGCACTGTCTATGATGACAACAAGTCAATCCATTCAATGATCTCCCCTTGTGGAGAACCGCCCCTCGAGCCGCGCGAAATTTCTTTCCTGATAACCCTCACAACACCCCGCAATTGAGCGAAGTGTATGAGCAGAGTGGAACAAATTGATGCCATTTTTCTCATCTCCCTTATACTGGACCTGCTGGGAAATCGATCTTCGGATCTCTTTTCCGGTAGGGAGGAAGGTTGTGGAGCTCTTGAGGGTGGATTCCCATCGTTTGTTCTTAATTTTGCTCGTACACTTCACTTTCTATTGTGGGCTTGTGGGAACCTTCGCGGATGGGATTTTGCAACGCTTGACTTGTGTCAATGCCTTCCTTCTGGCTCGAAGTTCGTTTTGGACAGCGAGTTGGGGGGTCGGGGTTGGCAGGGGAAGGGATGAATTTAACCGGCTTGGCTGATTCCTATCTACTTCCTGCCTGCTTTGAATGTGCAAATCAATCCTACTGGGTTCGAGAAGCAGTTGAGCTGACATTGCTTGGCTACAGATAGATTTTTATGCCGTTGCAATCTTTGAACGGTGTATGTGCATTAGTGCCAGGTGTAGATAGCATGGAATATGATCAGCTTGGATTCTCTGCAATGTCCGCTCCTTTCGGCCACTTTTATTTGTTTTCTATTCACAACAACTAAGTAGGTTCGTTGCTCTTTGTCTCACTCTTTGTTCTTTCTCATGCCCTACCATCAACTTTCCCTTCGATCGTCGTCGTTCAGAAGATGTTTGCATATCTACGTATTTGCTACTTCAGAGCCTCTCCGGCCATGAGACAAAATTTCACCACATGCCTGATGGACTTTCGACGATCGAGCCCCTTACCCTTGTGCCTCTTCCCACTCATCACCTATCACCATTATCAATACAATAAACAATACACAGAACGTCTGTACACATTAAATATCATTTCAAGATATGTATGTATGGCTTTAAGCATATGTACACGTAAGATAACTGGTCGAGGAGCATGCACCTGCAGTACGCCTCCCTCGCCCCCTGAGAAGAACAGAATATAACCTTTTTTGATTTGAGTCCACTGCACGATGTATACCTGGTTTGCCTGTCCTGATTCATTCGATACCATCGTGAGGCTGTGCAAGGTCGGATGAGCTCTACCAATGTCACAGATGGCCGTCGTGGTGCTGTGCGTAGTTGAAATGAACGAAAAGGATACAAATCATGGTCCTTCGAGGTCAACATCACCCCACAATTTCAGCCTTTTCGAGTCGTTCACTTGGGGTGGAGGTGCCGTTGCTCGTCATGCTGTAGGGAGCCTGTGGATTGATCGCAGGTCAGGTTTTCCAGACCATCTAAAAGGCACGTGTCGAGAGTAATACTTACGAGAACACGCTTTGCATTGCAGATTCTCCATGCAAGATTACGGACAGTTCCATCCGCGCGAACAACCTCGGGCGCGAATTCCACGCCGAACCTAGAAAGAGTGATATCAGTGTTGTTGCGCGGGTCGAAAAGCACACATCGACTAAATACTCACATCTGGTGTACGGCAAACACGACTCTCTTGGCATACTTGCCATTCCTTTCCACTTGGCTGCCAAACTGCTCGTCCACGGTCTCGGGGGCGATCTCGGGATCTTGGTCCAAGCAGTTGCGGATCACGGGGAGGAGCTTCTGCTCGACGGATGCCTGGAGATCGTCCTGTTCGCTTTCCGCAAATTCCTCCTCGTCGAACCGACCAGTGAGGATCTCAAACGGTCGGGAGATCGCCATGACATTGTGCTTGCCGTTGTGGTGGTAGCGGAACTCGAAGACTCCCTGAGTCCAAAAGAGCTTGTCGCCGGTGAAGACGACTTCCCCGCTGAGGAGGTCGCTTGTGTCGCCATCTAGGCGCTGGGAGCCCGAGACTTTTACATCGCTGGTCACGATGCCTTTTTCACAGGTTTGATTGTCGTAGAAACCGGCATTGGTAGCGATCCATCGGCCTTGAGAGGCAATTCGCGTGACCTCCCGCGAAACGTTGTCAGTGACGCGGTAAAGACCGATCCAATCCTTCTTGCTGTGGTTCAAAGGTGCCGTCCATCGGACTTTGATCGGTGCGCCGTATTCGAATACCAGGTTCTTCAAGTCACCTTGTCGTTGTTTACCGAAGGAGGACGATTCGGTGCCCTCGATCAGCAAGGAATAATCCCCTGCATTATAGCCTGCAAGGTCCTCGTCAATGCGGGAGATGGTGACCCGAGCTGGATACGTCTGGAACAAGGCGGTAGTATCCTTTACAAACGTGTTCACCCCAGCGGCAAGCTTAGGACGGGCAGTATCGATTAGTTCTTCAATAAATTCAAATGACTCGTCCACGATCTTATCAACGCTACCATGCAGTTGGCGGAGCGACGGCGGCAGGGATCGCTTGAGGCTCTTGACAAGCCCCGCATCCTGTCGCAAGCTTTGGCCATAGAGTTTCTGCATGTGAGGGCGCTCGACGAATTGGATGAAAGCCATGCTTAGAACGTGACTTATCAAGGCGAGGAAAATAACCGCTCCGCTACTCGTAATGAGAACAGCCCCCCATACCCCGGCCAGCCCCAAAACACGTTCGGGGTTGTTCAAGAAGCGGTAGATGCCATTGTACGTCAACTTGTGAGATCCTTGGAAGAAGAAGTCCCCGTAGAACCAGCCGAATTCACCAAGAGATTCGTAGATGCTGAACGATGTCCATGTCTGCAGGCAAATAAGCCCTACACCCAGAACATGCCGGAGCAAGACGAGACCATAACCCCAGTCAGCGGGGAAGGTATACATCTTCCAGGCGGCAGCAATGAAGCTCGCATAGCACATGATCATACTTAAATGGTACGTGCCCTTCCACTGGTTCCAGGCTTCTTGAGGGGTCTCGCCATACTTGACAAAATGCCGTGTCCACGCTTTACGATTTGATTGGCGAATAAGTAAGTGTCCGATGCCGATGGAGAACCATAGTCTCCAGATTGTCGCATTGGCCACGAAAATGTATTGATAGCGAGGTGTAGAAGGCGTCAAGACCGTCAGGGCGAATACGAGGAACTGAACCAGCAAAGAAGAACTATCCGTTATCCGATGCAGGTCCAGGTTGTGGAGCCCTAGCAAACTGTGGACCGATGGAGGAGGGTTGCTTGTTGGGTAGTTTGTCGCGTGGGGCAGTTGGTCTTCAACCGGTGACGAGGGAGGCTCGCTGGCCTGAGACGATGAGGATACAGAATCTTGCTCCGTTATTATCCGCTTGCGCGGAGGAGGCGGATTGTACGTCTTGTCGATGTGCGGGTTCTCAACGAAGACCAAGAATGCGAATTGCGCTGCATGGGCGAGTATAGAGATGAACAGCACTTTGTAGCTTGCTGCCATCAACGAGATGCCGTAATAACCAGCATAGCCGACCGAGTACATCGGGTGGGGAGCCATCTCAAAAACACCGTCAAAGGTCAACTCTTGATCAATGAGAAAGAAAAAGTCTCCCCAGTACCACGCAAAATCTTTCACCACGCGATGAGCATCTAATTTGACCCACAGGTTGAACAGCACTAAAGCAATACCAGCTGACCAGCGCAGGATAGTCATCAGCACGCCCTCGTCAACGGGATGATGGCTACAAGCTATGGCGAAAAGGCAGTAGGATGTGAAGTCACACATGAGAATGAGATCGACGAGACGACGGAAGACGAGCCAAGTGTTGTACTCGAGAGGGGCCTGATCGAACGAATAGTCGACAGGTACTTTGGTCTCCAGTTCGCGCTTAATTAGTTTGTACAGGTTAGGATGGGGATTCTGGTTCGTAGACGGATTCAGAAAGATCTTGGTCTGCTCCGCCCAGCGAACAAGGGTATTGTGGTGAGATTGGTTATGTAAAAGCCATCCGATCCCAATATTATACGCCGCGCGCCAAAAGAGATAGACGGCAGCAAACACGGGGACTTTTGCACCTTTGGGAAGTTGCCATAATAAGAAAATGTGAGCACCCAGAATAAATAGGACAAGGATATCGGAAAGATTCTTAGGCTCAGAGGGAGACAGGAGTTGAGAGACCATGTCATGTGTTTGCGGCACCGTGAATACTAATCCATAGTCGAATAAGATTAGTCCTCTGCCGGCTGGTGTAGACAAACAAAAGATCTCGTACTAGACTGGGGTTGGGAAAGCCACTAACCTGTGCCACCAGGGGTGCGGCCGAAGGTCTTCTTGTCCTTCTGTGCATCATCCTTGGCCTCGACCTCGCCAGTAGCAGTGAGAGCCTGGGAATTTGCAATTGCCTCCGACTGAGAGGCCAAGTTAGTCCTCTCACGAAGTCTATCCTCACCCAGAGTTGAGCCTGTTGAGAGGCCACGATCCATTGTTGAAAGGAGGTTAAGAAAAATGTTGAGATGTACCAAGCTGATGCAGTGGAAAAGAAACAAGAATGATGAATGGAAGAAGAAGGAAGACCAGCAAAAGCAGAAGCATGTGACAGTGGGGAAGGAATCAACTGGCGGGACGGCAATGATTGGCGCTAACCTCATACGAAGCCCAACAACTACTGGTAGTAGTGATTACCAGCCACTTCCAGCAATTTGGATGTTTACTAGGCCACGGTTCGGGTATGGAGGGGGAAAAAAAGAAAAAGAAAGAAAGAAAAGGTAGGGGAAAGTAGAATGAGCTTGATTCCCACTATTTATATCAATTGAAGCAATGCAAAGCCAAAAACTGTTGGGAGTGAGACACTAACTTAGCCATGCCTCCTTCTCCAATCTCCCCCACGTCGGTTATGGCTTGAGGTGGATCCCAATGCACCCACCACCAAAGGGACAGCCTACAGCATCGACTTACTCCGTATGGGACTCCGTCTGGAACTCCGAATGGGACTTCGGAGGGGAGACACAGGCTGAAATTATCGGTTCAACGCCAATCAATACGCCCACTGGGCTCCATTGGGAGCCAGACAGAATGGGTCGGAATAATGCATGTTCGAAGGGTCCAGTCATTGCAATTACCCGGCCCTACAAAGACTATTATATTAATTCTGGTGGGCGGCAACTGCGGTGCTCTCACCCTCTGTGCTCGGATGGACAATCCTCTCTCGCTAAGCCTCGATCAAGGGCCCTAGTGTCACGGTAGATGATGAAAATGCAGAAGCTACTGTATGTAGCTAATTTACCTAGTTATGCACGTGCAGTCATGGCAAGAATTTTCCCCCTCTAAACGAAACTTTAGCATTCCTAAATTGGACTAAATTGGAGTGGAAAGCGATGGAGAGGAGCTAGGCCGGGCTATCTATATGCGTGTGATAGTATGCGCATGAATGCTCTGGTGTGCCTTTCTTTTCACCACCGTGGATAGCCGGAATAGCTTCCTGGCCTGTATGCACCCGTGCTGAACCGACCGCAACACAATAGAGTCAGCAATGAAGTACTGTACTCACGAATTGTGATACCATGATAGCCTCTCGATTGCTGTGGGAGGCTTAAAGTGCTGACATCTCATTCCTGGTTAATGTAGGATTCTGGGGTAAGCAGGAACTGACTCGATCACGAATTTAGTCAAGTCAGCTCGAAACGGGGACTGTTATAGTCCTGCTCGCAAAGCGCTTAGCATGTGCCCGCATCCTGATAGCCTCAGTTAAAGCGGAAGCAGCGGTCATAAAGCTTCAACCTGCATTGTAGGGTAACGAGATTCGTGAGGTTATAGGGCCACATCAGCATAGCCGTTGGCGCTGTCCTGAAGACAACGCATTGGGAATAGGATATCATTGCTAGCAATCAGCACTAAGAGAGGAAAGTTGATTGCATGCATATGTATACCTGACCTTTCGCTCACATGTACTTTTACGACAACCTCGAATGTGTCCCCTCTCGTATCAATCTTATTACTGCATCAGCTCCGACACCGCTGAAATCTGAATGCTGCCCCGCACCAATCGCCACGGCAAGGTTTGTCATCCCTCCGATAAGTGCTGATTATCAAGCAACTTCCCGCAGTCATCATTGTTCCCCGCCACTTTTTCACTCAGGGCCCCTTGTGTTCTCAGTCAATATCTGGCGCCGTTATTGAGATCTGCTGCTTTTTGATCGATCGCGTACGAAGAGTATACAGGAAACCAAATCTACCAAAAATGGCGCCTTCTCTCGAGGAGCCAACGACAGATCACTTCGATGCGCCTTCCAAGATAGCCCCGAATCTCGTTGCGCCTGAGCCAGGTCAGTCTCTATTCACGCGCCCAATGAAATGTGAATGCCACTAACTGGTCTTGGTCTGTAGAACATTGTCCTGGACCTGAATCTGAGCAAGCTGGTCAAGGCGATGCTTGTGCCGGTTGCCCCAATCAACAGATCTGCGCCTCCGCCCCCAAAGGCCCTGACCCAGACATCCCCATCATCACCGAACGACTATCACAAATACGGCACAAGATCCTCGTCTTGTCTGGCAAAGGTGGTGTAGGCAAATCAACTTTCACGTCTCTGCTTGCCCATGCCTTCGCTGCAAACCCTGATTCTACCGTTGGCGTCATGGATACAGACATTTGCGGGCCGTCCATCCCCAAGATGATGGGCGTCGAGGCGGAGACTATTCATGTGAGCAATGCCGGCTGGAGTCCCGTGTGGGTCACCGACAACCTTGCTGCGATGAGCGTACAATTCATGCTGCCGAACCGCGACGACGCGGTGATCTGGAGAGGCCCCAAGAAGAACGGACTCATCAAGCAGTTCCTGAAGGATGTGGACTGGGGAGAGATGGACTATCTGATCATCGATACGCCACCCGGAACGTCAGATGAGCATTTGTCGGTCAACTCGCTGTTAAAGGATTCTGGTGTCGACGGTGCGGTAGTTGTCACTACTCCTCAGGAGGTCTCTCTGCTGGACGTGCGGAAAGAAATCGACTTTTGTCGCAAGGCTGGCATACGGATTTTGGGGCTGGTTGAGAACATGTCGGGCTTTGTATGCACGAATTGCAACACCAAGTCCCAAATTTTCCGGGCTACCACGGGGGGCGGAAAGCGCCTTGCGAAGAAGATGCGTATCCCGTTCTTGGGTGCCGTACCGCTTGACCCAAGAGTCGGCATGGCGTGCGACTACGGCGAGAGCTTTGTGGATAACTTCCCGGACAGCCCGGCTTCGAAGGCGATCAAGCAGGTTGTTCGTTCGGTTGCACAATTCATTGGAGAGGAACCGGACGATGTTTTGCCGGTGGACCTTGTCGCATAAACGCACTGTTTCTTTGTATTCATTCTATCAGCGCGGTGCATTTGGGATAGCAAGCTAGTGGATTTACATGATTTGACATCATTGTTATCATTGTTGGGCGTTTGGGCATAGATGCAGTTATTTTGATACCAGCTTACACAAAAGGCAATTTGATCTCGCGCTCACATACGAGGTAGTTCTTCCCCATTATTTTCTGCTCTCCAGTAGTTCGTCATGAACTGGCGGCAATCCATAGCTTGGGGGCGGAACGGTTGCAGTAGGCCAGCAGAGCTCAAATAGCTCAGGGAACCTCAGTGCTGAACACGAGCCACCGTCGTGTTAGTGCTCACTTCGCCTATCTCGTCCTGGATCAACTTGGGGCCTGAATCAATGTTGATCATGCCTCTTGAACAAAGACTTAAACGCCTGTCAAGTTCCTTTCCTGGCCTAAGTCCCTTGGCATACTGGATTGACCCCTCGTTGACCACTTTTGACCCCTCGAATTTCACCATTCACTTGGCCGAGCTTGGCTCTGTTTGAGACTTGGGGTGTTATAAATCAAGTTGGACCCGCTTCACCACCTGGCCGAGGTCGACACATGGAAACTGAAATATACTCCCTGAAATAAACGTCGCCGTCCGGGCCATCCGGAGAGACCCTTGCTGAGGATCGTGTTCATGCCGAACCTTTGCCGAAAAATTCTCCCACTCGACCAACGGTGCTGTTGTTGTTTTTGTTGTTGTTGTTGCTCAACATCCCGATGTTATTCAGCCAAATCCACTCCCCTTTTCTTTTTTCGCTTCCCGGACCAATTCTTGGGACTGTGCCGGCCCCGGAGAACTAGACTCCTTCTGATCCCGGAAGGTCTCACTGCCTACGCGGCCTGAAGTCGAGCGAGCTGACCGGTCGACAAAGACTTCCTTTTCTCTGATAGAATCTAGGCCGGAGTCCACCGATATATTAGTAGCAGAAAATAGCAGCACTATCATCTGCCGGCTGGACCGTGCTCTTGACATCAGTGACTCGTACCATCGACTCCTAACACTAACTGGCTACATCAGCTAAGGTAAGCTGTAACACTGCTGTTTCAGGATTTACAGTACCTGATTGGACCCCAACTCGAGAGGCGAGCGGCTAGCGGTTTCAGACTTTCAGTGCCTGGAAACGAACAGTGGCGGAAATGCCTCTCACGGGCGCCTGTCAGGCTGATCCAGGCTTTCTCGGCTGTGAGATGCGTTGATACTTTGTGGCTAAGAGGGGGCAAAATCCCTTGGATTGGCCCATCTTTGGCTCTTTCTCGGTGGATTCACTTGCTCAACTCTTGCAATATCGGGTTAAGACCGGTCGACTGCACATTTAGTTGGAACAATGCCACGCTCCAGTGAACCCCATTGCCTAAGCACCATGCGTCAATCCTCGACTCTTGGACTCTTGGGCTTTTCTGGGCATAGGGCTTGGATCTTTTTCGACTCGTAGTCTAAATCTCGTCTTTCTTTGCGCTCTTATAGACTGCGTGTGTTTCTTCTCTCTTCGTGTGCTGCAAATTGACATTTTAGCTCGTTCATTCACTTCTTTTCTGCTGTCTTTCCCTCTCCTCGTGGGAAGGTAGCTTTCTTTTTCGTTCGTTCTCCGATACTCATTTTATTTTACCTTCTTCTTATCCATCCGTGGTAGACCACTGGTGTGCTTACACCTCCTCTTCATCCTTCTTGTCTATTGTTGTTGTTTCTGTTGGCTCAGTCAGGACTCGGCCCCCATACTTTACTTTTCCCTATAAACAGCGCGCTGTGCCTTCAGGGAAGGAGTCTCACTTTTCCAAAAGACTAATTATTGCGCTCGTTGGATTTTTTTTGTGTTGTGTTTGTGCTGTGTTTCTAGACCCTCCTTGACTTGGATGTTCACTCTTTAACAAACTAATCTACTTACTCCAACTGAGCTACAATCATGCAGCTCCTCCAGTCTCTCTTTTTGTTTCTGTTCTTCAGTTACAGCGTTGTCTCTTTGCCAACTTCTGGTCGCACTCAGCACAAGGGAAGATCTTACACGGTCAGTCGGGTTCGTCGGGGCGAGGGTGAATTGCATGGTCCGTCGGCGCTGCGCAAGGCATATCGCAAGTATGGCTTCACTCCCAGCACCCTCAACATTGAACTGGAAGACTTCGAACCGGTCACCACGGTGAAACACAACGTCGCCGCTACCACCGACAACAGCGCCGAGCCCGATCAGATCGGCGCCGTCAGCGCAACCTCTGTCGAAAGCGATGCCGAATTTGTTTCGCCTGTGGAGATCGGAGGCCAGAAGATTGTCGTCACCTTCGACACTGGCTCAGCGGACTTGTAAGGAATCCATGGGTCCCAGATTCGCTTTGTCTTGGATTACTGACCAGAGACCAATGATAGCTGGGTCCTGGACACTCGTCTTAACAAGACCCTCGATGGCCATACCCAGTATAACCCCGCCAACTCGACCACGTTCAAGGAGATGCAAGGTGCCACTTTCAACGTCTCCTACGGTGACGATTCATTTGCCGCGGGTCCCGTCGGAACCGACACTGTCAACATCGGCGGTGCGGTTGTCAAGAACCAGGCCATTGGAATCCCCACCGAAGTATCCGAGTCCTTTATCAAGGATACCAACTCGAACGGCCTGGTTGGACTGGGGTTTTCCTCTATCAACAGCATTGAACCCCAGGCCCAGAACACCTTCCTCGCCAACGCCGCGCCTAACTTGGATGAGCCTGTTTTCACTGCCGCTATCAAGAGTGATGGTGTGGGCGAGTATGGATTCGGTCTGATCGACTCGGCTAAGTACCAGGGGACCATGGCCAACGTCAGCGTGGATAGCTCCAATGGTTACTGGCAGTTCGAAACTTCCGAATTCTCTGTAGGAAGCGGATCCCTTCAGACGATCAACTCCACGAAGACGGCAATTGCGGACACCGGCACTTCTCTCATGCTGATGGACCAGCAAGTCGTGGATGCTTACTACGCCGAAGTGCCGAGCGCGGTGTATGTGAGCAGTGCTGGTGGTTACATCTTTCCCTGCAACACTTCTCTCCCAAGCTTCTCAATTGCTCTGGGCGCGCAGCACTTGGCCACGGTCCCCGGGGACCTGATTGAATTCTCCAAGGTTGGCACCAACACCACCACCGGACAAGCCCGTAAGTATCTTAGCCTCATTTGTTATTGAAGCAGGCCCTTACTGACCAACTTTATAGTCTGCTACGGTGGGATTCAATCGAACTCAGGCGCCTCGCTCCAGATTCTGGGTGATGTCTTTCTGAAGGCCTTCTATGTTGTCTTCGACATGCGTGGCCCCTCCCTCGGCGTCGCTTCACCCAAGTGATCTTCTGATGAGCATTATGCCGGTCGATGTACCTTAGTTAATTCTGGGAGAATAGAGAGCTGCCTGCCATGGCAAACTGTAGCAAATTAGAATTGTATCAATGAGTGTCAATGTGATTGTATGTTGGGCTGGGATCGACGCATAAAAGTGGAGGTGGGATGTGATGACTCAGTAATGTGCATCCAAGACATGCATAACGGTCCGGTCGCAACAGAACAAGGAGAAAAAGGAGAAGCTCTACCCGCGCACAGCAGGATTGACTACGCAACTTGGTCGCTCCAAACAATTGCAATTTCGAAGATCCCCGTCCTCCGACTGGGATCTCTTCTGAGACAAGTTGGCTTTCCTCAAGGTGGCCGTGAGCCTTCCGCGGGTCGCCAAAACAACCCCGCGGATTCCTTCGGCGACGGTAAGATTATTCGCTGCCCCTCCTCTTTGGCGGCGGCCAGCACTTCTTTCTTCAACACTACTACCACCACCACCACCACCATCCTCTCCTCCTCACTTCCTTCACCACTCTCGCGCCATCCGCTATTTTGCAAACATGGCTATCAACTCCGCACCCGAATCTTCCCTCCTCTCCCTTCTCTACCGGTCATACCCGGGCGCCATTTCTCCAGACACCCCCGAGCTCGACCTCCACACCTCGACCCCGAAAATCTTCCCGCACACCAAGTTTTCCGTCGCTGAGGAGGCCGACATCAAGCAATGGCTGGCCACGATCACCGGTCTGCAGCACGCCCAGGCCAAGGACGACAAGACGGTCACCTCCACCATTCTCGGCCAGGTGAACACTCACCTGGCCACCCACACCACCCTGTTGGGCGCTAAGCCCTCCGTCGCTGACATTGCCGTCTACGCTTCGGTCGCCCCTCTTGTCGAGAAGTGGTCCCCTGAGGAGCGCACCGGCGAACAGGGCTACCACCACATCGTCCGCTATATCGACTTTGTCCAGAACAGCCCGCTGTTCTCGCTGCAGATCCCCGAGGAGGAGAAAGTTGCCATCGACGTGAATGACGTGCGCTTCGTGCCCAAGCCCGTCGACCCCAAGGCCGAGAAGGAGCGCAAGAAGAAGGAGAAGGCTGCCGCCGCTGCTGCTGCTGCTGGCGGTCCCGACGCCGGCAAGCCCCTCGTCGTCGGCAAGGGCAAGCCCTCCGCCGAGAAGAAGAACAAGGTCGATGCCGCTGCTGCTCCTGCTCCTGCTGCTGAGACCCCTGCTGCCGGTGCCAAACCCGAAGGCGGCAAGCCCAAGAAGGAGAAGAAGGAGAAGCAGCCCAAGCAACCCAAGGCGGCGCCCGCGCCCGCCGGGCCTCCCTCCCCCTCCATCATCGACCTCCGTGTCGGCCACATCCTCCGCGCCATCAACCACCCCAACGCCGATTCGCTGTTCGTCTCGACGATCGACTGCGGCGACGCCCCCGGCACCGAGAACACTTCCTTGGACGAGGCGACGGGTAAGACCGTCCGCACCGTCTGCTCTGGCCTCAACGGCCTCATTCCCCTCGAGGAGATGCAGGGCCGCAAGATCGTTGCTGTCTGCAACCTGAAGCCTGTCACCATGCGCGGCATCAAGTCCGTCGCCATGGTGCTGGCTGCCTCTCCCCGCGTCGCCGAGGGCGAGGACTCCCACGCCTGCCCCGTCGAGCTCGTCAGCCCGCCCGCTGACGCCCCCGCCGGTGAGCGCGTTACCTTCGAGGGCTGGTCCGAGGGCGAGCCTGAGAAGGTCCTCAATCCCAAGAAGAAGGTCTGGGAGACCTTCCAGCCCGGTTTCACCACCACCGATAACCTGGAGGTCGCCTTCGAGAGCGCCGCCGTCCCCGTCGTGCACGGTCAGGAGGGTAAGCCCGCTCTCGGTCTGTTGAAGACCGCCTCCGGCGGTCTTTGCACTGTCAAGAGCTTGAAGGGTGCTACCGTTCGGTAAAAGAGGGTTGGAATGATGTTGATGGTTGTTTGATTTTTCTGCGAGAAGTTCTATACTCATACCTGTTCATTTACCCCACCTAGAAGAGAGAGTGCGTAAAAGTTAAAAGAATTTAGCGAGTCTCTTCCCATCTAAAGAATCTTGATTTCTCACTGCCTCTACAAGAACGCACTGTCATCATCTGACATATGCGATGTGGTTAGGTTGGTAGCGTCATTGTGCCTGCCTTACAAGCGGGGCCATTATTACAATGTCCTGTTTGCTTCCATCTCTTGTCATCTCTCCATGAGCAGCAAATAATACCGGCGAGTATTGCATTGACATGCGAAGCTTCGTGCAAGAGGACAGCTACTAGGCTTTTTGCTTAGCAGTCGTATACCCCTAGCAATGTTTGGGTTGTTTGGTTGTAACTGTGCGATTGTTGAGAAAGGGCCGTAGCATCATCTTTCTGCTCTTGATCCAACGATGACGGGCAATGGTTGATGTTTCCACGCTTCTTTCGTAGAGTTTGGCTGCACTCTCAATCTCCTTCTCTCCCCTTGTCTTATCACGATGTTATCAATCGGCTACTGGTGGTGAAAGCAACTCAGGTCCGATGACCTCCTCCTTCGCCTCCTCTTTTTCTCCTCTTCTACCCCGCAATCTGCATCACCATCCTATAAAAGCAGTAAAAATATACAAAGGCGGAGGAGGGAGGGGAGGCTCCCTTCTCTCTCTTTGTCTCTCATGTTTGGAAAACTATAAGTTTGTTCATGCTGCTATCGCTGGGCCTCACCTGTTTCTCTACTGGTTGCTGCGAAGATTGAAGCAGAAGATTTCTACGACTTACTGATTGAAACTCACCTTACATTTCTGCCACCATGAGGGCAGTCCGCTTCCACGCCGCTGGGGATATCCGCGTAGATCAGATTGAAGAGCCGGTCTGCGGGGAGCGGCAGGTCAAGGTGAGTGCGCCCTGCGATTCCTCCCGTGCAGCCCAAACTTCCTCGGGTCCTTTTCGTCAAAGTCTTACCTTATTCTGACTTGTCGCAATCGGTTTCACTTCTCTCTTCCAGATTCGACCTGCGTTTGTGGGGATTTGCGGGAGTGGTATGTAGTTATTTTCCATTTCATTTCCCCATCTCAATCCGATTGGGGTGGGGAGGCATTGCCAGCAGCCAGAAGCGGCAATCATAAGAGAAAGCTAGAGAGAATCCCTGTTGGAAACAATACAACCCAAGATACCGAGAATCGACTTTATTGACTTGGCGATCGGGCACTGCTTCATCTAGATTTGCACGAGTATACGTGCGGGCCGATCCTGATCCCCCGGACGCCACATGCGATCACGGGAGGCCAGCTTCCAACAACCCTAGGCCACGAGTTCAGCGGCATAGTCGAGGAGGTAGGCACCGGCGTACTGCCAGCGCTGGGAGTGGTGGCCTTGAAGTGGGAGATCATGTCGCTGTTCGGCCCAGCCTCTCAGACGGAGATTGTCCTCCCTGTTTGCGGGGAACCCCGAACTGTTGTCGCAACTTGGGGTTTGTGGGGTATAGTAGTAAGTGAAAGTCTGGCTTTTCTGTATCTGTCTGTCCTTTGATTTTTTTGGTTTCTTGTTCTTCACTCTTGTTAGCTGGTCTTAGGCTGATATTCCCTTCCCAAGGTAATGCAGGGGGTTTATCGGACTACGTCGTAGTGGACGCAGAATCTGCCATTCCGCTACCAGACACCATCCCTTTGGAAATTGGCGGTGAGAACGAAGGGCCCGACTACCTACGAGTATAGTACAGTGCAGTCCCGGCTGACGCAACTCATAAGCGCTTGTCGAACCGTTGTCTGTCGCGTGGCACGCAGCAGATCGTACCCCCCTTGGAGATGCTCAGAAGGTCCTCATTGTCGGAGGAGGTCCCATTGGTTTGGCCATCATTCAGGTTCTTCGATCACGATGGATAGGGACCATCATCGTCGCGGAGGTCTCGTCGCGACGACGGGAATTCGCGATGAAGTTAGGCGCCTCTCAGGTCCTTGATCCTCGAGCAGGGGATCTGGTCTCCATGGTACGAGCAATGACCGACAATGCGGGCGCAGACGTCGCCTTTGAGTGCTCTGGCGTGCAAGCCGGATTGGATACGGCTCTCCAGGGCATTCGTGTTCGAGGAACGGTCACGATTGTCTCGCTCTGGGAGGCGAAGCCGACGATTGATGCCCGCGCGATTGTGCTGGACGAGAAGCACGTCATTGGGGCGGCTATATTTGCCGATGGCATCTTTGAGGCTGTTATTGAAGCTATACGCTCGGGTATGCTTGAGTGGCGCGCTATTCCTGCCACTGCCATCCTGTTCAAGACCCCGCGCTGACTCTTTGATTTGTCATATCCATAGGCAAGCTCAATCCGGAAGCCATGATCACCAGCAAGATCCGAATGGAGGATATTGTCGAAAAAGGGTTTGAAACTCTGATCCATGAAAAGGATCAACATGTTAAAATCTTGGTTGATGTCTCGGCATAAAATCCATGAGGAAGAACCTGAGGATCTGAGATTCCTGTAAACTAAGATGGAACCCTGGTCAGCTGCGGCTGTGAAGGGTCGCACAAGTGATCAAAATAAGACTATGTGCTGTCAAGTCCCTATTTTTCTTCCCGAAGCCATACCTGACAGCCCAAAGCATGTGGGGATGGCACGTTTTGCGTGTATTCTGACGCCAGCCACTTTCGGAGCACTGGAGCTGAAGTGTCAGCAATGCCAAGAGCATCCGTCCATGATAGTCTTGCTCCTTTTTTTTTAGTTCTTACCGGGGATGCCCGACGGCAAACCAGTGTCAAGCCCTGAGTTCAGTTCGCGTGTGGTAGACAGCTTAACCTCATTTGGGTTTTCAAAGCGACGACGACATCCTATCCCCAGGAATCAACACGTGTGGGCACGAATGACAACGACAGCACACCAACCATTCCAGCGGAACTACGGAGTACTAAATTAACTGCTGCACTGACACTATGAGAGGGGGGTGGAGATGATGATGCCAAGATATACACGTCGAGGGCAAAATTGAGCGGGGTTATTCCTCATTACCTCGTATAACCATCCCCAAAGTCATAATGTCGTAGGAGTTGTAGTTGCTGTTAGTCTCGCTGATGCCTCAGGGTCAAGCCGCACTGAGGAGTAACCCCAAGGTTCGGCTCCGGAGTGGCCATGTTCCAATCCGAGGTTGTCTAGAAGCGAAGCCGACATACTAGACTCTGGGATCTTTCTGGATCTAGATGTTTTGAGGTGTCAAGGCTAAATTCCCTAAATATTCTGACAGCCAGACCGCTCGGCCCAAGTTCAAGTGCGCAGTAAACTAGTTAGTTCTCCGTAGTTCCGTAGTTATGTACCTCCTTTCGGATATCAGAACCTGATATGTCTTCTCCAACCGAGCTTTGTGCGTCGAGTGAAGCTGGGAGCAAACAGTGCTTGTTGAGCAGGTGATGAACCCTATTATGTGGTTTTCAAGACAATAGTCGCAATGCAAACGACAAAAAAGCAAAATAGTATTATTAAATATATACAGTACCGTAGTAGTATGGAGTCTGCTCACTGTATACCGAGAGACTGTACTCCTGTTACTCTGGTGGCTGCAGAAGAACATGCGTTCGATTGCGCGAACGGGGTGGAGAAACGCCACTTTGTTTTTTTCCTTTTGCGTTTTTAGTTTTTTTTCTTTTTTCCCACTCTTAGACGGGGATAGCGGATCTCCAGAACGAAAGGGATGAGAAGTACTCCGTAAAGTTCCTCCCTTTGCAACTCACGGACCTTAACCAGTGGAACTCGAAGGGTTCGAGGACTCCATTCACCCCGCCGGAGATGTCATCCACCGCTGGTAGCGAGAGAATCCCGTCTTTGTATTGAGACTAAAGGTGCGATTGCTGTCTGGGTTTGGGTTGGACGTCATCCAACCTGCGAAGAGATGTGCAGTACGGGGTGAATCGACGATAGCAGTTGGGATGGAAGAGAAGAAGAGCATCGGAGAATAAACGGCCACAGAAGAATCATCGTTGTAAGTTATTGGGTGACAGCAGCTCTTACTCCTTCCGACTACGTAGCACTCAGACTAAGTACGGTAAGTAGTCATAGTCAACAAGGGTAAGAGAGAGTACTATACTGTATGTACCTGACTGTATGATATACATTCCTTCCTCCATCCAGATTCACTCGTTTGACACAACCTTAAAGCAGGGGCCTTGACCTTGGAGGGAGGGGCTTGCAATGGGGCAACTCTGAAGCACTGAAAGAAATTCAGGATTATTACAGTCATCGGGTGCCATCCAACTGGACTGGCGCAGCAGCATGTCCAATGTATGTATGTCTCGCCTGCAAGACTCCCTTTCCCCCTCATCTCAATATGACCTGATCTGACCTCACTGGATTGAACCGATTGGAACTGGGCCAGGTAGCCCTACCCTCCCTCTGATTATTTCCTTTTTCACTGCCCGCTTTGCTTAAAATTTGCTTAGAATAGAACCGTGACGTACAGGAAGTATGTACTCCGTACTGCCCCATCCATTCGGTTATTGACCGTCCTCATCTTATCAGAATATCGATCAGCACAAGAGTATTTATGATGGACAGTCCGCCCTTGCAATCTCCTTGATAGTGTTCCTTCTCTCACTTCCCCAGGCATTTAGCTCCATTATCATCCGCATGAATTGATTCATCTTCAGAAAGAGGTTCTCCTGCAGTGGGCTTCAAAACTTGGATCCCATCTATTAATATACCTCCGGGAATCGTGTGTTTTCCCTTCCGAGGTGGAACCGCCTCCCACCACACGAAACCCCCCACTCACAGTCCCGGTGTTTCACTCTGGTTGGTGTTGCTGGGCTCTTGGGATCTCACTAATTTTTTAGGGGCTCTTTTGGGTCTTGGGGTTCATTGTGGTGTGGTCTTTGGGTTCAGTCTGGCACATCATTAATCCATTCTTTTTCTTGCCGCAGGCCGGTTTTCGGTTGGGAGAGCGCCGCTTTTTCCTTGGTTTGCGATCCCCGATCGACTCAGGCTTCTAGTGGTTCTTCCAGGTATCATTATTCACTTTTTTCTTTTCAGTGTTCCTGTCCTTCTGTCGTCTAAATTCTTCTATTTGGTCCATTGTTTTGTTTTTTTCTTTTTCGTTTCGTTCGAAGGGAATATCCGCTCGTTTTCTACTCCATAACTTCAGTATTATTCTGATTTGTCTGATTTGGCACCGCTTTTGGCACCATTTTTGGCTTCCCTTCAACTCGCCTCTCGCCCGGCCTGGCCTCTCACTCTCGACGGATCTTAGCCCCCAAGATTCTACCTACTACATCGCTTGACTAGTCGGCTTGGTAGGCGGGCTGACTTGGAGCGGACACTGGGCATTGTCAATCGCATAGATTTATAGCCGCTTTCTGACCTCCTTAGGTCTCGCATCGCATTTCGCGATTTTCTGTTTACATTGACCAACCTTGGATTCAAGCATGTCGGACTGACATTGCCTCAAAGCCGCACCATCTGTCTGTATATTTTATCTCTTGCCGTGAACATCGTCTTTCATCTGCTCGCTTGTGGTGCCCAATCCTACACCATGGGAACCCCACTGCATGGTACGGCCATTATTACCGGGGCCAATGGCCTGCTGGGATCAGAGATTGCCGTCTCCATCGCCAAAGCACAGCCCTTTGTTCACCTATTGCTGGTGGCTCGAAATATCAGATCCGATCCTATCAAGGATGTACTGAACCGCATCCGCTTGATCGGACCCAGATCTGTCGAAGTGGTCAAGGCCGATCTGGCTTGCTTCAATTCGGTAGCGAGCTTTGCACAGTATACTGTGGAGAGGGTTCGCAGTAAAGAGATTCCCCCTGTCATCCTCTTAATCAACTCCGCGGCCAGCTCGTCATACGTCACCGATCAAGTCACACGAGATGGGTACGACCCAGTCTATCAAACCAACTGCATCGCCCCGTTCTTGTTGACCGTGAGCCTGCTTGAGGCCTTTCGGGCTGGCGATGGCACTCCGAACGGCGGTGCTCGGGTCATCAATATCGGATGTGCCGCCATGTCCAAGGGTTCCTTGGACTACTTTGACGAGCAAGGCTCAGACAGCGCCAGCCAGACTCCTGGAACGTCGATAAGTGCAAAGGAAGCCACCGCTCGGTTCGGTAGTAGTAAGTTGTTGATGAGCGCTGCTATGTATGCTTTACGCCGGAGTTTGGTACTTGTGAGTATTTCATATCCTCTTTTTGCGGTTCTTCCGGAGATGTTCAAGACTAATTAAGCTACCGTAGGCTGGTAACATCTCGCTCAATGTGTATACGATGGACCCCGGATTTATGACCGGGGAAAGCCATCTGACCGCCTCGGCACCTCTATCGGTCCGCGTAGCGCATCAGACTCGGTCTGGGCTCCGGCCGATCTTGCGCGTTTTCTCCAAGAGCGCAATTAACAAGGCCAGTGTTCCCGCCAAGGTAATTGCGAAAGTCGCATTCCAGAGAGAGACAGTGGAGAATTGGGGCAGAGAGCGCTATTATATTCTGGATAGCGAGTATGAGGCCGCATCCGTCATTCCCGTGTTGCGAGACCTGCCGCGCATGGATGCGCTACTCCAGAAGGTGATGCAACAGATCGAGATCGGTGTCAAGGGCATGGGCTCGCCCCAATCCAGGGTCTCCCGACTCAGTGGCCTTTGATTCAGGCTTACTCCGAAAATCGTCGATTCTTCATCTAATCTGTGGCGTTATATCTTGCATTCATCCTGTCGGTTCAGTCTTTTTTTGGGGGGGGGGGGAGGGGAGTTCAAAAGATCCGAGCATTCTTGAAGGCGTCATGTTGGTTTGCAATCTTGGAGTCTGCGGGATTCATTTGACTATAAGCTGTTCTGTAAATAGAAGTGATATCTGTATACATCGTGGAATCTCGTCCAATAAGAACGAATATCCATATCAATTGAGCAAGATTTGTTCGTTTCCTGCTTGAGGATTGTAGCTGCGATGGGAGTGAAGATGGCTGACGAAGGCTGAAGATGGCCGCAAACGGTCGGGACCAGCGGGAAGTTTGGAGATTCGTGCCGCATTCGGATCTGCACCCAAATTGCCCGCGGAATCTCAACTGGCGGCTTGAGTCCAGAGGCCGCCTAAGCCTACGGTCTCTCGACCGCAATCATTTCTCCGGTCAACGCCTCGGGGCTGTTCAGTTCCTCGCACTCCTCGTCTTCCGTTCCGCCTCTTCGCTGTCCTGACCGACCGGGCTCGGATTTGCGATTTCTTCGCCGGTTCTCATTTTAACCTTTAACCATCTTCTCATCCTTAGGTAGTTTGAGGAAGTTGAGCCAGCCGTCTTTCTCTCCAACATCAGTGCCTCGACAATTGATTTGCAACTCAAATCAATAACCCAGCTGCATGTCATTATAGGAGAGATGAACAGGCATCACGCCTTTGGCAATGGCTACGCTGCCTATCCCCGTAGCAAAAGCAACCATTCATTTTCCATTTCCCCCCACCGGTACGCGGCCCTTTCGTCGGCGAACAGCGCGTGCCATCCTTCTATATCACATCGATGGCATGCAGATGCAGCGCGGACTTGAGAGAGACTTGAGGAATTCCTGCGCTGACATTGAGTCTCACCCAGATTTCAACCCCGGTCACAGCCTGCCTTGCGGCGCCGTAGGCAACTTTTTCAGCGACTATGCCTCCTCTGCGGTATCTCCCTGTTGCTCCTTGTCCTGATATTCCCGTCCCTGCGCGCCTCTCTCCTGCCGGTGGTATCTCTTGGCCTCGTTCACTCCTACGAAGACCTCCAAATCGAGACGATCCGATACTATGATCTTTCCAAAGTGCAAGGGACATCCAGTGGTTGGGAGCGCGGGGAGCGGGTGCTGATGTGTACGCCGCTGCGCGACGCCTCCTCCCACTTGCCCATGTTCTTCTCGCATCTGCGGAACCTCACTTATCCGCACAATCTGATCGACCTGGCGTTTCTGGTGTCGGACTCGGAAGATGACACGATGGGCATGCTGTCGCGCATGCTAGACGAGCTCCAGCACGACGTGGATCCGAAGATGCCGTTCGGCGAGATCTCCGTCATCCAAAAAGATTTTGGCCAGCTGGTCCAACAAGACGTGGAGAGCCGGCACGGATTTGCCGCGCAGGCCAGTCGCAGAAAGTTAATGGCCCAGGCTCGTAATTGGCTGCTGAGCGCCACGCTGCGCCCAACACATAGCTGGGTTTATTGGCGGGACGCGGATGTCTTGACAGCGCCACAGACGATCCTGGAGGATCTGATGCGGCACGACAAGGATGTCATTGTACCGAGTGAGTGTTTGCGTTGGGCTGTGCTTGGCTTGCAATCCATCTTTCTGACACTTATTGGCATCTAGATGTGTGGCGGCCCCTACCGGATTGGTTGGGTGGAGAGCAACCGTACGATCTGAACTCGTGGCAAGAATCAGAAACAGCACTAGCGCTGGCCGATACATTGGATGAGGATGCGGTCATTGTCGAAGGGTATGCTGAATACGCGACCTGGCGTCCTCATCTCGCCTACCTGCGCGACCCGTATGGCGATCCGGACATGGAGATGGAGCTTGACGGAGTAGGAGGTGTCAGTATTCTGGCGAAAGCGAGAGTGTTCCGCTCGGGCGTGCACTTCCCGGCCTTCAGCTTCGAGAAGCATGCTGAGACAGAAGCCTTCGGCAAGGTGCGTATTGATTCGCGAGGATTCGCACCTTCTGACGTCTATATGATACTGATTCCATGATTAGATGGCCAAGCGCATGGGCTTCTCGGTCATCGGTCTCCCGCACTACACTATCTGGCATCTCTACGAGCCGAGCGTGGACGATCTACGGCACATGGAGGAGATGGAGCAGGAACGCAAAGAACGCGAGAGGGAGGAGAAAGACCAGGCTGACCGGGCCGAACGCGTTCAGACCCTGTTCAAGGATGCCAAGACGCAGTGGGACATCGACCACGCATTCGTTGAGGATGCGATCGCCGATGAGAAGAAGAAGCAAGAGGCCGCTGCTGCTCCAGATCCCTCTTCGAGCGAGGCGCTCAAAGGCTCCGAGAAAGGTCCTCTGGCGCAGCCAGCTATGAAGGAGAGAGGTAGTGCTGAACAAGGCGACCAGGTGTCCGATACCCAGATGGAAGAAGCCAAGCGCTAAGTGGGCTTTTAAGCCTCGCTCGCAGGTTACAGTGCGACTTGCGCTTCCATCTGCTGTCCATGTTCAACAAAACCACTTCCTGTGCTGGTCATAGGCGGATTAATCTTTGCCCTTTAAGTGTGTCCCGGCGTTTTAATTGTTTCTGCAGTTGTATCTGTCGACAGACCTGGTAAGATATTTTGCATGGTGTCGTCGATCTGGTCATGATAGGACGGTCTCCGATATAGTATAAACATGGACTCATTATTTCTGATTTACCTTGATGTCTAGAAGTGACAACTTCCCCCCTGAATGTATTCCTAGAATTTTTTTTTTGTTTCGGTCTGTATTTCTGGGAGTATAACGCAACGAACGGTAAGCCATCGCGCAGCTCATTAAGCGGTGGCCCGTGCGTCTATCAACTGCCGCGGAACCCACGCCCATCCAATTCCGGCACGCGTTCCCGCGTCAAATCTTCCCACCGGCCGACCATCAAGTATCCAGAAAACCCTCATGACCTTCCCCACCTATTCTCTATCTTTTTTTTTCTCTGCATCTCTCTGATCTGCACCTCCAAGCCTAAAGCTGAGGAGGGCAAAAGAAAATGTCCACCCAATCCACCCCCAGCATTCTCTTCACCCACACAGCCCCGCAACAAGGCTTCCGGTTACTCGAACTTCCCCCCGAAGTCGCCGACCTTCTCACCTCGGAGAATCCTCCCACGTATGTTACAAGTGCAGTCCTTTTCCTGTTCCTTTGTTCCTTTTCTTTTGCAATTAATCCCTTGTCCTGCTTGTCTGGCACCTCTCTCCGTGTCTCCTTCCACGGAGTAGACCGAACCTGGGCGTTGGCTAATGCTTAACCGGCGAGAAAACCTAACAGGCTCTACCTCAAATCCCCACCCACAACGTCAACACATCTCCGATTCAATCACAGCGATGATGGCGATGCTCTCCCCCGCGAATACGTCAACCTCTGCACACCCACCCATACCTACCGAATCCGACAAGTACAGTCATCGAATTCCCTGCACATCTTGCGGCCGGATGACGGGATCGCGAAGGGGCTGTTGAGGAGCGGGGATTTGGCGGTTGTGGATAGTCGTGCTGCTGCTGCTGTTGCTGCGACGCAGTGTAATCAGGGCGAGAGTGGAGAGACGGGGCAGGGTGAACAACAAGATGATGGTAACCTTGTCGGGGCTGGAGTGGGTGACGGCATGGATGTCGATCTGAATCTCGCGGAGACGGTGACGACGATCGCCAAGTGCGGGTCGACGTTGGAGTTGCATGTGCCTGAGGGGGGGTTCGGGGCGCGGAAGATCTTGGGGTCGTTGTTGGGGCGGTTTGCTTCTTTGGGGGATAAGAGGGGTGTGGGTGGTGCTGGGGAGGTGGCAGCAGCAGATACGCAGGTGATGGAGAAGGTGTTTGCTGATGTTCCGGTCTCCAGAAAGGAGTGTGAGTTGGGATGGGTGGAGGGGTGTGCGTTTGTGTGGCGGGGGAAGGCGTGGGCGCCGACGCCGGAGGTGAAGATGGAGGTGTGGGAGCGGGTGGTGAATGGGGCTGTGGTGCAGGGGATTGATCTGCGGAAGCAGTTCTTGGTGGCCGATCTGTGGAGGTCGGTGATGTTGGAGGAGGAGGAGCAGGAGGGTGCAGAAGAGGGAGGGCGGTTCCCTCAAGCGTTGTTTGAGGCGGTTGTGCGCCGCGTCGTGGAGGTTGAGGAGGGGGGTTTGTTGCTCGGGGACGAGTTGAAGTGTGAGTCTGAGATTACATACCGTGGACTGTCGTGCAATGGCTTGCTGACATTTCCTATCTGGTCTAGGGGCAAGCCTTGATAAGGATGCTTGTGTACGATGGGTCGGTGAGACGTATCTTGAGGCCTTCGCGCCGATGGCGAGTGCTGCGATCGGCCGCAGTGAGTTCCTCAACGCCTGGAAGGATCATCTACCGGAGGCTTGGAGAGAGGAGGTGGCTCTGGCCAGATTGACGGTAAGCTATCATTTGTTCTCTCTGCATGCAAAGACGTCTTCCATTGACTTTCTTTACTTATAGGACTCCGTTTATAAACTGCCCGGCCCAACCACCATCTGCTTCGTGACCGAATTCGAGCGACAGCGAACCAAGAAGAATCTCTCCACAGAGGCTAGTGCGTCGACGGCAGCCAAGAAGTCTAGAAACTGGCACGAGCTCTTCAAGAACCAGAAGCGACAGAAGCGGTGACGCTCTAGTATATTCTTCCAGAGTATGCATCCTCAGACACCAAATGCAACGGCTCGCAAATGCAAAATCAGAAACAAATCAGCACCATGCGTACTTCTCGTTCAGGCACCATTCCACCGTCTCGCCAAACCCAGACTCGGCACCGTTCCATCTCAATGACGCAATGCTATCCTTTTGACGGTGAACCAGCTCGACATTGGGGTCTACCATGGCGACTGCCTGCTGCAATAAGGGAGTTGGATTCCAGAATTCAACCGTGCTCATATCCCATTCATGTGCCTCACGTTGAGCGCGCCTCAAAATAGCGGCCATGGCCTGGATGGTCTGTTTGGTCTCTTCCGGAGACGTTGGTTCCTCATACACCCACCGCAGGATGTACAGAGTGTTCTCTTCCGGCACGGATCCAAAGTTCCTGTTCCATGCACAATGCACTCCCGCCGCGTCGTCGCCAGCACCTTTCGCCGTGGGAGCTTCTCTACCGGGAAAGAGGGACTTGACGAAAAACTCCTCTCTCGCCCAATGCCATCTGAGATGATTGTAATCCGGTGCAATTGCGATCTTGGGTGTGGGTGTCTTCATAGATGCTAAACGAAGGGATTCCCGCTCTTTTGCCAGAATCTGCTTGTTGCACACGCGGGTTCGGACATCTTCTGCTGTCAACGTCTTGACCTGAGGCATGGTGGCTTCAACCCCGTTTGAGACATTATGCTCCTCTGCGACAGGTGGAAGCGCGAAATGAGACGACAAGAATGGTTTCCAGCCGAATTGAGCATAGAAGTTCTTTCCAATATCGGAGTAAAGAATGCTGAAGAGGGCCTTCTTTCTGCTCTCAGACTCCATATTCCAGGTGTCAACCTTCTTGCTGAGTTCCTCCATCATCCTCTTCGCATAACCCTTGCCTCTGAACTGAGGGCGGCAGTATACACTTCCAATGCCGTGGGTGGAGACATCTTCCACGCGGCCGTTGTGCGCCAGCCAGGCTTTCTTTTTGTATGTCTCACAAGAGCTTAGGATGGTTCTCTCTCCTTCAGGTTCACTGCGATCAACCAGGATCCAGCTGGTGAGGTCATCCTTGACCAACTGCTGCGAATGGAGATGATTTTCGCGCGCGATGTACGTCTCGGTGTCCAGCCGGCCTTTCCAAGCGATGCTGTTCAACTTCAAAGCCTCAATCTTCTCCGCGGGCGTCGCGGGAACCAAGATGAGTTCCGGAGAGTCCCCTGGCGGGAGAGCAACCCCGTTAGTGTAAGTGTTATCGGCAGCAATCATGATATCTTCAGAAAGCACTCTAAGATACGGATAGAGGTGTGTTGTTTGGGGATAACGAGGAACCGTGGGATAGAATGGAGCTAGATATATGAATGAAGGCGAATGACTCAGTGACGTGTTTCCCGACACTCAATTGTAATTACGGCGGCGGCAAACCCAGATGGACTGTCTCCTTTTATTAATCTGCAAGTGATTGGAATCGAAGGGAGCTGCAAGGGGAGGGAAGCTTTGGTAATAAAATAGATCAGATGGCTCCCCCGGGGCTCGATGACGGTAAAGACTTAACAACAATCAACTGGAAGAACGGTAGTACAATACCGTACCAACCAAAGACAAGTCAACTCCGACGGGGAAGGTTTCCTATTTGCAGAGGCAGCCGATGGCAAGCGACGCGAAGCGCTGCCTTTTCGAATCCCAGGTATACTCGCGGGGATGATGTAGTCATGTGCAGAAATGAAACGCTTGTGGTGATTGACAATGACCAATGCCAAGGGCAGAAAACTACCGTAAGGCGTGGTAAAGCGTGGCTAGCGATTGTCCTAGTTATGTGTACTGTCCTCTGTAACTATACTCCGTACGGAGTAGTGAATCTCCTCCGTCTCTAGCCTCTCGATAAACCGGAGCTCCGGCTTATCGGGGACCGACGGGGCGGTCCCCTTGAGATTAAACCCAAAGGGGAAGGCGGTCAAGACACCACACTCCCGCCCAAGTCCCCAGGGTTCCGTCCCAACCTGAACTTCCCCACCTGCTGCTCTGTTGATGGATTCCCCCATCTAGCATCCCCCCTTTCACTCACGCCTCATTTCAAGAGCCTACAGGGTCTGATCGGCCTCGGTCGTCTAGAAGGAGCTGTCACTTTCTAGCTTGCAAAGGTCTCACTGTTCCTTCGCACTTGTTCAGCATCCATAATTGGCAGCTTCTGCGCTTATCGAGGCCGAGCCGCTATCTCTGTGCTTATCCAGATCTAGCACAGATCCAGATCGAGCTCCCACTCATGACTTCTTCACTCAGACCTACTGGTGGCCACTGATTACCCGCCTAGTTCAACGTCTGTAGTACGTATCGCTGTATTCACTTCGCTGTTAACCGGGCACTGTTCAGGAACTGTCCTACATCACAATATGACCCATAAGGCACCGTACTCGCTAGACAACTCCTCATAATCTAGCCTCTGACCACTTTCCATAGCGAAAGGACCAGGACCTTGGACCTTCTTCTCGATGATCTTCTCGCATCTCCTTCATTAAATCATTCAACTGCTAAGAACGTTTCCCCGAGGTTCAGGACCGGGTGATCGACCTTGTTCAACGTATCTTACTTCTAGAGTCCAACCATGGCATATCGTCACCCCTTTGCATCTAGCGAACTGCCAGTTCTCAGAGACATTGGGGAGCTTCAGGCTCTGTCTCACGGGACTTTTCCTGATGGCTTCAATGACGACGCCTTCATGGCTGACCTGGACCAGGCCGCGACATGGGGATTTTACGCCAACGACAATGAGACAAGCGATGCTTTGCCCTCGATTGGTCAAAGACCTGCGAAGAAACAAAGAACCGGTCCATCGGCGCAGAGCGAAGCTATATCGGAAGCGCACGTCCAGAATCGAGGGCCCGACTCGGACTCAAGCATCAGCCAAAGAACTTCCCGGAATTTGCCTCCGGTCATTGATCTCACTGAAGACCTCACTGAGGATAACCTGCTTACCGAAATCCTAGAGATCTTTCCAGACATCGATGTTAACTATTTAAAGGGACTCATCCAGCGTCATCTCCAGCTTGTGTTGCAGACGAAGGCAGAGATCCCACTCACCGTCCCTGATAAAGACTTGGCAAAAGGCGCAGTTACTGAGGAGATTCTTGGTAACCCTTCCTACCCCAGAAAGCAGCGAAAGCTCAAAAGGACACTTGACGAATTCGACTCGGCAAAGAAAAAGGAAGACGATATCCAGAAGTGGATGAAAAATATTCCGCAAAGGGGAAGTACTCTGTATCTCGAAATCACGTAAGGAACCCTTACCGTCAGAATCCTCGACACGAAACAAAGCTAAAAACCCCCCTAGTGCTAGGTTGTTGGCAATTGAGTTTCCTGCAGTGCCCTGGACATATATTCAGAATCTTACGTTGCACAAGAGAGAACTATACGCCGCATACCTCAGTCTGTCTGCATTGGAAGACCCTTCTAGCAAGTCAGCTAAGCCCTACAAAAACGAACAATATCGGCACCAACATTTACGTGAAGACCTGTACAAATCATATCCGCGGACGCTACGAATCATGCAAGACCTCGATCGCGAGCGTCGAGCGGCAGCAGCAGCAGCACGGCAGGCTCGGGCTCAAGAAGCCGAGGAGCGCAATGTTCAAACAGGGAATCTTGTGGAATGCCAGTGCTGTTTCGAGGAGGTCCCTGCGAACAAAATCCTGCCATGCGAAGGACTGGACGTCCACTTTTTCTGCTATACTTGCATGCAATCTTCAGCAAAAACACAAATTGGGCTGATGAGATACAAGCTACAATGCTTCGACGGCAGTGGGTGTCAAGCACAGTTTGATCGACACGGGCTCAGGCATGCCCTGGGAAAGAAGATCATGGATAAGCTCGACGCACTTCAGCAGCAGGATGAGATACAGCAAGCGGGACTGCAAGGCCTCGAGTCCTGTCCCTTCTGCGACTACCATGCCATATGCCCACCCGTCGAAGAAGATCGAGAGTTCTATTGCCTGAACCCTGACTGCGAAGTGATTAGCTGTCGCATGTGCAAGGAGAAAAGCCATGTTCCGAGCAGCTGTGAGGATGCCAAGACCGACAAACGACTCCCCTACCGCCATCGCGTGGAAGAGGCATTGAGCGATGCGCTCATGCGGACTTGTCCACAGTGCAAGGTGAAGATTGTCAAAACCGATGGCTGTAACATGATGACTTGCGCGAAATGCAGGACCCGGATGTGTTATATCTGCAACGCAAGAATCGAACCTCACGAAAACTACGAACACTTTCACCGAAGGGGAGGTTGTTCCTTGCACGATCTTCCGGGTGTAGATCCACACCGGGCACAGATCGAGAGAGCGGAAGCAAATGCTGTTGCCACGATTTTGGCGGAGAACCCTAATATCGTTGAGAAAGAGATTCGAGTGAATGAAGGACCAAAAAAGCAGGACGCTGCGACACTGCGCCAGCAAGGTCGGCCACCTCAGCGACCCCGGCAACCCCAACTCCGTCAGCAGCAGCAGGGTCAACAGCGCCCTCCGCACCGTCAACCGTATCAGCAAGGGCAACCTCGTCAGCCTACGCAAGGGCCTCAGCATTTTCGATACAATGATCCGTTTGTCAGCGTTCGCGCCAACGGGGGTGGTCCCCTTCACGTCAACGTTGACAACTCCTTAACATATTTTGCCAACAGGATACGGGACTTTCATGCCAGCAATTTCCCTTGGGAAACTCCTGGCAACACCTCTTATCCTCTTCCCAACTTGCCTGTAGACCAGAGAATTTCTATCGACGCTGGCTTTCCACCACAGGCCCGCACTCCGATGACCCCCAATATGGCAACCGAGCGCCCTTTCCCTCCTTATTTTCCTCTCTACCATGGCCAGGCCGTACCGATGGTACCATACTCTCTTCAGCAGCCCATTGTAAACCATACACCTTTGCCGCGGGGCTTGAATCCAGCTCACCTATCAACTCACACCCCCACCGATGGTTCCTGAGAATGTTCAACGGCCATCCGGCGGGCTGGGAGGATATGCTCACGATGAAGCTCCCATCTCATTGTGAACGAAGACACAAACTTTTGTTAAATCATACTATCTGTCGGCTGCATATCATGCCACTTATTTCCCCTATCTAATGATTCTAACAGCTTTCAGCTTTGAAGCATTTTGATTTCACTTTTTTTTTCAGGGGCACTATTTCGTCTCATGATCAGTTGCACCTCTCGCATCTTGGGAAGAATAGGACCATGACGCACACCTTATCCTAAAGATCCGTCTAACTTTTCTGCTATTGGGTACCAGTCAGACAGACAACCGGCGTTCAGGCGTTCCGTCAGGAAGCAGCAACATAATCAAGATCATAATCACTGCCATGCCATTCATCTTCATCGAGCGAAATTACCCGTTGGCGCTTTCTTGACTTGGCTTAGCTTAACATCGACTTCAATTTCTATTCGATGCGCAACAGTAGAGACGGGAGCTGTGCGCAACCTACTCGTTCTTATTCCACTCCCTTTGGCATGCAGACAGGTAGGCAGACAGGCAGAAATAGTTTTCTGGAACAAACCATCTTTTTCTGGAAATTTTTCTTCTAAAGTTCGGGAGAAATAGGCCGGCATGCGGACTTTTTACTACGAATGTCATCATCGGATCAACTCTGCTTTGCCCTCAGAGGCTTGACAAATTTAAGCTCTAGCGCTAGGATCATCTGTTCTTTTCTCCCACATGACCGGACGTCACATTCAATTTCTGGCTCCTGAGTGCGGAACACCGTAATCGTAGCGTGGCTGCCACGGCGCCGACCTCAAGCCCGCCCTTTCTTCCGCGGACAACATAAACTTACCAGTGTACATACACTTGAAATTTGATGAGAGCAGCAAGAATTGCCGGTGCACCGCCTGGTCGTTAGTGGCAGTGTATCCGAGGAAGGTAAAAATAATGGAAGTAATTTGACCAAGGCCCCGAGGCGGTGTTTTCACACCTTTTTCTTTCTTGTTCGACACGGAAGAGTAGGATGGGTGTTTCCAGTTAGGTAGCAAGTTGACTAACCTGCATGACCCAATTTACCCCAACCTGACGTAGATTTATTTATACCTTGATTTCCATATTTCCATCCCGCGCGCATTGAGTTTCCCATGTTTCCATGGTTGGCTCGACGGAGGAAATGCGGGGAGGGGCGAAGGGAAGAATTCCCGCTCATTTGCGAACATGGTAGTACCATAGAATTGGCCGGAATATAATAAGTAGAATATTGGAAATTTGATGTATTGTCTGTATATGATATATAATGACCTGAGCTATCGATTAAGCGGGGGGAGAGTTTTTGCATGCTCACAAACTTGAAATTTGGGAAAATAAGGAGGCAAAATGCAATAGCAAATACGGAGACGAACAGGGGGAAAACAGGATTTCGCAACTGCCAGGCGGAGAGAAAAGACGGGCTGACGGACTGGCACATGACTGGATGGCAAACAACGCATTTCCGTCCTTTGGGTTACTCGGCGCAAGGCAGCAAGACACAAACAAGGCAGGCACGCTTTCCGTGGCAGAAGGGCCGGCAGTATGAATTTGCTAGGATCATATAGTTGGAGAAAAGGAGCGAATGAGCTCGACAAATGAGAAGAGAGAGATACAGATAGGAAATGGTATGGAAGATGTTGAGCAGTCTCTTCAAAAGAGATGGAAGTCTAGCAAGACTTCCCAACGAGTAGAGAAATATGAAAGTAGGGAAGAGAAAATGAGGAGTAATGAAAGAAATGATAAAGAAACGACAATCAAAGTGATGAGCAAAGGAACGTGACAAAATGATGATCAGGAAGCGTTTGAAAACGAAGAGCGAGCATAGAAAGACAAGAAAAGATATCAACCAAATCTATGATGATGCCATGCGAGTCCCAAAAATCGTCCGCTCCCCATTTTATATATTTGCGCCGCTCAATCGACGACAATTCCTAAATTTCCTCATCCATCATGTATGTTCGATCATTGGCCACGCTAAATAGAATGAGATATATGAAAAAGTGAAAAGATAATGAGTAAAGGAGCAGAAAAATGTCTGGTCGGAAAGACACAATGGACTAGACAAAGAGGATGCGGCAATTGCGATCAAATCCAAGTTCATGGCGGATGCTCCGAATCCACGGGTTCGTTGAACTTTTGCCGTGCCTCCTCGACCCATAGTTCCAGTCGAAGCTCGCCAGCTTCTACCCGGCGCACCGGAACTGTCTTCGCCCGTCCGTTTGACACTTTCGGAGGGGGTGGCTGTGGTTCGCCGTTTCTCAACTTCGAGACCGAATATGGCGCGGTGCACGACCGGAGGTGTACTTTGCCCGGCTCAGCGACAATCCATGTCTGTTCTTCGGTTGTTGATCCTGCAGGCGGTAAAGCATCCTCCCGCACCTCAATGCAGACGGTAAAACTGAACTCGTCATCGCGGGGCAACGGCGTGAGGCGTGCGCATGCAGAAGCCAACCGGGCGAGACAGGCGCGGAACTGTGCCTCCAGATCGACCGTAGGAGGAGCGGGAGCTCGATCGCTCAGGGGAATGCCTGCCTTGGAAGGATCCTCCTTTCGGTCCTCAAAGGTGGTGTGAATTTCCCCGGCGGGCACACGGGGAAAGCCCGACAAATCGAACGCATATCTTTCGAGGGGCTGGTTGGTGCGGAGTGAAGAGATGATGATGCTGACAGCGGTGATGGTGCCTTTCAAGATCTCGGTTCCGACCGCGATCGACGCATCATTGATGTAGTCACACACCTTCGGGTGACGGGATTGCCGAACAGGATAATTGTACGCTCGAACAGGAAGGAATGTCGCTCGCGGGTAGACTGACCGGAGGAACAGGATCTGGTGTATCGAGACGGTGAGGAAGTTGGTGAAAGATGCCGCCAATGCAGACTGATTGTTGGGCAGCGACTTCGGGGCGGTGACAGGCGTTGAGAATGTTGTCATGGTGGTTGTCATGGAAGGGATTGTGGTACTCTCACTGGCAATAGGCATTGCCGTCGTAAACTCTGGTATCGTCGTTTCCACGGGGAAAATGGTCTTGACGGGATCTCGGAGATTCTGAGTGCTGTTCCACCCTGAGGCTAATCATCGCTCTGCCTTTATCGAGACTCACGAGTCAATAGCTGCTTTCTTTCTTCTCCGAAGCTGGGAAGATGGGATTGCACTCTTGGAAGGGGTTTATTGCATTCTGGTGAATGTTGGTGCTGTGCCAGGGGGAAATTGAGAGAGGTGGGGAGGGGTGAGGAGGGGAGAAACCGCAATTTCTCGTTGATGGAGAACAAAGTGGTTTCACGATAAAGGAGGGGAATGGAGTTGCGAGAGATAAGCAACCTGAGTCAGAGGAACAGCGATCGGGTTACGCTGAGGGGTAGGGAATAAAGAGTAGGGAGTGGGAGAGGTTAGTCGAAGTGACGGTGGGATGTGGTATAGGTATAGGTATAGGTACAGGTGGTGGGGATCAGTGGTGTTGGTGATGGAAGGTCAAGGAAGCAGTATGATGGGGTAGAGGGAAAGAGTTGTGGGTGGTGGTGGTGGTGGTGGTGGTGATGATGATGATGGTGATGTTGATAGGGATGGTGGTGGAACGAAGGCAAGAGAGGGAGCAGGAGAAAGAGGGAGAAGATTAGACGTACGTTGGGTGGACTGGACAACGGAGACAAGCAGATCTCAGAGCATGGAGTGAGGCCTTCGTCGGTTGCAATCGTAAGTGGATGGACAGAGAACCGTAATCGGAGTATTAAAAAAAAGAGAGAGGGGAGAGATTGAAGGAGATATTGCGGTGATGATGTTGATGATGATGGAATTTCTCTTTTTCCCCTGCCCTGGTTGGATGTTCTTCCCAATTAATTTCTTTTTTTTTTCTCTCCCTCTTTTTTTTATAAAAAATAAAAAAAAAACAGGTAAAAAAGGTTCCTCTCTCTCCTCACAGAACTACTTTTTGGAACAACAAACAACAGCAACAACAAATCCCACTTTTTCCAATAAATCACTGCAAGAAAAGGTAATAAGGAGAGGAGGGGAAGAATAGGAAGACAAACAACAAAACGTGCTTCTGTGAATTCTTCTTTCCTTCTTCCCCAAACACTTGCGCCAACAGAGACAAAAAGCAGAGGGGAGACTGACTGACTGACTGACTGACTGACTGATAGATATGAAACCGACCCTTCAAAGAGGGGAGGGGAGGAGGGGGGAAGAGGGGCGCGAGGTGAAAGGGAGAGGTGGGCTGCTGGTCTAAGTACTGTACGTTGTTGCTTCTGAACTGTATCAAATTGGGAGAAGCCAAGGTTTCCCAGGGGTGTCCGCTTAAGATCCCGGAGCTAGTGAGGATAAAGTGAATGTCAAGAGTAGGAAACACCCGGGGTTAATACAAGAATCCAGAAGAAACACCAAACTAACACCGAGAAAAAGCGAAGGTGAGAGAGAGGAAATGAGGCAGTAGAGTGAGAAGCAGAAGAAGAGGAGGAGGAAGAGGAGAGGAAGAGAGAAGAAGAAGGAGAGAATTTGCGAGCAACTCTCTTTCGGAGGGGGGAAAGCTTGTCGGGCGACGAGCAGTTGTTAGTTAAAAGCAGGTGGAAAGGCGCCCAAGGTTGTCTAAGTACTAGGTAACTAGTTATCTGTCTGTAATTGTTCTTAATGATTACTGAGTCTCTTCTTCTCTCTTCTCTCTTCTCTCTTTCCTCTGTTCTCTAAGAATTCTTCCCCCCTCCCCTCTTTTCCCCTCCTTCTCTCCTCCATCACGTGGTTGCGTCATGGGTGTGGAATAATCCTTACCATTACCATTCATTACCTTACCATTTTTACTTTCTTTCCCCCTCAAAATGAGGATTGTCATTCAGCATCCAAAAATGTCTCTGACCGACCCGTATGGCAGGAGAAACTACATCCGACCATCCTATACGGGCCAAAGAACTAGGCTAAGACGGATAGGAACGGACCATAGCAAGCCTAAGGGACAAACGGTGTGAACTGTAACGAGCATCACAAGGCGTTGAGGCGACAAGTATTCGGTCATTGTGCATTGCAACTCCCCTTCATTGACCATTTGGAGCACGGGGGCAAACTGCAGACAAACAGACAATCGAGGTACATGCAAATCCTCCAATGCTAAGTAGTGAAGAAAGGGACTATTTCTCTTCCTGGTCTGAAAATCAGACACAGAGCTGGAAAAGGACGACAAGGAAGGGCAGGCGCTCGAGGTTGTTCATTCATCGTCAGCATTCCCCACTCGTTCAGTACCGAGTAACAATGTACTCCGTACATTCGTTGGGTTGGGACCGCCTCTTCCGTTTGCCAGGCCGATCATCTGCTACCAACACTTGACTGGCACGACAAGCGGATGTGACAAAAAGGCGTGGAAGAAGAAATGCCAGGCCGTGGTTGACCGGCGGTGGTGGTGGGGAATCCTGGGCTTATAAGGAACCAAAGTCTAAATTCCATCCCGGTAAATACATACCTTATTCATTCATCCATTCAATCTTCAGGCATGTGCAGTGCAGCCTTATTAGCCCCCATTCTCTCGTTAAGTTAGATATCAGTCTGATATCACAACCTAAGTACGCAGAGTAGGTCTCCATGGCAATCATAGCAAGTGTACTTCGGAGTATACTACTATGCTGTATAGTCAATGATTTCATATGAGAAATTGTTACTCCGGGCAATGAATCATTCTACTACTTTCCCGTTTGGGGGAATTTGCCGCCCCTCAGGTGCTGCTCATCTTAAAATAATAATCAACTGCTGCTATTCCTGCCGGTTTCTCCCCTGCCTTTACATATTCAACCCCACCATGATGAACTCTAGTTCATTTAGTCACTTAGTTAACTAGTTAGTTAGTTAGTTAACTTAGCACAAGTTATAATTAATCAGCCTCCTACCTCCTTCCTGAGTCCTCCCGTTTTCCATCCACCAAAAATCTACAACTTACCCGAAATTCTTTACATACCCATACATATTGCCACTCAATGCTCTCTTCCTTCCCCCTCCCTACAATGTCCATCTTCCCGAGAGATTTCCGGTACCTTACCTAGGTACAGAATTTGAGGTACCTGGGTTCGTCTTGAAGTACCCGAGGGATACCAGCTATCAGACCACCTCCAGGGGACATGGAATCAGATCTTAATTAGGTCTTACCGAAGCAAAAGTCCTTCATCCTTCCCTGAACCTTACCCTGCATGGACATCAAGACCGAGCAATATCAACCATTAAAGTTCTCCCGTCACAAAAAAATCCCTACGGAAGTACTCAGTACAAAGGTACATCATCCGTTAGGCGGATACTTACCCGCGGATTGGATTGCTCCATTACTCGAAGTGATCATCCTTACTCTTACTTTTCCCGAAACGCCCGAACCAGATCTTCTCCACAGGACGCCACACACTCAGAGGAGATCCATAACTCGGGTAGACTAAACAACTCCCTCTTTTTTCCTCGCAGGCTCGCACATTGCTGCCAAGTGCTCACTAACAGACTCGCTTGATGCCTGTTTTTTACTTTTTCTGCACCCTCACCTGATCATTGTCTCAATTAAGGGCCCATGCTGTCCGTTGGCTCAGTGCGGGCCACTACACCCGACCCTTAAAACGTCTTGATTCATGGATGGTCGGGTAGCTGTGCCAAAATCTCATCCCGCTCAACCCAGTCAATTCCTTCTTCAATCCCCACTACGTTGCCCGGACTATCATGGCGCTCTTTCTTGGAGCATAATGCACCTTGAATTGTGTTCCCAGGCGATATGAAGCCTTGGCCCGCCTGGATAGTATTCACATCTGCCGCTGATCATTGCGAAGGCAAGAAAGGGACCGGTATCGTCGGGAGCTGGGCGTGCAGATCTTGATATAAATATCAACGATCGTTGCGGAAGGGCCACATGCTGGAAAAGCCTGTTGCCGACGGAACAAGGGCACAGCATCATGGGTCAATTGAAGATAAGAACGTAATCCGAGGAGCACGTGCTGGTATTTTCGACACAGGATCGGGGTAAGACGATGATCGTGTGAGCTTTCGTGGCATCGGATTTCTTCGTGGAACAAGTGTCCCGGCTCTCCTCGTCGTATGATGTACCCTTACGTGTAAGGTGTGGCTCTATGCCTAACGGGTGCGGAGGTTTCTGATAAGATTCTGTCAAGGATTAGCGCATCGATCGATGTGCTTGTCGTCCAGGACTCGGGTTTGGCTCCCGTGCATGCGATGCATAGATACTCGCGAAGAGCCACTTTATGCCAGAGCATGGTACACGAATGGGCAGTGCTAGGTAGCAGTTGCAAAATGTGCCTTCTCGATCTCTGGCGATGAGGATCCTCGCTGATCGGTGTACCTGGCTGCCATGGCCCTAGCCTCGCTAGTGTATCCTTCCTTGAGGTCGCAAAGTATGATGTAGTGGCCCTGAAGTCCGTTGAATACTGGAAGTCTTCTATTGGCAGATCAGACTAAGAAACTCGAAGTCCTCCGGTCTCTATCATGACCTCCTTGCCCTCTGCCGTGCATTCAGCGTCTTTCCGACTGGCCTCCGATTGTTATGCCTGACGCGCTTTGCGGCCACCAATAGCAGGGGTTTCAGTCGACACTCAAATGTCACAGGTTATCCATCTCACTAGGTGTGTTCGGCATAGGAACAGCAAAATGGGGGAAGAGAGTTATGGCAGACAAGCAATACTCAATCCAAGGTTCAAGGTCAGACATGTCACCAGTTGTTGTCTCGGTTGCAGCCCCTCTTTTCATTCACCCCACCGGACGGACGACAAGTTGGGGAGATCGTCCAGTTTCACCGCCTTTCTTCTGCCGCCCGCTCTTCTGCCCCTCCTTCACGGTTGTCGCGACAATTCGCAGCGCTGATTTGATCAACTACCAATTACCACCTGATTCATTCATTGGGTATCAGGATTTGAGGGAACGATAAACACAGGGAGTTTTCCTTGCACATACTACATATCTAAGACTCGTACATAGTCATTTCCTTGCTTAAAATAATCGTTTCCTCTGTATTACGATTTTTCCTCTCAGTCTGAACGCCCGTCATGGAGCAAGAGCTCCTGTCGCTGCTTGCGGACACCCAGTCGCCGGTGGCCGATACCAGAAAAGCCGCCGAGCTACAACTCCTACGTCTCTACTCCAACGAGGCCTTCCCTCTCTCTCTTGCTGCGATCGCTTCTCACGATTCCGTCCCTACCAACCTGCGCCAATCTGCCCTTTCTGTTCTCCGGACCTTCATCGCGGCGGCTTGGTCCCCGGTTCTCAATGAGTTCAAGGGCCAGGTTCTCGTTAACGACGACAATAAAGTGCAGATCCGGGGTGCACTACTGGAACTAGCCACTATCAAGGAGACACCGGAGCGCAAGGTCAAGTCGTCCGCTAGCTTTGCTGTCAGCAAGATCGCCAGCGCCGATTTCCCCGAGCAATGGCCAGAGCTTTTGCCTACGCTACTACAAATCATCAATGACACCAACAGTACCGCCGGCGCTCTTCACGGAGCACTGAAAGTTCTATTGGATCTGGTTGACACCGGCTTCAGCGAAGAACAATTCTTCAATGTTGCCAGAGACCTCGTCACGTCGCTCTTCAATGTGGCTACCAATGAGTCGAGAAAGCCCATATTGAGAGCGTTGGCCGTTGCGGTCTTCCGTGCTTGTTTCGATACTTTGGAGATGGTACTTGAGCAGCACAAGACGGCCGTCAAGCAGTTCATGGATGAGGTGCTCAATGGCTGGTCTCCTTTCTTCATCGCGACACTCAAGGCAATTCTACCACAGTCTCCCAGCGAACATGAAGAATCCAAGGACAGCGAAATCCCGTCGCATTGGAGAGGCGCGATTGCTCTGAAGATCCAGGTTGTCAAGGTACGTCGTCAAATTTCTACCGCCCCTTCACTGTGTTTTTACTGTGCTAATCTTGTTCATTTGTTAGACCTTGATGAAAATTCGCATGGTGTTCCCTGGCTTGATGACACCCCAGAGCCCAGTGTTCTTCTCGACAATCTGGACCGAACTATCCAATATCCAATCAACGTATCACGGATTCTATATCGATGAAGAGAGACAAGGCCGCTTGGAGGACGTGGATGGACTCCCTTATACACTAGACTTCCTGGTCTTAGAAGAACTCGATCTCATTCAAACGCTATTGAAAGCGCCGCCAGTCAAGGCAGAGCTACAGCAGCAGCTACAGAATGCCGGCCAGGCGGTCGCTTCATCAAGCTGGTTGCCGGAGATTCTGAAACTGGCGGGCGCTTATGCTCAAATCACGTCGGAGGAAGAGGGTTTGTGGGACATTGATGTGAATCTTTTCCTATCGGAAGAAACATCTGTCACTGCCAACTACACGCCCCGTACTTGCAGTGGAGATCTCGTTGTTAAGCTGGGCGAATGGCTCAAGACCACCGCTGTTGAGGGTTTGCATGCGCACCTGAACACCGTGTTCTCCGATCCGTCTTCCACGTAAGCAGCTTCCTCTAATCCATGCACATGAGAAGACTAACACCATGGTTATCTTCTAGGTGGAAGGCTCGCGAGTCTGCTCTCTACATTTTGAGCCAGCTTCTTCGGGACTTCAACGAAGTTTCCCAAAAAGTTCCCGTCGGCCTTGCCAATGCATTCAGCAACTTCATCCAGTTTGCAACTCAACAAGAAGAGGAGTTTCTACGGGCACGCGGTTATCTCACTGCTGGAGTTCTCTGCCAGGTCGCAGATGCGTCCTTCCAGCAAACCGCGGTCTCTTATCTTGAGGCGTCCCTCAAGGCGGTGACTGCGGATCCTTCCGAAGTTGTGAGAGTGTCCTGCATCCGAGCACTACAGGATCTCATGCCTTCGCTTCCCTCGAGTGCTACCATCCCACTTCAGGCGGCCGCCATCTCTGCTCTATCGGACTTCATCGCCTCTCATGACATCTCGGAATCATCTGACAGCGACGATCTCAAGGTCACCCTCGCAGAGACCCTCCGTGATACCATTATTGTCAATCCAAGCGTGGTCTTGTCTTCGAATGCCATCGATGTGTTATTCAACATTGCCAGTAATGGTCCCACCAATTTCCAATTGACGATGATCATCACGGAGGCCTTCGAGGACATTGTTGAGTCTATCGCGGAACAAGGCCCTGAATCCTTTGTTCGCCTCTGCGAAAAGGTAATGCCGTCATTGACTGGAGCAATCGATGTCGGAAACCTAACTCAGGAAAACGCTTTGACGAATTTCGCTGTGGATCTCATTCGAGCTCTCGCGGAAAGAGCTTCTGAACCCCTTCCAGCAGGCTTTGTCGAGGCTGTCATGCCCAAGTTGAATCGTCTACTATTGGACTCAACTGATGGGGAGCTGATTCGCCCTGCCACAGAAGCCGTACGCCACATGCTTTCCCACGATTTCAATCAGTTCGCCTCGTGGAGAGATCCCGATAGCGGCAAGGAGGCAATTGAAGTGGCTCTCATTATCATCGATCGATTATTGGGGCCTGCGGTTGACGACAACGCGGCGACTGAGGTCGGAGAGTTGGCAGCCGAATTGGTCGAGCGGGCGGGATCCGAGCGACTTGGACCTTATCTACCGCAGCTTCTCCAGGCTGTCGCCCAGCGGCTCGCAACAGCGCAGCAAGCCCCGTTCATCCAAAGTCTGATCCTTGTCTTCGCCCGGCTGACGCTCATCAGCGCCCGTGAGGTTGTCGATTTCCTGGCGCAGGTGAACATCAGCGGTCAGAGCGGGCTGCCTATTGTTCTCAGCAAGTGGCTGGAAAACTCGGTCAACTTTGCCGGCTACGACGAGATCAAGCAAAACATCATCGCCCTTGCGACACTGTATAATCTCGATGATCCTCGCCTGGCCCAGGTGCAGGTCAAGGGCGATCTGATTATCCAGGATACGGGTCGCATCCGCACCCGGTCCCAAGCCCGCAAGAACCCCGATCAGTACACGACAGTGACCGCACCCTTGAAGATCATCAAGGTGCTGGTCGAAGAGTTGGCGGCGGCCTCGAGCAACAAGGAAATCGATGCTGCCACCGCGGCTGCGCTGGAGGAGGAGGGCAGTGACGAGGACGACGAATGGGAGGACATTCCGGGCAATACACTCGACCTGAACCTCGGCGTCACCAAGCAGGAGCTGATGGCGTTCGGCGAGGGCGGCAGTGAGAGTGTATTTGGAGTGCGCAAGCGTGATGACGAGACTCAGGGCTTCCTATTGGATTTCTTCCGCAACGCATCTACCAAGCCCGAGTTCCAGCAGCTGTTTGCGGCCTTGACTCCGGCTGAACAGGAGAAATTGCACAGTTTGGGTTGAAAAATGTGATCTCGGCTCTTTATTTCTTTGTGATTGATGCACGAAGACTTGGCTGGGACCTTGCCATACAAAAGAGACATAGCATTGAGATGAAATCTATACGTCCTAGCATACGTAAATTCCACAGAATTTCTTACCTGAGCCGGAACCCATGGGCCATTCATCGCACATATCAATTATGATTTGTACAGCGTAACTCGTACCGTAGACATGGTTTGATCGATGCCTTTTACGGAGCATTTTATCGTTATTGCAAACACCGACGGAGAAGGGGAGGGCGGGGTACTGCCCTCGGTAGGGACAGACAGCTCTGGCTCAGAACTCCTCCTGCGCGGTACTTTTTTGCCTTCGCATTCAGGCTCGGGGGTTTCTACAACGATCAGGTTTGGACTGCTTAGGAGGGGTGTCACCGACAAAAAGAAAAAGAAAAATGAGAGGAAAGAGAGGAAAAATACCACCAGTCGTGACCACTTTCTTTTTCTATCTCCATACATGTCGAAAGTCCGTCAGATCAAGGAGATTTTCCGTATGTCAAACAATTTAGGGTCTAGGGAAGATCTGAGGTCGAAAGACAAACAGGCAACCAACCTCGAATCATTGCCCTTTTACTGTGCAGCTCTAGTACCAGGCTAAGTGAGCTAGGGTAGGCGGGGATGCACCCGGGAGACTTAGTGGGAACTTATGAAATGGACCCATGCCACTTGCAAAGGCCAGGAGGGGATGAGGGGGTCCGTCAGTTACCCAGAGCCTAAAGTTAAAGGTCTCGGACTACTGTAGAACTAAGTGTCTGAGACTAGCCTGCAGTGGAGGATGACACCACATCAAACAAGACAAAATGGATGGACGGGTTTAGCCGTGCGGGGCTTTTTTGTTTCTGTTCTTCTCTTTTTGTTTACTTTGTTCTTTTCTGTCAATGCTAGAGTTGACCAGTGCGAAGTGTGGTGTTAAAGGATTATCCGTCACATCACCGAGGGGGACTTGCGTGTTGGTGTCTGTGTGACTTTTTTCCTCCTGTTTGGGGGTACTGAGGTGTCAACTCGATTTGTTTGCTTGCTGGTGGCATGTGCTCGCTACCCTACCCTTAGGCGAGGATGCTATTGACAGAAGGAGGGGGAGGGTGGATCGGTAGATCAGCACAGCAAGAGAGACTAGTAAGACACAGAGGTACTCAATACTTGCCGCAGACCAGGTTGACGTGATCGGGATACCAAATCATAGCTTGCCAGCAGCCTAGCACACTATCTAAGGTAGTAGGTTTATGTACCTTAAGCCGGGGGGGATGTCTTATCCAGCCAATGATCGGAACCGAATGGAGTAAAGGGAAAGTGAATCAACCAGCGAGGGAGTGGATTGTTTGTTAGACTGATCGATTAGCTTGAGCAGGGACTTGTCTGGTTGTCTTGTCTTTTCCTTGTTTCCTCCTCTGAGAATTATTTTGCACTCTGCAGCAGGCGACAGAGTTAGCGAAAAAAAAAGTACCTCCCGCCCGCCCTGAAAGAGGCTGAGTTTGACAATACCAAGCAAATTCCCAATGGGACGGACACGGCACACCGCCACCGTCCGCCCGGACCCGACGCTCTGTTTCTTGGGTCCCAAACAACCCCCTCCCCCGCCCCCCGGTCAATGCACCGAAGTACAGTAGATTATTCCTATTCCGGACCCGGCTCATGCTGTCTCCTCTTTTGTTTTGTGTTCTGCTACTGTCCCAGCTTCTGCTGCTGCTTCTGCTGTTGGTGCTTCCTTTCTCGTTTTCTCCTTCTCTGTCTTCTGCCCAGTGTCCTTTCATACTGTCATTCTTTCCTTGACTCGCTGGTTCCCGGAGTTGGGAAGCATTGTATTGCTGGTATAAAGGAACCACCCCGCTCATTTCCCTTGTCGGTCTTTTCCGTCTTTGCTGCCACCAAGCAATATGTCGCAGCCCATTAATGAGGACCAAATTCAGATAGATGTAAGATTCTTTTGCTGTTGCTTCTGTTGATTCCCCAATCCCTTCGACCTGCGCCGTATATTGCTTTCTATCTAGAGCAGTAAACTTTTCAGTGCTGTTCTCACATCAGTCTCCCAGAACAATATGTGGATTGTTGAAGTCTGCTCAGGTAGCCAGCACAGGCCTTTTCTTCCACTGATCCCACTGTTCTATGGATAAAGTCAAGAAGAGTGTATTCCTTCCTGACCTGCGCCACCCCCCCAACCGCCCCCACCACCCCCAACTCGCTCTCCCCGCATCTTCTCTACCCATCAAACCGTAGGAACAGGCAGCAACAAAATTGACACCTCTCCCTCGATCTAGACCAGCAGCGACAACGACTCCCTCTTGGACGCTGCATCAATCGCCGGCTCAAACGAGACCGTCTCCTCGACTGTGCACGACTACTGCTACGAGAATGGGCGGCGCTACCACGCCTACCGCAACGGCCAGTACCCGATGCCCAACGACAAGGAAGAGCAAGACCGGCTGGCGCTGATGCACAAGGTCTTCAAGGGGATCACAGGCGGGGAGCTGCACCGCGCCCCGATCCACCGAGACCCGCACCGGCTGCGCCGCGTGCTGGACGTGGGCACTGGCACGGGCGTCTGGGCGATCGAGTTAGCCGACACCCTCCCAGCCACTGAAGTCGTGGGCACCGACCTCAGCCCGATCCAGCCGCAATGGGCCCCGCCTAACTGCTCGTTTTTGATCGACGACGCTGAGAGCGACTGGGCGTTCCCGCCCGAGGAGGCCTTCGACTATATCCACGGCCGCTCGCTCGGGGGCTCGATCTCGGACTGGGAGCGGTTCCTGCAGCAGGCGTACCAGCATGTCCGGCCCGGTGGCTGGGTCGAGATCCAGGAGTTCGAGACGCGGATTTACTCCGATGACGGCACGGATCAGGAGGCAGTGTTGATCCATGAATTTCAACGTCGGTTGGACGAGGCGAGTCGCCAGTTCGGGAAGCGCATGAATATCGCAGGCAGTGTGAGGGGGTGGATGCAGAGCGCGGGCTTTTGCAATGTCACGGATGATACGTATAAGGTAAGGAACTCGTGAATTCATATCCGCACAGTCGTGGAGGAAAAGAGAGCGGCACTAACTCAAATGTCTTGGATCCATGCAGTGTCCGCTGGGCGGGTGGGCGAAAGACCCTCATTTCAAGGACCTCGGTCGCTTGGGCAAGGCCGCCTTCTTCGATGCCGTCGAGCCGTACTCGCTTGCTTTGTTTACTCGAGAGCTGGGCTACACGTATGAGCAGTCGCAGCAGTATATGCAGGACGTCCGGCAGGAACTGGTCAACGGCTCGTTTCATATTTATACGCTGTTTCATTTTGTGTATGGGCAGAGACCTTGGGATGGGGATGGGGATAACGATGACGGTGCTGCTGATCATGCTGAGAATAATGTTGTTGTTGATGATGCTGATGCTGATGATGATGATGACGATAAATGATGTATATATGCCACTTCAATGACCAGACGATGTATATAAGATAGGGGTTCAACCGAAGCAGTGAAGTTTTTTTCAGAGAAGTATGTTCAGCGGGGCATGTTCGGTAATCCCCTTTAACCTGCATTACAGTGCTCTATCAATCCCATCTTATCTACACTATCCTCCAGACAGACAAAAACCCCGTCAGAGATCACCCCTGCAGAGAGAACCCAACCCCATCCCCAGACCCCATAGCCACCAGGTTCGCCCTCATCCTCTCCGCGCGTTCCCCAATGCCAAACGCCGCATCCTCGCGCCGCACCCACGCCCCAACCCCATGCTGCAACACCGCCGTCGCCCGCACCTTACCGGCTGCGCTCCCCCCGGCAGCACCCTCCTCCCCATTTGCCCCAGCAGCAGCAGCAGCATCATCCCCCGCAGCCTTCAACCCAATACTCCCATGCAACGTCAACCGCGGCTCCTCCTCCTGCCCCTCCGGCTTCGCGCGATACACCCCACGATGTAGGATATTACTATCATAAAACACCGCATCGCCAGGCTTCAACTCCACAACCAACTGCCCCGGCAGCTCGGGCGCATAGGGGTCCGCGGTGCGCTCGACCTCTGTGCGCACGCGGCGGTGCGAGCCCGGCACCACAATCAGCGAGCGGTCCGCGCACAGGGCCAGGTTATACTGGGCGTGCGACTGGCGGCCGTGCGGGCTCTTCTGGTGCAGGAGGCGCATCTCCTCATCCTCGGAGACGTGCTCGGGGATGTCGTCGCGATGCCAGCGCAGCGCGAAGTCCTTGGTTTCCGGGGCGACGAGGAGGTTGAAGAGCTCCATCACCAGCGGCTCTTCCGTCGTGTCATTGTCTCGGGCGGTGCATGAGCCGGTCACCCCCAGCAGCTCTTCGGCGACGGCGAGCACTTTGTCGGAGAAGTAAAAGCGGGCGAAGTCGGTGCGGTGCGGCATGTCGGGGTGCAGCAGGTGCTGCACGCCCCAGATCCCGCCTTCAGAGGCCGGAGGCGCGGTTGACGGCCATGGTGGGAATTGCTTGGGGACGGTGCGAAAGTGTGGCCATTGGCCCTTGCGGGTGAGGTGGGTGGTTTCGGTGGCGATGGTGCGGAAGTGGGTGATTTCTTCGGGGGTGAGGAGCGAGGGGATGCGGACGAAGCCGTCGCGTTGGAGGGAGGTGAGGTAGGGGGTTGTGGTGGCGGTCATTGCAGTGAGAGAGGGTGTAAATTGAGGAATTTTGTTGGAAGTTGAAGAACGGAGAGTGGGAGTCGATTGCTGTAAGTCGGAGTAGTACGGAGTCCAGTAAAGCTTGGAGTTGACGAAGGAGATGCCCAATCTACACAGTACTTATGGGGCCGGTATAAATAAACAGTTGGAGTAACATACATACATACATACATACATGTATGTATACAACAATCGATACTACTCTGTTGGATTACCCCGCAGCAATCGATAAGAGGGCAAAGCGGGGTCAACCAAACTCAACGTAACCGTCATCCATGGTTACATACTGCTGTCCCATTGCTATTTATATTATACTGCACAGACACAATATTGATTATGTGTACAGTTACGCATGGATTACTGGTGTTTATACATGATGCGAACAATGACGAAATGTAGAGTGGCGCGCCGTGTGGCTGCTCAGGCACAACCAAGCAATAGTTAGTGTACTACCCGGCAGTTGTTACCAAAGACGCCTACACAATATCTTGTCTAACTAGCCTTCATAGACCACATCTGCCAGCTACAGTATTTACTTGATAGCCTACCCCGTGATCGGGTAGCTGCAGCTGCAGTGAATGACTGTGACTGACTGTGACTGACTGTGGACGCGGCTTGGTAATTTCCCCATTGGGCGGATGGCGGGGCAAGTTCTGGGCAGCTTGTCTTGGCCGTGGCTTGCGCTTTTCGCAGATCAGCGATCTGGTTCTTCTGCATTTTTTTTTTCTTCCTTCCCTGCAATCTCTGCAATCTCTCGCTGCAGTCTTTGTTTCGTTGCATACGTCTGCGAACCCTTTCATAGTCGGCTTGAATCCCTTCCTTACTGCTGCTTCCATACTGCACATCCACTGTGGTCCCGGAGACCCTGCAGATCTTCCGAGCTATGGCTCCGCAGCTAAATCTGGGCTCCCACGCCCTCCTCATCCTGGGCCTCTTGCTCGTCCTGCTCCCGACTCACACCTACGCCTTTGGCGCCGGAAGTAAGCATCCCAGCGCTATTCTATCTTTTGTTCGCGTGCTAATAAAAGCTAGATATCGCTTCTATCTCCGCGGTGGAGGGCAAGAACTGGCGTCATGGAGATATCGAGGACATGCTCAAGACGGTCGCCTTCATCAAAGGCCATAAATGGACCTCAACTATGGTCAAGCGCGTCTACTTCGGGAACTGGCTGCGTGACTAGTGAGTCTGGCGCTCTATCCGCTTCGTCCTCGCGAACTGACACCCCTCAAGCTCGCAGGCCATGGATGTCGGTACCCTCAAGAGCCTCCCGGCTGACACCATCCGTATCCTCGTTTGGATCCTGTCCTTCATGACTTTCGGATATGCAACGGCTGAGTTTGAGGTAACCTCCGAAAGATTGGGCGTCTACCGCCCTGAGGAACACATCGAGTGCGTATTCCGTCTATGCGCTATGACATGCTTGACAACCTAGACTAACATCCTGTGAAGCAACCCGAAGGATTATGCCGACAATCAGGATGCGCGCCAGTATGATAAACGCTTGCGAGGGCCCATCCGCCCGGTGGAACTCGAAATCGACCCGGAAACCGGCATGAAGAACTACATCGCCAATGAACGTGGAGACTGGACTACCAGCTCTGCATATATCAAGTACAGCTTGGCTCGGAGCATTCACTATGGACGCACATACACTCACGGCAGAGACAAGGGCAACGAGGCAGACCTTTGCGAGGCCCTGCGGTGCCTGGGTCAGGGCCTCCACACTTTGGAAGACTTCGCAGCACACACCAATTACTGTGAGCTTGCACTCCGCGAGATGGGCTTTAAGAACGTCTTTCCGCACACGGGTGTCAACACGGAGTCGAACGTTCGTGGCCATCGGGTCTTTCCGCTTGTGACGGGAACCTTCGGTATGGTGGACTTCTTCCATTCCGTTCTGGGAGAAGCCACCGACCATTTCACCCAGTCAGAAGTCAATGAGATGGATATCGCCCTTGGCGATGCCCAAAATAACTCGTCTGCTAACGCTCTTGGTGCATTCACGAATCTGTTGGGCGGCATCCCAGGAACGAAGGATCTCGTTGAAGAGGCCGAGGAGCTCAAGCGTCGCTCGGAGGCTCAGGCATCTGCGAATCGGAGCAGTGGTGCTCGCGAAGGATATGGTGCTAGCAAAACTTTTGCTAGCGGATATGACTCTCAGCGCTCTCGAGGCTTTGATGAGTTCGAGTCGCAGCTTTCGCGGGGCTTCGATGACGTCGGGTCTCAGCGCTCCCGGGGCTTCGACGACAACGAGACAAGCAACTACAGGGCCGGCGAATCCGCACGGCCCCATTCAAGTGGGGAATCTGGTGGATCAGGGCTGCCAGACTTTGATGCGAACAAGACGATTAAGCAGATCTATCCCATTCTCGAATTCAGAGACAAGGTGGTTCGCAAACTTACCTCGATCATCGAGAAGATTCCCGGGCTGGAGGCTGTTGTTGAGAAGATCACGGAGACTCTGACTGTTTTCATCATGTCTCTCCTTGCCCCATTCATCCGTCCCATCATCAATGCTGCTTCCAAGTCGCTGCAAGCCGGCTCTTCTGGCGTGATTGATGCTTCCGGCCAGCATCAGTACGAGCCCTGGACGGATCCTGATTGTACCGATCCCACCCACTCTATGTTGTCCAAGGATCACTTTGCCAACATCCTCAACGAGCCCGCTGGTCAGGTTGCTTCTGCTATTCTCAAGTACGTGGCGCCGCGTGTCCTCCGTGCTTGGGAGAATATCAACATCTCGGAGGATCAAGTCGTAGAGGATTGCTTGAAGGTGTTCCACCACCCTGCTCTTCGAGATAATCGGAACGAGGCTCATCGGAGTATGTTCGAAGCCGTCGAGTCTTGGGTCCAGTCCAGATCCGACAGAGGCTCAGGACTCAACGACATCCTGAGCGCTGAAGGTGTGAGGGCAGGCAAGAACACAGGCGGTGTCCCTCACACTCATGGCGGTAGTGGGAACAATTCTGGACACTCTCAGCAGCAACGTCCTCCTTCCTCGCAGCAGCAGCAGCAGGGTACTAGTTCACCGTTTGGAAATCTTTCCAACCTGCCCATCCCTGGCATCTCGAATCTCGGTAATCTTAACAGTGCTTTCTCCAACCTGATGGTCGGCGGCTCGTCGAGAAATGAGGATTCCGCGCAGGCTGAGGGCTCAGCATACCAGACATCCTATTCGAGCCAACAGCAATCTTATCAATCTCAGCAACAGTACCAGGGACAGTCCTATTCCAGCTATGAGCAGTCGTCATATCCCCATCAGCCATCGCGTCCTTCGTACGCTGAACAGACCCCTGGGTATGAAGGATCCTATGGGCGACCTCGTCCTCAAGAACAGCGGCCAGCCTACTCTGGGCAGTCCTATGGTTCTTACGAGCAGTCTCGTCCTTATGAGTCGCGTTCATCGGACCCCAGCAGCCAAGGTTACGACTACGACCGCCCTAGCGAGGAGTCCCACCATCACCACCATCAGCAACGCCCCTCCCACTCCAATCAAGGGTATGAATATGGAGAGTCGGATGGCGGCCACCATCACCGACACGGTGACCACCATCACCCCCCTGGACCTCCTCCCCCTGGCCCGCCATATGGCGGTTATGGGGGCAATGGCTACAGCGGTGGCTACAATCAGGGCTATAGCTCGGGTGAGTACCGCTACTGAGCGGGCACCGCAGCTCGTCCTTGTCCATTGGCAAGAACTGTCTACTTTATTCACTTTGAACTTGTATTCCTAGAATGAATCAAGGGCTACCTTGAGGTGACAATTGTGATAGTCCCACGTAAATGTAGCACATGCTATTTACAACATAGACAAGTCTCACCCAACCTCGTAATGCTGAGCGATAAAAGTTCCTACTGACAATAGTTATTTACAAGGATATGATGTCAACATTGTCCTTCCCTTCAACAACACCAGCCGGGCTAGCTCAATCGGCAGAGCGTGAGACTCTTAATCTCAAGGTTGCGGGTTCAACCCCCGCGTTCGGCTTCTCTTTTTGACGATACCATTTCTGTTTTGCGCCTCACTTTTTCATTAATTCCACTATGAACTGTAGTAACTGTAAGTCGCGATCACATTCTCTTCTTTTGTTCAAGGCAGGAAGCACCCGGACTATCCTGGGCCCTGCAGTATCTGGTTCAATTACACTTGACGATGTGCCATCGCCTGGTCCAAGAACATATATATAAGTAATGACGCCAAGTCCCAACTCACCGCTCTTTTCCTTCTCATATTGCCCGCGTCTAGACTTGAAGGTGGCACAGGCTAGTGCTGAGGATGCAAGTATCGACAGAGTTCCTCTTGTATTTCAGGGAAGAGGAAGCGATTCGTCCCCGCATATGCAGAACATTGTTCGCTCTACGACCCGGGGTGTTGGGCATATCAGCAGGCTACACACCAACCAGCTGGAAGGCTTGGACTATTTAGTGTTACCGTGGGTAAATCGTACATACCCAGCATATAGGGTCAAGGCAGTTCATAGTCATGTCGGTGGTGGGCTATCGAGAGAAATGGCATTGTCTAATTCCCTAGGGGGATGTATATCGGCGCCGTGGTATATGATTATTGAAGTTTCATCCAGATTTCTATGTATATACCAGCTTCATCTGCCACAGGGGTAGTGTGACTAGGTACGAAGCGAAACGAAAGATAGCCAGGCTGGCAATTGACAGTGATGACCCGAGAAAAAAAATGCAGAAGGTAAGATGGATGCGCCTGCAATCTATCCATGGCGCCGCGATTCACGCCTGTGAAAACAGAAAAAAAAAAGCCAACGCTGATAGTGTAAGAAAGTCAGAGTGTGAAGCTGAATTGGGATATTCGACTGCGTCTCGTCGTTGGTGGTTTGGTAGCTATATTGGGTGAGCTAGCCATTGTTGAAGAAAGGCTGAGAGTGTAGTGAAGGAAGGCAAAATCGAGGGTCTCTAAAGCTTCGTCCCTTCGCGTCCGCTGTCACTAAGTCTGCGCGGACGAAGCGGAATAGTGGTTGTGCTAGGTCCAGCAGCAGCGGGATTACTACCACCGGGCGTGGTGATGCGGACACCGCCAGTCCGTTGTGAGCTCTGATGCTGATGAAGCCGGGGGTTTAGAAGCCACTGCACCTGCATGCGAATGCTGCCCAGGGCGGCGTTGGTGTGGGCCATGTCCTCTTTGATGCGGAGGCACTCGCTCATGATCGCCATGCTGGCGCGGGCGTCGAGATCTGTGATGGCGTGAGACAGTTGTCCGACCTCCTCGCGGAGGGATTCGTGCAGCGAGAGGAGGTAGTTGGTCGTGGTGGCGGTGTATTGGTTGGAGCTATCGATTTGGGACTGACTGCTGGATGTTGCCGGGTCGTTGTTGTTGCGACGGGTTGGACTGGAGGCAGTCACACGGCCGTCCGAGCCAACGAGTGCGGTAGGTGATTGGGCGAGGGTGGAGCGGATGTTCGCCAACCCGTCCTCGAAAATCTCGTTGCGTTGTTTGAGATGGCGGATGGTGAGTTCGAGGGAGTCGAGACGGGCATTCTGCGCGTCGAAATACGGGCCCATCGAGATCAGTGGACAGGTCTGCTCGTGTGTGGCCAGGTCGGCGCGCCGGAGCTGAATGGGGCAGCCATACTTCGAGGCGCTGCAGGTGTGAATGGTTTCAGAGCATGAGTCTGTGTGCTGCTTGAGTTCTCTTCGGAGAATCGTGGTATGGCAGTCCGGACAGGTGGTTTGCAGATTGGGGCATAATTCGGTAATGTGCTCCTGTCAGACGTATGCTGTTAGCAGGCTACGAAACAGTATGCAACAGAACTGCGATTCGATTGAAGTACCTCATAGTCTTGTTCCATGATGTTCCCCTCACAGCGCGCGCATTGGTGAAGTTCATGCAGGCATCTCCCATCCGGGTCGAGATCCTTCTTCCGTGTCTTCAAGCCACACAAGTCCAGTGGACAGTCCATCAACCTGTACCCGCAGTACTTGTCCACATGGGTTTGGATGAACACCCTCGGCGCTACTTCCTCACAACCTTCATTCCGGAATGGACACCTTACCCGGATTTCGTCGCACATGTTGACCAAAAGGCGGGGCAGTTTGAGATAGATGCCGCCCGTGGGTGTGCGACAGGCAGGGCAGGTAAAATCGTCTTGGGCTGCTGCAGAGGTCTTAATGGCTGAGACCAGGCATTTCTGGCAGAATACGTGGTCACACTTTAACCGGACCGGGTGAATGAAGGGGCAGTGGCATATCGGACACATGAGGTGGTCATCGTAGCTGGAAACATAGTCCAGTGACCGCAGGTCGACAGTCTCGTCGCGGTCGCAATTCGCTTCCATGACCAAAAGGTCCTCGAGACTGATGTTGGTCATACTGAGGTGTTTTGCTGTGCCATGAGAGGCTCCAGTGCTCTCTAATAGCCCTTTGTATCGATCCTCCGCCTGTCCGGGAGCCGAAAGGCTGACAAGGAGGGAGAGAAGATCAACTGTTCAGTCGCCGTTGTTGATATAAGAGATGAAACAATGGTCCGAAGACGAACCCCATGAGACGTTCTCTATGTAGTTCAGTAGGAGATGTTTCAGACGAGATGAGTGTTGTTGTGGGTTACTCGAGGAAGGCAGATGGGAGGCGAGAGCGAGAGAATGAGAGAGAATGGGATGAAGATGAATTGCGGGGAGTTGACCCTATGGATAAGTTGGAATTCAATGCGGCGCGGGCGGAGAGCGGCAGATCCACCAAAACTGCGGCAGGCGATCGACCCTCCCTCTCTCGTCCTTCGAATCCATCTCACTCCTCTTCACTTACTCCTCCCAATCCAACCACATCGTCAAACTTGTTGCCATAATCTAGTCTTCTTCAGCCTGGCGCTGCTCTCCTTCCCCGGTGGAAGCCAAAGATAGCGCAGTCAGTCATCAGCCTGACACAAATTTGCACCAATCCCGCTCGACCTTTCCGCCATCTACTCCGCATCATTATCATCATCATCATCATCATCTCACCCGCCTCGACACCTTTCAACAGCCTAGTCCCATAAAACCACTCAGTGCCCACACAATTAGAAGAATCAATCGCCCACCATGCCAAACCCCAGTCAACTCCTCCTCCTAGCCGACCACATCAAGCTCTCCCTCCTCGAACGCCAACGCGCCATCTCCCTCAGCCTCGAGCCCAACAGCCAAGACGGCGAGATCTCGCGCTCCCTCGACTCATTCAAGGAAGGCATCGAGGCCATCGAAGCTGAATGTGAGCAGCTTGAAGTCCAGAACGGCCGCGGCGATGAAGACGCCGCGGACCTCCGCGACCAGCTCACGCACTTGCACGCCCAGTACGACGACCTCTCCGCACAATTCCACGAGATCACGAACGCCGTCGCGACCGCCACGGCAACCTCATCATCCTCGACTCCGGACCTCAAGCAGCCCGTGCCACAGCACCCATCCTCGAAATCCGTCCGGTTCATGGACGCGGCGGCGGCGGCCGAGGCGGCCGATGCTGACGAGGACGAGCACCGGCGGAACCTCTTCCGGCCGTATCGCGATTCGCCGTCTCCGCCGCCAGGTAGCACTAATGCCGGGATGGACGGGCTGTCGAACGAGCAGATCTACGACCACCATGCGCAGGTATTGCGCGACCAGGACGAGCAGCTGGACCGGCTGGGCGAGTCGATCGGGCGGCAGCACCAGCTGAGTATCCAGATCGGGGATGAGCTGGAGGGCCATGTTGCGTTGCTGGATGATCTGGATGGGCATGTGGATCGCCATCAGGGACGGTTAGACAAGGCGAGGAAGCGCCTGGATCGGTTCCGGCGCAGTGCCGGGGAGAATTGGAGCATGATGACTATTATCGGGTTGATTATCACGCTGGTGATTTTAATTGTGCTTCTGAAGTAGACTACATTTTCGTGGTTCGCCTATATATATTCTGAGATGATTCCGGGGATGTATGAGTTGTGGGTTTTAAGGCGGCGCTCTCGGCGTTCGGGCTATACTGTGCTTGCTTGTCGGGTTTTGTGTTTTCTTGTCTGTTACTTCGTCTCTCAATTACCCATTCCTTCGATATATCCCGTCTGCTGACGACAACCTGTGGTACTTTTTATCCCCCCTCAAGGCGGTACATCATTTACATTTACCATCATCCAAACTATTATGCCCTCTACCTCCCCCCTCCAACAGCTACACAAAATGGGAACCACCATACAACTAGAGACTACTTTACACTCTCCAATAATCCTACTCATTGACACCCCTTTCCCCTTCTCAAAGCAGATCAATAAGAAAGACACCATTCAACCCTAATCCGGAAGAAAATTTAGAAACAAGTCCCATAATACATAAAGGAATTTCAACCAGCACTGAAATTCGAAAAACAAGACAAGACAACCTATTGAGTCTTATTCACGGGCCCATCCCGGTTGGGAAGACCTTTCGTGCGCTCCTGCAGCGTGGCAAAGTCCTTGTCGTCGCTGTCGATGTCACCCCGATCAGCCTTGACCTGTATCAGCGGAAGAGAGATGGGTTAGTTGATGCGTGCTTTTTTTTTTTTTTTTTTTTTTTGTTTTTGCGTGTGTCTGGGTGACTCTCACCGAAGCTTCGCTGTTGCTGGCCAGCTCCTGCTTCCACTTGGCGGTGCCTTGCTTGCTGTGTTCGAGCTGGTCGCGCTTGTGCTCTTCGTAGATCTGGTCGAGGTTGTCGCGGTCTTTGGTTTTTCCAGCGGTTGTTAGTTGCGATGCAAGAAGAAAGGGAGGTAGGGAGTGGAGGAGGGAGAACTCACTGCGATCGCTCTCGTTGAGGCCTGCGCGGGGGGCGGAGGTGTGCAGGGCGGAAGTGAGGGCGGGGCGGAGGGGGGTGGCCAGACGAGGGGCGAGGGTTGTCCGGACGGTGGTGAGGAACGACATGGTTGCTGTGTACTGTTGATTGAGGTTGATTCTGTAGTGCAATTGTTAGTTGTGGTTGTCTTTCGTTGAGATATGTCGCTGGCGATGGGGTGAGGCTAGGTATACAAGGTGAGGTTGAAATTCAATGGATGGAAAACTTGAGGTAGGAGACAGGAGAAAAAGAGGAGAAAAAAACCACAGGGATGATGTCAACGACACAGACCAAAAAAAAAGTAGGTGCTTACCTTCTCAGCTCAATCGCTAACTAGCTAGATGGAAGATGGTAGGTCAATTCGACGGGTAATGGAAGCTATCTCAATGGGTGGGATGTGATGGTAGTACAGTTCAACTCTCAAATGCAGGACGAAGGGGCCCTTTTAAAACAGTAAACTGGCAAATCCGATCTGCCTCGGGTAAGGGGAAGAGAGTGCAGTGGAGGGTAAATTGTCTCTACGTCGACGTCGGTCCAGCCAGAAATTGAAGAAAAGGTTAAGGGAACTGTACCAGTGAGTGGCCCAGATGGCACTGACGTCATGCATACACACTGCGTGTTTCCACTGAACCCCCATCGCCTTTGCGCTTCTGAGCCACCTTGGGAGTACAAGATTGGTATTGTAGTCAGGTTTAAACAGTCATATCACCTCTTTCTTCTGGCTCTAGGGAAAAATTCTGACATGTGGTCTAGCTGGAAGTGTGTTGAACAAAGTCCGTTTATTGTATGTATGTGTTGTGTCGTAGTGTCTGCTGTCTCATCCCTTGATCCGGCCAAACAGTTGAGGTGCGTCTGCCATGTTTGCTGCTGCAGATCAAGGCTATGACATCACCCAATTGTCCCCCTCGAGTTTCAACCATCTCCTACGATTTGACTTAAGACATGAAGCAATCACGGTAAACTTGTAGTCAACTCATTTAGGTCTATACTTATGATTTCTGAGTACTGTGGAAGCTATCGACATTGAACCTTTCTACAGGAACTTGCACGGTTGGGGCAAACATGGATATATATTCCGAACCAGCTCCCCCGGAACGACAGAGCTAACAACGACCACGGTTCAAAGCTGTTGCCATTCATTCAACTCGAATGAATCTTACTACTCTCAAGGCTACAGCGAAAGCCCCGTGTCTGGATTTAGCAACCTATATCAGTCACCCTCGCCGTCGACAGACTTCAAGATGCCAATAGAAGGCCCACCGGGCTACGGCACAGAAACAGCACTCCGAATGATTAGCACAAGTTGAAGCAAAATGGTGGGGATTGAACTAGTCCAAGCTACTGGAACAGCTATGTATAGGCATGACCCGCCTAGTCAGCAAGATATAGACATCGGAAACTCGATGGAAGATGGTCCACCCAGGGAAAGCATCATACACTGCATATGGATCACACTCGCCGGGAGTCCCCAGGTACAGAATTATCCCAACGAATCAACGCGGAAGCAGACAGAAGTGAAACAAGTCGTCGTGTGACAGAAGAAAGCAACATCGGTCTAGACTTCGCTGCGAAGGCGAAAGATCTCTCAGAACTCCATATCCAATCCATGGATTTTCACAGCCAGTTGACCTTGAACAGTAACAAGCACCGCATGTCACCAGCCCCCAAACCATTTACACAAAGATTTTCAGAATGAAGAAAATGACATATGGGTCAAAAGCAACCTGAACATCCCAACCAACACAACAAAACCCGATGCAGACGTATATCGTTTCCGCCTTTCTAGATCCATGAAAGCATGAGATAAAAAGTCCCTCCTACCCAAAAATTGTGCACAAACACCGAGCCCAAAAAGATGAAAAACCGCTGAACATGCCTGGCATAGCCGCCAGAAATCCAAAAGCAACTCCGGAACCTAGATGAGCGCCTGAATGGCAAGAAATCGCCGCGCTTTCTATACAACGTCGCGGACAAAGGCAAAGCAGGTGATTTTCCCTAACCGGATGAGGAAAACAAGGTATCGTGGATGATGAAGCGCAGAAGTCGAATCGCAGGCGCCGTCGCTCGCAAGAAGCCGAAGCATCAGAGTCTAGGTATAAGTGTGTTCGAAGTCGTCATCGGTAGAAGGTGTATATACAGAGAATAACTGGTTTAGCCGTTGGCGTTTTTGCAATCGTCAAGCGAAGAACAAGAGGGGAATTTGGGTTTGATCGTGAATGCGATGGCCGTGTCGAATAGAAACAAGCAAGAAAGAATTAAAACCCGCGGTTAGGGAGCCCGATGATGCAGAAGCCGGACGAGGGAAGAAGAACGTGCCATGGGCGGAAGTAGGCCCGGTTGCCAGTGGAATGGCGACTTATCCGTAGCGGTTCTCACCACCGCCGTTGAGCGTTCTGCATCGAGGCTGGCGAGATCGACGTAGGCGGGCTCGTCAAAGTCATGCCCGTGTTGGGGTTGACAATGGGAATGACTTTGCGGGTGCGGACGGCAGACGGCTGCTGATAATTCACGTGATTGAGGTTACCAGTAACCCCTGAGTGAACATAGGCGTTCGTCGATGCAGGAGACAAGGAGATTGAAGGCGTGACTTGCTGCACAGGCTGAATCTGGTGCTGAAGCGGAGATGAGTCAGGAGATCCACTGGAGAGTGAGGAGCGATCGGAAGAAGCAGAGTGAATCGAGTGCAGCTGGGAGAGGTCAACGTTAACAGGCTGTACTCGGGACAAAGAAGACCGTTGTCAGGGTGGCTAATACATACATCGTCCTCTGTCAGAAGGCCAGGGCAGAATTCCAAGTCATCGTCGAGGTCGAAAGAACGTCCAGCCTCGAATCGAGCACGGAAAGCCGTCACAGCGGGAGCCTCGGCAAGTTCCCTCATACTCTTGACACCGCGGAACTGGCGCTGAGCATTTTGCGCATTCATTTTCGGTCCTCGGCGAGAGCGACCACCGTGGTGATTATTCGAGGTCGTCATGTGGGTAGTAGCGCCGTGGTGAGCGTGTTGGTGTTGGTGTTGGTGCTGGTGGCCGTAGAAGAAGGTCGACATCTTAACGGGGTGGTGAATAGACAATGCAGCGAACGACACCGGGACGTTATATCGTTGAAATGGCTAAGTCCAAAGTTGTGGAAGTGGATACAAACAAGGGCCGACGCTCTGGAATCCCGCAAACAAGTACTCCGAACGAACCAGATGAACCAAAAGGGAATAGGGTATGTGAGGAAGAATGAGGGAGACCGTGGATGGAATGTGTAGGCAAGTACGTAGTGAAGGAGGAAGCAGGAGCGAAATAGATCAAAGTGAGAATTGGAGGGGGAGGAAATCAGATTAGGCAAGACGGAACGAACAGGGGGAGAGAAAGAAATGTAAATGCGAAAGATGAAAGAGGAGGAGGGAAGAATAAGAAGAAGAGAGATCGGAGAGTGGAGGTACTGAATTTGCCGCGCTTAGTTTGGGTTGTGGGATGGGGAATTCGATGATTGACTGTTGGAACAATGGGTGGGCGGGACAAGAAAGGTGGAATAAGAGAACGAGAAAAAGAGCAGTTGCAGCCAGCGGGCGCCTCGGAGCGGACGGGAGGCGAGCGAAAGTGAGTGAGAGACACAGCGAGAGAGAGCAAGAGGGGCTGAGCCAGTGGAAAGGAAGGAAGTTTGGTGGTGGTGGAGACCCGCAAGGGAAGCATGGTGGTAATTTACTTCTGTAACTGTAACGAGTGTCCCTGAAAGCGGTCGATCTGCAGTCTGGGGGCCTTCAATCCTTAGGAGGAAGCCGAAATTACCGGTACGAAGGAGAAAGTCTCGGTATTCGCCGCTGGCGTAAGGTATGGTCAGGTCTGGTAACCAGTGGTTTCAGACCTATTGGCGCTAGCCAGGTCACGCACCATCCTTAGGGCAGACAAGACAAGCCAACCAGAAGCTCATCAAGCGGTGCTCAGTGGCAAGGCAAATCCCCCGAAAGCCAATTATCGCCGCTTGAGACGTTCTCGGTGGGCTCATGGCGGCCTCTGGGCTACTGAAGCCAATGAGGAGATGTTTCTTGACTGTAATCGACCGCTAAGGCGGGTTAAAGTGACGTTGAGAAGAAACAGATCTAGTCCTCTTTCAGCCTAAAACCTACATCCTACATCACCTCGACGCCTAATATCTGGGACCTCTGGGCGCTTGGATCTTAAACGATAGTGACTACTTTTCCAGTCGTGCAGGCGGCTGTCGCAAGGCTGGAAGTTGCTTGAAATCTGAATACATAATAAGCGGATGGTATGATGCGGCCACCACTGATTGTATGATGCATACGCCCATTGAGCCCGGCCATTCTTGATCAGGTTACGAGTTCGTCTTTTCTTCCCACTGCACAGATGTCTGTATGATGATGAGCATGGAATCCTGATAATTATAGATTTGACAGATGTACAAAACAGCCCTGCCAAGTTACAACGGCACTACTGCTGGCTCCTGTACAAGTGTTCATAGTTGGAAGGAATTCAGGGGGGACAAGTGAGCACCGTAACTGTTTTTCAGTCAGGTAATAGGTAAATCTAGCGGCGTCTCGAAAAGGGCAAGGGTCGGTATGTGGTTTCCACTTCCAAAGACAGGCATGCGCTGGCAAACGGACAGAATGCCCACTACGACATCTGCGGGTAATGATTTGCAAAGGCGTGGTAGATGTTGTGTACTGTACTGCGTATTTGTGAATTGTAGGTGGTGAGACCCACCCTGCATTAGCTACAGAGTGACTTTTGTGATTCACACTTCTTCTTGCCCTTGAACCGTGCCACTTATGCTTGGGATATGTATGACTGAATGTTTTTGGGAAGATTTGGGAAGAGTATTGAGAATCTCCTGAGGTTGCCGAAGTCAGTTAACTCCTCAGTGTCCAGCCTAGAAGAATCGGCGGATTGACTGACTAAAGGAAATTAATCGATCAACCATCCTGGCCGAGCGGGCCGCCCATGAATTTGCCTAAGTCCCCAACCATTGATTGACCATGACCAACCCTTCGGTGGCTTCGACAATTATTCCATAATCAAAACTAACTCTCCACATGATGCTCAGAGACTTTCCTCATCAACCATGCTCCACCCACACCAGTGTTGGGCGCCCAATAGAAGTGTCCTGCTATTACAAGTTCCTCTTCTCTCCATCAGCTAATCATAAAACAAGAATGAATATGATGGCTATGTTTGCAATCTTTGTAGGTGAACCTTTGTTTTGTCAATAAACAGGTTCCCAGGTAACCAAAGATCTTCGACTGTGTGCCAGTAAGTTGTCAACAAACAACTTTATTTCTGGCAGTAATACTCACTGTCAGCAGTAAAGTAGAGATATCCTGTATACCTAAACCAAGTTGTCTGAATACCGGTTGACATTGACATGCATGGTGATTGTTAGCAATTCGTCAGGATCTGGGATCTCCAACCGGGGTTGGTTGCAGTTCCAAGCTGCTAAATGCTCTATTTCCGTCCACATGTGGACAACGCTACAGCCACAGTATGGCTCTGCTGCACGGACACACATCCTGCCCAGGTACTACTTACTAGTACACATCCCTCCCCCTTTCTTGCCATGATGAATAAGTTAGCTGCTACACATAATATACCCCTATCTATGAATAGCATCTCGTCCCCTCCACCAAATAGCGGAGGAAATATAGATAGATGCCATCTGAAATGAGATACAAAACCACGAGTCATTGAACCCAGAGATTATCCTCATTACACAGTAAGACTTCAAGGGAAGCCAGCCCATGTGGAGAGTAATTGTTGACTTCACCTAACTTACTCCGTACACTGAATGCAACCTGAAAAGGCGGCTACTGCAGCAGCAAGCCAACGGGGCTGTAAGATGCAAGCCGATAGGCCCGCAAAAGCTCACAGCACCCTCTCTGCTTATGCCGCATGGCCCCCAGGGCCTGCAGCCTACTGCAGGTTATCGGATGGTGCGGCTTTGCCTGGACTTCTTCTCCTGGGAAGTGGGAATGCGTGGGAGGGGAGGCCCCGGCGGCCTCCGGGCCTAGCCTGCTTACAACTGTCTGCAACGAAAGAGAAAACATACATTTTTAGGTAGCCTTGGCCAATTGGAGAGAGAAATTAAAGACGTGGAATCAGATATCCTTTCAAGTGTTGCTTGGATATTAAGTTCTATTCCCCTTGTTCGTCGTAACTCAGCATGCTTTGGCGAGCGATGGCTTTGACTCCCCTCGCCATCTCAAGGGCTTTTTGGGGAACCTGCTGTTTCACCGCCCTTTTCGTAACGGGCATGAAAAAGGGACGGGATGTTGTGCTCCGTCTATCATGAGAGATCACTCGGGTGGGCTATATCGAGCGACTGGGAGGCGCAAGCTGCGCTGATAATGATTTCATGATAATTTTAGCTATTGAGCATTCGATGATGGTTATGCAATCATCAGAAGGCGGGGGTGAGTACGGAGTAAACAGTCCGGGTGTTGACTCTGGCAAAGATGCATCATAGGAAGAACTGTCGTGGTCTCCACAGCCTGTCACCATCGGTATTGAGTATTGTCCACCCCGTATCGCCACAAATACGCAAGCGTGCAAGAGAATCCGCGATCGACTGGACATCCCCCATATTCGAAAGGGGGCAAAAAACGAAAAAAGGCAGCCACATCCATCTTAGCTCTGGAATAAGGTTTCTTTACCCCAGGGATTGACCCCGAATGTCATCGAAAGGAAGAATGTGTTGATTGTACTCCGTAGTCATCTGGTCATGTTATGCGTATATCAGAGGACCCAACTTTGGGACTGCCGGAAGTATCCCGGTCGAAACCACTTCGCCACTCAGATTAGTTGAGTGCGGCAGGGAGACACTCAAGAGAAGCACAGCCCGGGCGGTTGATCTTATCTATCAAATCTCTCTTTCGCAGTATAATTCCAGGACTCTGGAGTGCGTAAGCGCGGGATGAGAAGCTTGTTGACAATCGACACATACTCACCAGCCTACATGCCTTTGAAGCAAGGGATATGAAACATACACGATCTATCTGCGACTGAATGGAGTCCTCTCAGGAAGCGCCCAATGCCGCTTGCGGTTTCTGTTATCGCCCGGTATGTCTGGCCCCTGATCTTTCCCCGCACGCCCCTCCGATTGATTGATAGTAGCTGTTGACATCTGAAGGACATGCACTTCAGCTGGCAAACTACGGCAAATCATGCTCACAGTACGGAGTACATAGATTGAGGTGTAAATGACTCTCGCGAACAGTTCCTGTTCCATCTCACTTCTGACCGAGTGGGTTATCATCCAAAGAATGTCCGCTGAGACCTGGACTAAAGCAGGTACAGTACGTACTGTTAGTGCCCTGCAGCAGCAATAGAGGAGACAAATTGCTTGACCGTTTTGCAGCATGGTGAGTCATCTTGGTCATAAGTGGGCTACACGGTCAAGATCTATGGTACACTGGTAAGCTTGTCGATAACGTTTGCTTCTCCGACCGGCTGCGTTGGTTTTGTATGTGTGTAGGGTCTTGCAAGGATTATCCCAGACTGTAGCGCTGCGCCAATGCTGCTGAGCGAACCAAGGTATCTAAATCCTATGGGGTCCTTTTTCTAGAGACTATGCAGACATATTTGGAAGTACTCATGGGTATTATGGATGTGAAGCTACCTACGGAGTACTGAAGGAACTGACGAACTCAGAGCGACAGGCTCGATAAAGGCGGACATGCCCGTACGTAGGAGCAGGGTTGGTCACGGACTCGGTTCGTGAGTAAGGGTGTTCGTAGCAAAAGCCCCTCTTACGATGAGGTCTGCTGATTCTTTGATGCCCAAGATTTGAAAACGAGGAAGACCTTGCTCGTGCTTTATCATATTTCCAAATTGATATTCGATTCTGGCATCTCTTTCTTCACAATACCGGACAGAAGATAAAGAGTGGCCGATGAGTTTATCCCATGTATATTGTACCGTAGCATACCGAGAGTCGAAGACGCCGATCCTCACAGCCATTTTGGATTGTTTGTATTCAGGTACTAATTCCCTGTGGAATGCAGTATATTTCGAACGTCGGTTTTGTGAATGCTGCTTGCTCAAATCGTCTTAAAACTTCCAAGTTGTTTCCCAGACACAAATAGCCTCTTCCTTTACTGGCCAAAGGCTGCTTTGACAGTTGACAGCACTCACAGCCAGTGGATGACCTAGCCGTTGATCTGCTGAATAGCCCACCCTCCACTGACAGCAGCGAACAGCTCAATCTATTTTTGATGTCACTAGCCAGGAAGCCTGTATACACAACACCGATCTAGAGCGCAATAAGTGGCTAGAGCGCAACAAGTGGCGAGATGTATGGCGTCAGACTCCGTCATTTGTTCGATGGTGCAGCCCGACTTGCGTGTAACAGCCTCGGCTTCGGCCTCAATGACTACGATGCATGGTGTGACAAGCCTGTCCATTCTCGTCTCAGATCGTTATACAAGCGAGGCTTGGGGTCTATTCTTTTCTGCGGGGACAGACGCATCATCTGAGTCAACTCCAACCTCATTTGTCAAGGTTCTTGGTTTTGACCATACGACCCAGCAGTTCCTTGCAGTGCTTTTCACTGTACTGCTCCCAGATTTCGTACAGCGAGACCAGCTCCTGAGTACACTCAATGACTGCTTTGATGTCGATCTCACTCTCGGCCAGCCATGCAACTAACCTTTGAATACGCGCTGGGGGACCACTGCCATTCTTATCACTTAATGCCGCAAGGATGTTCAACCCCCCATCCCGCATCGCCCCAGCCAATGGTGCGGCGGAACCATGAAAACTGGTCTGGCTTGGCTTGAAAACAACAGCAACAATGATGGCCATGACGGCAATGACATGCGGTGGGTAGAGTAGAGGCAAGTCGGTCAGATAGTGGTCGTTGATCACTGACCATGCAAGTGCTACCTCGTCCGACGTGAGGGCCAGCTCCGGTTGGAGTTCGGATAAAGTTCGATACGGGTGATGAATGATAAGCTGAGAGCTCATCTCCGAAATTAGGGAGAACTCGCATTCGCCTAGCTTTGAGACATCTGGGGCGATAAACTCTGCGCGTACATGAGTAAGACATAAATGACCGAGGGGCGAAGATAATGACTCGTACCCGGCCAGAGCCCGCGGGCTTCCCCGACGACGAAGCGAATATGCTGAGGACATTCCTCCATCTTACAGGCGAGATAGAACGCAGTGGTCACGACCAGATACGGGTTCGTATGTCTGATTTCGTTCTTGGTATAGAAGCGTTTGATATATACTTGCGCGGTTGCTAGCGCTTGCTGTCGCGTGGACATTCTCTTGCCAAGCTTGATTAATTCTGTGCAGATGCTGAGTTAAGAGAGTGCTAACGAACTGAAGGCAGGGGGATCTTACGTTGACTGAAGTAAACATTAAGCAGCCTTTGATCCGGCAAAGGGAACTGCGAATGAGCGACCTTGTCTTTCTCCTTGAAGCTTTCACGGATCTCTGCCAGCTTCTCGCGGGTAAACAGCCAGTGCCGTCGTTGGGTCGACGCCCAATAATTGGCAGCCATATTTGACTTTTCTATTCCAGTCTATCAAGATTGGGGGGTCACTTAGTTATGAGGTGATGGGGTAACATGCCCGGTAGGAACTATGTATGGATTGGGGTCGTGCGTGGGTTGGGCTTAGGGACCCGTATGGGGGTGAGTTGCTTCTAGCGCCTGTTTCGAATGACCAGTACCCCCCGGTTTCCACCCAAGCCTCGACTTAGTTGGATGATAAGCAGAGATAAGATAAACAGTCCTGTACGTAGACAAGCGGGAAAGGATCGCGATGAAGTCCAAGGCTTGATTGATGATAGTTACTCTTTATTTAGTTGTGGTTGCTTAGTAGTTCGTTTATCTGGCAGGTGACCATCGGAGAGAAACGCTTCCAAAAGAGGTCTAGTACTGGGAAACCGGGCCGGGGTCTAGTTTTCTTCCGGGAGCCCCCCATAGTCAGCTATTATTGTTGGAAGGAAAGCAAATCATCGCGGCTCGATTTCTCACGGCTATCGGGTCCAGCGCAGAAAACAAGACCCAAACGACAATGTTTGTCGCTGTATCTCACTCTTCATAAACCAACCCCCCCGCCAACACCTCCCCTCAACCCAAATCTTCCAAATCCTAGCTTTGCGACTTCGATGCTAGAATTATTGTCGAAATCTTCTTCAACCCTGCTGCGACAGGGCTCCGATCTATCCTCACTAGCCCCCGTGACCCCTCCTTGAAAAAATAATGACGGAGTTCCGATACTCTCTCCAATAACCGAACATGGATAACGGCGAGTCGAAATCGGATCGTGACCAACGAGTCGCCCGACTCTGGGAGCGCCTGGACACCCGAGGAGAAGGTCATCTTGATTTTCATGGCTTAAAAAAGGGGCTTAAAAAGATTGATCACCGTAAGCTTCACTATGACCCGTTCCCGTGCTTCTGATGCAGGTGACCAACCCCCGTACGTCAATGCAAAACAGCTCTCAAGAATGCAGACAGTATGCTGCGCAGTATCATCGAGGCAGTCGATACCAATGGAGATGGCTATATAGATTATCCTGGTAAGATCACGCGCATAATCCTTCGCAGTGTCTCTGGTCTCTTGTCTTTTTCTCCGGGGCAACTGGCTTGAACGCCCGGCATTTTTCCAGCCTAATCGTCATCAGAGTTCCGCGCCTTCGTCGACCACACTGAAGTCGGATTATGGCAGCTGTTTGAGAGCATCGACCACAACCACAATGGAGAGATTGATAAGAACGAACTGAAAACTGCCTTCTCCAATTCCGGGGTAACGGTTTCAAACGCCAAGTTGGAAGAGTTCTTTGCGGAGGTCGACAGGAACAAGGATGGCGTCATCTCTTATGCAGAGTGGAGGTATGCCTAATGGCGGTCAGCTGAAGATGCTCTCGGGGGTTTGCAACTAATGACTTCCTCTTATTTAGGGATTTCCTGCTCTTTTTGCCCGCCTACTCGTCCTCCAACCTGCGTTCCGTCCTTTCATATTATACGGCCACGGGCAATCTAAACCCGGAAGGAGATGTCCACATCAATGATCTGCAGGGTTTAGGTACAGACCTCTCGTTTCTTAGATGTTATATCTTGGCCATCCAGGACCTCTTGCACAAGATTTCCCCAGTGCACCTCTTGACCAGCGTCCTCCCCTCAGCTTATGCAGAAACCGGCGGAGCACCAGAGCCTGGATTCGCGTTCGAGACTGCTTCCGCATCGTTCGATGGTGATCTGGAACTGGAGTGGCTGCCCATACCCAGGACTGTCGCCATGTGGATGTCCTTTCGATATTATGAACAAAAGTTAACCGAGAACACTCCTCAACTAGGCTACTTTCTTGCGGGCGGAATTGCAGGAGCCGTATCACGGACAGCCACTGCGCCTCTAGATCGGCTCAAAGTGTACCTGATCGCTCAGACTGGCGTGAAGCAGTCCGCAGTGCGCGCGGCCAAGGATGGGGCGCCGTTGCGTGCGGCGGGAAAGGCGTCCAAGACACTTGCCGAGGCTGTCAAAGAATTATGGCGTGCGGGGGGACTTCGGAGTTTGTTTGCGGGTATGAGTCGGGAATTCTCCAAGCTCCGAAGCTGTACTGACTGCCATAGGGAATGGCCTGAATGTGGTGAAGGTCATGCCTGAGTCAGCCATCAAATTCGGCGCCTACGAGGTAATCGCGTTTTTCTCTGGGTGAGCCACTGGATCTGATACTGACACGATCACAGTCAGCCAAACGCGCGTTTGCCCGTCTTGAAGGTCACAATGATACGAAGCGGCTCAAACCAACTTCCCAGTTTCTATCCGGAGGCTGCGGTGGAATGGTCGCACAGTATGCTGCACCATAACCTTCAATTGATGAAAGCGATCTAACACAGTGACAGATGCTTCGTTTACCCCCTCGATACTCTGAAGTTGTGAGTGTTTCCAGTAATGCTACATACCCATGTGCGCATGTACTAATCCTGTCCTCAGTCGGATGCAATGTTCAACTGTTGAAGGTGGTCCGCGAGGCAATCAGCTCATTGCAGCCACGTTCAAGAAGGTCTGGAACCAGCACGGAATTTTCGGCTTTTTCCGTGGCCTACCGCTCGGTCTAGTCGGAATGTTTCCCTACGCTGCAATTGATTTGACGACATTCGAGTACATGAAGCGAGCCTTGCTAGCACGTAAAGCTCGGCTGCATAACTGCCACGAAGACGACGTCCCACTCAACAACTTCACTACCGGAGCCATTGGTGCCACTAGTGGAGGCTTCAGTGCCTCCATGGTCTATCCTCTGAACGTGCTCCGAACGAGATTGCAGGCTCAAGGCACTATCCTCCATCCCACCACATACACTGGCATCCTTGATGTTGCCCGCAAAACCATCCAGGCAGAAGGTTTGCGTGGCCTTTACAAGGGCCTCACGCCTAATCTCCTCAAGGTAGCACCCGCGGTCTCGATTAGCTACGTTGTCTACGAAAACGCCAAACGAGCTCTCGGGTTGAGGTGACGGCCACGAAGAGAAGAACGACTCATGTGGCCCTTCCCCTCTTGGCCCCTTTAACCGCCCAGCGCGTTTCATTTCCGCTTGCCTCGATTTTTAGAATTTATTTTCCGAGATACCCTAGAAAAGCCAGTGGCCCTCACTGGCCACCGTCGTTCGCTCTGTTCGGGTGGAAGTGCGTGTGATTTTTGACACCTCTAGCTGACTAGAGAGGGGGTGTCACTTTTCCCCGCAGTCGCCCGGGCCGAAATTGCCGAAGGGCTTTACTGTTTTGATTTTCAGGTCGTTCGCAATATGGCATTACGAAAACCATATAGCAATTGGATGACCCAGTTGTTTGGAAGAGTCGCATGTTCCGACCTTCCGCCAAGCATGGAAGGCGTCGTGCGGTAGAGCATGTTACGGAGTTTATTCGAATTCGAGTTTTTGTACCGCCCCCTGAGCCGGGTCCTCCGACCTGCCTCCGTATATTGCTTGTAATCTTTTTGATTCTTGTGGGAATCAGGAGGATCATTGAATGTTTATGCTAGCTTCACTCTTCATTTTTGATCATGTGTCACTTTCTATGTAAAAACCTACTTCTTTGTCTGTTACTACATGAAGGGAGATGTTGATTGAATGAAGGTACACGTAATATCTAGGAATATAATAATCATAAGCTTTATTCTGAAGTACTTGGTTCAGATTATGTTTGCCAGCCTGTATAGATGATATAAAGAAGACCTAGTTATCCTCATTTGATACTTTCTCCCTTCCTGCCACCATCAATTCCATCTTAATCCAAAGAAGGCCTAAATAACAGCCCGAACCTCCTCCTCCAACGGCAAGATATCCGGCACGGGCCCCACGGGCGTGATCCCGAACGGATTAATCTGCTTATGACTCTTGGTATAATGCTTCTTGATATGCTCGAAGTTCGTCGTGTCGCGGAACGCAGGCACCTCCCAGTACAGCCTCCGCAGCCAGCGGTGGATAGCCGGGTACCCCGAGCGAATGTCCCGGATGTTGCACTTGAAGTGCTGCACATAGACGGGATCGAAGCGGACGATGGTCGTGAACAGCCGGATGTCGGCCTCGGTGATGGCGTCCCCGAAAAAGTATGGTCCCTTTGTATCAGTGGTCAGGTGCTGTTCGATTCGATCCAGCGAGGCGAATAGCTGCGTTACGGCCTTCTCGTAGGCTTCCTGCGTGGTCGCGAAGCCGGACTTGTAGACCCCGTTGTTGACGTCGTTGTAGATCCAGTCGTTGGAGCTGTCGATTTCGGAGCGCAGGTGGGGAGGGTAGGGGTCGACAGCGCGGTGGTCGGCAGGGAGGAGGGGGTCGAATTCGTGGTAGAGCATGCGGATAATTTCGGCGCTCTAGTTTGCGAATCAGCACGTTAGTGGGTAATTGAGAAATGGGGCAGGTTTGGTAACGTGCATACCTCGTTGCTTACGATGCGCTTGGTCTTCTTGTCATACAGGACTGGAACGGTGAAGCGGGCGCTGTAGTTGGGGTCCTCGGCAAAGTAGATCTCGCGCAGGTGGGTGAATTCGGGGTGGTTGGGGTCGGAGGTGACGTTGTGCTCGGGTTGTTGCTCGTCGGCAGTGGCAAAGCGCCATCCTGTTGTTCATTCACTTGCGTGAGTATATCCATATCATAGCAAATTTGCTGAGGGTGAGGGAACCGAACCTTTCTCGCCGAGGTGCCAGTGCACGGAAGTGAAAGAAATGAAGTCCTCAAGACCCTTGAGCTTGCGCGTGATCAAGGTGCGGTGGGCTGCGCGATACATAGACAATCAGTGCCTCGAGCTCATGTCATTCGATGGGTTCTAATTTCAGTCGACCGGAGACATACCCCAAGGACAAGCGTATGAGACATAGAGGTGATAGCGGCCCTTCTCGGGAGGGAATTCAGCACCAGGCTCGCTGGAGATGAAGTTGCGGAACGCCGAGGTTTGGCGCTTAAATTCACCGGACTTGTCGGCGGGGTTGACCCAATCGGTGATTTTACTCGAAGTGTCGGTCTATGAAGCGGTATTCAAGTGTCAGCTAGTAGGGACATATACAGCTTGATTGAAGGGTCTCCTACCGCCATGGTGCGCGTTGAGGACAAAAAAATTGGTGCGGAGAGACCGGAACTTGGTAAGTTGGGAAACCGCGCGGGGAAATTGAGCTGCACGATATGCTGCGATAGCTGGCGGATACGAGGCAATGCTTTGAACATGAGCGACAATCTTCGAGAACAATTGGCGCCTTTATACCAGAGAAACAAAAGAAAAAGCTGGCAAGATTTGTTGCGAAATTGAATACGAGCTCGAGGCTACTTGCTGAGGGGCAATGCGGGGGGTGGTGGAGATGACGTTATTAAATGCTGACTGATGAGCCAGTCATCCGTCATGACAAACCGTTTGCTCAGCAACCGCACTACTAAGGTACGGTAGCTAGTCAACTTAGTCCAGTGGTGTAAGGCTTACGGTATCGATAAGCTGATATCCTCCATCTCATCTGCAACCAATTGAACATTCCGGAATTAAAACGTAAACATGGCATAGAAAACTATAGAATTGTTTCTACTTACATAAAATTTATCTACTTTCATACCAGCATATCATTTTATAACCAATAATAGCATAGACCAGTTAAACTATTGTTGGTCTACTTCCGCAACTTCACCATAACGTAGGGGATCTCGACATCCTCCTCAGTCGTATCCTCCGCGGTCACCTCGAAAATGATATTCTTCTGGTGCTCCGGAACAGGCTTCTTACTAATGTGCTCAACTAACTTGCTCATTCTATAGCAGCATGCTTAGTTAGTGTCACGTTCGCAGTAGGACGGCACGGGCACGGGCAGAATGCGTCTTGGGAATACTTACTTAAGAGGAAGGCGGTCCTTAAGCTTGGATGGCGGGTAAAAGCTGGCGTAAAGGAGGCTGACGCCAGAGCTGACCATACTGATCTCCAATCCCAGGTCGGAGAAATGCTTGATGAAATCCTGAAGCGGAATATCATCCAGCTCAAATCGGTCCCAGATCTGGTCAATGACCACCTCACCCTGCTTGCCCTGGTACTTGCCCTTCGGACTAGCGATAGGTTCACTGAAACCAAGAAAGGGCAGCGCCAGGTTGACAAAGCCGTTCTTATATTGTTCGATGTCGTCCTTACCGTCGATGATCTTGTACAGTTCCAGGGCAACCAATCCGGTCACCAGGGCCGTAGTCGTGGCAATGGCAGGGATGATCTTGCCAGCGATGAACTTCGTCTTGTGACGGTCAGCCTGGGGGATGTCGTAGTTGTCGGCACGCAGGTTGCTAGCCGCAGTGATGAAGTCAATGTGATGATTGGTGTCGTCATCCTTCTCGAACTCAACTGGGTTCAAGCGGAAGCCAGCCAAAGACTTGGGAGATGGAAGCTGTTCAACAAGCCGTTGAATCTCCCGCCCATCATCGAAAGAAGAGCCGGACGCAGGAGCGTCCGGATCCGGGTCGTTCTCATTAGCCTGGATCTTGACGCCAGACTTGGGGGTGAACTCAGGAATGATCATGTTATCGACAACCTTCTTGTAGTATCCCTTGTCTGCACCGTGGTTCTCAATTCCGTAGTTGAAAGCATGAAGGTTCGCTCCAGCAATGATGAAAGAGAGATGTGTGGGGTTAGAGCTGTCGAATTTCAACGGGGTAGGAGCCCGCTTGGGTCCAGACCAGAACGGTTGCCCAGTAGAGGTCTTAGAATCCTTGGGAAAGTTATACAAGAGCTGCTGGATGGCGTTGTTGTACTGAGCTTCGAATTGCTGACGGGCCCAGACAATGCAGTCATCGAAAGTTGACGGCTTGTCCGTTACCAGGAAGTCTCGTAGATGCTCCAGGGTCTGCTTTTCGTTGCCAGCTTGCTTGAGAGTCTGCTCGATGTAATTGGGCTGCGACAGGTACATGTTGACAGCTTCAGGAGGACCCACAAAGTACGTCTGGAAAAGATCCCTAGCCCAAGCGATAGTGTGCTCAATGCGGTTGGGAAAACTCTTCAGAGTGCACATTGGGAAGGTCTTCTCCGGGGGGTCCTGAGAGCTTGAGTACGACTCAGTGATCCGGGGAAGAACGACTTGGGTGTTGCCCTTGGTGCCAAGAGTGCCACTTTCGAGCAAAGGCTTTCTGAAGAAGACACAACGGCGATCGACGTAAGTTCTAGCGTCGACGTTGTCCAAAGCATTCGTGACACCGTCCAAGCGCTCCCAGAACTCCTCGTTGAAGACATGCTCCGTATCAGAGCCTACACGGTCGCGCAGAGTGACAATATGGCCCTTCAGCTCGGGATTCATTGCTTCCGCAGCCGCAGAGGCACATTCACTCTTGAGCTTGCCGACATCTCTGCTGCGGAACAAAAACTGCCGGTTAAGGTTGCTCTTCTCGATTTGATCCATATCAGTGACATAGATCTTTCCCTTGGGACCGGTTCCCAGGCCCATCATAGCCCAGTTCTTCAGCGTCTCACAGCCAATGGCACCAGAGCCAACCAAGAACTGGGTGACATTGGAGATCTTTTCTTGAAACTCTTTACCAAAGACGGCAATCTGGCCATCATAGCGAGTACCCAGAGGCTTGCAAGCCTCCTCGGACCGCGTAGTGGAAGTTGGAAGAGACTCCAAAGAGTCAAAGTACAGCCACTGATGCACGGGGTTGAATTTGCCGGATACAGCCTTTAGCACCTCCTGCGCAGCGATGCCTCCGAACAATGCAGCCAGCGGATTCAGGTCACCACGGGCTTGGTAGCTGAGCTCTTTAAGAAGCTTCTCGTCCAGTTCAAGCTTCTCCTCTAGGCTGGATGCTAGGTCATTGGCAATCTTCAACACCTCCTGCGCATCGCTGTCATTGTGAGGACGAGGAAGTTCACCGCTATGACCCTCTGCGAATTTGTGTAGTGCTTGAACGCCAACGTGGAGCTGCAGTGGACGATCAAATTTGGCAAAATCCGACACCATGACCTCGGGCTTCTTGAGCTGCTCTTCTAGTGGCGCGAAATCGATGAACTTGGGCATCTTGACCTGAGTATAGATACCGCCGTTTTGGTACGTTCCAAGTCCAGACACATCTCCAATAGAGAAAGTATACGGGCCCTTAACGGTGATTTTGCGAGGAGCACAGCCGTTCAGTCCCTCCATACCTTTGACCTCCGAGAAAGTCACGAAGTCACCATCTTCCAGGCCGTGTCGGGTCTCATCCAATGCTGAGACCAAGCCTTCCTCATCAATGCTCGCCACAATACCGCTGAGTGGCTCCTCGCCTGTAGCATCACCGACCGTGAAGTTTTTTCCAAAGTCGTTGAAGAGGTACCCAAAAAGGCCGAAAGTATCCGTGATAGTAAGGTAAATACCGTTCTTGTGGCAAAAGTCGGCAATAGCAAGCTGTTCCTTCAAAGGGGTCAGGGTAATGACGATCGCTTGGTAGCGTTTCAGCTGCTCCAGGTCCTCAACAAGGCTGGCACCTTCATGGACTGTAACCGGAACATAGGAGTTCAACTCCGCGACTCTCGGCGCTGTGACCTCAGCACGGGGCTTGCCGACATCTTGCGGCTGGAGGAAGAACTGGGAAGAGAGGTCTGAGATAGCGACCGGCGCAGGATCGTACAACGTGAGGGACTTGACACCAGCAAGTGCGATGTTCTTGGCTAAGAAAGCGTCAATAAGTGTGCTCTAATTCTTGCCAAGATGGCGAGGTGCTTACCAATTTCGACACCTAGACCTTTCAAACCAACCACCAGAACGTTTGAGGAGCCCATACGCTTCATAGCTTCATGTCCGAGGACATAACTAGAACGGATGGCGAACGATTAGCGTCAAATTTCTCAGCTAAAGGCGACAAGTATTAAGTACTTACAGTTGCCGACTGTAAAGAGACTCGTCGATTTCTCCTTGCTTGATCAACTCCACAGTTTCCTGCGGGTTGTCAAGTTCCATCTTGGAGTCCTATAGTTGATTAGTAGAAGCGGGGTCGGTGGGAAGTTCAGAAAACATACAGTCATGATCTTCTTCTCCGGCGGAGCTTTGTTATCAACAGACGCTCTGCGCTTTCCAGGCTTCGCAGCGTCACGAACGGGAAGTTCGGAGGAAATCGTGAACGGTCTCTGGGAAAGCCTTGCTACGGGAGCAAGACTTTCAAATCAGGATGAAAGAGGCCTACAGCTCGCACTGCGAGTCACGGAGGAGGGGTAGAGGCGATAAAGTAGATGAAGGTCTGGGGTGCGGATAGAGATGACCACGGCGAGAGGGGGCGAAACGACAAGAGGTTGAGTGAATAAACAAGGGGATGCCGGAGAGTATAAGAATCAAGAAAGAGAGCAAAGAAAGATTTGGATAGATAGAGAAGAGGAGAAAGATGGTGGATTGATCACTAATGTTGCGATTTGGCGGCGACGTAAGAGAGACAAGCTGTCGGCGATCGATGACTCAGCGAATTCAAGCGCTGTGACTGGCTGGAGCCCCGCGGACAAGCCAGCACCAACACTTTGGCAACAGCTGAGGAAAGCGGGAAGAGATCGGAGGTGGATGGGAGGTTCGTCCCGACCGCAAGATGAAGTCTCTCGCGCCAGGCACTCTTTCTTTGTTGATGCGTCGCCGCACGTTGTTTGTCTTGTATTGAGATTCTTTTACCTTGCCGAGAATGCCTATGAAAGGGACAACCACAACGCGCATAGAGAACCAGTCCGCATTTTGAGGTACCTTTGACTGGACAATTTATGCTTTGCGGTTTATCATCTACTTTCGTGGATCACGCGACGCGCCGCGATACTGCGCGAGGTGCAGCTTGCTTGCTCTTAGCCAAGCTCCATGTCAGCATCTTTACATGTGTCGCTTTGAACTCCTGGGACGTTCAATCCTCTATTGGCAACGTCAAAAGTCCAAGAGAGACAGAGATTTGTCTCTGAGGTCTGTTGCGCCCATATGGTTGGTGTCTGGTTTCATAATTATCTGACTTGGAATTTGCTACCGCTCAGGGAACTACCACCACAATGCTCCACGAAATCCTCCTCTGCCTCTCAGGCCAGCCATCGACTCTTTTCAATTCGCAAAGTGAAGAGTCTTTGGTCGCTGAAGATGCCTTCCCGCTCGTCTCTCCTCCGGAAAAAGCCCTCCTCTCCTCACTCGCCCATTTGAGCCGACTTCATGCCAAGCTGCGACAACATACAGGGTTGATTTCCGCCTCCCATGGGTCCGTCATCTGTCGTGCAGTCTCAACGGCCATCAGCGCGCAGCATCTTGGTCAATTTCAAAAAAGGATATTAGAGGTGGAGAAGGCGATCCTGGTGGAGGACAGCGGGTATGTCGGTGGCTACGGAATTGTACCTTTGTCCACAATAGTCGGGGAATTTACACCCTGGACGCGGCGACTTGAATGGTTATGGCAGATCGTAATGCATATGCAGTTTGCGGATACGAAAGGGGCCGGTTCACCCTGTAGTGGTGCAGCCTTGATTGACCATCTCCGAGCCGAGCTCCAAACGGGCTATGCTGATGTGAGGGAGATTGCGCTTCATTTGGTCAGTACTGCAGAAACTGCCTGGGTCAGGCAATTATCAACGTGGCTGTTATATGGAAATCTTCCAATCCTCGGCAAATCCGACTTCTTCATTCATGAAACGAACACGATTGGCGATAGTCAGCCCTCAAATGGGACAAGTTTTGAAATGCACCCTAAGCTTCTGCCCCAATTTGTGCTGCCTCAAACGGCGTCATCTATCCTTTTCATCGGCAAGACTCTGAATTTCATTCGGATTAAACGGGGCACTTCAGGTACGAACAAGGATACAGGGCTTTCGACGACACCAGTCACGCTACGCGAGGACCACATTAAGCATCTTGCTGCTCTGAGGTCACCCATAACACCAACCATGATATCAGCTGTCGTTGTTTCCATAAGACTTTCTTTGTCTCAGAGCACGCTCTCAACACTTCTGCCGACATCTAAGGTCCTTGAGACGTTGTCCGTCTTGCACGATTTCCTGCTGCTAGGACGAGGGGAGTTTGCAACAGCACTTGTCTCTCATGCAGACCGCCGTTTATATGAGAAGCGCCAGAGAACCGCAACCTCAAGATACAAGAGTAATGCCCCGGCTGAGATTGGAGGTCCATCTATCAAGGAAAATGACGTGGTCGCAACTCTGGCTCAGGCTTTGTCGGAGCTTTATTCATTGCAGAACGAAGAGGATCTTGCAGATGATGAACTTGAACTCGCAAGGATGCTTCTTAATTTGACAATCAACGAGCGCACAGGTGACGGAGGAGAGGTTTCGTCTCATTTTACAACAGAAGCCTACCCAGGACTCAGATTGTCCAACATATCATTCGACGATCTTTTGTTCCCCATAGCTACGAACCTTTCGATGCACATAAATTCTCCTCTTGACCTATTTATTTCTGCCTCTGATATGTCTGTGTACTCCAGAATCCACTCCTTTCTCCTGGGCATAAGGCGTGCTCATTTTCACCTTGGTGACCTTTGGAAACACACTTCCCTCCGAAGATGTTATCCCTCGCCCTGGGGGCCGCCTCGCAGCAATACTACATATGGTCAGAATAGACTTGCAGAAAGCAGGCAAAGGGACAATACCCGACTACGGCAGATGAGAGCGGTTTGGGCAACGTCTAATGGTTCTTTGTTTGTGCTCTCTGAGATTGGAAGTTATTTTCAAGGAGAAATCATCAATGAATCATGGCGGCACTTTCGAGAATGGATTATGTGTGGTAATCACCAATCAACATATGCTACAGGCTCCCGACCTGGGACCGCATCGTCGTCGAAGAGCAGACAAATTAACACTCCGGCTGCATCTCATCCCGCACCGGGTTCAGGCTCCATTGGCGGTACATCGGGGTTCAGACGTCATGATCCGGAAACTATAGCGGCTGCCCACCGTCGGTATCTTTATACTCTGGTCGAAGCTCTGTTCCTGACTGATGTGCCCTTTATGGAAGCGCTAAGGTCCTTGCTCACAAGCATCGAACACTTTATTGCGCTTATCGTGCGCCTGGAAGACATACAACGCAATATGGATCTAGAAACAGACGAAGGAGTGATTGATTCTCTGGTAGACTATGCCGGAGAGGAACGTGATTTGTGGCAAGCACTTGATGCTGCACGCGCTGATGTCGAAGGTGGAATAAGAGGTGTTGTCTTACGTCTCCGAGACATTGATGATAGCCGATCCGCTGAAGGGCGACAGTTGTTTGACATAGTGAATGACAAAGGTGATGACTGGTCTTATCAGTCCATGGGTGCTGAAACCGGATTCCGCCATTATATCCCGCGAAAGGCAGCCGGCGTTGACCGGCTCCTGATGAAACTGGAATTCGGGAATGTGAATGGGAGCATTGGACCTGGTTCTGTTGGCGTGGGCGCAATTGGGGGTATCGCATGATGCATACTGTGTATTCCACGATGCTTGCCACATTCAATAGGGAATACTCGCTCTTGTCAATTATGCTTACAGTCGTGAGGTCGGAAGATGCTCGGTCGTCCTCACAAAAGCCTTACGAGACGACATGCACGTCTTCATACTGGTTATCATTTGAGGTCATGATCCCAGCATACGCCACCGTCAGAATCCCCAAAGCTTCAGCAAAGTCATGAACTACTTACTTTGAGGATCAAGTAAGCTTGAACTCATCAGTCTGAAAGAAATTGAACAATTGCTGCATGGACTATAAATAAAGCGGAACAAAAAGTCAATTATCGCACGTGATCCACGGTCGGCCATTCGACGGGATACCCAAACAGGCAATCTTCTCTTATCTCCACCCTCTAGTCTCTCACGGTGAGTCGCGAAACATTCTTGACTCGAGTCGACTCGTCTCTTGAGTCAGCCTATCGCCCGAGGCGTGTGTTACTGCAAGGGATTGTTCAGCACAAGGAGAGATCGAAAGATCAACCTCCGAGAGGCTTGGCAGATCACTGGAATCTACAGGATATTCTGGAATGGATTGACCATGAGGGAACTTTCAGCCGGCCTGGCGCGCTGCACTGCCTGCCTTCCCTGAGCCCTCGGGATGTCATTTTTCGGAAGGTTCATGAAGTGGGAAAAAACGTTTTGTCCTTCTAGAAAATCCAGCAAGACACGATCGAAACATTTGGAGGGGACTATAATCTTTCAAAGAATACGAATACCGTCAAACATATTACGAGAAATGATGAGTGGATAACTCATCTGTTCAAGCGATGCGATAACTGTGGCACGGGGGGACAGCATCTTCGAGGTTGGAATCGCAAGCTGCAAGGGTTATGGCCGGAGATAAGTGCCATTTTCCTTGGAACTTCGATGCTGTAAGGGTGTGCCAAACATGACACCATCACTAACTTAGGATGCCGAGACCGTCATTGGAGGGGTTCTCGTTCCACGGATTGCGCCTCGGGCAAACAAGCCGGGGTAAGCTCCTCTGCTCTCATTCCTGTTCCCTAGCAGCTTCTCGGCACGCTACATTGACAGAGGGAGTCTCTCCCAATCAAACTTATCGCTTTGAAAGTGAGACTAGGATTGACCGGGATCCAGAGCCGACACTGCTACTGCTACAAGCTGCATTGATCGCCGTCCGTGCTATGTTGAATCTGATTGCTAGTCTGGTTTAAATTCGATCCAGCAGCTCGGTCTCCCCATACGCGGGAATCCCGTCCTTGTGGGCCTTTCTGCTAAACGATCGTCATCCCTCGATCAACTAAACTGATCGAGCTCGCTGGCTGGGCTCTCCACCCAGGCAATAGACGGTACCTTCACGATAGCTCCTCAACACGACCTCTGCCTTAATCAACTCGCTATGCGCCTGCCTCGAGACGCGCGTGTTCACCGTGGCAAGCTTGAGCCGCGGGGAATTGCCGATGCATGGACTAGTCCTTGTACCATGGAATTTAGCTAGCAATGGCCAAGCATGGGTTCTGAAGTCATCGTGAAAGTAGCTCCAGATCCCACCAACGGACCCATTGATGCCATCACGCGGCCAGCTGGTTTTTCCTTGGCCCTGTCCTCTTTGTACAACAGTTATCGCGGGTTGCTGTCGGCTAGTATTCATTGACCTTGGCATGGGGTCATAAGGAGTATAAACTCCAGGTTCATCCGGATTGTAGTGGAAGCCCAAAATCTGACGATGTACTGAGGCCGTGTAGTGTGCTCTTGAATCCCTTTTTTTATTTTTTTTTCTTTTTTTGCCCCCTCGACTTAGTTCTAGTCGCATATTCTCCCATTTTCATAATGTGGTCCACGCTGCGTCGGTCGCTTTCGACATTACCTCGAGCAGGTTTCAGCGTTCCGTTTCCTATTGTTCGAGCCTCGTATTCCACCACCTCGACACCCCATGGAACGCACCACATCCAGACGCGTGTGTCGTCGTTGAAGCCCGAGCAGAAAAATGGCCGTCGATTTCGCGAGTTTGACCTCGAAGACCGGGTCTTTGCCGTTACTGGAGGCGGACGCGGGCTTGGTCTAGCAATGGCCGAAGCTCTAATGGAAGCCGGTGCGAAGGGTAAGTAGAGGCACATAGTCAGCCCTCTTTTCCTTTGAAGTTAGCGATTGCCAAATTACCGACCAACCAGACTAACATGTGCAATCGAAATTTAGTGCACTGTCTGGACCGCCTTGACAATCCTCACCCGGATTTTCTGGCCGCTCAAGACCACGCCGCAAGCACCTACGGCGGCACCCTGCACTACCACCGCGTCGACGTGCGCAACGTGGCCGAGGTGGACAAAGTCTTCGCGACAATCGCAGCGCAGGACCAGCGGCTCGACGGCCTCCTCGCGGCGGCGGGGATCAACCACCTCCAGGCGGCGCTCGAGCACTCGCAGGCCGCGCTCAACGAGGTCATGTCCATCAACTACACGGGGGTCTTCAACGCCGCCACCGCCGCCGCGCGCCAGATGTTCGCCTACCAACAAAAAGGCTCCATCCTGCTGGTGGCCAGCATGAGCGGCCTCATCGCCAACAAGGGCATGACCTCCCCCGTCTACAACTCCTCCAAGGCGGCTGTCATCCAGCTGGCGCGCTCGCTGGCCATGGAGTGGGGCCGCCACGGCATCCGCGTCAACAGCCTGTGTCCCGGCCACATCCTCACGCCCATGGTCGAGCAGGTGTTCCAGCAGAACCCCGCGGCGCGGGCCGTCTGGGAGGCGGAGAATATGCTGGGCCGGCTGGCGACCCCGGAGGAGTTTCGTGGAGCGGCCTTGTTTGCGCTCAGCGATGCGAGTAGTTTCATGACGGGGAGTACGTTGGTTATTGATGGGGGGCATACCGCTTGGTAAAGCCATCGCCCATGGGGGGTAAGTATACATACTACATAATATATACATACATACATACATACCTACTACATACATTCGGACGGACGAAGCGAATCTATTGCAGTGATAAAATGATGCTGGGGAAGTGATGTTGGGCGAGGTGCAGGATACCCTGATACTTAATGTCTGTTGGCTGTGGAGGTGAGTCAGTGAAGATGGTCTGAAGGATTGAGTGGGTAAAGAGATTGTTACGAACACGATTGTGCTTTTTCAGTACGTTGTCTGGTGTTTATAGTGCACTTTGTTGCCTTGCGTACTCAATCGTTGCTTTCTTATAGTACAACGTTGTTGCGTGAAATAGCTTGTCATTGCAGAGTCTGTGCTCTTTTCAATATGATATTCGAGACTTAATCTGATAACGTGAGCTCTAGAGGATAATGTACACAACGAACGCTCCGCCCAAAATTCTTCTATGGCACGAACGGCTAGCGGAGGCCTCTCCGCGCATGTAGAAGCAGAGGCCGACGCAGGCAGATTCAAGTCGACTTCTCGTCTCCTTTTCGTGTACCTGCAGACTGCGTCTAATTCAAGAGTGATAGGGGATCAAACCAGCCATCCCAACACAACTTATCAAGCCACTAAAAGCAGAGAGCAATCTATATCCCAATTCGATACGTCACCAACCATATAAAACCAATCCCTAGAGCCATGAAGTACTCAAAAAGCCCCATCAACCATACTAAATAAATGCACCCTAGATTCCCACGCATCCTTAGTAAATTCTGATAATCAAAGAATATACCCCTCATCCAACACACCCCCATCTCCCCGACTCCTGAATCTGCCTCTCCTCCTCGCCTCTCCAAAAATCAACACCTCACTCTCCTCCCCGCCACCCCTCCTCTCCAATTCAAACGCCTCCTCCTCAACATCCCCTCCTTTATTCATTCCCTGCTTCCCCCTCCTGCGGTTCTCCGTCTTCAGCATCCCCCGCAGCAACCCCGCCAACCCCGCCACGAGCACCATACAGCCCGCGCACACCCCCATTCCCTTAACATACCACGGCCCCTGACTAGCAGGGTACAGCCTCGTACCGAGCAGCGGCCCGCACTGGCCAATGAGATTGAGTAGCGCGACGCTGGCGCCCTTCCCCTCCTGCGCGTCCCGGTTGTCCATACTCCAGGTGATGATGAGCGTGATAGCGGAGAAAAAGCCCGCGATGGCCGGGTAGAGACTCAAATACCGGATTGTTGTCTGGAGGGGTTTAGCGATGGAGGCGTGGTAATGGCCGGTGAGCGCGAGGGTGAGGTAGGCGGTCGCGGAGAGGAGGGCGTGGGCGATGAGGAAGGGGCTGCGGGTGCGGTGGCGGTCGGAGTAGTAGGCTGTAAGCAGGACGGTGAGAAAGGCGAGGAGGTAGGGGGGTGCGCTTAGGGCTTGGGATTGGAGGGAGGTGTAGCCCATGCTGTTTTGGTTAGTGAGGGAGATGGGGGTGGGAGGAGACCTGAAGGCTAGCTTACTCCGCGATTATGGTGGGGAGGAAGACGGGCATGGAGCTGAAGGCGACATTGCAGCTAAAGAACATGAACTGTTTGTGCTTGTTAGCTTATAGGGTCGTAGTAAGGGGAAAGGGGGTTGGGGTTTTGAAAGTTGGTGGGGGGGGGGGGGGGGGGGAATAGGTATCACTTACGGCTGTTATGTAGGATTTGGGGTCTGCGAGTGTCTTTCGGACTTCCACCCAGTTGAATGACCCGTCACGTCGGCGGGAGGAAGTGCGGTGGCCCTTGGCGCTGCTGCTGATGTCCTCCATGCGCAGCTGAGCGATCATTCTTTGGCGCGGGTCTAGGAAGCGCGCTGTCCCCGGGGAGTCCGGGATCCAGAGCCAGGCGAAGACCGCTACAATTACGCTGGGGAACCCTTCTACCAGAAACAAGGTGCGCCAGGGCGCGATGGGACCTTCACTGCTGAATCTGACGATCACCCAGGCGAGGCTGCTAGCAAAGGACGAGGCGAGCGGCGCGGCGGAGATGAAGAGCCCGTTGCGGAAGGCGAGCTCCTCCCGCTTGTAAAACAGCGAGAGATAGAAAGGGACGCCGGGCCCAAAGGCGGCTTCGGTGACGCCCAGCGTTGCGCGGAGGAAGACGAGCGCGCCAAAAGAGCTGGCGAGCGATTGGAACGATGCGACGAGGCCCCATCCAAGCACGCACAGGGCGATGTAGATGTGCGGGGGTACCAGTCGATACATCAGCGTCATCCATTCGAAGAGGATGTAGGTGATGTAGAAGGCCGTGAGAAGCCATTCGTACTGGGACGAGGAAAGTTGCAGGTCCTCTTCCAAGCCGGCGATCTTTGCATTGCCGATGTCTGTATCAGTGATTAGTTGTGGTAGTTCCATTACTCTATTGTAGATAGAGGCACCGAGATATGTGCTGGGACGTACTTGACCGGTCGAGGAAGGAGAGCAAGTACAATAGTGCCAGGAATGGAACAAGTTTGCGATCAAATCGTTTGACTACCTGTTGCTCTTCTCTGGGCGTATACTTCCGAAGATCTTGAGAATCCCTGCTGGAGCTTGGCCGGATATCATCATCATAAGAATCATATCCGTCGTCGATATCATCGTCCGAAGAACCCAACCGGTCATCCTCATTGCTGAAATCCGTCTGCACCCTCAGAGCTCCTGCAGTCGGACGAGCAGCACGGGAGGAGGGGCCATCTTCCTCCGATCTGTCGGAGGCTGGAGTGTACAGAAATTCATCGGAAGAAGACCCACTGCCGAAAGGGGAAGATGTGGTTCCGGTCGGACCAGCGCGTGAGGAGGTCATTGGCTTGAGAGCGTGTGGTCCAGGCAAATCATACCTTGACCTGTGAATAAAGTCTATAAAATCGAAGTCATGTATGCATGTAACCTCAATGACAACGAAAGGATAGTCAAGAGAAGTTAAGAAGAGGTCGACTTCAGGATCGATAAGAGCACCTCCGCCCGAGCACGTGGCAGCAGCTCCTGAGCTAAACTAAAGAGCCGGGGATCGGCAGCCAAGACCTTCAGTGATTCACCCTTGTTCAACAGCTTAATAGTAAACATTAAGTTAACTTAGGTAGTTCTTCGTGTACATACAATGACATCCCTGTGTCCATATCATCGTCTCCGCACCTACTTATCCAATACCGTGAATTTGAGCAAATTGACTGGTCGGTAGATAGCAGAAATGAGCAGAACTCCAAGCACCTCCCCTGATCTCAATACCGAGCTCTAACCCACATGCCCCAAACCGTCTGTGTCTTGACTCAGCTGTCACGCGAAGGGCGGTAACTATCGATCAAGCGCTTGCGTTTGTGCGACGGGTAAGGACTTCCCTCCATGGTGTTGTCATTGCTGCTGTGGTTGTTTTGATTGTTGGAGGGTCCCTCGAAGGAAGATCCCCAATGGGGACGACCAGTATCACGAGCTCTAGGTCGCGGAGTCAGGTCGCCAACATAGCGCCTAAAGTCTCTACGGCGCGGGCCACGAAAGGTGACTCCGGCCATGCCACGACGGCTAGGGTCCTCGAAGCGGCGCTGGCGACCTCCGGTAAGTTGCACAGCGCGGTCGCGGGCCAGGCGGAAGTGATATTCAAGGTCCGGAATGAGAGGGTGGTTGAAACGTCCGTTGGCCCGGAGGTATTGCAGCGCGTTCTCCGCCGTGTCGCGCAGGAAGCGGACCGAGGACTCGGTATCCGTGTTAGTGTCACTGTGACGATAGAAGTCGTTCTTGGCCTGACGGAACCGGATGACGAGGAGGTTGATGTTCGGTTGGATGCTGATGGGTCCTTCGGACGTGCCTGGAGTGTTCAGTATAGCCGCGTCTCCTTCAGCAGTGTTAGGGTCGTCAGTGCCGCCGACAGCTCCGCCCACGCTCTCGCTGTCCCCGAGGCCGAAAGCTAGAACGAAGGAACCGTGTTAGCATGCAGCTTGCATCCGGTGCTGAGAATCGTACCTCTGTCCAGCTCAAGGCTGAACTCAATGTAGTCAGAGGTGACCTGCTGGCTGACGGAGGATGATATATCAGCTCCAAGAAACTCAGCAAGATAGAAGTCCTGTGCTTCAGTGCCGATTTCCGATCCGTTCTGACCAATCGCGACTAATGCCCGGTCATAAAGGCTGATCTCGCCGTCCGCAGCATCATGGGACCGTTTTTCAATGACAGAAATGTGGTTCTTGATGATTCGTACGAGAGCATCTATGTTCTGCGAGTTGCGGTAAAGATGGAGCAAGAGAGGAGAAGGCTCATGGTTTGACGCAGTCCACCTGGCCACTATATGATCCAGCTTCTGGTCAAGATGTGGCGCCAGTGAAGACGGAGAGGGGAGAGCAGACATCGTTCTGGCTTTGGCAAATCCAAAAGCCGGAGCTTTTGTGTACTCGCCTACGGAACGATGGATGTGAGGGTTTTAACAAAAATCCTGTTGGGATAGCCCTCGGAACGATGAAGACTTAGAAACAGAGAAGAAGAGTGAAGAGTGACTCGAGGAATAAAGCTCCAGCTGTGAGTGAACGAACGAAACGAACGCATCGCCAGCTTAGTCGTCGTGGGGTCACTTCTGGTTCAGTGAAGTGTTCATGTCGTGTCTCGAAGTGCTGCCCCAGCCTGAAAGCTAACGACTTTCAGAGTCTCAAAAACTTTAGTACAGCGTAACTGCTGTACCCAGCAGAAGAGTGCTGTGCCTGGCGGAACGGCAGAGTTCATGAAGGGGTGCAAAGAAGCGGAACTGTTGCGTTAGCTAAACGAACGAAAAGGAACAGGGTAGAATTATTGGATCACAGAAAGAGACTTGATGCGAGTATTACAGGAACTAAGAAGTGGCTGCAAATATAGAGACTCTACGTCTAAAAGGGTGAAGTTTGGGGTTCAGATTCCAGTAGGCCATAGGCACTTTGAGATCACTATACAGACATTGAGTAGACAAAAACAGGAGCAAATGGTGATAGATCCTGGTAGAATAACCAGGATAGAAAATAAGTTATCGTCAGTCATCATTTGGCATCGATGTCGTATTATACAGTCAGAGACATTCAGTTGGATCGGCTCCATAGTCGCTTGATTTCATCCACAAGCACTGACACTTGGCTGCCCTGTCCATTCTTCGCGCAGTCTTTCCAGACGCCACCGTCGCGAACACACCAGACAGACTCATCAAGCCGAAGCGTGCAGCTTGTCTTAACACCAAGCTGTGCGCTATGAATGGCGCTCTCTCGCAACAGAGCGAGGCCGCTAAGCGGCGCATTGTGGCCGTCATCCTTGCCTTCATCGGGCTCATCGATTTCCTGACTAGCACACTTGTTCAAGGCACTGAAGTCAACACCATGCTCCAAAGCACATTGCTCAACATGATGGCGTTCAGGAATCTTGGAGTACGATCCAACAAGACAATTGGCAAAGCCAAGGGACCGAATAGTCGGAGTACGCGCGGACAGCGAACCGACTGCGGCCTCGGCCCCCTCTGGGGGGAAAGGAAGATTCGCCGCACAGAGTAGAAGCATGTCTCCAATGCATTCGGTTGGGCCGTGCTTGCATTGTATCTCTGTGGACTTATTTGAGACGCTAAGGCAGCACATCAGCTTTGATACTATTTTGATTATTGGGAGAAGTTGTGACCGGACAAGAGCTGGGCATGACTCACTCGGCAATGAACGACAACTTGAAGTCGACCTTGTCACTAATCTGCTCCATCGCAGGTACAACGAGCTGCTGCAGACAATCCCGAGCATCAGGACATTTGCTCATGATATGAGCCTCCAGGGGGACTTTCTTGGCGGTTTGCACTGAGGAGAAAGTTCCAGGCAGTGGAGGCATCATAAGAGCCTCCTCACCGTCCGCGACCATCAGCGCAGAGCCATCATCATATCTCTCACCTCGGTGACAGGAGAAGAGATTGATGCGACGGATGGAGATTGGTGTCGAGGACACCAGCAAGCCGATGAGAGCGACAACGCCCAAGTAAGCGGCGAGCCGGACGACGAACCGGTCGCGTCGGCGGCGGAACGGATGAAGAGCGGCGGAGTCGGCGTTTTCCACGTAGCCGGTCTCGCGGGCTTCCTTCCCCATTTTGATAGATATCGTAGGCCTCCGAAGGACAGTGGGTTGTGGGTAATGTAGTGCGGCAAAGTTGAGGATGGATTAGATTGAAGTGGATGTTTTGGGGGAAGGGTGAGATCACAGGTTACGGACTATTACGGAGTAACGAGAGCAGTGGGGGAGATGCGGGATCCGTTGTCGTCAACGAGTCAGCGGCCCGGCATTTTACCTTGCGTTACACTCGCAAAAGAACTTCACTCTTGAAACATAACAAACCTTCTCATCAAGACCAAAGCTGACGTATACTTCGGTAGTCATTTGATTATCAACTAATCCAAAGCCTCGAATAGTGTGTTTCGTATTGGAAAAGCTCGCTCCTTCTCTGTTTTCTCTTACGAGCTATACAGTACTTGAAATACCCTGCTTATCGGGCGAATCACACACTGAGGTTGCATCGTCGCAGCAATGCTGCTGGGACTAGGTAACTAGCACTGGAGCAACGCCTAATGCACCCCATACGCACCACAACTCTCAGTGGCGTGCTTCGTAGCAGCCCTAGTGGGACAACACAAGACTCATGACTCATGCAGCCAATCAGTACTAGGGATCCAGCACAGTTCAGCGGTTGACACCTTGTTCGAGGACGACTCCTCATCTACTCTCAGACAAACTCAATCAATGCCAGACACAGGATGCTGACTTGATCATGCAATGCCTAATACGGTACAAGAACTTGGAATTGTAATTGACATATGTTGCTGTCATCTTGAATTGATTGAACATATCAATAGCATTTTTAACTGCATGGGATGCCAGCTTCATGGTTACAATTTGGTCAGAGAAATAATCTAGGTTAGTTGAACAGATTGCAGAGAGGAAAAAACTCCGGCATGCGAAACATTGAGCCTTTTGATGTATGCTGGCCATAAAGCAGGGAGACTCCTCTGTCGCCTTATACCAGAGTAAATGACCCTCTGCTGAGCACGTCCCCAGCGGGCTCGGAACCGCAACACATGCAGGTATAATGTCAGATAGAACTAACGTGTCTCAGATCAAGTGCCTGCAAGCAAATACTTAATGCTGAGCTCGGTGACGAGGCATGTCACGCTAGGCGACATAAACGGGAAGCTTTCCGGACTGATGGGTGAGCTCCTGATTCACCGGAGTACTGTGTACACTAAGTAAGGGTCAACAGACAAAGGGACTAGATTAGTATAACTAAAGGACATAGGTAGAGATATGCGACTGCTATGACGGGACCCGTTAGCCTATTGTGCAGATCACAGGGCGATTTGCTTGGCGAGCCCGGACTTTCCGCAAGTGTACCAGTCATCACTTCTGCCCTGGGCCCAGATTTCTCTTCTGACTCTCAAGGAAGTCTCCGACTTCGGAGCTCTGGCCATAACGTCCAGAGCATCCTGCCCTGATGCATTCCATTCCACCACAGCGGAAGACCTGGTGTTGATGACACTTTGATTATCCGACAACCCGTCTTGACATCCTTCAGTGTTCTGTAATTTGTCCGACTGGAATTCACTGCGCCGAGGTCATAATATCGCAACAATAAGCGAGGAGTCATACTGACCCAGACTTCCCAGTCAACCAATCGGGGCGAACGAAGTTTCTCCGGCGAGTGACAAGTGGTCTAATCCCTAGCACATCGCAAGCTCGAAAGTGAGCATTGGCATCGAGGTGTGGCGTCATGGCGAGTCGTTGGTCGGCAATGCTGGAGACTATACGAAGGACAGACGCGGAGAGGTCGGAGCGCATGTTCCATCTGACTCGACCTCAGCAATTCCTCCAGTCGGCTGTCTAGTCGAAATTGGGAAAGTTTGTTTAAATGTGTATTCCACAAGTAAGGCCTTGGAAAGCACCATGTTGTGACTCGGCGCCGTGGCGGGCATGATACGCATAACGGATGAATTGCCCCACCGTCTTCCACATGGCCGGAGGGGCGGCGAACATGGGATGATGAGCTACCACTCTCACCTCAAATCTTTCCTTTGTGAGTATGCTTTAGTTAAGATCATTGATAGTAGGGGGGGCCTGTGGGATGGGCATCCACTGCACAATGGTTCCCTCGGTGCAAGGCGGGATTGGGGTGAGCAGTAGAATGACAAGCAGCACATCTTGACTTGCAAGTGAGTGCATAGCAGATCAAGTCTGTCAAGAGGAGGAGAAGCGGTCACAATCGAAAATTGAAGGGAATAAATTGCATATTGGCGTGGTATTTGAGATAAGAGAAGAGGAGAAGGTGACGTTAACTAGGCGGGAAGTAGGAACGTTTTCCAGGAGAGGAAAAGACCACGAAGGGGGAAGAAAAGGAAAAACAAAAGAAAGAAACAACAAACAACAACAACAACAACAACAACAACAAACAATTGTTGTCATCCGCCTTCATAGCCTGTCAATTCTAATCACGACATGTATGTTTTCTTGGTCAAGCGGAATATCCTCAATCAATTAATTGCCTTCCAGTAACTGATCACAAATGCGAAAGAAGGGGTCCAGATCCGAAGAGACTGGAGAAGATGTCAAGTACTACTACAACTATTCCGTAGTACAGTACATCCTCCACTCTTCCCATGGTAGCGTCACATCGTCTGTCCGCCGATGGTCGCATCTGCCCTCTTTTTTCTTCCCCCATCATCACTTGCATCCACAACGGCCGGCGGCGGCTTCGAAGGCTAACAACACGTACTCGTTCTTCCTTTCGTTCCTTTTTCCCACCCTTCTCTCTCCTCGCACTCCTTCCCATTTCTTTTGTTCCTTTTCCTTTCCTGCTTCTCCGTCCCTTTCCCCCTCCCCCTCCCCGCTGTTCCCTTCTTCCCTTCTGGCTAACTAGTCTTGTGGTGGGGAACGGAAATGATTTCTTACTCACTGGCTGGTCCTGTTTCTTTCTGGTGTATGGAGAATGATTATAATATTTAATTGAAACTATTTCCACCTGTCTTCCTCAGCATTACTCACTATCACCTGTCAAGGGACCTTCAACGAACTGTGCTTGGCCAATCTGCTGGGAATCGATCATTGTAACAGTATGACTCTGTTCCCCTTCGATCCGCTCCCTCCCCCTTCCTACAGTTCACTCTTGCCAGGCTCCCTGCATCAAGATCGTCAATCGCGCAATCTTCTTGCATGGCGAGATCTCCGTCTTTCCTTTATCAGACACACAAACCCCTGCAGGTGATAGTGCATTGACTGTAACCCTGGGAGCTAACTATCGCACTTATCACAGTCTAGAGCGAGCAGCAAGATAACGTTCTTCCCTCGAACTATCGTCCCTAGATCTACGATTTCAACGGAGAGAAACCCCCCGGCTAGGGCTTGCATTTTGAATTCCTTCAGCAGTCAACAGACTCGCGTACAACAGGGCTCACCGGACTTGCATGCGTCCTATCATCGGGACTGAAATCCCCCATTCCTGTTCCCCCACATCCCGTCCTACCTGGAAAACATTCCGCGAGGACGAGCAGATAAACACCATACCTGAACCCTTCCTTCCGCCAACTTACCGCTCTGTCGTACAAGTTCACCCTTCACCGTACCAGCTGCTACCCGCAAGTCACACGTGCCGGTAACTTGCCTGTTCTACCGCTTTATTTAGTGCAGGTCAATCACACCATGTCTCCAAAGAGCTCAATAGAGGTGGACAAGAGCAAGGACGAGGATCATGAAAACATACACGAGGATCCTCTTGAGGAAGAGGAGGATGATACTGCTGATGTGGATCCCTCTCACCAGGAATATCTAGAACGGCAGCGCAAACTGGACGAGTTCTTGACACCCTTAGCTCTGGATGAGGCGGTTCTGTATAAGCTCGCGCGTCGCTTCTCCACTATCTACAAGGACTTAGCCCTGCATTCCAAGGAACAATTCCTACCGACACCAGTGACCCGTTTACCCACTGGTCTTGAAACTGGTAAATATCTCGCCATTGATGTTGGTGGAACCAATCTTCGGGTTGCCTTCATCGAGTTGCTGGGAGAGGCGGCGGAGTCTGACACGCCGCCGGGCGATGCGTCCGCTAGATCCAGAGATACACTGCGCAAGGCACAGAGACAACGTGTGAAGCGAAGTCTGGAAAGAGCATGGCCCATACAAGAGCATCTGAAGATGGATAAGGCAGAAGATCTGTTCTCGTGGATCGGCGACTGCATTGCGGAAGTCGTGGCCGAGAGTCTGACTTCAGAGAGCACCCGCGGCGAAGTCCCGGAGGAATTGGAGATGGGCATCACATTCAGTTTTCCCATCATGTAAGTTTTGTCCAGCAATCTGGCAGGAAGAGTCCTGTCTTACTAACAGAGCTTAGGCAAGAGTCGCTCACCGAGGCGACACTGATGCCGATGGGCAAAGGTTTCGCTATCACATCCGACCTTGATCTACGGAAGATCCTACTAAATGGGTACGAAAAGCACACAAGACGTCCGGACGATGAATTTGAACCGTCTAGCAAGCGGCGGAAGCTCTTCAACCTTCCAAAATTGAAGATCGCGGCTATCACCAATGACACTGTGGCCACTATTGCTTCCCTTGCCTACTGCGTAAAGTCTTTACCGAACAGCAGGGTCGCGATGGGGATTATTGTGGGGACAGGGTGCAATGCAACCATTCCGATGAGACTTAGCTCGCTCCACAGCTCCAAGGCGAAACAAGTACAGCAGAAGAATCCCGAGGCGGATGAGACTGTGGTCAATACCGAGTGGACGCTCTCCGGTGCTGCTCCACCATTGCATGAGCTCAACATCATTACTCAATGGGATGTTGAGCTCGATCAGGCTTGTGCACGGCCGGGATTCCAGCCTTTTGAGTACATGACTGGCGGTCGTTACATCGGCGAACTGATTCGACTTATTCTCTGCGATTACCTCACAACACAGTGTGGTCTGGCGAAGGAGGATTTACCTGCGCCCCTTGTGCAAGGGTACGCCTTGACGACTTCATTCATATCAGACAAGGTGGCCCGTTCCAGGTGCGACCATGAACTCGCGACTGAGCTGGCTCATTCTCTACCACCTCCCAAAACTAGCGAGTGGAACTGGGATGTACATTCGGCAAATGCTTTCCGCAAGATTGCCAGGACTGTGCAACGGCGATCTGCAGGTCTGACCGCGGCGGCTGTTGTAGGGCTCCTTGCTTGCGCGCAAGAGATTGAGCTGAAGGTCGACAGTCCGGGAAGCTCGCCCACGACTGAAACCAATGTCACTGTAGATCTATCCGCGGTGTCGAAGCATCTTTCCCCTGCATTGGAGCCCCAAGCATCGAGTACCAGTGGATCAAGGACCAACAGCGGCCCTATTGTTCCGGTATTGTCCCCCACGCCCATTCCTGCTGACTGGCAGTCGGGCCCAGAGGAACTGGTGGTCGCATATACAGGTGGGATCATCCAGCATTATCCTAACTTCAAGGAGATGTGTCAATTGTACATCGACCGACTTATTATGAGGACCGGTCCGCAGAAGAGCGGCAAATCGGTCTTTTTGCGAGAGGCGTCTGATGGGGGTGTCATTGGCGCGGGTGTGCTGGCGGGCATGATTGGAAACATGTAAAATGTTGAAAGCCGGCCCGGCTACTTGTAGACAGACGGTTGGGGGGACTTGGATCTGGATTACACTATGGCGTCGGGTACTGGTATCTCGGAGGATTTGATTTGAGTACATGCGTAAGGCGTTCGACGGCGGCCATTACGCTGCTCTTGTTGACATTATATGCTACAATTGAGTCTAGGATACATGATTGACGGAACATGATCTCGTTTACCACTGCAGTAGCCCTTCCCCTTAAATATAACGAAACATGTTATTGCGCACGCTGCGCTTCATGGCCGTGGGCTTGCCATCCTCATACTCAATCCCGGAAGCACCACCGTCTCCGGACATTTGCTCGAGGCGCTCTCTGAGTTCCTGATCTGCCTGCGCGATGCTTTTCGATTTCGATTTGGCAGGGGGCTCCTTGGTTCTCGATGTATTTTCGTGGTTCTTCGAAGATGTGTCTAGGGTGTTGTCAGTCAAGGTGGTTCCAGCTTACGGGGAGCGGCGGCGCATCAAAAGCTCCTGACTGACCCTCGGTACTATCTGCTAATCTACATGATGTGGTGGTAGAGATATACTTTGTATGTGAAGGAATGTGTACAGAGAGAGCGTGCTGAGAGATAGGCTGGGTCAGCGTTGCCAGTCTCGAAGACCGGAGACTTAGACATGAACTGAGCATTTTCAAAGATATTTGTGATCCAGATAATTCTTTGAAGAGAGATGAAAAGAGATAAACCCTGGTTCCTGGCTACAAGTTATTCTACAACTGCCAGCCGATTGAGTCGCATTGATGTCATGGCCCAGGTACGTCAGTCACATGACTATTGACGAGCGACTCACATATCACGTGAAGATATCTCTCCCTCTCATCTCTTAGATGACAAACCGAACACTACAGCTTCAACTCCACCAGGACCGATAAACCCTCTAGTCCCATTCACTTCCCTACCGCCTCAGGATCCTACAACGCACAGACAAAGATGAGCGCTCAGGCATACTACGAGCTCTATCGCGGGAGCAGGTACATTCCCCCTTCCCAACTCTTGGTTTCGTTGCGCGACACCTGACACCCCCACGATCTTACCAAACAAGACTAACATGGCCACCCTCCAAACCAGCATCGGCCTCTCCCTCACTGATACCCTCGATGACTTGATTAACGAAGGCCGGATTGAGCCTCAGCTCGCCATGAAGATCCTCTCCACATTCGACCGGATCGTGACCGAGGTGCTAGCGGATAAAGTGCGCGCGAGGCTGACGTTCAAGGTAATCCACCTCGTCTTATGTGCTTGCCATCTATCTATCTCAGTCGCGCGCCTCCTCGGGATTTCGGGATGGTCGTATACCGTCTCCACCGAGGGAGCGCGTGGGCCTTTCTTTCCCCTCTGTACGAACACGAACTGACGATTATATGTGCTTGATAATACAGGGCCACCTCGATACCTACCGATTCTGCGATGAAGTCTGGACCTTCCTGATCAAAGATGTGACATTCAAGCTGGATAACCAGACGACCGTGTCGGCGGATAAGGTGAAGATCGTGAGCTGCAACAGCAAGAGGCCTGGGGAGGCTTGAGATTGCTTTCCCCTCTGGCTGGGCTTGTTTGGCTACGACACGCTTGCGTCGAATCTTTAGAGATGGCGTTATCTCATTCTTTGTGCATTTATGTTGCTGCAGATAATGTTTGTTTTGTGGGTTTTAGCAGGATTCTGGGTTTGTCTTGCTGGGTTTGGGCTGGGCGTTTTATGCGGGGAGGAAGTTTGCGTCCGTTGCATTTGAGGAGGGAGGATAGAGTGGGCTCTCCCCTTCTCTGATTTTCAGAAGTATGTACTGTACTTTCTTTACAGAAGTTTCATGCAAAAATGTGATACCCTAGTTGAAACAATCTTTGTGGACTGGGTAGGTGAAAGGAGAATGTTAAAGCACCCCCAGCTGGCCAGGCTGCCAGCACTTGGTTAGCTTGTCGGTCGGTTTGACTCTGGGTGGAGCAACAGCAGGCCGCCGCCGGTGGGTAGAACCTTGTTAAATCTAGTTAGCCTCCGGGGATAACCCCATCAACTATCCTTCGTACTCGGGAGTTATCTACACGCGCTCTTCCTTTCGCGATCTTTGCAACGAAATCCAAACCTCATTCTCTGATCTAAACCATGTCCACCACCACCACTCTGTAAGAACAACAGAACAACAGAGAAATCAGAAGATGCCCCGAACCCTCCCTTGGCTCCTTGATACACCCGCGAGCAGCACTCGTGCCCCCTCATCCCGGGATTTCACACCGCAACCGCGCCGCGCGGGCACGACCTCATCATCAGCAGCAGCAGCAGCACCACCATCATCTGCGAAGAAGAATGCACTTAACCCCATTACAACCCCACCAGGCTCAGGGGGATCTCGAGCCCACCGCCGCGACTTTCTCAGATCATGTATGTCCTCCATATCTCACTAATCAAACCCCCGCGCATGATGAAGTAAATGGAACACTTGAGGTAACCTGACATCGTTTCTCATTCTAGCTCCAACACCCCCTTCCTCCCCAATCCACCGCTGCCCATCAGAAGAGTAAGCACCTTTCCCCGGCACTTTATTCCTCCCCCACTACCCTTCTACAATACAAACACTAACCAACCTCCCACCGAAAAGGTACCTCATCCCCGGCCTCCAAAACGACGACATTTACATGATGGTCGAAGACGAATTCTACGCTGTAGCGCAGACCTTCACGCAGCATCTGCATTACGCCGAGTACGTTCGCCGGAAGAAGGAGGTGAAGGCGCTGCAGCGACAGCAACAACAAGAACAACTACTACGACAAGCCGGCAATGGCTCGGCGATTGGGGATCTGGTGCGGCGGCCGACGGATGGGGTGACGCCGGTCAGCGAAGAGAGCAAGAAGAAGGAGGCGCGGGAGGTGTTGTCGGCGAGACAGAAGGAGGGGTTGGAGACGATGGTGGCGGGCGGAGGGAGGGTGGTGGTTAGTAGTGATGGTGAGGATGATGAGGTGGATGATGCGTGGGTGGGGACTTCGCTGCATGAGTTGATGGTGAGTCCGAGGAAGAATCGGTCGTTGGTGGGGATGCAGGGGATCCGGTCGTCGACAAGGGCGGCGGCCGGGTTAGTGGCACAGGCAAGGGAAGGATTTAGGGGCGATGGTGCGGGGGCGGGGGCGGGTGTCGGGGTAAGATTTGAGCAGGTTGAGAATGTGGTGAATGTGGAAGATAACGACGAGGAGACTGCGTCGGAGGACGACGATGATCTCGATGTGCATGTGCATGTGAAGCAGACCGACCGACGCCAGCCACCACCGACCCACCACGCGACGAGCTCCAAGGCAAGGAAGACGCCCCCATACAAAGGCACTATCAACCCAGACACCAAAAAAGCGCAGTCTATCAATGCTACTACTACTACTAGTACATATCGTACACCAACTCCAAAGGCGATGAAATCCAAAAGGAGATTATTCTTTGATGACTGGGACGAGCTTCCAGAGCCGCCGCCCCAGCCCAACATCCAGGTCCAATCCCGCCAGTCATCGTCGTCCAGTGAAACTCCTCCCCCGCGAACCATTGATCCCCAGGCGAAGAAGAAAACCCGTCTCAACGAAGTGCCAACCTTCCTCCTTTGAGTTCTCTTTCTGTGTTTGTATGTTCCCGGTCCTCCGCCCAAATCACGGGGCGACCATCCGTGCGCGTGCAACGCTCATTGCGTGTGGCGTTGACAAGTAAGCCAGGCACCGGGTGAGGTTCTGGTCTGTCGTCGTCTTCGTCATTGTCGTCGTACTCCAGCATCTAGGGGGGGGTGAGGGAAAATCATTCCTCTTGATCCGGCAGCGGCTTAGTCCCTGCCGCCCGAACACTCAGTCTCCGGACGTGCGTCTTGATCTTATCCCGCGTCGACTGTTGACGTTCTACCGCCGCAATGGCAATATCCTTCTCCTTCTCCAGGGTCGATCCACGACTGTGCAGAGTGGCGGCACTGCGATCAGTCAGCAACCACCTTGCTTCATGCAGAGCGGACCAGAAAGACTTACTCATCGTCCGGGAAGAAGGAAGGCATTTCCTCCTTGCGAAAGTCGGTGGGGGGTCCCTGCCGCTGTGGTTAGCGTTTGAATCTACTTCCATCGGCAGATCGGCACGTCAGAGGGAACTCACAATTTCCAGCACCCGCTGCTGCGGCTTTTCGCGCTTGAACGGGGCCTTGACCAGTCGAGCCAGCTGCCGAAAACACTCCATGGTTCCTGTTTTGGTGCGTAGAGATGTGTTCTTTGGATGGGTGGTTGAATGAGAGTGAGGTTGGGAAGCAAGTATAGAAGCGAAAGTGTTGATGATGAGTGAATGAATGGCGTGTCGCGGTTCGGTATACAACAAGAAAGGTAGAAAGCGGGAAGCAAGCGAGGTTGATATTAAACGGGTTGATGCTTGCGAAGTGAGGCTGAGGCTGAGGCTGATGACGATGAGATGATGATGATGATGATGATGATGATTAAAAAAGTGTTAATCCAAAGCAGTATCCGTCCAGACAATCAGAAGAGCGAGCGAGTGTGGTTGTTCCCAAATGGTGTGGTGGTTGTTTTTATTCAAACGAGTGTGACCGGAAGATAATCGGTTTAAAGGCGGCGCAAGTGGCAATAGGCTATGCTATGCTATGCGGCATGCCAAAGGGTACTAAAACAAAAAGCTTGGAAACCAAGAAACACACAACCAAACCACCACACAGATAAGGGAATGTCAAACGAGGGACAGGCGGTTTGGGACAACCGGAAAAAGGGAATACAAAAAACAATTAAGCGAAATTAAAAGAAAAGAAAAGGAATCGAACAAGAATCTGCTCTATAACATTGGACGGGGAGGACGAGACCAGAGGGAGAGGATTGAAAGAGAGAGAGAGAGAGAGAGCAGGAGAAAAAGGAAGAGGGAGGAGGGTCTTTTTTGATGTGAATGCAATGCGAGAGGAAGAGGAGAAAACGAAGCAGAGCCAGTAGGGGGGGTAAGAAAAAGTGGAGAGAGGGGGAAAGGATAATAATATATTCAGAAATGAAATCAAATTCGCCCTGTTTTTGTTCTTGGTTCTTGGTTCGTCCAAAAGGAGACGAAAACAATTGCGCTATCGAATTGTACCGAGTTAAAGTTGGTTGAGGGAGTGGTTACTCCCCCGCCCGTGCCAAAATGCACTGAAGAATGACAAAGGAGATGACAGCCTGGTGTTATTCTGTGTAGTTTGTACGGTGCCTTGCGCAAGGTGACACATTCCATTCTTCTCGCTACTCTGGTCTCCTGGGGCCCAGAAGGACAAAACGGTCACTGTAGGTACTACAGTAGTCCGGTTGACCCGCCAAATATGTTCCCGACCCCAATTTCTCTCATCCCTGCCCTCCCTTTTCAGAATGGTGGTTGCGTTGTTTGTTCTAAAGTAAGATAGGATCTGGCAGATGGACGGATGTATGGTATGGCCCCAGCCAGGGGGGGCGGAAGCACTGCATTGGCGGGTGGGCTGGTGAGATCAGCGTGGCTTGACTTGACGATGATGATGACGATGGTGGTGGTGGTGTTGCTGCTGCTGCTGCTGTTTGTTGGTCGCGGGGGAATTTGAAGTATTCGGTGTCATTTCTATGTTTGTCCCCTATTTTTCTTCTTGAGGATCCATCCCGACATCATCGGTGGATATGGGAGTGCACTGTACCTGTCGATCTTCTTCCCGATCCGGTGGATGAAATATGCGCCAAAATTGTGCAGTGCCAGTCTTTAGCTGAGTCGATGAACGAATGAAAGCAGTGTACGGGGTACTGATTAGAGGCATTCATCTCGTTTCTGGGCGGAGGGTCGGGATTGTATTCCTCTCTACGTACTACATGCCCGGAGCTGCGATCTGGCAACTTCCTCCTACTGCTGTACGTATGTACTGTACCGTACTCCATACTCCGTCCGGTACAGAACTGGGGGATCGGAGGGATCGGAAGGGCTCCATTCCCCAATCCGGGGGACCAGCGCGATCGTCGAACCTATCTTGACCGACTCAAGCAGTAGTATGAAGAGGAAAAGTAGCAAGAGTCCTAATTTATATGTCCGGACCACGGTCTATCACCACTCACTACGGTACCAAAAGGTTGATCTTTGGTAGAACTATTTCCTGGGTAGAAAGTATCTGGTTTGGGTTCTGTTGGGTTGGTTGATCGGATCGGATCTGGGTTTCTGCATCTCCCTCCCGCATTTAGAGTCTCTGATCCCTGGTTTTGGCCCCCCCTGAGAGTCGGGAAGGAAAAACTAGAAATAAGCCCCAACCTCCCTTGTTTTTGTACCACAACCACCGCCCCCAACCCCAAGAATAGAAGCAGCAAGCTGACGTAGAATTGCGATGCTTCCAGTGACTTACTGTGTAGGTCCGGAGTCGAGGGTGGTTCTCGCATCTCAAAAGTAGTCAACTTTAACTCATACATCTCTCATGGATAGTACACAAAAATAAACTCCTAGTAGAATCAGGTACTGTACGGGTAGTTACCTTACTTATTTACTCATCATTCCTCTCTCCCCTTTCATAGCTACTGACTAGTTAAGTTAGTTAGTTAGGTATAGATAGTTATGTCACCAGCAGCCCCTTCGAATTTTCATCGGTCTATGCTTGGGGCTACTCGGTGACTCTGAAATCCATTTCCATTCCACCGCCCTTCCCCCCTCCTTGCATCCAACCGTCGCAATTAATCCACTCGTCTGCTTCAGCTGTGGTTTGAGTGGAGTGTCCTCCACGTCAACTACTAGGTAGTATGTTAGTACGGAGTACCCCGTAGCTCAGGTACACTTCCTAGCTACCTCCTAGTAGTACGACTTACTTACCGACTTACCACCTATCAATCTCCCTTCCTCTCTCTCTCTCTATATATGAAATAAATAGCCAACAGAGGACCGAACAAAGTGATCCACATTCCACCCGAAACGGCCTCCCTTCTCAGCTCAAAGCCAGACAAACCAAGGTACGAGGTAGTACTAACGTACTATCTCTAGTTAGTCCTCCAGTCGGAACAAAGTGTATGCTCCGTTGTATAGTATAGTACACTCAGTTCTCGTAGACTTCTTCAAGTTAGAAGATGACAATGACATACTCCTGTGACATTGGATTCTCCATTCAATTCCGATTCATTAACAATTCATTCACTCCCCCCTCCTTCCCCTTTCCGTCCATCCCCAAACTCATCCCCATTTGAAACTCCATCCCATCCCATCTCATCCCATCCCCTTGGGAGGTCGATACCATGCCCGGGAAGCCTATTGAAAGAGACAAGGAGGTTCGGTCAGTCGTTGAATCGTACTACTACTACCACTACTACTACTACTACTGCTTAGTTCACAGTAAACTACTAACTTATACTTACGGGGTAACTGCCGGATCGGATACTACCTAACTACAGTTACCATTTTCAATTGGTTGGGGGGAAGTTAAGCGGTCGGGGCGGAGGTTTCTTCACTTTAGGTTTTCTTTGACTCTTATGGAGAATGGCCCAGCCTTGAATGAGATGTCTTGATTAGGGTGCTTGGTCCGTGGAGAAGGAGGAGGAGGAGAAGGTAGTACGGAGTCTATATAATCAAGGCCTCTCCTCTCCCTTCCCTTCAATTCCCTGCTCTTACTCTGCTCGGCTCTGCCCTGCGTGCGCTTACCCCGCTTGCCTCATTGCCAGTGCCCAAGTCCAGAGAACCTACTTCCAAGGTTTACTGCTGAGTAGTCAAATCATCTACCTGCTACCTTGGATGCACGTATGCACTACTTCAAAATAAGTTATTTACCCTGTAGAAAAATGCTACCATGTAGATACTGGGTGACAGTCTCGTAAGAGTGTTTCGCTGTCTCACCTCCTTCCTCCCATCCAAGCGAGAAACGCGCATGCAAAAGAGCTTACCAGCAGCAGTCCTACTCTGCTCATACTACTCCATCCGACCTACGAACCACTAACTCCGGAAAAAAAAAAAAAGAAGTATAGCATAACCTCGAATTCAAACAATCATACTACAAGCATACAGACACACACTCACTCAAAGATCCCTCACCAACCGAGCCCCCGCCCAAGGATAAGGATAGTTCCGCTGATACCAATTGACACTATCATCCAACAATATTTAGCATTTCCCCTCTACCAATCAAAAGCAAAAAAAAAAATAAAAGGAAAAAAAGGCAAAAAAAAGAAAAAAAAAACTTACAAGGTTGTGCGTCCCGCGATCCGAGGATGAGTCGCCCACGATCCCCCGAGGATGATATTGTGTTTGCCATCGAAGAAGTCGGCTATGAGTTTGCAATATAAACATTAGTCAATAAACTCTCCCCAGATGGGGGTAGTGGCACTCACATGTATATCCTGGATAAATCTTCATCGCCTCAAATCCCTCATGTGGCTCCAGGGTAGTGCTCGTCCATTCCCAGACCCCGCCTAGTTCGCCATGTCCCGCGAGGCGATCGCCGTGTTGGGTGACGGGAGTTGGGTGCCAGTACTTGAAGCCGACGTTGCACTTCTCCAGATCCACAAAGATGGGCTGGGATACATATGGCGACTGGGAGCTCAACTTGGTCGTGGTAACGCCAATCGCATGGCCGTTGACCCCGTTGATCTCGCTGTGGCGGACAATCAAATATTAGTCTTGTATGAAGCAACACGAACTAGGCAACCGACCTGTGGCCATTGACTGCGCCATTCACCCGGTTCGCATAGGCATAGATACTCTTCACCTCCTCGAAGCTCGGAAGCCGACAATCCACCGACCGGGCGTACTGCGCCAACTCGTCATACGAGGCAATGACCGGCCAGTCCTGCGCATACTCCAAGGGCACGGGGCCGAAGACGGTTCGCACAGCCAACTGCCTCAAGTACTCCTCCCCGCCCGTCCCGTGGCAGCCATTTGATTGTGCAACCTGCGCTCCCTTTGAGCCCACTTTCACCCAGGACTCTGGGGTCTGCGCCGTTTGACTCGCCTGCAGGTATTTCGCATACTCGCCATTCGTGATCGGCCGACCCTGTGCCTGGAACGCTTTAACGCTCACGGCTCGCGCAGGTTTCTCATTGTCCCACGCGTACGACACCCCCGGCATGGACTCTCCATCGTCGTCGAGTCCGACCTTCACGGTCTGCTCCGGGATGGTGAACCAGTCGTTCGGCTTCTGGCGCTCGCGCGCATCGTGAAACATCCTCGCAAAGTCCGGTTTGGCAACAGCAGGCGGGGGGTTAATACGCTCGCTCTGGATAAGCATGTACAGAAAAGTCTCGAGGTGCATGGCTTCATGCTCGAAGCCGATCCACAGCGCCTCCCCGAGGGTGCGAGCCCGGGAGAGGTCTTTTGTCTGGTAGATTGCGCGGACCCGACCTCTAACTCGTTCCTGGTAGTCCAGAATCTCGTCGACCGCGGGCCATTCGTCCGGAATCTCGCTGTGCGAGTGGCATTTCTCGGGATTGTCGACGTCGGGGTCGATGCCGCGCTCGAAGATGGCCTGGTAGGATTTGGGGGCGGTTGGCTCGTCGCCGAGTGCGCGAGTCAGGTGGATGTCTGCGTATGCTTAGCGAGGGCTTAAAGCCAGCCGAACATAAAACGGCCTACCTAAGAATGTCGGAATATGACCCAGATAGAAAATCAAGGCGTTACGCAACGTGATCGGCTTTGAAAGTAGCTCCTCGCGGGGCACCATCGATCGGGTAACAATGTCCCACGCCGTCCAGAGCTTCTGGAACTCTTCGTAGGAAGGGACGGCACTTGCAGCATACTGTGAGGGCCGGGTTGGGTAGGACAGCACCGCCGACGACAGAATATGCAGATCTGCAGCACACACAAAGTCAGCACCCGCAAGGGCTAATCCCCCGGGGAGGAACAATCGCAACACGTACGGTACTCTCCCCCCTCATTCGCATACTCCACCTTATGAATCAACCCGGCATCATGCCACAACTGCTCCCGCTGCGCCGCATCATACTTGTACGCCTCCTCGAAGATCAACCTCTCGCCCTGGGGAATCACCGTCCCCTCCACCGTGACCTCCCGCTTCGGCGCATAGAACGCCCGATGCGTTCCCTCGGCCGCATTATACTCAGTGACCACCTCCCAGTCCTCCAACCGAAAGGCTCCATACCCCAGCACCGCATTGGCATGGACCAGCCCGTTCTCATAAAACCGCCGCGTCACGCCCTGCGAGTCATTATAGGCCCGGAACACCTTCTCGGGGTCGCCACATGCGTCCAACCCGATGACCATCAGATCCTCCGGCCCCAGCAGCCGCGCAAACCGGCCCAGAAACTCCGCCGCGGCGGTGCGGTCGAAGTTCCCAATGGACGAGCCCATCGACATGATCACCGTCGGCTTGGTACGGTTGGCGGGCTGGCCAAGCCACGCCACCGCGTCGTCGTACGTACCGTGCAGCCCGTGGAACTCGACGCAACCGAACTCGTCAATCGAGACCTCGGAAAAGGTGCGCTGCAACTCCGGCAGAGACAGGTCGAGCGCGTAGTAGTCGACGTGCTTGCCGGCCGCCTCAAATTCGCGCAGCAGGATCTCGATCTTGCGCAGGTTTCTATCAGAACGCGGCGATACATCGAAGTTAGCTCTTTCCCTGCTTGTTAGGCACCGAAGATGAGACAGGAGATGCGCACCCGCTTCCTAGCTCTAGTAATTGCGCATGATCTGGGATACGCGCCACAATCCGCTGGGCGTAGGTGCGGAGCACCTCGATCTCCGCGTTGGTCAGATAGTACTCTTCCACATAAGTGATCTCCTCGAAGAGCTTCAGACCGTGCTCGTTGTACAGCAGCATGGTGGGCATGGAGCGTGGAGTGCCAGCAGGCGGGGCGATGCCTCGTCGGATCTCATTTGCCAGCGAGAAATCCACGTCCTTCTGGTGGATGGCCACAATGTCGACGCTCTTGGTCGGACATGTTAAGGGAGACATGGTTTCAAGAGCAAAGGTGGCTTGAAGTCTATTTTATGGTACAACCAGAGAATCAAGAAAGAATATAAGTTTCGGAGGATAAGGATGTCTCCATTCAAAACACAGTCACCGAGAATGTAGGAATAGCCAACAGGCGCACTTCTATATTTAGGATTGGGAAGAGGGGGGAAGGGGGTAAGATGCAAATGAAAAGAGGCCAGTTGTTTGTGGGTGAGTGCGGCTAAGTATGTTGTTGTATATAGATGTATATAAGTACTCGGGCTTGTCAGAGAGAAAGAGGGGTAGGGATAATGAGGAGATGAAGAAGAAGGAGGGGGTGAGATGCAAGTCAGTCAAATCAGTCGGCCCTTGCAGCAGCAGTAGCAGCAGTAAATAAACAAGAAACGGAAAGAGGGCAAGAACAGCAGAGAGGTGCATGAGGAGTAGTAGCTTTGTTAGTGTGGAGAATTACATGGTCATCAGTAGGTGTCACTGTCAAAGTGATGAATGTCTGTGCCCGGTATGTCCCTGAACATTTGTGGAAATTGCACCGCCCGATGCAAACAGCCCACCTGGACATGGATCTTATCGGGTCAGCCCACGGATCGAAGGATTCTCTGAGGATCTTGGACTCCGGAGACCACGGCTGGGAGGAGGGGAGGCTGAGGAGGCAGAGGAGGCCGAGGAGGGGAAGTCCAGCAAAGAACCCCACCATGCAAGGCAGGGAATTCTCGGAGGCCCCGTCATGTTGTGGTGTTGGGCCAATGGGTAGAGGGAGGCAGACTAGTAGTGACGCAGAGATGCGGGTATGATTTCCAATCAAACTGCATTTCTAATTAAACATACTCGGACTCGGAGGAATGAAAGCCAAAGGAAAAGAGAGAGAGAGAAAGAAAAAGACAGTCAGTGAAAAGATGTCATGACGTCGGGGTCGTTTGTTGTATGTCGTGTTTGCAGTGTTTGCCCAGGGGTTTCGTATCGGCCCCACTCCGAGGTGGAGATCTCCACCGTTTGTCTTCTTTGCATGTTTTGCTCTAACTATGCCTCCGTGGAACTTGTGCTTATTGCACACGACTAGTACTGTGTAGTTACACCGTCAGATGAGCCCCAAGTACATACAACAGTACAGTAGTACAGTACTACTACCGTACTACCGTACTAATGAGTCAGTGTTCCGTACTGTGCATGACATCCCAGTACCAGATAAGATTAGGGCTACCTGCTATCAGCCATCCTTGCTGGGATCGTCGCCTGGCTGGGCTCTTATCCAGCGCTGTCTCTGTCTCATACTATTCATCACTATTATCTTGCTTCTCAAGGTATCAAGAAGCGCAACGGTTCAGAGCGAACCGTAGCACTGCCTCGCCTCAAAGGTATCTGCATCTACCCGAATGCCATGAAAAAGGGTAAACCCCGCCCAAAGAGAAGAGACACAAGTCTTTGTCGTAGTTATGCGTGCCTTTGTCAAGATAGAGAGAACCAAGGCCTGGTGAAAGAGCCCATTCTCTCCACCAACTTCCAACTCTTTGAAAACCAAAAAGCCTAGTATATATTCCTCGCACACCATCTTAACTAAGTATATCGTACTAATATCCCTTGCTTGACCAACAACATCTATCCCAATTACCCCAACGTACCACGCACCCAATCAACAGCAACCAGCCAGGAAAATGAACAACCCAATCCTCAACCCCATCCCCGTCTTCAAACGGCGATTCTTCGGCGAACGCGACTCCGACGAAGATTCCCCCAGCTCCAATCTCACCGACTCCGACTCCGACCATCGCAAGCTCAGGTCCCCAAAATGGACCACCGCGGAAGAAGACGAGTGGTACGAAGGGCCCTCGCGCGAATGGGGCGGCAAACCCCCGCCGACTTCCCAGGAAATCGAGGAAGCCCAAGCCCAGGCGGAGGCGGCCGCGCGACGGGCCCAGCGGCGCCAGAAGCGGGCCGAGGCGCTGGAAGCGCTGCGCTCGCGCTCGCCAATCGAGCCCCTCGTCAACGAGTTCGACGAGACGATGGACCGCCTGGACATCACCACGGCGCTGTACCAGGCGGCCACCTTTATCGACGAGGAGCAGGATCGGGAGGCGGAGCACTATGTCGAGGAGGCCATGCGCACCGCCCAAAGGTTGGGCGATCAAACGGCCCTGGCGCGGTGCCAGTACTGGCAGGGTCGAGTCGAGTTTCTCCGGGAAAACTATGAGGCGGCGCACCGGTGTTTCCAAGCGTGTCGGGACATGGTAGTCGAGGCGCCGGAGGGCGAGACGGTGAAGCAGTACTCGCAACTCTCACGGCCGGGAGGGTTGACCGAGGAGGAACGTTGGCGCTGGGGGGAAGAGGAGCAGGATGGGGCCCAGCGGTTGTATGGGGGCTCCTCGAGGTCGGCCAGTCACGCCTCTATAGACGGCTTCCATATCCCGGCTTTCGAGGAGGAAGGTTGGGAGCATGACCATTCTCCCGAGCCGGCCAGTCCTTTATCCATGGGCTCGCACAAACCCCCATCTCAAGGCATTGAGTCGGCAACAGAGGACAGCATCCCTAAATCACCCTCTCATTCACTCCCTCGATCACTCCCTAAATCCACCCCAAAATCACCCACAGAAAACACGCCCTCTGAGGACGTCAACCGCCCACGAAGGATCCTGACACCCAAATCATGCAAGCGCTTCGTGGCCGGGGAAGTCGACAGAGGCGGACTGCAGCTGCACCGCAGCCAGAAGCAATTCACCTTCGAGATGTACCCGCAGGAGATGGCGCCACGCACCCGACCGACCGCGATCTTCCCGGAGCAGGTTAACGAGGTCCTCTCGTGGGCGGAGAAAAATCAGGTGTTGAACGACGAGCAGGTGCGAGAACGGGGGGTCACGATGCACTACCTGCGAAGAGAAGCGCAAAAGTACCAGAAAGCGGTACGGCAAAAAAAAAGGGAGACATGGAGAAGTCTGGTGCGAGGTACTTGCACGATCATGTAGGGCAGCTCTGCCGGCGGAGACTACTTGAGATCAGAGTGAAAGAAGTTTAGGTTTGCCAAACGAATCCTATTCCACTGAATGCAGCCGAAGATAAGAACACCGTGAGAGTAGATACTAAAACCAAGTCAGCACATCCCACAATCACCATGCCAGCAGTAGTTCACCATACCACACACATGCAGAAATCACCACACAGCCAATTCCCTAACATCCAAGCCCCAAGCCCAGCTCGCAACGCCCATAGCGCCGACACTCATGATCAACGCCATCAACACATTCACCGCATTATTGTCCAGGATATCATGTCCGCTCTCCACCCGCCGGCTCTCACGATGGTCCTCGTCATGCTCTTGCGTGCTTGTCCCGACCGGGGTCTTACTGGCTTTGCTCCCTCTGAGCGTCGCCGTATTGGCAATATCTTCAGTTGCCCGCAGCTGCGCACCACCACTGACACCATGCGCCGGGGTAAGTCCCGCGGTGTTGGCTGGCACGCCAGGTTTCGTCGAGGAAGGGTGAATCAGGACCTATCCATAGCCCAAGTCAGTCAGTATATGCCTAACCAAACACAGCCGTCGCGAAGCAGAAAAAAAATACCTTCTTCCCACCAGACCCTTCTACTATCTTCCCCGTGCGTTTATCCACAACACTAGCTTGAAACAACCCACCCAGCACACTGTCCAGCACACTCCCCAGGGTTCCCCAGACCGTAACAGCCACAACCCATCCCGCGCGACTCTTAGGGGTTTCCGTGCAGAACGGCAGAAACGCCGCCGAAGACAGCGCGATCGTAAACGCACCCAACATGCCCGCCAAGAGGCCGGTCCCTGTCACACCGCCATTTGTACCGGGAGGGACAACGCGGAAGGTGGGCGAGGTGATCAGGCGCGGTTTCGACTTGGAGAGAATGCCGAGCTCGGAGGAGAAGGTATCCGCGGCGACGGCGGCGTAGTTGCTAGTTGAGCGGGCTTTGGTCAGTAAAGGCTGTTGGTCAGTGGGAGGAGCGGCAATGGTGTTAGTTTTCTTACGCGACGATCCCGATCATCAGCACGTCCGCAACATCATGACCGTTCGAGAAACACTGGGCGGCGTTGTAGCCGCCAGTAGCAGACTTCTTGGCAAGGACGTAGGTATAGGCGAGGATCAACACCGAGGCGACGATGGAGTTGGCGAGGACTTGGACGTGGGTGCGAGGGCCTTCGCCGCCCTCGGAGCCGGTCGCGGAGAGGGTCAAGCGGGATTTGATGTCGTGTTTGACCTACGAGAGATAAGTGAGCAGGCCAGTATGAAGTCATACAACTAAAAGACCATCGCACCTTGGTTACTCGGCTACCACCGAGGTAGAAAACAGCCAGGAGAACGAATGGGGTGGACCATGGGTGGAGGGCGTGGGCTGAAGCTGTCAGCCCGGCAGCCACCAGACCGAGAGGAGTCAACGTTTTGTGGGACCAGGCACGATAAAGGAGACCTGCGATAGCAGGCACAGCAATGATGGCTTTCATTGTAAGTGATTCATGAGGGTGGGGTTGAATAACCTTCAAGATAATCCGAATAAAGAGGAAGGAGGTTGGGATGAGGCTTGGAGGGGGGGGGGGGGGAGGTTTTTGGTTTTCCCTGACCTCTGCGGCTGCCAAGTGACGTCCCCGGAACCCCACTCCTTGTACTACAAGTATATCATCTATCGATGATTAGTATATGCGAGATAACCCTGTTTAGAGGTATCTACAAATAGTGTCAGCAGGCTAAAACCAGCTGTAACCATGTTCTCGTGAATTAACTGAAATAAAATATCATATATACTGATTATATACCGCTTCAACATCCAGCGCAAAGCTCCGACTTCATATACTGTACAAAAAGCCACGCACAGACACCATAGGGGAAACCCCGTATTTAACACAATCGAGCACACTCAGGGATATCGAGCAAAACTCGAATTAAACCAGTTCCCCTAAAACTCCTCCCAGCCATCCCAAAAATTCGGGGACAACTTCGCATCACATCATGGCAATCGCTTGTACGGGTATAGTGAGAATATACGGCAATATGCAATAAGAATCAATGCGACAATCAACCCACCATCACAGGGCGAGACCACTACCATCACCACTCCACCGGTAGAGTGCTAGGACCTCCCGACGACGCTGTTGTTGTTCGCCAAAGTCCTCTGGAATACGGCCGCGGACTTGCGCGAGCGCCGAGCGCATGACCTTTCGGAATGTTCGCTAGACCAGAAGTTAGCTGACATGATCGTCTGAATTCGGGTCGATACATACCTGATACTCAGTGTTCAAAGTCACAACGCAAGCTTCGTGTGCGCGGACAATCGTCTCACAAGCCCGGACAACGCTCGGACTGGCGTCGCCTTGCAGCTTGTCGGCGGCCAACAGTAGCAGGAAGCTACCCTGCAATAGGTAAATCCCGAAAAAGAAGGGCATAAAACTGAGATCTGGATCGAACTCCAGAATCTCCGCGGCCGCCTCGGCGGCCCCAACAGCGTGGCTCATTGCAGACACAAAGGCCTCAGTCGAGATCCACAGATCGTGGTCCTCCAGTAGATCCACTGGATCCCATTTACCCGCCAAAAGGATGTGCAACACATGCATGATGTGGGTGCCGTATGCAACAACCATCTTCGTGTGCACAATGGATTCATTCACTCGAGATCCAACCGTGCTGCTGGAACGACCCGAAGGGCTGACATGGTCTAAATGAGCATTCTCCCCAATCTGCTCGTTTTCCGCGCTGGTCAAGGTCAAGCTATTGGTGTATCGCGCCTCAAAGTCCTTCAAACTTTGAGCATATGTGTCCAACTGGTGGGTAATTTCCAAGACCTGCTGTTCCCATTCTCGACTGTTCCGGAATGCAGGGCCAAACCGTGGATGGCTACGGGCATGATGCAGGTCGACAATCTCGCCCAGAATGGTCATTAGCGGCAAGAAGTAGCCGAACATGCTGTGGCCGGAGCACTCGAGGGGAGGGCCAACCTGGCGGTAGCTTGCGGTGGAGAAATCGCCTGCCTGCCAGAGATCGTCATTCATGGGTTGCAACAGACTTCCGCATTCCTTGTCAAGGAGGGTCAGGGGTCGGTTGTAGCAGAGAGCCAGGTGGCGGTCCGTCGCATACAATAGCCACCACAGACGCCGGCGCTCTTCCCGCTCTTCTTCCGTGACGTTGACATTTGTATTTCCAGGGCCATGTCCCATGGAAGTCATTAGCGACGTCGGGTGCCGTTTCGACGGGTCTCCCTCGGCGTCACCCTCACGCTCGCCGTCCGGTCGCGGGTGGGAAGTGTTGGGCGGCAGCTCTCGACCCAGTTTTAACTCTCGCGCCAGAGACCATGCTGCGGTCCACCACCGCATACTGGCCGCCTTATACTCACTTGCTGAAACTACCGTGGCCAAGTGCACATAGGTAGCCACATCATCCACAGCGCCAGTTGCGCTACTCTGCGCACCTAACTGATCCATCGAGACGCCAAATCCACCAAGAGCGACACCGTTGATGACCATATTGGCTGCGTAATTGGGCGATGTCTCTCCAGTAGCAGGTCCATGAATCAGTGGCCGGAGCAAGCCGGTGGTCAGTTCCAGCAATTTCTGACAGACACGCCCTCGAGCAGACGGTGGAGAGGTCAGGAATGCAGCTTCGCTCGTTTGCGCTGCGACCCAGAGCATACTGGCTAGAAGACCCGGACTACACACGCGGGGTTTCGTGGGATGGAGGAAGGACTGTTTCCGGAAGATGTACCCCACCACATAGGGAGACAAGGGGGAAAGATGCGAGGAAGAGGAACTGGTGAAGTAGACATCCAGTAGATCGCATGCCAGCGACTGCGGAATGATGGACGCTATATGAGGGAGCACCGGCTGCAATACAGGGTATCGTAACGTACTCGAATATGACGGTAGGCTAAAGGAAGGGAAGTTTGCAGGAGAAGGCGATGGGAGCGGCAGCCAGCCGGGGGACTGCGCAGTGGGAGATAGTCCCAAGAACGGAGCCGCGGGGTTCTCGGCCGTATTCCCGAGTCGAAAATGGTTCAAGGCGGACGCATTAGGCTCCTGCTGATTTACCATAGAGAATGCGCCTTCACCGAAGCCCGAACTCAATCCGTGCGACGACAGAATCGAGGTCGGTAAGGATCGAAGATCAGCAACAGGCATCGGAACACGATTCGACTCGGTTAGGGAATTAAAATGGTTCATGTGCAATACATCGATGGCAGCTCGCAGGGAGGGTTGGGGATGCGACGGAGCCGACTGCGCATCCTCAACCGCAGCCATTCCCGGGGCGGTAGAATTCCGCATCTGCCGTGTCGCGGGATCCAGGTGTTGGGCTGCTTCAAATGCCCCGTCATATCGCCCGTTGACCTCCTGAGACGATCGCCGGTCTGGCGGGGTATGCTCCCCTACCAGCGAACCAGTTTCCTGGCCGGGTTGACCGTTGACTAGCTGGGTAGCGGCGGCAGCGGCAGCCAGATCCTTTTTCGAGGCCTTGCCTCGTTTCTTACGTTCCCGAGCATATTCACAGGTCAATCCAAACTCTGCCCCGTAACCTGTCAGTCTGTCGCTCTCGCCGAAGAGTCATTGGGACAAAAGCCAGGGAGGATCAGGGGGGCGCTTACCAAGGCAATGGGCACATGGGTGTTGTCCGTCGCACTTGGTCCGGAGCGAATTACACTGGTCGCAAGCGCGACTGATTCTCCGCCGGACGGGCGCCGAGGCTGAATTTTTACGGATGGCTGAACGAGCCTCGACGAGAGGATCTCTTTGCACCGGCGCTTGATACCTGGAGGAGCTAGGGACGGGATTACTGTCGTCGCGGTAGAACGCCTGATCCTTGGACTTGGACAGCGAACTTCGCAAGAAGTTGGGCTGCGCATCGTCGCTGGCGGCAGTGGCAGCGGCCGCCTCGCGCGACAACTGCAGTTGATCGAGGACATATTGTGAGCCCTCAGCAAGGGTGTCCAACCCTACGGTCTGCGACGGGGCCATCCCTCTCGACTGTGAAGCTGAGGTAGAAGGGGCAAATGAGCTGGCGTACTGTCGGATCGCGGTAGTCGACATCCTCAGCGAACAGAGTACCCAAGCACCCGAGGCATGAGAACGAAGCGGGTTGCAGGGGAGACAGACGGAGCTGGAGGTGGAGGGCCCTGAGGCCCCAACAGTTAGAGGGAAATTAGTCGGGGGACTGAGGCCAAGACTCGCGGCTATTCAGGTCAGGTTATGGGGATGGAACAGAGAGAAGCAGGAAAAGAGGAAGAGAGACGTTGTCAGTGGGGAGAATGACTGAGCCAGTGAGTTCTCACTGAGTTGAGTAGAAGAAAGTACTGAGCAGTCAGTGATAGGAAGTTGGGATTGGCGAAGGGTTTGGAAAAGGGAAGTGGGAAGAAAAGAAATGCGGGGACGGGGAAAGCGGGCGCGGGCGGACACTAACAACTAACAACTAAAACTGGATGCTGCTGGGCGAGACCCTTTCTGTTCTGTACTGAGGGAGTACACAGTCTCTCTCGTGTTCTCTCCTCCGGAGTCCGTCTTTTCATCTGCCAACCTGAACACCTCCCTCACCCCTCTTACCTCCCCCGAGGCAATATCGAGCTCATCGTATGAGTGGCAAGCATTGCATGCAATTTAAAATGATGGGGTGGTCAGATCCGACCGGGTTGTTGATTGGAAAAGAAAGGCGGGGAAGATGAAAAGAGAAAAAAAAAAAAAAAAAAGAAAAACAGAAAAGGCGGGGAAAGAAAAAAAGAGTAGCGAGAGAAAGAAGAACTCTAGATCTACACACCCTGCAGCAAACAGACAAGAGATTCACTACTTCGGACTACTATTGTATACCTATACGAGATTGGTCAACCCCATTGCCCGATTGAACTCGGACCTCTGCCTCCGTGCCCTTAAAGAGGTTTGGTCCAGAGTCCCCGTGTGTTCCCCAGACAAATCCATCCCCCAATAAGGAGGATATGGTGCCACTGCAAAGACCCTTACTCGTACCATAAGTCAACCTGAGTCATTTCAACGTAATATAACAATATATGTTTATGTACACATCCGGTGGTAGTCATCGCTTTTCTAGGATACAGAAAAAAAAAAAAAAGAAAAAAAGAAAAAGTCGGTAATAAATGCCGAGCTGCATGTACATACATACGGCGCAGAATGTCATCCATGCGCCACTCCCCAAAGAACTCCATGCAGGAACGACATCTCACGAATTCAAACACAAATACAACATGATTATACAAGGGATATCAAAAAAAAAGGCTTCAGAGGAAATCATACACACCAACTCAGAAGGGACAAGAGCTCTCAGCAAAAGAAGTATTGACTGTCCCGGATCCGCTGCACATCCCAACTGCCCTTCGCGGGAACTGCCCGGAACTGCATCGGAAGCCAGAAATTCACGTAACGAGCTTGCGACTTCGCCGCCTTCTCGATCTCCTTGTCATCATCCGCCGGCAGGTCTGGCTCGGTCTCGAAGGAGCCGAAAAGGGACTCGAGAGCGGGATCCGTCTCATCCACATCCAAACCTGCCGTTGCCCGACGAGCTGCGGCGTCGGGGTTTTCAGGGATGTGGCCAACAACCGTCTCGCCCAGGGAGGAGGAGACGCAAATATCGTCGGCAGTGCCGCCAAGCTCTTCGAAGATCTTGGCCGGAGTCATTATATCACGGCCCTGAGCCTGCAACTCCGGATCTTCGGAGTTCAGGAACCCCTGTCGCTTGTATTCTGTAAACAGCTCACCAAGCTTGGTGTTCAGCTGCTTACTTTGAGACCGGCGCCAGCTCGTGATGGCTTTACCAATTTTACTAGTGGTGAGGACTCGGCCATAAAAGAGGTGGTCACCATACCGAACATTGAATTCCGCCTCGAGTCTTTTCACAACATCGTCAGAATGCATGCGGACAAACGCCTCTCGAAGAAGCTCGTTCATCTTGTCAACGTCGCAGGCGTGGGTCCAGAAGGAGTCATGAACGGCCGAGAAACAGAGGCCAGCACGGTTGCAAGCAATAGCGGAGAGGATCATGTGTGTAGCATCAAGGGAGTGAATGAAATTGGGGGGGAATGCCTGAAGTTGTTTGCGTGCCGAGATAGTGTCATCCGCGTTGGCCTCAACAATGCTCAAATGCTGCAGACTGGTGCTGATACGCCGGGACGAGCGGACGCGGTAAGGCTGGACCACAGGCAGTCCCAAGGGAGTTGTCCAAATGACGGTGTTGCGAAATCTCTTGGACGGATCAATAGTGCCGGAATTCTCCTTGGACATCGCTTCTGTCATAAGATCTTCAATCTGAGTGGGTGACATCGACTTAGTAATACGACTGGCGCAATCTCCGAACCAGTACTGAAGCTCGTGGGCACCGTTGAACATGGAACCCAAGGCTTCAAAAATCTTGCGCGCAATATACAAAGCACCTTCACTCCTCTGCTCGAGGCTTAGATCGGGATAGTGATCGACAAGCTGCTTGCGAACTTGTTTCATCGCGCCCATGAATGTGACGCCATAGACATTGGTCATGACCGTCTGTTTGACGATCTTTCGTGTGATCCGTCCGTTGAGATATTGAGCGGTCTTGTTACCCTCGCTGGCTTCCCGGGCGACTGATGCCTTGACGAAATCCGCGACACCAGTGTAAACATCGGATGGGCGATCGGAAGGCTCGAGGTTGACTTGCTGGGCGCCAGCCTTATCACCACCCAAAGCAGCATAATGCTGCAGTCCGTTGCAAGACCCGTCCTGGTGAACGGGCAAGCGCGACAGATACTGGCTGGGATCCGGCAGCCGGAGCGCATTTCTTAGCTCGATGCAAGCTGCCAGACACTGCCAAGGGTCTTCTGCCTTGAGCCACCAACGTCGACCTTTGAGACCGTTGTTGGCGGAGTCCAAGATGTCGTCCATGTGATCCATCACGAACTGTTCGCGCTCGGCAAGACTCGCCTTATCGTACCCTGCCAAGTTTGCGAGCTGGATTTTCAACCACCTGAGACCCTGCGGACCAAGCGGCTTGGCTTCGCTGAAAAGCAGCAAGCCTCTGGCATTGTCAGCACCCATTTGGTTGAGATAAGGCGGAAGAGGATATGCACGGCCCCGGAAATCGATGTTATGAGGAAGATAAAAGGTCTCGTCGAGATAAGCGCGGGCGATTTCCATTTGGAAATTTTGGAAACAACGTTGAGAGTGGATACCAGCTTTGCGGTTCTCCATGAGTTGGATAAGCCTATCCCACTTCTTTTCAGCCTCATAGCCTTCTTCGGGAGACGGTCTTGGGGGAGTATCGAAGTTGGGATCCAAGGCAGCAAGGTTCGCCGTGGCTTCACCTGAATTCCACGCTTCAACCATGACATTGAAGACTTCTTTATTGATGACCCATCCGGTAGAACCAAGGATACGCAAGCCTTCCCGGATTTCTTCGAGCCCGTTGTTTTTCAATGCAGCTTTCACATACGCGGGTTGGAGAGTCTCGCCCGGGGTCGAACGAATGAGCGAACTTTTGTACACAAAATAAGCGCCGTCATCCAAGCCCTTCCAGGGCTTCGGTTCGCAAACCATAGGCAGGTGGCGACTCAACATGTCGACGGGGGGCTCCTTGAGCAAGATTTCGACGACGGACGGATGTAAATGAATGTAGCCAGCACGTCTTCCCCAACGGATCTGATAGTTATGGTGGAATGCAGGTTGCATGATGAACTCCTTCTTTCGGGTCTCAGGGTTGACTACCGGCACTGCAGTCTTGGCGGTGTCGAAGAGAAAGCCCATAAGAGTGGCGCCAACCTTTGCTTTCACTCGGGCAGACCACGTAACAGATGTGTCCTCTTCCTCAAGTTGACGGCGAACGTTCCACCAACGTGCCCGGCCTTCCGAGGTCTTGCGCATCGTAAGGACCTGCTCCAAGCCCCGAGCACTATATCCACGGTCACTCAGGTGTTTCAGGGACCTCTCTGCCAAGACTTCATCATAGAACTCCGCGCCGATCCCATGGCACAGTCCGGCCAACTTCGCACCTTGATCGACTCCCAAACGACTCATAGTCCCTACGATACTCAGAATCGTGATTGCTGCGATGCGCTCCGACTTCAGAGCACGTAGATAAATACCGTACTCCATGCGGTCCAATTCCGCGGCGTTGCGTGGGTTGCCCTTTTGGAGTAAGTTCTCGAAAAGCTTCAATTCTTCTTCGATTCTGGCTTCCAGTCCTCGGACCCACTGGTCAAGCAGGGGACCTAAGCGCTTCTCTGCACCACTATAACCAGTTTCTCTCCTCGTTTCTTGCTCGGCGCGCCAGCGCGCCAGCGCGGAATCAATGGAATCTTGTTCAAGCTGACGCTGGCGAGCCTGGTTATGCAAACGCATCTGTTCCTCCTGTGTACCGTCGGAATTGTAGGAAATGGGGACTTTGGAAGGGTCGGCAAAGATTCCGAGGGCTTGCTGAAGGGATGAAAGACCAAGACCAGTCTGCTTGGTAGCCTTAATCTGAGGGAGAAGCTCGGGCTCCGGAATATCACCGCCGGCAATGCCATTCTTTTGATCCACCATTGCCACACGCTTTAGGTCGGAAGGACAAATCTAAAAGAGTCATGGATATTAGCAGGGGTACGTAGCGGACGGGATTTGGAGGAAATCCAATCACGATCAGAAAGATCAATGACTTACCTGAATGAGCTCCACCATGTCCGATTCTGATAGTACAGTGGAAGTCACTAGTTCTTCCTCGCATGAGTGCTGCTTGGCTATCTCCCAGTATCTGCGCACTGTCCGGTCACGCTTGGAACCTTCGAACATGTGCAGGGCCATTCGGATCATGATAGCGTAAGTGGTACCATCCGGTTGTATATCGCTCCCAGGAAGATCTACTTCGAAGAACTTCTGACAGACAAGTACTAAGTCGTACTGCCTGTTCTTGATCATGTGCGTAACGACTTCGTTCAGGTGGCGGTTACACAATGCGCGATACTCCGCTGATCCGAGAGGATAACAGTCCTTTAGGCGATTGAGAAGTGAAGCCGATCTGTCAAACTGGCCGACGCGAAGTGAGATGTCCAAATTGGCGAGCATCTCGTCCTGGTCACCCCCAAGGCCCTTGACCTTTTTTTGCACCTTGGGTTTTGTTTGCAATGCATCCTTCATGATGATCAGAGACGTAGCATCGAATCCTCTGGGAAGTGGTTTGAAGAAAGGGGACAGTCTTTGGTCGAAGTACTCGCCAGGCAAGGAGGCACTGTCGAAAGAAGAATTTTCGAATGGGAGATATGAGTCCTGACCAACAGGGGCATGGTCTGCGGCGGTGGCGAGGGTCCGATTAGAACTTAGAGAGTGTCGGCGAGGACGCTCTTGTGAGATTGCTGAAGAGGTGTTCGTGAAAGAGACAGGCCGTGTCGAATGCGAATGAAGCCTCAAAGTTGCTGGCGACGGCAAGACCGAGCGGCCTGCAACTCGCACGCGAGCGAGGGCATCTTTGCGAAGAGCAACACGAGACAACATAATGAAGAGATGCCGCTAATAGAACGAATAGGAACAAGAACGATGCAAGTTGATGACTTCTATCGGGATGAAACGAGGTATGATTAGGATAAAAATATGATTGAGTGGAATACGCGGAGACAAGGCGCGAAGAGTCGAAGATCAACGAGGAGGTGCAGGCTGGGATTGGACTGAGAAGAAGTTTTTTGACAGGCAATAAACCTCAATTCCAATGCGACAAGCCGCACTGCAGCCCTCCGAAGACACAAAGGAGAAAAGGAATGAGGATAGGAAGGAGGAAGAAGAGAAAAATCACAATCGTGAAGGCAAATTGGAGAAAACCCAATCTACTTTCAGAATGGGGGGAGAGGCGAAGGAAAAATAATATCAGTAAAGCACAAGGGACTCCCGGCCCGGACGGGGCGATAGCACGGCACATGACTGCACGTGATCGTCTGGGGAGCCGCGATAAGATTTTTTTTGCATCACCGTAAGCTGATTGGTTCGAACTCTTCTACGTCTTGAGCTTGAGTCGGCAGACGGAGGCATAGAATATTCCAGTTGGGAGATGGAGGATCTGCCTATCCCGGGCTAATATTCACAGATGACCCAATAAATCTACAAGCTTAGTGTGTCTACGGACATTGATCAGGAGAGCAGGTGCCCCGAATCCATCATCTGTATTGTACAACAATACTACTGCCAGTGCAGGCAATAATCAGTGCATTGTCCTTCATCATCAATCAATACTAGTATTAATAAATCTGTCCACGACCCCGATTCTAACTCTGCGCCGTAGTCTCTTCACGTGGCAAAGCCTCCTCGCGCTGCTTCTTGCGGTTTTGTTTCATCGCCCAACCCGTCAACTCCGGCCGGGCAGGGTCAATCCGGGGGGCGCTCATCTTGTCCAGATACTCCTCCGTCTCAATCGCCGACTGCAGCTGTGGAAGAGACTCGACCTCTTGGTGCATCATGTAGTTCTCGTATAATTGCCACGATTCCTCAGTCTGGACCAAACCAAAAGACAACATATTAGCATGAGGTTTGCAAGAATCTTCAACGAAGCCTCTCCCAAGCCCAATTCACCGCCCGATAAGAGGGTTTCAACTCACCTCAGCATCCACCCACTCGTAGTCCTTCCACTTTTCATCCTGCATTTGTTTCAACAGCTCCAGGTTGCCCGCAACCATAGCCGCCTCGCCATCCTCTGCCGCCTTAATCTTGACATCGATGGCCCGGGCCTCCGACTCACCCGGGCGATCTTCCTCGCCTTCCTTGCGGGCTTTTCCCTTCCCTTTGGCAGGGATTTCATCCATCGCATCGAGATGGTGTAATTGCGGGTGCAGCTGTACCACGGCCGTGACGGGCGACAAATGGAGGTTTTCTATAACCCCACCCCAAGAAAAAAGTTAGCCGTGCCTTTTCCCCCGGGAGGATAAACAGTAAGAGTGATCCTCTTCCCCAATTCAGGGAAATCCTCTCGCGCAACCCACGCCCCAGACGACAAGAAGGAAACTCACCCCCCCTGAAAGCCCCCAGCATATAAACCGGATCCCCGCCCTCGAATCCCTTAATCCTACCCCCAAGAGTCTGCAACCTCAGCAACTGCGCCGTATCCTTACCACCATCCACCTCCATTGGGCCTGCACTACCACCTTCCATCTTGACCTTCCCACCCGCACCACCACCACCACTCGTACTAAACCCTCCCGCCATGCCGTACGCCCCGCCCTCCCGCGCCCGCTGCGACTTCTTCAACGCATCGCCGTACCGCAACCCCTTGCTGACATCGTAATTGACACGGGTGTTGATAGGAACATCGACCTCGACGAGGCCCGTTTTGGGTTTCAGGCGGAAGGCGGTGGGTTTTTGGCCGTGGCGGTCGTCGTAGCTGTAGCCGGTGGGGCGGTCGAGGTATTGGAGGACGTAGCGCGAGATCTCCGAGTCGGTGAGGTAGACGTTGTAGGAGGCGATGATGGGGTCGTCGTCCTGGGATGAAGTTGTCATTGTTGCGGGGAAGGTGGTGTGAGGGTGTTTTTGGTGGGTCAGAAATTTTCTGGATGGGAGAGGAAATCAGGTATGAGAGTAGTTTTGAGAAATGGGATCGGGAGTGAGGAACAAGGATCAGTAGTGGGGGAAGAGGGGGAGGTGATGTGCCCTTGCAGCTGGGTTTTGTGCAGCCGCTTTTTTTTTTATCGGCGGTTGATAAGGCTGGCTGTCCCCGCGGCGAGACGTACCGCCTTCCATCCGGAGTCGAGTGTCTGTTCGCCCGTAGAAAATCAATCTATTATATCCGATAATCAGACGGCATTGTTGCTAGTTGTAAGCACAGATCGGAGGTACAGAGTTTCTCTACTGAGACAGAAAGTAAAGCTTGGTTGGTTGTATAGAAACAATTAGTCATCAGAAGTATGTACAAAAGAGCTAGCTGTATCATCGTCCAAGATCATGAACAGTTCATCCAATAAATTATTTTTAGCACAATGCAACGAGAACAATGCGACATGTATATCGTGCTCACGACACCTCATCGGCCGATATCTTACTCCTCCTCATCTTCCTCAGCAACCTAAAATGTATCGTTAGCTAAGCACTCACCGGAAAGGAAAAAAAAAAAAAAAAAAAACAAAGATTAACTTACTCCTTCGTGGAAGTTCTGTCCATCAGTTGTGGCCTTGATCACACCAGCACGGATACACCAGTCTCCGAATCTCTCGGGGACCTCGCCGTCAGTGTTGCGCTCGGCAGCATAACGCTTGAGCAGGCCCTTCATGATGTCAAGAATCTCGTCCTCCTTGATGGAAGAGCGGTACAGCTTGTTCAAGCGCTGACCGTGGTAACCACCACCCAGATACATGTTGTACGCGCCGTACGCCTTGCCGACGAAGGCAACCTCAGCGAGCCAAGGTCTGGCGCAGCCGTTGGGACAACCAGTCATACGCATGACAATGCTGTCCTGAGCGAGGCCAACCTCCTCCAAAGTGGACTCCAGCTTGCCAATGAGAACAGGCAGGTAACGCTCTGATTCGGCCATAGCAAGACCGCAAGTAGGGAAGGCAACACAGGCGGAGGAGGACAGGCGGAGGCCGCTGAAAGCGGTGTTGTCGAGCTTGTACTTGGCCATCAGCTCCTTGACCGCAGGAAGATCCTCATCCTTGATGTTGGAGATAATCACGTGCTGGTTACCAGTCAGACGGAACTCGCCCTTGTCAAGCTTGGCCAGCTCGCGAAGACCGGTGCGCATCTTGAAGTCGGCGGTATCCTCAATACGACCGTTCTCGATGAAGCAGGTGAAGTGGTTAAGACCCTTCTCGTCCTTGACCCAGCCGAAGGTGTCCACATTGGAGTCAAACTTGAAGGGACGGGGCTCAGCGAAGCGCAGACCCTCCGGAAGGAGAGCCTCGACCTTCTCCTTGAAGGCTGGGACGCCCATGTCGTCAATGGTGTACTTCAAACGAGCGTGCTTGCGGTTCTTGCGGTCTCCGTGGTCGCGCTGGACGAGCATGATCTTCTCGCAGACAATGTGAGCCTGGTCCGCTGGGACGTAACCGAACATACGTCCAGTCTGAGGGTAAGTCTTCTTATTGTTGTGGGTGGTACCCATACCACCACCTGCAATGATGTTGAAGCCCTCCAGGTGCCCGTCGGCACCCTTGATGGCAATCAAACCAATGTCGTGGGCGTAGACATCGGTGTCATTGTGAGGAGGGATGGCGATTGTGATCTTGAACTTGCGAGGAAGGTAGGTAGGACCGTAAAGGGGCTCGTGGTCAACGACAGCATCACCCGCGACCTGGACCTTCTTGTCGTCATCATCCTTGAGCCAGATTTCGTGGTAAGCGCTGGTGGCGGGAAGAAGGTGATCGCTGATTCTTTGAGAGACAGCATGGGCTTCGCGGTGAAAAGCGGAAAGCTCAGGCAGTGAACTACACATGACATTACGGTTGACATCACCGCAGGCGGCAATGGTAGTCATCAAGGACTTGTTGATGGCACGCATAGCGCCGCGAAGGTTGCGCTTGATAACACCGTGGAACTGGAAGGTCTGTCTGGTAGTGAGCTTCATTGTCTCGTTACCATGCGAGCTGCTGATGGCATCCATCTGCAGCCACTGCCAAGGAGTGGCAATACCACTGGGCAGGCGACAACGGATCATGAAGCTGTAAGCAGGCTCAAGACCTTGTGCCTTGCGCTCATCACGAACATCACGGTCGTCCTGCATGTAAGTTCCGTGGAACTTGGTCAGCTGCTGATCACTGGCCGAGATGGCTCCAGTCGACTCATCCAAGAGACCTTCGGCAATGGTACCACGCAGGAAATTGGATTGAATCTTAATGTCTTCATTGGTCAACGGGGCCGGCTCCTCCGGCAGACCTTCAACCTTGTCAACACCAAGAGACTGCCAGAGACGAGGTTCCCATTCAGAGTAACCAGTCTGGTAAGCATCAGGGTCCTGGTCGTCGCCCAATCCGATGTCTGTGAGCTTGCGACCTCCCAGGAAGGCGACACGAGCATCGAGGTCTTTGGCGGGCTTGTTGTAGTAGATTTTATCCTCCTTGCGGGGCCAGTAGTGGCTGTCACCGAGACCGAAGACGGAGTAATTGATGGAAGAAAGATCCAAGTCGCCGGAGTTCTTCACGAACTCCCAAAGACCACGACCGTTGACGGGGAACTCTCCCTGACCAGCTGTGCTGGTGATGAAGACCACATTCTCCTCAGTAGCAAGATCTTCAGTGGGATAGTCATCCATGGCCATGACAAGGGTCTTGAGACCTCTAGCGCGACCGCGGTTACCGAGACGCTTGGCAATGTTCTGTGCATTACCACCATCCGAGGCGAAGAGAATAGTCAAAGGAGCACCGAAGAGACCATCGAGCAGCTTCTCGTAAGAGTCCTTGGCCTGACGCTTCTGCAATGCCCGGACTTCGGTACCATACGACTCGGCAAGAACGGACGAGAACTTAGGCTGACGGTTTGTGAGCTGCGTGAGCTGGTTGTCGCGGCGCAGGAACTCCTCAAGCTCGCGTCTGATGCGATCGGAGTCCAGATTGAACTTGGGCTCGCTCGTCCCCTCATTGGCGGGGTTCCAACGGTACAAGGGCCAGTATCCAAGATCAACGGCTTTCTTGGTCTCCTGGAGGACAGTCAAAGCAGAGTCGTTCTCTTGATTGTAAGGCAAGTAGGCAACAATGACGGAGGGACCATCAAACTTCTCAGCCTCGGCCATGGCCTGGAGCACCTGAGTGTAGGAGCCGTACACGGCGACGGAAGCGACATAGGCGTTGCCGTAGTTCATAGCATACAAACCGATATCCTTCTTTCTGCGGGTGGGATCGGACGCGGTGCGCTCCGAGTAGGGCTGAGAATCGATGATAAGCATGTTCACGTTGGCACCGGAAGCGAGAACGTGGTGAACGCCCGAGTTTCCGAGATCGTAAGCCCAGGCGTCAGAGCCGATCAGCCACAGAGACTCGTCGTAGAAGAGCTTCTTGGAAGCGAGAAGCTGTCTAGCGAGCTGGGAGCCGTCGTTGGACAAGCGCGCAATGACATCGGGGGCCAGCTTGTTGGCCTTGGAGGCATCCGCGGCGCTAAGAGCCCACTTAGAGAGCCAAGTGCGAGGAACATCCGTTGCAAAAGTGGTAGCCTTGGAAGCTTCTTCGACCTCACGAATGAAACGCTTGCGGTGTTCCAGCCGAGCAATCAGGGCACCGAATCCGTACTCGGGGCTGGCCGCGATAGTGGCCGAGATACCAGCATTCTTGGAACCCAGCTGGTTGGCCACGTGAAGGCGTTCACCGAAAAGCTGGTTCAGGATCTTGATGTAGGCATTTTCGAGATGGGGTTGCTCGAGGGCAGTCTGCAGGGCAGGAACCTTGGAGCTTCCGATCTCCAAGTTCTGAATGGGAGAGGAGGAGTTCAGGTTATGAACAATGCCACGGAGAGCCTGAACCGCAGTCGAAGGCTCAACGTATCCGAGCCTGTACCCAACAATTTGGGGCGTAGACCGACCGGCAGTCGAAGGAGAAAGGCTGGAGAGGAGATCCATGAAAGAAGGACCCCACTTGGTGGTCTTCCGAACCTGCTCGAGAACCGCGATTTTCTCCACAGAGCTAGGAATCGAGTTGATAATCTGACCACCAACCCAGGGGCGGTACAGGCGGGCAGTGATCAGTCCCACACTGCTCAGCTCACCAGTCTCCTCCTTGCCCAAGACATCGGCGAACACACCGGTCGAACCGAATACGAAAATGGCCGACTTAGCATCAGAGGGACCGGTGTACTCGATAGCACGGTAGTTGCGTCCGACCGCCTCAGAAAGACCCTTCCAGATCTGAGAAGTCCACTCGAAGACATCAGCAGCGCTGACAGGGCGAACTGACGAAGCATCAACGGTGGTAGCAGCGGAGCTCGATCCACGGCTGTCAGTGCTGCTGTCCCGGCGGGATGAGCCAACGGAAGAGTTGTCAAGGCTTACGCTGGTAGAGAGCTGCGAGGCTTGAGCAGGCGTGGAGCTGCCCTCAGTCTGCTGGTTGGTGCTCTCAACGGCCTCTTCAGTAACGGTGGCGACACGGCCCGAATCAGTGTATAGCGTCTGGACACCCGAGCCCGCGGAATGAGTGGCTGCATCTGAACCTAGGCTCAACAGAGACCGTACGACATCGGCATTCTCCTCTATGATAGCATCATCGCGTGCGGAGTTGGCAGGATCGAAGAAATGGATGACACCCTTGCCAGACTTGCGGGCCAAGGCATGTGCAGTGATAGCGATATCCTGAGCCTCCTGAAGAGTCTCCGAGTGAAGGAAGGTGAAACCACACTGACGGATCGAGCTGATCACAGAGTAGTCTGGGAACGGGTAGGGCTCCAAAGCGACGTGGAGGACAATAGGGTTATTCGCTAGTCGGTAGAGGTGAGGGATCGAGGAGAGTAGGGCAGAAGAGCTGGTGACGACGGACACGGCATTGCCAGTCTGCAGGGGATGGAAAGCAGAAAGAAGAGGATCCTCATTATATCGCACAGCCACAACCTGGAGAGCTGTTAGCATTTGATTTATACCACTTTACATTTCGGATTTGGGATGAGGTCGTGTATACCTCTGGGTTGTTTCTAGGCAAGACGCTCGGGATGTTGTTCGTCTTGAGAGTCTTCAGAGTCTTGGAGAACAAGGAATCTGCCTGCAGAGAGGGTTGAACGGAGAGGACGACATCGCTAGTAAGGTAGGCGATTCTTGCCACTGAATAAAAGCACATGAATCAGCCATCAAACCCGGAACGTTTAGTAGGACTATAACATGTTCCAATGTTTCATTGAAGAGAACAGAAATTTAAAGTGGACATACCTGCTTCTCCAGCGGTTTGGATAGAGACCATGTTGACAATGGCTTGCTACGCAACTGAATGCGCAGGTTGATGGGATGAATGGAGGGGGAGGGAGGGGAGTTGAGAGATCGAGAAATTGGATATCACCGCATACGGTGATTCCCCACTCAAAATCAGAGACAATGCAGAGGGTATGAGGGAGGAGGGAGTGGAGGTGAGGGGAAAGTAGAAAGAAAAAAAAAGAGGATGTACAGGAGAAAGATAAATAGTTTTGGCACAACTGATTTACCGTAGTCTCCTTTAATTTTTTTTTTCTTTCCTTTGCCAGTATGAATCAGTCTAGGTTTAAGCAGCAGCAGGAGTCTTGTTCGTCTCATAGATTTGGGTCCATCTCCGCCATCGGGGGTTAGATTACGCCCCATTTGATTGGACTGCGATCACGACATCGATGCAAACTGCAGGTGAGGGAAGGTGCAAACAGGCTGAACAGAGGAAAGTGCGGAAGTCCCGTGACCTGGGTTCGAGCACGTCACTTTTTTTGGGGCCGGGCTCGGTGGGTTTTGCTTCGAATGCCGGGGACAATTCATTTCAATCTTTACAGTACATGACTAAGGTATCCATGTTGTAGTTACATATTACTTAGACTAGTTTATGAGTATGAGTTGACCTAGTACTCTGTACTCCTACCAATTATACTATCTACCTTTAAGGTGAAGCCGACGTTCGCGGAGATTGAGTCATCAACTCCACATCCCTCCGTTACTGATTTGAGGTCATTTGGCCCGCAGACCTGCAGCTGAACCGAACTCGCGCAGCCACCACGTTCTCGGTCGAGAGCCCGGGGTCGGGACTTCGCGTAACGGCGTTTGAATCCCCAAACAGGAGGGTTACTGATAATCAGTTGCACGGAGAGTGGAATCTAAAATAGAAATATAATATGTATGTATGCTCTGCACATCATATGATGCAAGCTCTTGGGGCAAAACTATGGTCGGAAATATATGCAGATCCCTAGCACGATGCACGCAAAATGTACCCTGAAGACGCCACAATCACCCCCCAGCCCCCGAATATCCTAAGCAAGCAATGTACATGTCCCATACGCCAAATACAGAAAGGGCATCATAAGACCTCATGAAAGTGACCTATTATGTCCACCTCCCAACAATGTGACCCCCCGCCCACCGCCTTCACACGCCTGAATGTCACCAACGCCTCCCTGGAGGACAAGGAGGGGTAGAAATTGAGGCAGGTATGTCCATCACTCCAGCCGTTGCCCACTTGTCCGGTTCGTAAAGAAAAGTATGTAGATCGTAAGAGTAAATAACAGGGCTTTGAAAAAGAGATGTATGACAAGTCGATGGCAGAAAGTGGAGGAGTGGTAGTACCTCGAACAAGGGCGCGAACCTATCGGGATCAAGTGCTCGACAGATCTCACTCCTGCGGAGGCGCAAATCTCTCAACGTTTTCACAACGAGTGAGAACTATCGCCCGACCTGGTCGGCAATGCTGGATAATAGCCAGCTACTCTGCGTCAGAGGCTACCGGCCATCGTTCCACCCATGCATCTTTCCATTCGCTCCCGGTACGTGTTCGTGAACCGGCTGCAGCAAGGCGGCCGCTTGAACTGTCGACTGAGATGGTTGGGGAGGACCGGTACCCGACCGCCGTCTCCTTTCTCTTTCGAGGGGACCAGGAAGCTCAGGTTCTGCGTTGCGGGCGCGGAAATTGCGGTTGAGAGTGTTCACCCAATTGCCACCCTCTTCATCTTCGCCCAACCAGTAGTTGCGGCCAATACTAATCATAATTCGTCCAAGCTTACCCTGCCAGCCTTGGCCATCGGGGCTGTGCGCAGAGAAGGGTTCCCGGTCAATATCGGCGACGCTGGCCACGCTAGCAATTGAGGTGTTGCGGCTGTGGGTGGGTAGCTGGGTGTGTCGCGGCACAGCAACGTAGAGACGGAGGGCCTGTCGCGCGAACGCCAGCATTACAAAGACGAAATAAATGCGAATAGTCCACAGCAGGCAGATGAAGACGATGCTTTGGAAGCTCTCCGGCTGGGACACAGCGTTGCCTAGAGCATCCTGTCTCCTTGCATAGTGGTCGGCTTGGCTCTTGTGTGAGGAGTCGTACTTTGGACTGGTGAAACCGGCGGTTTGTGCGATGGTCTCTGCGCCCGGTCCGGAGGCGCTTCCATTGTCGTAATGCTGAGATATAACGAGGAACCATGTGACACCAAAGGCAGTAGTATACGCTGCGTTGGTGATGCTATCGAGGACGTAGAGCCAGGCGAGCGCGAGGCATTGCAAGGGCGACTGTTTGCGAATGTGCGGAAAGAGATATGTGACGAGACCCAGGGCGAGGAGCGAATACAGGTACATCGACAGTTGTACGGGTGAGAGATGGTAACCGGTCAAGAGGGCGAGCAAGCCATAGAGACCGCTAATTTTGTTGAGCAGTAACGATAAAGTGATCAAAGAAGCACCAGTCTGAAGACTCATAACATAGAGAAAGGTCTGTGTCGCGAACCGGACCAGCCGGGATTGGGCTAAGTCAGCTTCAATTCAAGAACAGCGACCGGAGCAGCGGAGACAGGCGGAACACCGTGAATTTTTCATCAGTAATCCGCTGCGAGACACATACCTCTGGCCGCGGGATGCGGAGGAGACGGGTTGAAAACCCCATGATGAAGTGATTTGAGGGGGGAAATGGGAGGGGAAATGTGCCAGAACGATAAGAGGATAGGATAGAGAAATGAGGATGTATGGGGTGGTTGTGAATAATGAGAAAGGGAGTGACGAAAAGAGGCAAAGGAATGGAAGGTGACGACGGGAGTGGAAGAACAGAGGGAGGGGAGGGGGGGGGGTTCAGTGGCTGGTGAAGGGCCGGGAAGGGGGCAGTTTTAACTTAGTAGTTAGTCCTTCAAGGGACCTCAAGTACTAACTGGAAGAGTTACTTCCGCACCTTCCAGGTTGCAGGTTAACGTTGGTAGTCAAGTGATAGAGAGAAAAAGTAACGCTAGGCGCCCAATTTGCGGGTAATTGGCCCAGGGGCGCGGTTTGTATCCGGTCGGGTCCGCCGATCGCTGCCTTGTCCCCTCTTGAAATATACTGAATGAGTGACGTATCTACACCATTACAATGCACTCAGACTTTTTTTGTGATGTCTATCTGACACGAGGTAGTTTACATATTTATTGTCACTGCAGTTTGGTTTAAGTTAGCTTTCCCTCCTACCAATTCTCGTAAGTACAGACTTCCAAGCTGAATGTCTCCCACCCCTGGGGCTGAAATCGAACTACTGATTAACAGCCGCATTGAAAACCCACTTTGGCCAAGAGGCAGCCTCTTATGCACATTATTTCGCTTTCCGCCCACCGACAAATACGAGTACGACCAAAGGTTGTTGTTGCTTGCTCCATCTTGCATAATCACAAGCATCCTAGGTTGAAAGTTTTGTTCAGGGGTTGCTCTAAGCCTCCAGTAGGATTTGCTTACGCCATGTATCCCTCGCAAACATGCCGTGCAGGAAGAATTGGAGGTGAAAGTTGCCTTGCTGCGAGGGAGAGAGAGATATATATACATGGTGATCCGAAAGGTTCATTCCATGGTTAAATCGAACTCGATGATCATTACGACTGACATCCGCGCGCCAAATCTGTAAGTTAGATCCAAAACTCTTAGCTAACCATGCAGATGAGTGCATCGGCCTATGAAAGCCAGATCGACAACGTCAAAACCAACCACCGTCAAACTCTCGTCGAGGACCGTTCTTCAAAACGGTCAAACGGTACCCCCAACTATCACCTGGCGAGCGTAATACAAGTCCAGTCTGGAGAAGTACATACGGCAAGCATGACGCTTACGGTTTCCGACGTCCTTCAGCACGCAAAGCGGCGTCAAAAGGATTCATTCCGATTAAGATTAGACGAAATGTTGAAGCTTGATCTAGACACGCTATTCACTCGAAAGAAGGGGACAGGAGGAAATGTACATGTTGACGATGCGGAAACATTATAGACAATCTCATGCCTCGTCATTGAGGTTTAGGCAGGAGAGTAAGAAGAAGATTATAAGAAGAGTCTGAGTCGGCACCTGCCGAGCAGTACTTAGCACGCGCATCCATCATTGGTCGTAGTCTCTTTCGGGCTAATGTTAACATCAATCACTGTGAAATGTCAGCGGGGCTTCGTCCGACAGGGGTATAATCCGAAGGGAAAAACAGACTTTGGTTGTCTCCCCTGTTGCCTTCTCCCTCCATGCCCGGTAGGGCCTGGGCAATTCTCCGGAAAAGCTGCTTGACATTGTGGCCAACCTTCGCACTCGTTTCAATGAACATCAGTCCATTTTTCTTGGCCTCCTCTTCACCCTGCGCCGTCGTAACCTCGCGCTTGTCGTTCAAATCCGTCTTGTTGCCTACCAAAACAATGATGACATCGTTACCACGCTCTCCGCGGACATCATCGATCCATTTCCGGGTGTTCTGGAAGGACTTGGCATTGGAAATATCGTAGACCACCACGGCGACACTCGAATCTCGAATGTAGGAGGGAATCAGGGAACGGAATCGCTCTTGACCGGCAGTATCCCAGAGCTGAAGGCGAACAGTCCTATCTTCCAGGTACATTGTCTGTGTAGCAACAGCATTCGTTTAGTTTCAATCAATTACGCAGCTGTTTCCGAAAGGGCAACGTCGACCGGGCGGACGGTAGGTACCTTGGACAAGAAGTCGATTCCAATTGTGGCTTGATATGTGTTGTCGAAGGAGTCATACATAAATCTCGTGATCAGGGAAGTTTTTCCCACTGCAGGGCGAGTGTCAGGTCCATTGTGGCGAGAGGAGATATGATGTCGCGGAGGATATTCGTACCACTCTGTTCTCCCAAGAAAACCAGCCTGCAATCCGATTAGCGATCGGCTCAAGCAGCTACCGAGCTGTTGTTCTTCGTGCTGCATACTTGAATTTCTTCAAAGGGTTCGAATACGACCCTACTCCGGAGGTGGAAGCCATGGTCTACGGAAATGTGGTTTGAAGCGGCGAAATCAGGGGTAGCGGGAGATCCGTTGCGGATGGAGTCGTGGATCGGTGAGCGAGATTTTGAGAAGGGAGTGCAGCAGGAATTGAGGGGTAGTTGTGAGAAGCAGAAGAAGACTTGTGTCGAGGGATCGGAGGAGATTGTAATTGTGGTAGAGAAGAGGGGGAGGGGGAGAGAGAAAGCGAGGAGCAGATTAACTAAAGTCTAACGGGACAAATAAATCGCTGGTTTGACCCATGGGTTCCGTCCGGGGAACTTCTGATGACAGACCGTACAGTAGTCATGCCAGTTGACTACTTACGGAGTACACATTTCAACTTAGATTAATTATGAATTAACTAAGGTAAGCTTGACCGCCCAGTGGGAGCCTCAGTCCGCAACCGGATTAATTCTCGGCCCGACTCACCACCACCTGCTTGCTTGCTTGCTTGGATCTATCTATCTATCACTGTTGAAGCTCTCTGCTGTCCCTATTGCTCTCTACTTATCTCCTTGTCCGCCTCCCCGCCCTCGTTTACTGAGGCCTCTTCTTCTTACTCCTTCTGGGCCGTTTCTTTACCTCCCATAAATTTAGATAACGCATAGGGACATCCACCATGGTTCTCCGCTATTTCACCGGTGTTGTATTCGTGGCCCTCCTGGTGTGGGGACTATGTGAGGAACCCGACTCTTTCTGCTGCACAGAAGTCCGAATAGACACTAATCCGGTCTCTTGCTTGGTTTAGATCTGCTCCTTACTGGCCAGGGTGAGCGGTTCAATGTAAGCGACAAATACACTCGCTCCACGGCTCGCGGCCGAGTTCATGCTAATCCCATACAGGTCGGCTACTTCTTGGAGTCAGTCTCCCCTTACGCTTGGGCCAACCTTGGTATTGCCATGTGCATTGGCCTGTCGGTCGTCGGCGCTGGATGGTATGAAAACTTCCCCCATCCGATGCGATCGTAGCACTTGCTGAGAAATGATCTCATAGGGGTATCTTCCTAACGGGGTCTTCCATCGTCGGCGGTGGTGTCAAGGCACCCAGAATCCGTACCAAGAACTTGATCTCTATCATTTTCTGCGAGGTCGTCGCCATTTACGGTGTTATCATGGCGATCGTTTTCTCCTCCAAACTCAACCTTGTTGATAACGATGGTATCTTCTCTGGAAGCGACTACTACACTGGCTACGCACTTTTCTGGGCGGGTATTACCGTTGGCGCATGCAATCTGATCTGTGGTATCTCTGTCGGCATCAATGGTAGTGGTGCAGCTTTGGCCGATGCTGCGGACCCTAGCTTGTTCGTCGTCCCAATCCATCAATCGCAGAGTGGTTGCTAACATTATACAAAACAGGTTCGTCAAGATCCTCGTCATTGAGATTTTCAGCTCTGTCCTCGGTCTCTTCGGTCTCATTGTTGGACTTTTGGTGGGTGGCAAGGCACTGGACTTCGGTGCCGCTTGAGAGCGTAGCGATCGCGCTGAAGCTTGTTGTTGGTGGGGATGAATTGTATGACTTATATCACGTTTGTCGTCTCGTTTTATGTTCGTTGTCATCCTTTATCTACTGCATCGGGGCGTACGGATTCGATTCAAATGTAGAACCTTGTTTTGGCTATGCGTGCGAAATGCATTGTTAATCTCGCTGCTTGGCCTGATATTGCGATGGAGAAAGAGATGTATAGTAATTGGCAGCGGGGCTGACCTAAGAATATAAAAGTGGTGAAGATCTGTGGTATCTCAATTGACTAAAGGACGTGTACACGTATAGAATGTATATGCATCCTGGTGGTGATGGCGCATTCCGGCGGTGATAGCGTCTCCGCTCCTCTCCGCTCTTTATTGCTTATCGCTTTTCCCCGCCGATATCGTAGCCTCTCCTCCAATACCCCTCACCTGCAGCAACAACAACAATAACAACAACTTGCTTACGATGGCCGACACTACCCTTCTCAAGGCAGCCATCCTAGTGGTATCTGACACCGCTTCCAAAGATCCGTCAACCGACAAGGTTGGCGATGCTCTCACAAATGTCTTTTCGACCGCGGGCTCGAACACCTGGGACCAGCCCATCATCAAGATTGTCCCAGATGATGTGCTGGAGATCCAACGTGCTATTTGTGGCTGGACAGATGGACCAGATTGGGTGAACTTCATTTGTGTCAGTGGGGGCACAGGTTTTGCATCCAAGGACATAACGCCTGAGGTCTGTCTACTGCCTATCTTTCTCCAATCCCATCGTCATCACTAAGATGGCAATTCAGGCCGTCTCACCTCTCATCCACCGCCATGCCTCCGGCCTTGTGTGAGTAAATTCGGACCCAATTCAAATTTTTGTCAGACCATGACTGACTGAGATGAAGACACGGCATGCTTGCTGCATCTTTAAAAGTCACACCGTGTAAGGCTCACTGCGATGCATGCGTGGACGTACTTGCTCATGATTCCCAGTTGCCATGATGTCGAGACCCGTTGCCGGCGTGCGTGACAAAACCTTGATCGTGACCCTGCCTGGTTCTCCCAAAGGGGCCAAAGAGAACCTGGAAGCAATCATTAAGCTTCTTCCCCACGCATGCAGCCAAGCAGCTGGTGCAAATTCTCGAGCTCTTCATGCAGGTGGCATCAAAAAGCTAGAGGCTGACGCAGGAGTGTCTTCTTCTTCTTCTCCTCCTCAGCCAGCCAGTCACGCTCATCACCATCATCACCATCACGACCACAGCCACGGTCACTCCCATGGCCACGCCATACCCAGAGCACATACCAATCCCTCCGAACGGCCACAGTCTAACGACCCGAATGCAGGGCCAAACCGTCGTTATAGAGAATCCCCATACCCGATGCTCTCTGTTGATGAAGCACTCAAGCTTATCAGCGAGCACACGCCCGAACCCAACATCATCGAGGCCCCCGTAACCACAGCTATAGTCGGGTCTGTGGTCGCCGAGGATATTTACGCAGCCGAAGCGGTTCCGGCATACCGAGCCAGCATCGTTGACGGATACGCTGTGATTGCTCCCGAAACACCCAACTCCGGCCCCAACACCCGCGGTATTTTCCCTGTAGCCTCGATCACGCATGCCAACGAGGGCGGGACACTCACTCCCCTGGAGCCTGGGACCATTGCCCGCATCACCACCGGCGCTCCACTGCCCCCGAACGCCAACGCGGTTGTCATGGTTGAAGATACCGTTCTCGCCAGCTCCACTCCCGACGGACTAGAAGAAGCGACGGTCGAGATCCTTACCTCCGAGATCCAACCCGGCGAGAATGTTCGCGAGCCCGGCAGCGACGTCGCCCTGGGCTCCCTCATCCTCCGCCAGGGCGACCTCATCACCTCCGTCGGCGGTGAGATCGGCCTCCTAGCAGCCACAGGCACACGGACGGTCAAAATCTACCAGAAGCCGCGCGTGGGCGTCCTCAGTACTGGCGACGAACTCGTTGAACACAACGACCCGCGCAAGCTCACCGGCGGGCAGATCCGGGACTCGAACCGCCTCTCCCTCCTTAGCTGCCTCACCTCCTGGGGCTTCCCCACCGTGGACCTGGGCATCGCGCGCGACACGCCGGCTGGCGAACTCGAACAGCACCTCCGCGATGCCCTACGTGGTGTCGGCACCGCGCAGCACAGCGTCGACGTCATTATCACTACCGGTGGCGTCTCCATGGGCGAGCTGGACCTCCTCAAACCGACCATCGAACGCTCCCTCGGCGGCACCATCCACTTCGGCCGCGTCTCGATGAAGCCCGGTAAACCAACCACTTTCGCCACCGTGCCCTTCAAACCTTCCTCCTCCGGCGCCGCGCAGCAGGGCCAGCAGCAGGAACGCCACAACAAACTCATCTTCGCCCTCCCCGGTAACCCGGCTTCCGCCCTGGTCACCCTCAATCTGTTCGTTTTGCCGTCGCTGCACAAACTGATGGGTATGGGCCGGAGGCAAGGGGCAGGGTCTGTTGCACCAGTACCCTCCCCGTCATCGCTGGGCTTGCCGCTGGTGTCGGTCACGCTGGCGCATCCGTTCCCTGCGGACCCGAAACGCACCGATTATCACCGGGCGGTTGTCACGGCATCCAGGTCGGATGGGCGGTTGTACGCCACAAGTACCGGGGTGGAGGGGGTGGGCCAGCGGAGTTCCAGGGTAGGTAGTCTGGCCAGTGCAAATGCGTTGGTCGTGGTTCGGCCTGGAAGGGGGAAGGTGGACGAGGGGGCTTTAGTGGAAGCGCTGATGCTGGGGTCAGTTGTGGCGGGTGTTTGAGTCGTGGTAGGCTGTAGGACATCATGTATACTGGATGCCAAAATGGATTTGACTTAATCATTAGTCCTAAAACATGAAGACTAAGCAACTCTTGTCGATAGGGCCGATCCTGGCCTTTGTTTGAAACGCTTCACACGAGTTCAAAATTACTATAATTGCAGGAAGTATCGTGATGCTAAGAGAGGAACCCATAACTTGAGAATATGTGATGATGAACACCAATCTATCTATATGTACCGAAAAACCCAAAGCCCACCCCCTACTCCGTGAAAAAGATCTTGTGACTATCAACCGAAAGCTAGAAGCCAGAATTATAGTGAAGAATGAAACAAGAAGACTGGGTATCAATTCCCGAGAACTCCACCCCAGCAAACCAACCCATCGTACAACCTCAAGCCCCCGAGCCCAAGCCCTTCATAACCGCACCAGTCAAAGGCACAGAATGGATCATCAGCCCTTACTAACCCTCCACCCCTTCTTCTTCTCCGCCCTCAACCCAGGCAATGTGGCATCGCGCCCCTGCTTGCGCGCAATCTCAATCACCACGAAGCGTACAAAGTCTGTCAGCGTCCAGTAACTGCTATGCGCGCTCAGCATGTTCAAGTACTGAATGTTGAGCGGCCCGCCGCCCCCAGACAGGTAGTAGTCAATCTGCCCGTTGTCGTTGAGCAGGAGCATGCGTTTCTCGGCGATTTCCTCGCGCGTGAAATCGTGGGTTTCGAGCTCAACCTGCGTCGGGAGCTTGGTGATGGGGGCGGGCCGGAGAACAGTGTCGGCGGTGCTGGTGCCGGTGGTGGACCAGCGGAAGACGCTGCCGAAGGAGGACCAGAGGCTAGAGGTTGTGGTGGGAATGGAGGCGGGTTTGAGGGAGGCGGCTAAGCCACTGTCTACAGCCGCATTGACACGATAGGCGATTGCTTCGGGCTGGGTTAGTCTTGGGCTTAGCTAGATGGTTTGGGAAGCCGCTTACGGTCTGTGGTGTGCATGATATTATAGAGGTTGTCGACGGCTAGGCAGCCGTAGGTGTCGGCTTCGCCTGCGACGCCCGGGAGACGGTCATCACCTTCGCAGCCTGGTTTGTCACGGCCTCGACGGGGAAGCAGGTTTGCTGGGAGAAGTTGCGTGTTAGCTTGGGCTCCGGGAATGTCCGACAGGAGAAGACATACCTTTGTTGAGCAGCAAGAAAAATCCAGCGGGGCTGCCACAAATGAACAGGTTCTTCGTGTCGAACTCGAAAATGTCCCCATGTACACTTGTCGTGGAGAAATCGAACCGAGGGACTTTTGTTGGTTGATGACTGAGGATGTCGAGGGCCATAGCACTGCCAAGGGAATGGGCGAGCAGATGGACTCGGCCATGCTGTTGAAATCCCGGGTTGTTTTCGCACCACAACCGGAAAATACGGTTGGCCTCTTTGACAACTGCTTGAATCATCTTGGGCTTGTGATGCGAGAGATAGTATGGAATGTCCAGCATGACGTCGCTGATCAGGGATCTGACAGCGGGAATGGTTTCCGGGGTGATGTCCTTCAGGGAGTAGTGATTGGAAGCTGGGTCTCCGGCCCCAGGAGACTCAAGATTGGCTTCATCCAGGGACAGTGTTGAGCGCCAGTTCACAGGCAAGGCCATGATTCCTCCGTGTCCTGGACGTACGTGTGGCCACACGGGCTCGCTATTCAACTCCATATTGATGGTCCTGCGGAAGGCATTGATCGCATGTGTGAAATGAAAGCTTTCCATTCGTTCTGATAGCTTCTGACCTATACCGTGAATGACAAGGACGAGATCCGTTGGAGCTGGCCGTAATTCTTCTATCGCACAGGCATAACATACTGGCTCTCCGGATGTGGACATTGCTCGGGTCTGGGTGCTTCGAAGGTAGTTCCTCACTTCTACAGGACTCGGTTTGCTAGGGTGTAGACGGTCCCACAAGCGACGACTGAAACCACGGACTACAGGAATACCAATCTGTCTGCCCTTACGAATCGCGCTGAGCGGTCGTCGGCCGCGAGATACAGATGGCAGAAGGCTGGGTCGCAGGATCTGTGCCTCCCTCCAATCAGCATAGATGACACTAGAGTTTAGAAAGGGTTTGATGGATTCGGACTGCATCGGAGTAGCTCCAGCAGCACGGTTTTCGTCGAAGACCAAAGGGTTATCAGCAGAATGCTCGGGTTGTTCCACTGCGTGAGCAGCGGATGGAGTGCCATCAGGGGGAGCAGCTGCGGCTGTCGAAGGTCGCGTCGGGTCCTCTTTGGGCCAGAGCCTGTGAACTACCTTCAGCTCCGCATCAGCACCGCTCTCGACACAGCTGTTGAGTTCGTCCTGCCATGTCTCTGTCCACGGCTTCAGGTAGAGATACCCATCTTCCAGTTTGTTAGCAAGCTCGGTCTCAACTGGCAACATAGTATTCTTGTAGAACCATGTCGCACGAACGACGTTTGAGATATCGTGCAATGGGCTCCAATATATCGGCTTCATCTATTGCACAGATTAAAAATTTGGCAGTTCAGAGCTTCATGCAAGAGTACTATACCTTTAGCTTCGGTAATTCAACAAGGTGAAGCCGGGAAGCACCCACTGGGATCTTCCACTGTGTGTCAGCAATCTGTTCGGACTCCTGCGAATGCACCTCAGATTCCTCAAGCGATAGCTGGTCGACGCTCGTCCTCAAACCAGAGCGCTTGGCTGCGGCGTGAACAGTCGCATCTGTCGGAGAGTCTGGATTGGCGGCGTCTCTCGAGGAGCTTGACTCGATGGATCTTCCTAAGAGACTTTGTGGTTTGTGAATAGGAGCTCTGATGAATGGAGAACCACTCATACTCGCATCCCGCGAGCTGTTGCCCCTGGAGCTGACGCTCTCACCGCTGTCGAGGGTCGTGTCCTCCGCCCGTAGCGAGCTGCTGGGTTTAAACGCCGTAGCAGGATCGGTATCATCACGAGAAACTGGCTCTCTGGCCTTGTGCTGGAGCTTATTGGGTCTCAGGTTTTCCTTTGAGTTAGTCTCAAGCGTACGAGACCTTTTCCGGACTCCCTCATGCTCAACCTCGGGGCCAGAGCTTCCAAACTCGGTTCTGAAGCGCCCTCTAAAGCTCTTCAGCGCTTTGTCATCCAAAGACAGTGGAGTGGTATTGCTCTGTTTGCCCTGGTGGTCATCCAAGCTTGAGCTTACGGATATCCCAACCCGTTTCTTCCCATCCGCGCTAGAGGTAGGTTCCTGCCCTGGCACAATTATCCCCGAGTTTCTTTTAGAGGAACGACCTTCTTGTGCCTTAGCCCTCGCGATCAGACCTTCTCTTCGGCTCTTTTGTAGTGACCGCCAGGCTTCCTCCAGAGTGGCGTCATCCCGAACTGAAAATGGTCGAAGCGGAGCTTTTGCATTGGCGGATCCTTGACCGCCAGTTGGAGCGGGCAGCGCAGTCAAAGGGTCATCTATGGGAAGCGGCGAGGTGTAAAAGAATTGAGGCCGTACGGTCGGGGGAGTTTCAGAGGAAAGCCAAGCGGCGGGATCTGTCGCATCAGCTGCCAGGAAACATGAAGGTCCATAGGTATGGATGGGAGCGGCCATTGTGATGGCAGGGAGCAGGGTCAATGTCCCTGTATCTGTCGAGGGACAGAAGTTTAACACAAGCTAGTCAAAAAAAAAAAATCCGAGACAGCCTGAGAATGAGTAGCGATGGCACAGTGTAGCACAAAAAAAAGTCGCTTTGGGGATGGTGAGTGCAACGCGTGCTGAAGGGGGTCAGCAAGGGAGATTCAACATTTAGGAAAGCCTCCAACTCGCAGGCGATTATCTATTGAAAGGAACGGAGTCGTCTCATGCATGATGTTAAACTTTCGACAGAAGTTTGAAACATTCTGGAGCTTTATAAATGGAGAAAAAGAATAGATGATGGGGAGGAAGAGACAATATTCTTCAGTTTGTTGTGATGTGCTGAGAAGGAGAGAAAAGAAAGATGACGATGACGTCGGCCCACGTGAAAGACCCCGATTCCAAACAATCTCCAAACAATCACTGCGAAAAGACAAACAGCCACCTCATCAACCTTGAACTCAAGTATGACAGCAGTCACGCATCCCAGCCATTTTGACCACTTGAGGCTATTTATTCGTTGGAGCTCGGATCTTCAATTATGCAATGATCCTGGCATGCACATGATGGGATTTCATCCATCCGGCCAAGCAGTGCGGAAAATACAAGGCATTTCATTTCTTTCCTTCTAGAACTATCAACCACCGTACATGCCGCACACTAAATTGCAATCTGACTGCAGAAGAACACTGGCACTGTCTTGAAGACTTCGAAGATGAAACAGAGAACCATAGATGGAATTAGTAAAGGTAAGGGAAAGTCAATGTTCGTCAATCATGAGGCCTAGCCTCATCTCTCCACTACACTGAGTACTTTGTCCGCTCAATCAGGTTCCATCAGCAATAAAACCTGAACCTGCACGACTTCAAAATCCCGCATGGTTTCCAGGGGTGCTCCAAGCATCTCAAGAATATTACGGATGTCGAATACGTGTTTGCGAATGGCACTATCAGGCGCGCAAAATGTGCGAATGCCCATCTCCTTCCCAATGGCTTTCCAGTTGTTCAGATTTATTCTCAGCTGGATCGAGTTGGTAGCGCTGAGTCCATGGAATTGAATTGTTCGAAGGTTTGATAGAATCAACTGGCGCTGAGTCGCTTGGTCGTAATGAAACTCAACTACCTTTGGTCGGTTCTTCGCAGCCCAATAATTGCTGATCTTGGAGATGGATTCATCGGACAACAGACCCCGATTGCACTGCTGCACGAGAAACCGGTTGGCAGCGACGCAAATCATGACCTCCAATTGTGAGTAAAGTCTTGCTTGGGTCGGAGCGTCCAGGGAGATCAGAACGGCCCTTGTAGGTTCCTGTCGGAGAGGCTCAGAATGCTGGGCGTAGAGGTGGGCCTTGAATATATCACCGGTCTTCGCAGATGCATGTCAGAACTCAGTCCATCATCAATGCATGGTGACCCACTTACCAGGTCTTCTACCAACTCTTCGACCTGCATCTTGAGCTTCTTGCCGAATCTACGCAAGCCAAATGTTTTGTGATTACCCTCGGCCAGCTCTTTCAGATCTGCATTATTCCCAAGCCAGCCTTTCTCGCCGAAAAGTCTTTTGTGCGACGGTTTCGGTTCACTCCAGGGATCATCAGCCAGCACATCGTTCGAGCCTGCCACGTTTGGAGACAGGTGAAGGATAGGGCTGAGCTCCATGGTGGCCGTTTGACTGACTTCACGCTCAGAGTATGAATGGTATCGTGGCTGGTGTCCGCAGCCGCTACGAATTGTCACGCTCGGCGCCTCCAGCACACAAACAGAATCATCCCGCTGAGACTGGTGCGTCACGGTTGACGGAATGGACGAGCAGGGCGAGTCGAGAGGTGTAATATCTGAGGAATCGATACCAACAGGGATGTACTCCGATGAGTTTTCGGACCGAGAATCAAACGGCACGTTCGTGTCACTGGTCGGCGGGCTCGTCCAGTAGTTCATGAATGGCTCGTAGAATGGGTTGACTCTCGCGAAGTCTTCATAGTTCAGCTCCCTACCCTTGAAGTCAGTTTCTCAAGGCTGCAGCCAGTCGATCCGTGGGCTTACTGTGACCGGAGCACGGTATACTCTGGGCGAATCCGGTCGCTCATTCTGAGTTATTGGTTTGAGGAGATTTGCTTGATAGGATAATTGAGATTGACATTGAAGATAGGATGAGTGCAAGATGAATTAAACGACATGTAAGTGTGCTGATAAACAAGATCGAGTGGACGGGTGGCTTTTGTATTAGGAGTTGGAGGCTAGATATTGACTGACATCTTTTACTTCTCTATTGTATTATTGCTACGAATACAATGTGTTAAAAGTGAATATAAAAAAGATTCATCGAATAAGGATTGTGTAGCTTCTACCAATCTACGAGCTGTTGGTGGTGGTATAGGGAGTGGGGATACTCCATGTTAACCAGGATAGATTATTATTGAAGGACAACCATAATACAATAGGTTAAGGGTAAGTAACACAGTAATAAGAATAGAATAATGAATTCAACCCTTATACTTATTAAGTCCTGATTGGCCCAATGGAGTTATAAATAATGCTAGCAAGCAAGTGTTCATACATCAACTAGTGAATAACTTGCAAGGAAGCGCAAATGGCGCCTAAAAAAGTAGTGGAAGTTCAGTAGTGGATGAGCCAGGATACAATCTATCTCTGACCTAGGACATCCCTTCTTAAATATGATCCTGACACTGTATGCGGCGGGAAAGTTGGCGTAAGCGAGGATGAGTACAACCTTGACCCTTGCTATCAGGCCACGCTTGGTAGTTTGGCATGAGACGGACTGCAACATGCATCATTTTGCTGTATAAAAGTACAGTAAAGAATATCCTGGTTCGAGCTCTGGCAATTCAATGGACAATGGCTCCTCGAGCCACGCGCACCACGAACGAAGCGAGAACAAGGCAAGGACAGTCCTAGTTATATACTGCCTATGTTCCTAATCTCTCTCAAGCCGCTAAGATTAAACCATAAGTTGTCGACAGTCTCCTTCATTGTTGATCCAGGCATCGTATCAGTAAGAAGCCGGGAAACTGCCTTGTCTACAGGCTTTACAAGGCCGGTTGTGATTGCTATCTCACGAGTTATGAGCGTAAGACTGCATTGACGAGTGCATACGCAAGGAAGTATCGGAATCAGCGACTCTAGCCTCTCAATGGTCACAAGGATAAGCTACGGTCTCCCATGTAACTGCTATTGGTTGTCCCCCAATTACCGGGCACATGTCCCATGGGGTCGAGATCTACCGGTGATCTGGGGCCCGCGTCAGTCGGGATCGAGCTCAAGGCACTGAGACCGGTAGACAGCTCCAGAGGAACAGAATCTCGGGGTAAGTTGCCGGGTTCTGGTCGGGAGTATCGGAAGTAGAAACAGGCTGGTTGATAGGCCAAGCAGGGCTCATGGCAATGTCTATAGGATCAATGCATGTTGATGCTAATATTGATGCGATGGTATTGGAATGGCACAGCCCTAAGCAGTATTTATTTAGATTCATCGTCTGTAGTTTCTGCACACTATAAATGAAGTACAAATGTAATGCAGACAATTTAACTATGAGCCTCGATGCGAGACCAACTCCCCCTAAAGTGGTATTGAACTCCGCGGATTCCGAACACCCGTTCGGCCTTCGGCAGCCCTTCGACCATTCAAGACGAAGGGATTGGGAGCGGAAATCCCGAAAGAGGCTGCCGAAGAGCATAAGGTCACGTGTCATTCCTCCACCTGCCGAATCGCTAGCCGCTGCTAAAGGGATTGAAGTGTGGAGGCTCGGATCACAGACCGGCAATCTCAGCGACTCCCCGCAATCCCCCCCATTGGAGCTGTCGCCTGCGTCTTGTACTGTAATCCCATATTCTTGGGTCAACTGTGGCACTGTGCACCTCTGTGACTTGTCGCCCATTCACCACCCCCCAGGCTCCTCCACATTCTAGCCCATTATGAAGTGCCGTTCTACGTCTCCGTTGCCTGCAGCTTGGCTGTCTGTGGTGGATCCCTGCCTTCAGCTTTCCATTCAATATTTATACCACCACCATCCTCATGTCGACTGAATGGATGTTTTTTCTTGCATCATCAGCAGACTAATACCAAATCTCTCTCTCTCTCTCTTTATCTCCTCTCTCTTCGCTATCACTCTCCACTCCAAAACTTCGTGGCTGATGGTTGTGAACTTGAACCTCTAATCCCGGCAACTATTATTTATTCGACGTTATAGTCAACCACCTCACCCTTCGGTCGCACAGCCATCATGGTTCAGTCGCAAGAAAAGTACGACATTGTCATCGTGGGCGCTGGCCCCGTCGGCATTCTTTTGTCGCTTTGCATGTCTCGTTGGGGTTACAAGGTTAAGCATATCGACAACCGTCCGGTTCCCACCGCCACTGGCCGCGCCGATGGTATTCAGCCCCGCTCCACTGAGATTCTCCGAAACTTGGGCTTGAAGCGCCAGATTATGGCCTATGAGCCCGCCAAGGTTTACGATGTCGCTTTCTGGGATCCTCTGCCCGGCAACCAGGGTATTCACCGCACCGGAAGCTGGCCCAGCTGCCCACGCTTCATCGACACTAGATATCCCTTCACCACCCTTGTCCACCAGGGCAAGATCGAGCGCGTCTTCCTCGATGAGATTCAGAAGGCCGGTACCACCGTCGACAGACCCTGGACCATCGTTGGCTTTAAGAACGATGGTCTGGACGAGACATACCCAGTTGAAGTGCAGCTGAAGTGCATTGACACCAACGTGATCAAGACCGTCCGCAGCAAGTACCTCTTTAGCGGTGAAGGTGCTCGCAGCTTCGTCAGACAGGAGCTGGGCATTCAGATCCATCACAAGGATCCTATTTCCTACGTCTGGGGTGTCATGGACGGTGTTGTGAGGACTAATTTCCCTGATATCGAGGTAAGCTTCCCACACATTTGATCTGGAAAGAAAGAAACTGGCATTTACTAACTGTGCATTGCGAATTTTAGACTAAGTGCACGATTCACTCCGATGCCGGCTCCATCATGGTCATTCCTCGTGAGGACAACATGGTCCGTCTTTACGTTCAGATTGCCTCGTCGACGGATCCCGATTTCAACCCTCGCAAGACTGCCACCGCCGAGGAAGTGCAGGAGACCGCTAAGAAGATCTTGAAGCCCTACTGGGTTGAGTGGGACCGTGTTGAATGGTACTCTGTCTACCCCATTGGCCAGGGTATCTCGGAACGGTATACTCTGGACGAGCGGGTGTTCATGGGCGGCGATGCTTGCCACACTCACAGCCCTAAGGCTGGTCAGGGTATGAACACCGCCTTCCACGATGCCCTTAACATGGCCTGGAAGATCCACGCCGTTGAGTCCGGGTTGGCCAAGCGCGAAATCCTCAAGACTTATGAGAGCGAGCGCAAGGATATTGCTGAAACCCTTCTGAACTTCGATAACAAATACGCTGCTTTGTTCTCTAAGCGTCGCCCTACTGCCGGCGAAGTCGGTGAAGCCAGCCACAACGCCGCTACAGCTAACGCCGAGGAGGACCCGTTCGTCAAGACCTTCAAGGAGTCTTGCGAATTCACCAGTGGCTACGGCGTTGCCTACAAGTCCAATGTCTTCACATGGGACGAGACTCATCCCGCTCAATCTCCTCTTTTCAACATCCCTGGCGTGAAGCTGACCCCGGGTCGTGCCTTCACCCCCAGCACCGTCACCCGTCTGGCTGATGCCAACTTTGTGGAACTGGAGCAAGAGATTCCTGCCAATGGTGCATTCCGTATCTTCATTTTCGCCGGTAAACAGGCCAAGACCAACAAGGCTATCGCGGACTTCGCTGCCAACTTGGAGAAGGAGCGCTCTTTCCTCTCGGTATACCGCAGAAGCGACATCGCTGATGTCTCTTTCTTCGAGCGCCACCTTCCTCACTCTAAGCTGTTTTCCCTGTGTGTGATCTATGCCTCTGAGAAGAACCAGGTCGACATGGCGGCTGTGCCTAAGATCCTGCGGGATTACCACCACCACATCTACGCTGATGACCTCCCCGACGTGCGGGTTCCCAACGCCAAGTTTGCTGCTCACGAGAAGCTTGGATTCGACCCCGAGGTTGGCGGTGTTGTCGTCACCCGTCCCGACAGCCACGTTGCTTGCACTGTGCAATTGGTGGAGGGCAGCGGCACCGTCGATGCTCTCAATGCCTTCTTTGGCTCTTTCTCTACGAAGCCACTGGGCCAGGACCAGCAGGCTAGCCGCCTGTAAGGGATGGGTTTTGCAATGCCTGTAATTTATGCTTAAAGATTCTGCCCTTCCGCTTTCGGGTCCGATGTAAATAGTTTCCTTGTTACATTTGGTTTTTGTTCACTTCATTGCAGCGGTTGCGACCTGGCATGGTTGGCGTTGTCGTATATTTCTTCTAGAAATTCAATTCTGTTCCTTCATACTGAACTGTGAGCATTCAACTCCTCGGTAGCCCATCAAAGAACTGTCGCGAACAGCTCAACTAGAAGCAAATGATGTAAAGGCGGCGAGGGCGGCATAGCTTGCCGTAGGGTGCAAGATTGTTGCAGCCCCGCACGGGAACTGAGTATGACTTCGTCCTTGCCAGGCAATTTGCCCAACTAAAACACCACATCACCGAGTCAATCCCCCAAAATGCTTTCCTTGGTCCTTTCTGCAGAACTCACTGGGTAAGTGCTTACTCGTACTCAAGTATAGTTCTAAAACTCGGGTCTGTGGGTTTCACCCACAAGGTTCTCATAATTCTCACTTTTGAAGATTTACTCTTCCCCGCACCTGACGCAACTCGGCTTCGCGTCTTTCTGAATGCATGCATGAGAACTGTGGAATGGCCTGACCTATAGCTGATTCACACACGCTTGAATACAGAGTCAACGGACTTCGTCCTAAGGACACTGAAGAGGAGCCCTACTATTTCACCTTCAAGGTCCAATGCACGGGCTGTCGCGAGGTTCACCCCAACTGGGTCAGCTTCAACCGCTTTGTAAGACTCTTTGCCCCTCACCTCTTATCCGTATTCGTCAGCTTACAGTTCAATCTAGGAGCAACATGAGATCCCCGGAAGTCGGGGCGAGGCCAACTTTGTGTGGAAGTGCAAGCTCTGCGGGGTGAGTCAATTCGAGAGATTCTTGCTATGCCTCCCGTTCCCGCCCCCTCGTCAATGACGCCAAACATACTGATCTGCCGCGTGCTGGATAGAAAACTCACTCTGCCTCGATCGTCGCGGGCCCCAACGCTTATGAAGCGAACGACAAGCGCACTGGCCAGAAGGTGATCGACATCGACTGCCGTGGTTTGGAGTTTACTGAGTTCAAGCCCGATGTAAGTACCTGCTCGGATATGATGGAATCTACGTCTGTATATTACTTGTCAGGAGCTAATGCAGTCTGTGATCAGGGTGAGTGGGAAGCTAAGGGTGTTGAGTCCAACACTCCGTTTACTGCCATCGATTTGTCTGAGGGAGAGTGGTACGACTACGATGAGAAGGCTGGAGATGAGGTCGCTATCAAGGAAATCTCCTGGACTGTGGGAAGATCCTAGATGCCACGCATGGCTTCTCTTGGAGATTGTTTCTCTCTGTTTCATTTGTACAATTGTCAATGAATGCAGCGTTTGAGCTAAAGTTAATGTATTGACTGTCATTTGGTATCGAAGCTGCTTCTAAGACTTGCTATGCATTTACATTACGCTATAAAGGTTTCAGTACGAAGTACCATAGCGAGATGCTACTAAATACCTCTTACTCTAAGCCTACAATGATCTCTTTCTAAGCTCGATACAAGATTTGAGCAACAGATAGATATTGCAGTGCTCCGGAAGGCGGTGTGCGTTTTATGTACTGTGATTGGCCTATACCCGCGTCTAGCCGCATCACATTTTCGCGGTGTCTCCAGCCCCGGCCGCCGTCAACTTGGCGATGCTGCGATAGTCGCTCGACACCCTCACCTCCCAATCCTAAACACAACGACAAACTCTGCCTCGATCTCCACGCGGGCATCCGACATTTCTCTCCCGCCAATCAGTTCTCCTTTCCCGCGCAAGGTCTCCCACTCCGGTTCGCCGTACCAGTTCCGAGCTTGCTGAATAACTAGCATCCGATCAGATTCCACCGATATGAGTGTACGCAGCGCGTTCTTTCCTCCCACACCATTTTCCTATCATCACGAGAGGAGACAGATCGTGAATCATGACATTGCTGACTTCCTCTTCTACAGTTCAACCCCGTCAACCCCCGCCCTTTCCTTCAAGCTAGGTATGCGAACCTCTGCCGACCATCTTTCGTCTCGAGCTTCCCAACCCCACTCTCGTTGCCATACGAACATCCATTCCATTTAATCAGAATTTAATCATTGTTCATGGCTGTAGGGTCGGCGAAGAGGTCATCATCCGCCTGAAATGGGGCCAAACAGAGTACAAGGGCAAGCTGGAGAGCATCGACTCGTACATGAACGTGCTGCTGCGGGATACGGAGGAGTTCATTGACGGCAAGAACACGGGTACTCTGGGACTGGTGCTGATCAGGTGCGTAATCACTATTGCTCTACCTTTAGCATTCTCGGATGGTGAAGGCCATGGGATTTGCTGAGGCTGGATTGAACTGTCCTGAACAGAAATCGCTAATACTGTCTTGCCCAACACAGATGCAACAACATTCTCTGGATGGGCTCCGCCGACAACGTTGAGATGACGGATCTTGGACTGCGGTAGAAGACGCCGGCCGGCAGTCAGGGGGCGAGGGTTCCTATAACGCCATTCGAGCCGTGATTACCTACCATGCGACTGAGGCGGAGAAACGACGCGGCATCTCTTTTTTTTTTCCCTCCTTCTGTTGCCAGATGCCAAATCGAACATCTTTCTCGCCATACAGAAGGACACGAGTACTACTCCGTTGTCTTCCCCTGCCGCAGACAAAAGGAGATTGTTGGGCTTGAAAGAAGGTCATGGGAGGATATCAGGATCGAGTGGATGGAGGAAATTGAACGAATGGGTGGTGGAGAGACGAGCGAAAACTTTCACCCAACCTTGCATTTTCATTTCTTTTCTCATTATGTCTTTCTGGAATAAGGCGTTCTATTGAATATCATTTGCCTCTTTCGACGGTGGACTTTGTGAGATTAGTCTGTGGGTTTTAACCACGTATAAGTTTGTACGGAGCTTTGTGATGGCGCTTGATTTCTGGATTGATGTCTGGGTCTGAGGCGAATGGCACCAGGACCTTTATTGGTGCTGGTGACTGCTTGTTGTGTGACGATAAAGTGCCTGTTACATTCGGTGGTGGGAATGAGTGTCTCATTTTAAAGAGACCAGTCTCGAAATGGTTGATGAAGCAGTCATCTCTCATCCTGATATCCTCCAGTTCTCGTATCCAAGTCAGGGCAGGTACTCCAGAGCGCTCGCAGCTTTCCCTTATAGCATCAAATGTTGCTCGATCGTTTGTCGAGTTCATTTAGCTCATCCGGACTACATGGTGAAAAGGCTTTCTCGTGGCTCGTTCTGTAACTAAATGAAAACATGTTCGCTGAGATGCCCCATAAGTTCTGTCTTTGAAAGCATTAACTCATCCTCTTTCATGGTGAATTGATATGTCCTTCACCCGCCATGTCCAGCCCAATAACCCATCACCGGGATTATGAAAACTCACTTAGATGCAGAGCTCGCACCATATTGCGGACCTCTCACAACGATGTTTGGAAGTAGATTATAGCCTGAAGTCGTTATCTTCTGTCTTCTGCACAGGACTACTTTTCCGAGAGCCTTCAATTCTGTGTTCATTTCGACGAATATCCCCTTCTACCTTAGCACGGTCAGTCGACAGTCGTATAATGCTGATTACCTCAGACATCAGCAAGATACCCAACCTTGTGGACTGGCAAGAGATTTGACGGCTCCTATTGCGAGAGACTTTTACTTGGCCTGGACAGTGACGTATAACACGATTGCTAACGGGCTCAACCACTTTCATAGGGCTGACATTGATGATGAAACGAGTTATCTCGACAGGCACAGGGCAGCCGACAAGCGGATACGACTCCTTCCTCCCCGCATCGGCCTTTCTCCGGATTCCTTTTTCCTCTCCCATAGTTACTCTCCTCCACACCATCGCATGTCCATCTCGACGACTCTGACCATCAACATGGAGCAAACGGTGGAGGAAGATGGTGTTCAAGCAACCTATCGTCTCGCAAGATCCCCGACACGTTGACTACCTCTTATCAAATCATCCAGCGCCCGTTGAGCCTTTGCTCATCACAACTCCACCCACCTTCTTCTAGTATCACATGGTGGCGACAACCTTCATGAAATTCTCGGTTAATTACATGCACCGCAGGGTTCGAGCCCCTTCTTCGCAGAGCGCGGGTTGCCGATATTACACCCTCGTCTCGCCCTCGGTTATCCTACTCGCTTGAGAAATAGTGCTCTCCAGGCACAGGCAAAAGCATCACCACGCATAATCCTGCAGCGGGAGCTCCGCAGCAGCAGCAACAGTGTCGTCGTTTGTGGATCGGGAATGATGACTGTGCGCTTGCACTGTACAGAGAATGACTATTATGGAATTCTTCTCGATCACTGGAACCATGGATGAAGCAGGTCAACCGATTTCCAATGACGATCCAGTGCCACAACTCCTCCTCCGCCCCCCGACCTGATCTGCCGGTTTCATCTCCATCTGGTATAGTTTGAAAAATATTGTGGATAGCCCCGAAAGAAAAAGTGGAAAAATTCTCGATCGCTGCCGCTATCTTAAGTTATCAGCGTGGGCGGCCTCCTTAAAATGGCCCAGCCCTTCCACTGGCTGTTCCTTGAATGCATCTTTCTTTAGGAGAGTGCCCGTGTGCTCTTTTCTTAGCGTCTAAATTGCTTTGCTTTTTGTTTCCTATTTCATCATGACTCTTTTGGTCCCTAATGATATACTCCTCCTGGTAGGGGAGTTCGTGGAAAATCATCAAGACCGCTACAACCTCCTTTTCGTATCTCAGCAGTTCCATGAGCTGTTCCGACGCTTGCTCTATCGAGATGCTGCTCTCAAGAGCTGCATCCAGGTCCATTCCTTTATAAGAGCGCTGCTTCACCGTCCCGAGCTGGCTCGGGCTGTCCGCACCTTGAACTTTCATGACTGGGAGTCCCGATCAGCGCGATGTTTCTCTCTTTCTCCTGCCGACTTGACACCCTTCGTCGCTTTGACTAAAAGCTTTAGCAATTCAAAAGAGGAACAAGAACAATGGTCCCAGGATCTGTCGGACGGAGTCGAAGAAGCGTGGATCGCCCTTCTTCTGCCCCTGATGGGTAATCTCAGACACCTTCAGCTGGTGTATCCTAAGAACAATGTTTACCTGAATCGCATGATGCAGCGAGCTGTCAAGGGAGCAATGCCATTCGACACTCGAACCGCCTTCCACGCGTTGCGAAGCGTATCGCTTAGCCACCTGCCAGACGAAGAGGACAGTCGAGGAAGCTTCATACCGTCGCAAGTTCTACCATTCTTTCAACTGCCGTCTATGCGCGCCTTTAGCGCCGATTCTGTTGTCGAGTCTACACAGTCAGAACCCAGCGATACGCAATCCACAGAAGCCGAGTCGGCACCCGTAGTTGGCTCTTCGCCCATCTCCGAAATCACTCTCCGCACGAGCAGTGGCTCCAAGGGAATGGAGGGCCTTATTGCTTGCTGCGCTTCCTTAAAGTCGTTCAAGTACCAACACTCCGACTCGCACCTCTTATCAGAGGGCTACCGACCTTCCGCTTTTTATCAGTCACTGGATGCAAGCAAGAGTTGCCTGCAAAGCTTGTGGCTTGACAATGGGGGCACACATTTACCTTTCACCATCGCTGGGGCAAACGAGACGCACGACGAATGGATTGGTTCTTTGACCGAGTTCACCGTGCTCAAGGAGCTCCGTATCCGCCTATCCAACCTGCTGGACATCCGCTACCAGCTGGATCCGTCATCTCCACTTCCCGATGTGCTCCCCCAGTCCTTGGAAGCATTGTATGTGGAAGGATGCAAAGAGAACTCGCTGGTCATGCTGGTGGGACAACTGAAGTTGGTGCTTCAAAAACGGAAGCAGCAGTTCCCCCGGCTGAAGCGATTGGAGATCGAGGGTTTCTTCCACGATGGGGAAGACGAAGAAGCGTCTGGTTATCAGTCTTCTGGCTCGATGAGGGAGAGGTTCATTCGCCCACGGGTGTATGAGATGATTGAGCCGCTACGCGAGGCTTGTTCCGACGCCGGAATTGATCTCTTCCTCCGCGACCGCGATTGTCCGGAGACGATGGGAGCATGTTAGTGATGACGTCATCACCTGTTGATAAAAAACTAGTTAGTCACGCGACCGATAGATTTTAGCGCTCATTGCTTTGGATAATACCCCCATAGATACCTTCAGGATGTTTTGGTGTTGCTATCTGGCTCTATTTTGGGGGTGTAGCTTTGTTTCTAACTTCGTCTGAAGATACGATTAATCCGTTTGTTTATCGAGATGACGGGATGGTCGAATAGAACGTTCTGCAATTTGAAACACAAACAGAAATTTGTAAGAAAGAATGTGCATCATGCTGCTCATCAGAAGATCACTTCAAATTAGACACAAGCCCGCCAAGACGGGATTGACGGTGAAGATGAAGCCACTGGGGAAATCCAGGACGATCTTCTTGCCATAAAACTCTCCGTGATCCCGCAAGCTTATTTGACTTATCCGCCCTTTCTTCTGATCCTCGCTGGGAATATGGCTGCTGACACACGCGGATGCTAGTGGGGAAACCTTATTTATGTGATCGAGTTTCTCTCTTATGAACACTTGTGCTAGCATATCCTCCTCAAAACATGTGTGTTCCTTACCGTTAACGTGGCTATTGATGTAGCAGTTTGTTCTGGACCGTGGCCAGGTCGGATAACCGGCACTCCACCGTCTCGAGCGAGGATGATTCAGCATCGATTCCCAGTCTGAGGCACTGCCCTTGGGTACCTGAATGATGTCAAGCCGGGTCATGCTTACAACTGTTCATCCGCTGAATGAAGCATTCACTTCCCTGCGCGTGGCTTCTGTCCGGTCTCGTTGCTTGCCACCCGCATCCGATATCCGATCCTTATGACGTTGTCGGTCCCTCGGTTTGGGGGGTCAGCATCCTTGCGAGATTGTTTTTACATCATTTGGGGTCCATGCGGAGTACATAAAACAGAGAGGAGGCACAATGGCAGGCAACACGTATCAGTTATTCTTTCAGGCGACATTTGGCTGCAGCACTGACTATGGCGGAGAGAAACGCACAGACCGGCAGCCCGTCCCCGGATTTGTCGGCGCATCGGCCGAGTCATTCTAGCGCGTCTAGCACTGCTGTACATGATGATGTCGAAAAGCAACAGGCAGACCGTCCAGATGAGAGCAGCAAAGACCCAAATATTGTCGATTGGGATGGCCCAGATGATCCGGTATGTTGTTTTCTTGACCTATTTTGGATTCTGGAACATCACTGATCATGGAATCGATCTTGCCAGGAGTATCCCCCAAATTGGTCTCGAGCTCGAAAATGGATGATCAGCGTCATATTGGGTCTGATGACCGTGTCAGTCACATTTGCCTCGTCTGTCTTTAGTACGGCGGCCTCGGTGACGGCCGAGGAGTTCGGCGTCTCGGAAGAGGTGATGATTCTCGGTACTAGCTTGTTTGTCCTAGGATTTAGCTTCGGGCCCTTGGCGTTCGGCCCTCTTTCTGAGTTATACGGTCGCAAGAGACCTCTCTTCCTCGGCTTTTTCATCTTTGCCATCTTCCAGATTCCCGTGGCGGTGGCCCAGAATCTGCAAACTATCTTTGTTTGCCGGTTCTTCGGCGGTTTCTTCGCCAGCGCTCCGCTCGCCATCGTTGGCGGTACGCTGGCCGACTTCTTCAACCCGGTGGAACGCGGTATCGCCATGGCTGTATTCGCGGGCAGTACCTTCGTTGGCCCCGTTGCCGGCCCCATCGTGGGTGGGTTCATCACGATGTCGTATCTCGGCTGGCGCTGGACCGAGTACATAACCGCAATCATGGCCTTTTTCTTCGGGGCCGTGGGGTTCTTGATCGTGCCCGAGACTTTTGCACCGGTGCTGCTGCAACGCCGCGCACGACGTCTGCGCTACGAAACGCGCAACTGGGCTCTTCACGCCCGGTCTGAGGAACAACCGGTCGACCTGAGGAACATCGCGCACCGATATCTCGTGCGGCCGATCCTGATGCTTTTCCTCGAGCCGATCCTGCTTCTGATCACATTGTACATGGGCTTCATCTACGGGTTCCTGTATCTGTGTTTCGAGGCCTACCCGATTGCCTTCCAGGACATGCGCGGGTGGAACGAGGGCGTGGGCGCTCTGCCTTTCGTTGCGGTGACGTGTGGCGTGCTCGTCGGCTGCGGGATTATCATAACGTTCACAAAAACGCGGTTCCAGGCGGTCCTGCGCCGGGAAGGCCACATTATTCCCGAGGAGAGGTTGATTCCGATGATGATAGGTGGTGTGCTGTTGCCGGCGGGGATGTTCTGGTTTGGCTGGACCTCGAGCCCGTCTATCTCATGGGTGCCACAGGCGATCGCGGGTGGGTTCCTTGGGGCGGGAATTTTGTTGATTTTCATGCAGGTGAGTTGATCCCTTCTTATAGGCTGGCATCTATTCTCGTCTACTTTGCGATTCCTGTATATGGTGGTTAACCACAGTGTTTGATACAGGGTCTGAACTACATCATCGACTGTTACGGGGTGAATTCCAACTCGGCTATTGCAGCAAACTGCTTGTTCCGTTCCGCCTTGGGGGCAGGCTTTCCGATGTTCGCGTTGCCGATGGTAGGTCTTTCGACTCATATGAGTATGAAGAGGGCTAATTGGGTATATAGTTCGATAACCTCGGCGTCAACTGGGCGATGACTCTACTGGGATGCTTGACTGCGATACTGTTTCCAGTGCCGATTCTGTTCTATATCTTTGGAAAGCGGATTCGGTCGTGGAGTCGGTTTAGTCCGAGTGAAGAATGAGGATGAGGTGCATGGGGTGTAGGTGGAGAATTGTCTTGTGCATATTTTTCTATTTCTCATGTTGCACATATTGACGAGTCATGAGGTTTGACGATCTGTTTTTGATATCGCTCGAGCTTAAATCTCTCTCTTATACTTTTTTTAATTAATCCAAAGTCTTGCATCATGATACCAGCATGCATCTTGAATCTGAGTCTCAGTCATACAGTGACTCCTATGACACGAATGTGATAAGCCCAACACCTCCTGACCAAGATATCAACTCATCATACCATATGTAACCACAATATACCCCCAATCACGGATCAACTGTCCCCCAATCCTCACCGCATGATCACCCGGCAGCTCCACCGGCTCCATCCCAACCCTCCTGTAGCTTATTAAGAATTGAAGTATCTAAGTTAAAATGAAGAACAGGGAACAGCCCTAGCTCCGTCTGTACAATGGAGCAGATTAAGGGTCTTGCTAGCCGCCAACGAACCCCCCTTCCAGTCTAGCCTATCATCCCTACCCCTGCCAAGCAGTCAGACTGAGACACGGGTCGGGCTTGGCTTCAATTGTTGTGCACCATATAGTGGGCGGAGGTTGCGGGATTCGAGAGCCCAATTGAATCGGTATTGATTAAGTACAATGCATTGCTGCTTGATTGATGGGCTTGAATTGTTCAGTCTTGGATAAACTCGTATTTATTGATCACGTGATGATTGAGGTATGTCCAGTCCTCTAACATGTTGACTTTTTCCAAGTATGCACTCTAATTATCGGATACCGGGTCTGCGTATAAGAGAGACCATGTTCAAGTCGGTTGACGAAGGCACTACTCGACCTCAGGCCTCGGTATCGCGCCCCTGTCGCTTGCGCACCTCCTGCTCCGGCTCCGGCAAATACCGCGCGGCAACCGACAACCCCATCGCCAGCACAATCATCAGCACCCAAATGGCATATCCTCCCGCTAACTGTGTCCTTGCCCCCAGGGCAAACAATGTCGTAAACAGGGCCGGGTTAAACGCCCGCAGTCCGCTCACGCCCGTCAAGGCCAGCGCGTTCAGCGTGCCCAAGACCCGCGGCGAGGGGGCGATGTCGTTCAGCGCGAGCTGGATGGCGGTGAAACTCATACTGACGCCACACCCCAGCACGAGTGCCACCGGCAGGAAGACCCAGAATACCGTGACGGCGGCGTCACTCCCCTGGCGCAGCAGCGCATTGCCCGCCGGGCAGGCCAGGAAGAAGAACGGGTAGGCGTAGGCGCACAACCGAATCACCCCGTTCGACCCGATGCGCTTCTGCAAGGGCGGGAAGACCAGCAGCAGCCAGGCCGCCTGCGCGGCGCCGTTCAGCCCCATCATCAACGAAATCTGTCGGGGCGTGAAGCCGTATCCACCGAGCTGCACCGGCGTGAACCAGAAAACCGGGACGATCGCCGTGTAGGCAAACGCGAGCACCATGATGTGGCCGTAGGTGTAGATGACCATCCCCACCCCGGGCGCTCGCAGGAGCTCCCCCGTTGAGAGGTCCTCGGGGTGGTTGCGGTTTGCGACCGGGGCCGTCGCCTCTCCGGGTGGAGCGGCCGCAGCAGGCTCCCGTGTCAGGGTCTCCTGGACGAACAGCGCGCTCGACACGGCAGCGGTTGCCCCGATCATCGCCACGACCAGGCTCGAGAGCGCGTACGGGTAGTCCGCGAAGAAGCCGACCTGCCCAAACACCCCAGGGTACTGGCGGACGGGGTCGGCCAGGCTCCCTCCCAGCAGAGGGCCCAGGAAGATGCCCAGGTTCCCGCTGAAGGCGAACCAGCTGAAGGCACGGGCTTGCGTCTTGCTCGTGCTGTGCTCGGCCACCATGGTGCGGATGGTGACGATGGTGCCGGCGAAGACCCCGGCCAAGCACCGGAAGAGAATCATCTGCGGGATCGACTGGGCAAGCCCAAAGAGGCCCGTCGCCAGGGTCACGCCGAACAGCGAGACGACCAGCACCGGCTTGCGTCCGACGCGGTCGGCCAGCCGGCCCCAGAAGATCATGATGATCGCTTGCGTCAGGGAGAAGAGGGACTCGATCAGCCCGCTGTAGAAGCCGACATCGGAGTCAGGCACGTCCCCGTTGTCCTGGACCATTTGGCTGACATAGGGGAAGATGGAGAAGAAGGCGAGCGGCTCAATGACCCGGGCGTAGCAGAGTAGCAGGATTTGAATTTTGGGCAGAGGCTTGTCGTCCTCGTCAGCTGCCGCATGGTCAGCATTGGCGGCAGCGTCTGTGTGTCTGTTGGGTGACAGGAGAGCGGTGGTCTCGTCTACGTGACTGTCTCTGTCTGCGTCATCGAGACGAGCAGCCCGGTTTGACCGGATAGACGATGTTGTGGTGACCATCGACGGGAATGGTTGCTGCTCAAATGTGAATTAAAATTGATAAGAAAATATGGAGTAAATGAAGAGATGGATCTTGCAACGCGAATGCATGGGTTGCCTTACCGGGAACACCCGGGATCCGGGTTAATCCGACCCGAGCTATAGAAAGTAGTGGTGAAATATGATTTGACATATATTGTGCAAAAACTGCTAAGATCTATGCATCGGCAATTGGTTGACAGACTACTAGTCAAAGAGGTTAATCTGATAGGAATCACTGAACGCATTATCTCCGACCGAAGGCTGCTCATTGGCACCGTTACCGTTGGTGGCACTGGTGCTCATCGCAGCACGATGTGTAAGCTGAGCGGTGCGCGTATTGTATCTCGTGGCCAACGAAGAATCCTGCCGGATTATTTCGGCCCACTGCTCCAACAGACGACGGTGCACATTCTTGTCGAAGATCTTGCGGCCCCGATATTCATACCGCCGAATGGTTCTCGCGGTGGTTGGAAGAACGTCCCGCTCGAATTTCTCCCCTACCGCAGGCGTCTCGATCTCCCGGAACAGCGAGATGAATTCCTCGGCACGGACTACTGCGAACATCGGCTCCATCCACTCATGGCCCTGTCGACGGTGGTCCTGTCGATGCGCGGGGAACGTGCGATGAGCCAGAAACCAGAGGCATTCGGCCTCCCAGTCCTCATCGGGGAGCCACATGCTTCTGGACAGGGTGTAGTTGACCTTGACCCCCATTCGCTCTTGCACGCCTCCATAAGGCATCGATTGGACATAGATGTGTGTCATCTCCTCGTGTCTCCCATGCCGGCCAAACGGGTGGGCCGCGGGAACTTCCACGGTGGTGAGCGTCCAGCCCTCAGGGAGAACACTCGCAGGAAAATTCCCAAACTGCACGGAACATGACATGGCGGACCGGGGCGAAGAAGTGGTTGCGGTTCGGTTCATCAAGTTGGATCAATGGGATCACTTGTCGATGACAATGGTTCGAGTTGCTGTTAGAGATGTGTAAGATTAAAGCAGGCATAGATAGATTGTCGATTACTATTTATATGTGAATTTCCCAGGTAGGAACCCTGTCGACCTTGTAGACTCCGTGAGAAACTTATTCTTTAGTACCTACCTTGAACCAGATTATCCAAACTCTCGAGGCATAGTATCTCTTTGGCAAGAGGACTGCTTGCCGGCAAGTTCCCTCTGTTAAGAACAACACAGTCTTTGAATCAGGATAGGACAAACGATCTTTTTTTTTTTGCTGCTTACAAAATAGCAGGAATATTTCCCCGAATGTAACACGCCGCCCCACAAAGTCTTCCTGCCCCAGACAGTCAGAATAAAGAGTCTGGGCCGATGCGCCACGGTTAGGGCAATCGAGGAAATGAATCAGCGCTGCTGGTAATGATAGCTTAGCAAACTTGGTTTCGAACGAGTTTCATCTCAATATTTACGAGAAGTCCCCGTAGAAGGGCATGTCTTTATTGTACCTTACTTCCACGAACCTTCCCAAGATGATTCAATTTTGTCTTGATTTGTAAAGAAGTCTAATGCTGTTTTCGACGGCGACGGCAGCCAGTTGCCAGGCCCCTCACGAATCCCAACTGATTTCAACATCTCCTTCCGTCGAAGGTCGATATCAACTGTTTGAGTTTCTGGATCAAGATGTGAAGAAAGGCTTAGATTTGAGCTTGTGGAGATAGGTAACCATCCTTATTCCATGTTCGCACAATTATAACAAATGTCATTTCGAGAGGACTTTTGTACGCCACTTGTTACATGTTTCATCCTTCGCCCTTCTGCATTTTCTCTTCCTTTTTTTGCACACAAGATTCCGGTCAGACCTGGAGCTGAGATACAACAAACAGCTTCGCTAAACATAAGGAGACTCAGTGGAACTGTGGCGTTGGAGACATCGCCGACTGTCCAAATCTTTCTAAGCTAGATGTGTAGCGTTTGAGACTAATACAACGATCAAGGAATGGTCTCACTTGTCTGTTTCTTGGTATCATGATTTCGTGGTAAATAGCATCGGATCGATGGTTTCCCCTATCGCTCTCGGAAAAGGCGGAGATAAAAGCCGCCATGTAGCTGTTCCAAATCGCTGAAAGAGGATCACATTGGCACTACACGTCATTCCGTATGCTTGTTCCGGGCTGCTGGGAACAGCGTGACGCGTGAGCTTTCAAAGTAGATCTCACGCAGCCATTGCTTTGGATCGGACCCTACGGATAGCGTTGGCCACCAGATATGATTGGTCCGCCTATACCTCGCATTTCTTAACCTAGGGCTTTGTCTATAGCCTGAGGCAAGAAGTTCATTGCTGACACTTTGCTGAAGAATACGAACACTCTGTTTTTGTAAATTCCTTCGTGCCCTGGGGGACAGAAGGGATAGGGATTGAGACTTATCCAATCTCTGCGGAATTGAAATCTCTCATCTGCATTGACCTGTTTGCTAAGCAACAGAGCTGACCGGGGAGGATAACTGTTCGGAGAATGTCGGTCATCAAGTTCTTCGACAGTCCTCATGACCATTGTAACGAAGTTGTATTCTGTGCGCGATTGTGACTCCTGCAATGAGTTTGAACTCGTCCGCAAGAAAGTCATCTCGACCTGGCAGCGTCGAGGAAGTATCGACCGTCAACGAGTTAGCCAAACTCGCCCCATTCCTCCCAACGGCTGCGTGAATACTTTCAAATGGTAGGTAGAGCTCGTATACGTTGTCTGGAAGCCGAGACTGTCCGCATTGGCTAAAAAGGTGATTTGATCTGGTGCAGCGGTAGTAGAAGCGTAGAGATTCCAGTAATCGACCTCCGTAGCCCCATTCCAGCTCATCCAAAAGGTCGTGCCAGCTGCCCCGGGGGCCGGACTGTACGCACGCACGGCGGGCGGCCGTCCAGTTGAACTTATACGCCCGGTAATTCATCGAATGCTTGTCCGCAATCGTGGCGAAAAACACCGAGGTGCCATCCTCCAGGTGCTCGGAGATGGAAGTTGTGCTGCCCCATCCGATCAATACGTTCTTGTTAGGCTAGAGCTGGAAGTTGTCTTGGCTCGTGGACCGGATGCCCGCGCCCGGGGCGAGGTATTGGCGGAGGAGGGTCGACGTGTTGGCCGAGTGGTCGATGGCGACGACCATCCCGGATGAGGTGGCGGAGGAGTTCCGGAAGTTGTCGCTGCCGTTGTCAAACAAGGAGAGGATGGTGGTTGGTGTCATTCTCCTCGTGGAACCGGGCGTCGTGCTGCGAAGAGAAGTTGTAGTTCTGCAGCTGGATGGAGGACTGCTTGCCGCCCAGCCGCCAGATGATGGAGCCGTCGCGGCCGGAGATCTTGTAGATGCCGCTGGTGTGGCGGGCGGAGACGAGGTAATCGCCGTCGGCGTTCTTGTCGATCGAGTTGATATGGAAGTAGTCCCATGCGAAAGCGTTGCTTTGTCCGTCCCCGACGATCATGTTGGAGCTCGGTGGGGTGTAGGATTCGGCGAGGGAGACGTGGTCGAGAGAGCTCCACTGGAAGAGGACGTCCCCAGACTCAATGTCGATCTCTTGGAAGACCCCATCGATCACCCACCCAGGGTTGGCGGTGATGTGGTATGCGGAAAGCTCGGTGGTCCGGGGCTGATAGATCGTGATGAGCATACTCGTTCCGTTGATGACGGCGGATTTGTGCATGTCGCTCATCTCCAGGCCATTGCCGCTCTGGACGGAGGTGACGGATTTGTATTTGCTGTCCACGATCTCATGGCGCCCTTTCGCGTAGCCACGTATCTGGACTCCCTTGAAAAAGCACAGGTTGTCCGAGCCATTGTAGGCGCAGAATGCAGATCTTGAAATGTCTCGGCGGTGGAGCCGTCGGCCCCGCTCCATATCAGATTCTGGGTATGTTAGGGCTAGACGGGGCGGGACAATGGTATGTACGGTTCCAGGCACATACTGCGTTCGTGTCATAGATATTAGGCCCTGGCACATCCCCAAAGTAAGGGGCAAGGAAGATGTACCCCGGGGTTATGAGACTATCATTCTTGAAGCTGACATCAAGAATCGGAGCGTTAATATCTGGCCGCTAAACAGACGATCTCACGGTCAGTAGGGGTGGAGTTTGCTGAGCTAAGAAGCACTGACGGATTGGTAAGACGCCCAGGTTGCACAATCTGCCAGACTGGCCAATGCTAGAAGTGAAGCTAGTTCGAGCGTCCTCTGCAAGCGATAAATCATGGTGAACTAACCCAACATCTAAGGTCTTTTTTGGTCCCCGCCGCCAAAGAAAATCCAGAGAATGGCAGCCAAGACACGAGGAAGACCTGCTATTTGAAAATCATGCTATGGAGACCGGTAATTACCTGGCACCATGTAAAAGACAACACATGATCAATGAATAGACGCTGATTACATCAAGACTCAAGTGCGGCCATTTCTCGCAATAGCCGTGACCCGCATAATACGGAAGTCAATTCTCAGACGAAAGAGCATAGACTAGAGGCAAGTACGAATGTAGCGTGAAGCCGTATGCCAGGAGGCCCCCATGTCTTGCAACCGGAGTATCATGATGTCTCGCACGGATGCTGAATCTTTTGACCTTTCCAACACTCATTTGGCTGTGCCCAAATGTGATCCAGTCCGGGAGTGTGGAGTGCTATACAAGCAACCAGATTTAGGCATTATGGACTGGGTGGGGCTTTGATTCATGCCAGATGATTTATCAGCTCTATCGCGAGCCTATCGTCCGTGGTTCCATACCCTGAATGCGAAAGTCCAGGATCAGATTTCCGCTTCTGGCGATCTGGGGGACTGGATTGAACAAGAGATATATTTGAATCGAACAATGGTTGGAGGAAATTTGTAATCAGACACGAGCTATAGGTGCCAAACTCTTCCTGACGTCTAATGTCAATCGTCAGAAACACGAGGTTATCTGTCTAAAGGTCAGCTGACTACTTCACTCCCGAGGACCCATTAGATCCATTTTCCCGGGGTTGTACGGTTGCTCTAACTAGCGAATAACTCATTTTCTTTCAAGCAAAGATCTGGACTGTAGCAAAGGTCAAACTTCATTCTTATGCCTTTGCGTCATTGAGCATAGAGTACTGTTGCAGCATCACGAAGACATGCCCTTGGTTATTGGGAATGACAGCACATCGTAAAACTGATCCTAATCCGCTCTTTTAGCAACACATCTAAGTATCGATCAATTGCCGTCTTAGTGACATCCAGAAGCATCTAACTACACCACGACCAGAATGACCCCAAGCAACGACGCAGTCCACCAGGCTCATCAAGATCAGCAGAACGGGTACTGCTGATCACAAACCCTCGCACAGCATCAACCCGACTAGTCAGAATGCCATCCTTGCCTGAGCAGCCCAATGTCGTCTCCAACAAGAGAGAAGGTATTTTTTCTGGGACGCCTTCATGAAAGAGAACGACATTGTATGCAAGGGGAGATCCCGCTCCGGGAAACGGAGGAGATCTGACATATATTCCAGCAGAATTCTGATCACATCGAAGTGACATCCCAAGATCTGTTTCGCCAAGGAGCACACGCTCTGGCTGGTGAATCCAGCCGTAATGACCCAGTACCTGTCAGCTCATCACCATCATCCGGTGTACAGATCCCACAGAGGTACAAGATCGACGGGGTCAGGAGCGAGTTCTCGTCGACGAATTTCACATCCTTGCCCGACGCGTATCTAGCGACGTGGCGTCCAACCGCTCTGATCCGCCACCCTGCATTGGTGTTTCCCTCTTCTCAACGAGCGATGCACAGTTTGAAAGCAGGGGGGTTTATGGAACCCGAAATGGTGGAACCGATACCGGAGCTTCACCCTATGCAGTGATGGACGAGTTCTCTACGAGTGGTAATGTGATCACGACGTGCAGTCGTCCTCGGGGGCGCGGGAGGCATTGGAAACCAAATCTTCTGGACGCGCAAGATGTTATTTATCGGCCGGAAGGGGTGGCTAAATACGCTGAACTCACTGGAATGAGCTCCGAAAAGGTACAGTTCTCTTGGCAGTTGGAGAAGCCTGCTCAGCAAGAGGATAGAAACCCCGCGCAAGGGCTGAGGCGGTCATGTTGCAATCAGGCTCCCTGCTTGAAGTTAAGGCTCTAGTAGTAGTGGATGTTCAGGCTAAAGAAAGAAGTGGGACGAATTTGATGCCAGTGTGGCCGAACGAATGGAAAGATGGGCGGAAGTTGCTATGCCGAATTAATCAATACCTCTGAAGTAAGAGGCTGAGAGTGGATTGATGGGTCCGAGTTATGAGTGTAGAGCATTTCATATTGGCTCATAACAGCAAGTTTTTCCGAGATCGGACATAGCCCTGCACCCCGTTTCGGGAAACTTCTTCGTTTGACTGGCTTTCCTTGGAAGTGTCTAGGAAGATGGGGAGACTATGCACACCATAAAAGGTTTATCAGGAGCTATAGTCACTGACGGCGGCTACCTCAAGAGAAGACAATCATGGTCGTGCAGCTGGTTTTCGATTTCTGAGAACTACTTGATGATCAACATAGCTGTGGCTTTCTGACTATTTCGCCAGTTAATAAAGACATAGTCAACACTAAGCTTAGACATTTTGCAAATAAACACTAAAGCCCTGCAAAAACACTATCAAAAAGAGTTAAAAAAGAAAATCAAAAAATCAATCGCACATTCCTTTCATTAGACAAACTACCCTCGACCAATCTCGCTCAGACGTCGCAGGTCGGCAAACCACTCTCTGGAGATTTCTTATTAGTCTCATATAGTTCTCACTTTGGAAGGCTAAACCTACTGCACTGAGAAGGCACATCACTTCCCCTCACCCACCAGTTGTTACCAGTCTTGTACCAGTCGCCATTCCTGCGGAACCATGCATCAGACTTCACTCTCCACAGATCCTCATCATTCTAGAGAGTATCTTACCTCCACTTGCATTTGTAGGTGACCTGCTGCTGTGCATTGTAGTGCCCGTTGTTCCAACATGGCCATCGATAGTAGTTGATTTGGTTGCCAGACTTGCATTGCGACCTGGCCGCAAGATGAACGTCATTGTCATCTGAGTCTACATCGGCTTCCTCAGCAGAAGGTATAGCCAAGGTCAAGGGGAGCAGGGCGGTGAGAAGGTAGATTGCGGACTTCATGGCGAAAGATAGGCTTCTTGTGAGTTCAGCAAAGATTGGAATGTGATATTAACGTCTTCCTAGATGTGCTGAATTATGCATCTATCCGATAGAAGTTGCTCGCACTTTATACCTCTCTGCGCTAATGTTTTCCAAGCTCCTAGTATCACCAAGTCTGTAGTCTTAGTGGATTTGTTTCCCACATAATCAAGCTCAACCTAGGTTGACAATCCTCGACTTGCTCGTATCTGGATTTAGGTCTCTTGATTTCTGGGTCTCGACTTGAATGACCGAAGTTGAAACTCAGCAAGCTGTTCTGAATTCCAGCTACGACGCTTCCAACCGGTAGAACAATTGACCGTTACACCGGCTAATTGATGTCGTCTTTGGCTGAGTCCAATGCGGCATATCTCAGCAGAAGTATTCTGATTAGCATGGAACTTGCTCATACCTCAAGACTACGATGTGTTCAATTATTCAAAATTGACGAGCTCAGTGTTTGGAATCTGAGCTCGGAGCATGAAGGAAAGACGGGAGGAGAAAGGCCCCGAAGCTCGTGTTTATTGGGGCGGAGCATGAAGGTGGATGCATTCAACACGCATCACACGAACCAATTGAGTGAGATTCACTGTTCCTTGGAGGTGAATTAAGGTCCAAGCCAAGAGGGTATGACGACAGTGCCTCTGCTGGGCTGTGACAAGCTCTCACAAAACAATGCATTCCACACAAGTGGCCAGAAAAAGCCCCAGGTAGCACTCACGTTGGATGAAAGCTATGATCAAGAGGCCCAGATACGAGCAGTTCGTGTCTGCAGCTATTGATTGGAGTAAGTCTCCACATTCCTTGGCGAGGATTTGATCTTCGCCAAGAGGCCAAGACTTCCGCCGCCACAGCCCGGATGCGGGCGGATTGGGAGGTTCCAGAGATCCCTAGACCCCGAGTGGAATTTGGTGCCACTGCGGGGTCCGTTCGTCTTGGCGTTAGTTGGATTGACTTTCGATCCAGATGCTCGTGACCTGCTCGTCTCCCAAAGTCGCACAATCCACCCCAGAATCGTCGTGAGACTTGGAAGGCATAGTAGCGCGTGTTTTGTTAAACCTACGCTACAGTGTTCGCCTGGACCCCTTGGCTATTCGTCTACTTCGACCTGTTCATCACCTTTCATGGGACCCAGCGTTAGACGATCCTATTCTTGATTGGGTAACAGACAGCTGGTGTTGTCTGGCTCGCACACCTCGCCGGAAATCAGGAAAGACTCGCCCACGTTTGGGATGATGGACACGTCTGCCATGAGTTGCTGGCGGACGATGGTGGCGCGGGCGACATCAAAGACGGTCGTACCGTCTACAGTGATGTCGTACCATGAAGTAGTGGTGGTGAGAGCGGCAGTGTTGTAGGTGCTGCTGGCGGTTATGGCCAGCGACACCATACAAAGTGTCCAGAAAGAAGGAGTGTAGAGATGTATTAGAAAGGAGTGGTTGAAGCAATTGAGAGAGAGTCGAAGCTGTGATATATCAATGGCAGGAGAGAGTGGATGTGCTCTGCTCCATCAACGACGCAGGAGAGTCTTTTGCCCGCCAAACGGACTCACAGTTCTTGCGCTTCTTACAAGTAGGCGCCAAAAGCTTCTCCGATTTCAAGTTTCTGGAAAGTGCGAGTTGCTAATGCGTTGATAGCTATCACGTCGCGGCGGTTGCCACCAGCAAGATGTTCACTAATTCTAAGACCGGGCGAAGCTAATGAATACTATCTTAACAGAAGACGCGTCCGGCAAGTGTGGATTGTCGCTATAGACTCAATGTAGTGCGGGTGGCCGTCGGAGCGTCCTCAAAGAGAGCTAGTTTGTCTTAGCGCTCGTAGTGAGAACTGTATATAGTGTCTGGGAAATTACGTGGAGGGGAAAGTGGCTTGTTTGGCATTGAGAATGTATGCTCATAGTCCGAGTGCCATGCCACTTTGAATTCCAAGCGCCAGACGGTAGAAACAAGCTTTGTGCAGGGTCAATGCATTCTCGCGTGTCTGCGAACAGCTGGTGGATTGGTGAAAATTGGGCATGGAATCCCTCATATCAAGTTTAGTTCGAATCGGATGATGTTCTCCTCACCTCTCCGGTATAAAGCAGACAGACATCTACTCCGTACTTCAGAGTCGATGCCCGATCCCGCTGCCGCGGCTGGACCCGCAGAGTCACTACTTCGGCCCTGATTCCCTTCCTGGTTTAGAGGCCGTGACGGTCTTGGAAAGCAGGTCCGGAACCCCATCTGTGAAAAAAATGTAGGCCAGCCGGGTGAGTAAGTCCGCATTACCCAAAAAGGTGGAACGATTGAATCTGTCTGTTCGGTAGCACGGTACACACAGCTTGGTTGGCTTATCAACTATCCGCTGAGCTTATCAATGCCACCGCACCGACAGGTAGTATACAGTAGTAGTACCCTACGGAGAACTCCGTATGCGGCTCGAGAGCAGCGCGTGGGGCTATACAACCTCCCGCTAATGCTCACGCGCCCCACAGGACTCGTTGATTAGCATTGCGATTGACGGAAATGATCAACATCAGCTTCAGCTAATGCTGACCAATCTTGACGCCTGGCGTGGGGTTGAAGCTTTTTCAGACCCTCAACTGTCGACTTCTCTCTCCTTTCGTCAATAAATTTATCCAGCCATCGGAGGATCAAGCAAGCCAAGCAAGCGGCCTATTGCCTGCCAAGCGAAGGCCCCGCCATTGACTTACTGGCAAGATCTGCCCTAAGACATCACTCACATGGAGGACGAAAGTTACTCAACTCTGATCAACCCCATCGATCAAGAGGAGGAGGTAGAACTGGATCTGTCCAACGATGCCGGTTCCACTTCGCCCACGATCAATGCTTTCCAGGTGACCCAGATGGATCCATTTGAGACTTATCCGTCCACACTGCCCTCGGAAATTGTCTCAAGTTGCTTACAGTATCGTACGCCATACATGTTGCCTCGCCAACGCCGCATTGACACTAACATTGTCCTGCAGGTCTAAGTGTTATGACACCTCGAATGATTCCGAGTTCCGGAGCAAAGAACCCCTACCTGGATGCTTGGCTGCCAGTGTCTTTGCAGAGCCCAGCTCTCTTCAGTGCCTTGCTGTTCTCTACCCTTACGCATAAACTTACGCTTTGCCTTGTAAATGACACATTAACGCCCGCCGCTATTGAACGAGACAGACAATCGATACTCCTGTGTCAGCAAGATGCTGCGACGATGACCAACCTGACACTCAAGCATGCTGCAACCGCACTCACGGACGCAAGTATCCTTGCAGTTCTGATGTTAACAGAAGCAGTCTCCACGCCCCAGGATCGAGATTGGCGTGGTTCCTCACCGTTCAATGCGCCGCTGCAAGGTCTGCAGTGGCTGAATGTCCATGGATCCCGTGTGCCGCATTTGTCCCATCAGGCGGGCCTCTGCAAGCTGGTTGCCCTACGCGGCGGGCTGCAGAATATCAGCATACCCGGGGCTTCGCTGGCAATTTTCTAGTATGTCCTTCCGCTTCTCCGCCACCGATAATACAACACCTCAGCCTTGGCGCTCGCTAACTCGAACTTAGCCGGACCTTGGTGAACTCCACCTTGACCCTCACAAAGCCTCAGATCCCGTTCTACTCTGCGGGCGGACACGGGAACTCGGACTGGCGTTTTTACTTCAGTCTGCCTGAAGGGTGTTTCGACCAGGGAGTGCTGGAGTTTGCGAAAGTCGGTCTACCCTTCTCTCTCGCTTGCGTATTTCAAGGGTCTGTCATGTACTCCAGCATGGTACATGCGTATGTGAATGGGGACCACGCACCACATCATACAAGCTTGCTATGCGACATCCGCAATCTGGTCCACTTCCATGTCATGTCGCTGCGGCCGGGCGACGAGTTCGAGGACAGCAAATGCTATCCCCTGTACGAAGCCTGCAGGCTGGCTCTCATGATCTATAGCGTGGGGGTGATTTTCCCCATTCCGCCTGTCGGCTCGCCTCTTCCGCTTCTCGCACTGCGCTTACGCGAGGAGCTGTGCACCAGCAGTTATTTTGAGAAAGATGCCTCTGAAGCCGACGATGGGCTTCTAGCTTGGATCATCGTGATGGGCGGCATAGCTGCACTTGGGACTGAGGAAAGGCCGTGGTTTGCACAGCGGCTTGCATCGGTTGCCAATGCGATCTCAGCATCGAGCTGGAGCATCCTCCGAGCGCAGCTCAAACTCTTCCCCTGGCTAGCCTGCGCGTGCGACAATGCCGGAGAACGACTATGGGAGGAAGCTCACCACATCGATTTGGATCCTGCAACGGACACGCCAGGTAGCCATCGCTACACAACGCGACCCCAGCCCTGTGTGCATTGCAGCCGGCGCAGAGTCCGATGCGACAAGACACGACCGTGCCGAAACTGCGTCAAGCACGGTCTTACATGCGAATACAAGCCCTCGAGGCTCGGAGAGGGGCGCGAAACGCCCACTACCGCGAAAACACAGGTCTGCCGCCAGTGTCGGCAGCGGAAGGTCAAGTGTAACGGACAGAGGCCCTGTCAGGCGTGCCAAAACATGCGAGTCTCTTGTTCTAATGAAGATGCGATCGACTATGAGCCAAACTAACTAAATGCATACACTTGTGTCCTGCTCCTGCTCTACAAGATGGAGCTGAAATTGGTTCGCTCACAGTATTCTGCGAACGAGGTCATCTTGAGACCGAACTTGTTTTCTGTTAGTCCATATTGTTTCATTTGGAGATCTCAGTACGCCCTCTTGCCGACTTACCTCAGAAGGTCTAACGACGGTGGGATCGCCCCCGTCATACCCGAATTGTTGTGCGAAGAGGACGTTCTCGCCGAATTCCCGCCCCAGGCCCCCGGGAAGTAGCTGCTCGAAGGTCTCGATAGTGTGCTGCTCGTAGCCCCCATTAGGAACCCCCTGCGACTTGCACCAGATATCGATGTATGCCTCCCACGACACTAGATCTCCAACGGCAAGAAAATTCAAGCCCGGAGGTCCATCGGCTACCGCCTTGACGCATCGACCGAAGTCATTCCGTACATCTCCAAACGGGACGGGGATATTCGCCGGGCCGACACCGGTGATTTTATAAGACCCATCGGCTTGCTGCAGAACATATTAGCGACGGGCGTTTAGGGAGGCATATACTACGTGAGTAACCCCGCACACGAACCTTCTTCGGCGTTGTGGGAAGCCCCCATTGCCAGAGTAAATCAAAATAGATTGGAGCCTGGATCTGCGAAAACCGGTCCTTCAACGCCGGCAGCGTCTGAACATAGTCGACGACGACGGCCTTTGAGTCCATATGGTAGATTCGGGGGAACGCTCCCTGACTCGACTTACTGGCGGACGCCATTGAGCTGAAGACCAAGCGTTCGAGCGTCGGGATGCGGGCGGCAGCCTCCACGAGGTTCTTGCCCTGCTGCACTTCCACCTCAAAGCAATATTCGGTGAGCTCCTGATTGGGGGCCTTCTTTTCCATGCTCGCGGGGTCCTGGAAGATGGTCCAGAAATCGGTCACGCCGAAGATAATGTTCGCCTCCTGGAAAGCCGCCTCCAGACTGGAGGGGTCGTTCAGATCGCCGGGGACGATCTCCACGCCTCTTGACTGTAGCTCTTGCGCTTTGGGAGAGGCGGGGTTGCGGGTGACGCCGCGGACTTTCCAGCCTGGGAGCTGGAGGTATGTGCGTGCGACGGAGCCTCCCTGTGGCTTGTTAGGAGAGATTTTACTATCGTGGTGGATGGAGACGTACCTGGACGCCGGTGACGCCTGTAATGACGATCTGTTTCTCCATCTCGAGCAATTGAAAGGATTGTATAATAATTATGGGATGATGAACAATTCTGTCACTCCGATGAATTCCTTCTCTGTGATATAGCTGACGGCCGACCTTTATATTTTCTAAAGAAGGCCATCCTGTCTCCGTGCCAAGCGCAACATGTTCATGAGGGAGTTGAAAGGTTTGAGGTTATCATGCTTCTCTTCTCAGATTGGTAATCAGCAGCATTTCCCATAGAATTGAGATCCTTCTCCAAGTATCCATCACCGCTCAGCTCGATGCACTAGCGAAACCTCCAGCACCGTTGCATTCTGCTCTATACCTATAGCATAAGTAGTGGTGCTGTCTGGGTCTCGAGGACGTGCTATAATTGGCTGAGGGCGTATCCACCCCGTTTAGTCTCGCCGAGCTCGGCGAGGTCGGCGAAAGCCGCGATGCCCTACTAAGTAGTTACCGCCCCGCGTCAGCAATTGTATACGAACGTAGCTAAGCTAATACACATTGTCAGTTGAGTGCGATAATATCCTCATGGATTTCAAAGCAGCTCGCTTGCTAATCAGCGTGACCAGGTGTAGTGAGTCGCAAAATGACCACCAGCTGCGCAACTTATCGAAAAGACGCACGAGCATGAACAGTATAAAGAGCACCTCACATCCCAGTCACTGGCATCTCCATCCAGCTCTATCCAACAGAAACTCCAAACATCCCAAGGCCTCAATCAACCCTCTCTCACTGCAATTGACCTTCACCAACACCAACCAACCAACAAAATCAAAAATGTCCCTCCAAGCCGACCTCAACACCGCCTACAGCGACTTCCAAAAAGCCGCCCCCGCCGCCGTCGTCTCCACCTTCGGCTCCGGCGTGCAGGCCCTCCAACAAACCTTCGACACAAGCAAAGCCATCCAGCCCGGCCAGGCACTCCCCAGCTTCGAGCTCCAAGACGCAACCGGCCACCCCATCTCCAGCACCACCCTCCTGGCCAAAGGACCCCTCCTCCTCTCCTTCTACCGCGGGGAGTGGTGTCCCTTCTGCAACCTCGAGCTGCGCGCCCTGCAGAAGCGGCTGCCGGACTTCCAGGCCGCGGGCGTCACCCTCGTGGCCATCTCCCCACAGCTCCCGGACGCCTCGCTGTCGATGGCCGAGAAGAACGCGCTCCAGTTCCCCGTGCTCTCCGACGTGGGGAACAAACTCGCCCGCCAGCTGGGGATTGTCTGGGAGCAGCCGGACTCCTTTAAGCCCATCCTGACGGGGTTTGGGGTGGATTGGAGCCGGGGGTATGGGGATGAGAGCTTTGCGGTGCCGATCCCGGCGACGATTTTGGTCGGTGCGGATGGGGTGGTGAAGAATGTGTTTGTGGATCCGGATTATACGAAGAGGTTGGAGCCGGAGACGGCGTTGGAGTGGGTTAAGAGTCTTTAAGTTGAGGAGCCTGGTTTTTTCTTCTGGATGGTTGGAGGAGGTAAATAGGTTAGATCGTTCATAAATTCCAAGTGATCTTTCTGTCTCTGTGCGGTCCATTTCATCAGTAGCTACTGCTGCAACATCCAAGCTGCAAGGATCAAACCATATGTATGTATCCTCGTCGACCCGCGCCACCTTCGACCCAATACACTTCCCGGGATGCGAAATGTTAGACAGCTCTGGCGAGGGGTTTGGTGGTTGAGGTCAGTCAGGGACCTGCTATACAGAATGCGCCATTCGAGACAATTCTGAGTGTAGTTTTCTATGCTTGATTATCTCTTCATGCTGTTGAAAGTGTGGTCGATGTGGCGTCAACGTCCTTTCTATCGTCTGCAAGATGCCTGGCAAACATACACAGTAATCGGTATTATTCTCACGGCATTCGAAATTAGAGCACCGCAATCGCTGGGTCCAAAATGCTTCCCCTTGCATTTAGTAAAGTGGGCACTCATGTCTCCATGCGGGGAAATTTATGCTGCAAATCACCACCACCACGAGAGCTTCCTTTAATCATGACGAAGCCCTAATAGGCTCATGACCCCTCACCTCCAATCCTCCTCGCCCTCTCCCAATGTCAATCGCAAGACGAACATCAAATGGTCCCAATCGGTATTTAAGGGCTGGATCGATCTCGTGCAGCAGCTCCGAGGATACGTCATAAGGGGAATCCCCATCCAAGCGTTCCAGCCAAGGCCAGCGAAACCTGGAAGCCCCGCGAGATCGATAAGTTGATATGTAAGGTATCCGATGGAACATCCCGATCCCGCTCAGCCACCCTCGCCTATCGGACAACCACGCGGGTTTCTCCAGACTCTGGAAGCGGAGAGACCTCGCAGTAATATCTTTGCTCGCCTGCATTTGTGCTGAAAACTTGAAGCAACCAGATGGGTTTGGTTTGTGCTCAAATGCTGTCTGGTACAAGCTAAGCTCACCATGTAAATGTAACTACTGCCGTGACCGAAGAAGCAGCCCGCTACGTCAAGCAATGACTTCAGTTTCCCGTCGATTATATACACTCAGTCACTATGTCTCCGTCGTGATGTACTTCAGGACAAGTCCGCACAGATTCTCAAGCCGCGACAGCATGCACACGCTCATAGGATGTGCCTCGCTTGGAGCACGCACACCGCCGTACCTCGCGCCAAGCCACCGTCCCCGTTGCAACCAGCATCATCAGCAAGAAGGCCAGGTACCCACCAGCCCTAAATACACGGCAATACATGTTAGTCAGCAAACCCTTCGTTGTAGCCATCACAGCATGATACATCTCACATGCGTGGGAATGAAAAGACAGACTTCTATCACTTACCGGTTCCAATCCCTCTGAATGGCAGAGTCTTCGTGGTTGTCAGTGCTCTCTGAGGTCGCCTCTTCATTCTCGACGTCCGGTGGTGGTGGTGTCTCAACCGCTGTTTCTTGAGCTTCAGCTTCCGCGACCGTAGGCAAGGACCCCTCAGGAGCGCAAGCGGCAAGATGGTCCGCCGGCAGGAGGGAAGAGAGCTGCAGTCGGTCCTGGAGAGCGAGCGGGGCTTCAACAAGGGTGATAACGAGGCCGGAATACGCGTGCCATTCCATGTGACAATGGAAAACCCAGACTCCTGATTTTCCGTCAACCAGGAACGAACAAGTCGTCGGACAGTGAACAAGAAATCCAAGAAACCTGACAGAACGAAAGGAGGTAGAAGTAGTGACTCACCTGGATTCGTGGACCGGAAGCGAAGAACCAGATTCCCGCCCTGATTAACAACTGCCGTATCGCGTCGGATGGGCACTCTGGGGAAATCTTGCTCCGTCGCGCCCGTATCTTCGAAGCTGCCACTACCGGCCTCCGACCGCCAGAGGAGCTGGAAGTTATGGCCGTGCAGGTGGAAAGGATGTCGGCTCATGTGGCCGTTGTTCACCACCAGCTCCACGGTCTGATTCTCGGCGAGGACGAAGGCGTTGGCTGATTGATTGTAGGTTGAGGTCTCTGCGGAAGCAGCCCCGGCTTCGAGGGCGTGGTACAATGTAGGATATTCGGGCGGCGTGTAAGCGATGTCGTTGAAAGTCCAACTGCCTCTGATATTAGTGTCTTCTTATTCAGAAGGTCAGACCTGCGGAGGACTGAAGGACATACTGGCTATTCCCGTCCTCCAGTCGGGCAGTACCCATATTCAGAGTGATACTTTGGTCTGGGGAGGTGAACAGCGGTTCCGAGTCGTACGGCTCCAGTGTGATATCATCGATCGCGTCAGAGACGTCTATATCTTGCTCGGGTTTTTCGAGTGGCAGGTCACTATTGTAGACTAGCCAACCGGTAGCTGTCACTTGAGGTCGAGCATGGGCCATCATTATCAGAGCCTGTTAACATCCGGTCAGCAAGTCCACGGTACATTTGTATCTCGATCCGGGGTACCTTGTCCATGGTCGCAGTAATAGCATAGTTGCGGCTGGCATCATGCTTGCCTTGGATTAGCACCCCGTATCGCTGACCGGCAGCAACGTAGAGGACCCGTGCTCGTGCAGGCTTCGTATAGACACCGTCTACCTCGATGATGGTCATCTCGTGGTCCTCGATTGACACATACTGACCCATGAAACCCCCAATATTTGCAATCCGGACCAGATATCGGGTGTCTGGCCGAAGTGGAATTTGCAGGTTCTGAGTGTCGTTGATCAACAGTGAGTCTGGCACTGGGTCGTGCAGCATGGACTGATGGAGATACTGTGGCATCATCTCTGGCATCTGGTCGTGATACCAATCTGAAACGGACATTGCAATGTCCTCATCATACTGCCCAAAATACGGCGAGGCCGCATCATAGACAATCAAAAGTCCACGGAGACCGTCCGGGTACTGTGACCCTGAGTGAGAATGATACCAGTAAGTCCCTGGCTGGTTGACCTGTATAGACAGTGACACTAGTTAACGGACAGTACATTCGGCAAGTCGTACTCGAAAGGTCTAACCTGGAACTTGTATTGAAACGACGACCCTGGACGGATGGCACATTGGGATACCTGGGCAGTGCCATCCATATGAGGGGTGCCTTCCATGAAGATGCCGTGGAAGTGCAGAGCGGTGGACTGATTGCCCAATGAGTTGAGTACATTCACAACTATCGTGTCGCCGACATCGGCCTGGATCTGGGGCAACGGCCACGCATTGTTGATTCCGATGGTCGGGCGCAGTTTGGCACCGTCTGGATTGGCGAGGATCCAGGTCACATTGAAATCATACTCTACTGTTTTGGAGAGAACAGCTGTCACGAGCGTGACTAGGCCGAGAAAGAGTGCTGCGGACGGCATAGTCCTGACTTCGAGCGACAGGAAAAATGACTCTTGTCCTCAAGGAGCAATATGCATGAGTGTGATTGTGTGAGTCGGCAGTGGTGGGTGCCAGCCGTATGGGTAAGTAGAGAGTCAGCCTCCTGGCAGCTACGGCAGTACTTGGCTGATCAGGCAATCTGTTAATTATCCGTTCCATTCTGACCCCGAGACATTTGTAGTATGTCTCCGGCTTTGACTATGCCTACAAAGCTAAGGCCCTTATCCTTCCACTTGTGGCTCTAATAGTTCAGATGAGAACCAATCAAGTGATCTAGGGGCAGAAAATGCACTGTATAAAACGAAACATGAACTGCAAGTCCTCCTAACCACCTTGCTTCAACTGCACGTGATCTTGACCGAAAACGTCTGACTCAGCAAGCAATCACGATCCCGTGACCACAAATATTTATTCCACTGAGAGAGATTCGAGATCAAAGATCGAAACGGTGATGAAAGGGGGTTGGATTTTGAAGCAGGGTTGCTTGGACGCACAGCAACCTAGTCGGCAATTGAATTATAAGGAAAGGGAGATGACATCATATTCAAACACTAGAAAAGTCCGTCAGGGCCAAAAGCCATGTCATGTGAACGTAACTGTAGATAGAGGAAAGAGATATGGGCCGTCATTGTGAATTATAGTCCATATACTTCCCGAACATTATTACCAGAGAGGTTGTTGTCAATAAATGTAATTGAGGACCCTTGAACACGCATAACTATCAGGATCATAGATATACCTTGGCGTTCAGGCGGCCGCACCCCCCAGAGGTGTGAGATTGTGATGGGCTGAGAAAGTTTACAATACGTCACCTCAAGAAGTGATAAAAAGCAATTAGTGCTGACGACGGGTCATTCAGACAGCCACCAAGGCTTTCAAAACCTCGCAAGGCCTTCCACGCAGCTATCGGGGCTTGCAAGGCCTTCCATGTAAGCCGTATAAGCAATAAAAAGAACATGATCTAGTAGTACATGCTTGGCCCAGCAGCATGGCAATGGGATGGGGCTGTGGGGGGTGATACGAGTCCCCGCAGTTCCAGGCCGTAAGTTTGAACCAACACAAAGAATCTTGACATAGATTACGTTGTTTGCTTGGCTTGACCTGCGACCGATTCCAGTCACTCAAAGGCCATGCTCTCCTGGCCCTGCGGGACATTGCTAAGGGCTTTGGGGTAATGGAAAAAGCAGGAAGAGGAAGGATCCCAGAAAGAATAGGTTCGTGGGAAGATCTCACATCCGTCTGTGTCAGTAAGCATCCAAGCACGGAAACGTGGACAGCCGCGGGTGCTATGTAGTGTTACCGTGCGCGGGATGTGGTGAGAGCTCAGAGCAGTCGGGATGATGATCGGGTTAGGGTTACGCAGGGCGTACGGACCCTGGAGAGCCGGGCACGCGGGTTGCCCCACGCATCCTCGCAGGACAGGGTCAGTCGTCAAGAGTTCGCAATGGATGATGTTGCCTGAACTTGACGAGGAATCCTTTGATATTACCTCTGAATTGATAATTGTGATGATATTCTCAAGAGTGATTTGAGTCAATCCACCAGGATAGGGCATATGGTTCCTGATTTGTCCGGCTGGCGTTGTCCCCGTGTTGACGAGAGGTTGCCTAAGGGACTACGAACAGACACGATGAGTGTTTGTTTCGAGAATCCCTGCAGGTTATCAGAATGCCAAGATCGAATACGATCGCAGCCTAGCTATGCATGAACACGGACGAAGGGTTCCCGGGAACCGTTTCAAGCCGGGCTCTAGTCCAACTTGCAATGCCCTTGACTAAGATGCAAATGACTTGTATAATGAATATATTGAATTGAATATATTGAACCAGCTTGCAATGTCATATCTCAAGGTGTTACCCGGTAGACAAGGTCCCTAATTTCGGCATTGTGTGTGAACCGTCAACAACAACTGCCCAGCGCATACGAAACTGTACTTTGGTCATGACTATGACTGAAAGCAAGCAAATCAATCCATAGCAGCAGGATAGTACCCCTGCAAGAGCTTATTCAAGATCTGAGTCGATGACACTGACTGCATATACGTCACGTAATGCCCTTCCTGGCAGGAAGCATGGCCAGGATGCTGTCGGGCGTGATTACGAGGTCTTTGACCCATTCCACGGCGACCCCGGTAGTTCCGGATTGGGGGTGAATACAGGATACTTAAGTATGAGCATGCGGTGGACTCGGTGGGGGGCTAAAGAGATCGTTTCCCGCCAGTTCTCAATGGGAGCAGCATGTTTCTCGAAACCTACATTGTCTATATTATCAACTTTCTCGGCTTCGAGCCGAGCTTCTCTCCATTTCGCGGCTTATTTGAGCAAAATGATCTACAAGTCCCGATCACACCAAGCACCCTATCGTTTGTGCCTCCAGGGGCCGCTGAGGATGACGCTACCAAAAGCAGCCCCTTCAGATGCTATTATTCGGCTATGGCGTCCGAGTATACCTATAACCCTTCGGCGAACGACCGAGGTGTTTGGTTAAAACATAGGACCGATCCATCCAAGGACTTCACCATCAACACGGACTATGAAGTCAGGGCCCCAGTTGGGATTGCACGGAACGTGAGTATCTCCTGTGAAACTTCAACGCCGCCTAAGACTTAGCGGGTATAGTACTTTCTTACTGTGGGGGAAGACACCAACCATGCTGTAAACTGGGATGGCGTTGACTTTCCATATGCCAAAGTCTTCAACAAGAGCTTCCCTGGTCCATGGATACGTGAGTATCTTTCCTCTAGAGAACCCACAGGGCTGCAAGGATGCTGATCAATCGATAGAGGCATGTTGGGGCGACGTGCTGAGTACGTATACGAGCCCGCAAGCCATTTCATTTCTTTGCTGACTAGAGTCACCCTTGGCGGCCCAGATATTACCGTTAAAAACACTCTCCCACACAACGGGACGGCAATTCATATGCATGGCATCCGACAGTTCGGATCCGCCCTCATGGACGGCGTTCCTGGCATCACCCAATGCCCCATTGCGCCGGGGGACACCTTTAGCTATGTGTTCAATACAACCCAATATGGATCGACCTGGTATCACAGCCACTACAGTCTGCAGTACTCGGATGGACTGCTGGGTCCGTTGACTATTCATGGTCCCACATCCGCCAACTTTGACAGCGCCTTGGATCCGATCCTGATCTCCGATCATAACCATCGCAGTGCTTTTATGGATTATTACCAGGAGCAGTTCGCTAACCCTGTCGCCAATCCGCCCCGTTTGCCGCCGAAGCAGACTAGTATTTTGATCAATGGACACGGTATGTGTATTCTGATCCTCAATCAAAAGAAATTAACGTGAGTACTAACGCGTAAGCAGGAAGTTATGCAGGATCCTTCCCACTGAATCGGTATCATAAGAAGGTGAAGCCAAATAGACGCTACATCCTCCGGCTTATCAACGCCTCCACGGATAGCACCTTTATTTTCAGCATTGATGGACACAATTTGACGGTAGTGGGCAACGACTTGGTCCCCGTGGAGCCATATACAACGAATCATATATACATCGGGATCGGTAATACCCTCGTCTAGACATTCCCATTTTGCTTTCAGATCATACTGTGTGCATAAACAAATCAATTCTGATATTTCGACTCAGGCCAGCGCTACCACGTTGTTCTGGAAACCCTAAGCCAAGAAGCAATCGGCCAGGGCAAAAAGGGCTACTGGATCCGCACCGAGCCCGCTGATGGATGCCACAATTTTGAAACCTTCCCTGACGACAGACAGGGAATTCTCTGGTATGGCTCGGGCAGCGCCAGTGGACACGAGGAAGGTCTCAGTTTCAAGCCCCCGTTGCCAACCACGACAGCTTGGTCGTACAATTCCACCTGCAGTGACATGCTCGAGCTGGTCCCCGTCGTCCCATGGACCGTTGCCCCGCCAGATACCAGTTTCACCGAGGTGCAGTACCACCCGAACCAGAACGATCCCCTACTGGAGGCGTCCATCACGATCGACACCTTCTTCCTTCCCGCGGAGGGCGAGGATGCAGCCGCAACGGTCAACGTGTGGCAATTTCTGAACGACACCGTCTTCGTCAACTACACTGAGCCCACCGTCAACAACCTCGATCCCCCCTACAATCCCAATGCAGTCATTTATCTCGCCCAAGAACCCCCTGCGGGGTCCCCGCCACAGACATCCACATGGAACTATATGGTGCTGATCGGGGGGAACTTGGAGAATCCCACCCCAGTGAGTGGGGGTCGCCTGGTGCCTGCGGCGCATCCGGTTCGTTCTTTCTGTCTCCCTACCCTAACTAAGTCTCTTCCCTAACACTCCCCACACTAACCTCCTCTTCTCCCTCGAACAACACCAGATCCACCTCCATGGCCACGACTTTGCCGTTCTCCAATTCTCCGAACAGCCTTACAATGGCGTCGAATCCCTCAACCTAGAGCTTGACAACCCCCGCCGCCGCGACGCTGTCCTCTTGCCCAGCAACGGGTTCATCGTCATCGCCTTTAAGACGGATAACCCGGGGGTCTGGACCCTGCACTGCCACATTGCGTGGCACGCGTCCGCCGGCCTTGCGCTGCAGGATCTCGAGCTGAAGGATGTGCTGGAGGCGCAGATAGAGCAGACCCCGCCGACATTCGCGAGACAGCAGTTGGATCGGACTTGTGCCAACTGGGACCGGTGGTTTGCGGACCCTGCGAACCATTGGAATCCGAATGGGCGGTTTCAGGACGATTCGGGGATTTGAGGTTTCTGACGGGTGTTTTGGGTGACTTTCAATTGCGTCACGCTAGTTAGTGTATTGTTGAATTGCCGGTGGTCTCGCGGATGGATAAGGGAGGAATATCATGAATCCGCATCAAGGCGGAAATTAGCACGTCAATGGCTCCACTGCTTACACAATTAAAAGGCTGTGCTGTGCTGGAGCGAATCGTATGTTTTATGAACGATAATTACTTTCCTGTGTGTTTAGCAATTGGCGGTCCATAATAGAAAGATACTGTTACCTAGATGGGTCCCTACGCCGCAGGAAATTGAATCAGATGGGGTTTATATTAATTATGCCGCAGGAAGCTTGTCTACAAAAAAACCCTAATTTCTCGAGATTCAATATAATTCAAATTCCTAAGCACTGCTGACAATACTACGTCCTCTAACATCGTCACTCTTCAAAGTCCAGATTGATACTCACCCGAAGTGTCTGCAACTTCCGACGGTGGGCGGGGTCATATTGTACCTGGTCAAAGAACTGCATCTGGAAGGAGACACCATTAAAGAATGTGACCACCCCGTTTGGATATGAGAACCGGTAGATGCCCCGAGCCTGGTCCGCTAGATCATCGTCTTCGCGGAGTTCTCGATATAGCTGACACCAGTTTCCGTGGTGGATGGCCCCGTACAGCTCCCCGGGTTCCTCCAGCCCCGCCTCGCGCCAAGCCTCGAAGACCTGCCGCAGTCGCTTCTCGTAGTCCGCCCACGGGCACTCGGCCGTAGATATTCCTTGGGTTTGGATTCGAATGAAGTTGTGGCCAACCCGCTTTCGGTATCCCGATCCCTCGACAGGTACCGGGGGGACTCTGGCAAGTCTGATGTCCAGTGATGAAAGATCAGGCATGATGGAGGTCGGTTGGACACATGCTGTTTGTGTTGGGGTGGCGAGGAGAAAGGTCTGGCGTCTTATATATGTTCAGTCCGTGGAGTCAGGTGCATCGAATCTCATGGTGCTTGTTGAAATATCCCGGTGATCGGTAGTGTTCAATGGATTAGCACTCTGGGAAATCCACATCCGAGGGTTGTTTCTCTTGAAAGGCTTAGGTCGATGGCAGCATCAGGTTGGCGATTTTGCTTTGTTTAGTTTAAGGAATGTGAAAGAAGGAATTCGGCCAGAAACTTATATCCCGTCACTTTTGAGTCATGACGCTTGAACTGCGAATGTATGCTTCAAATTAGTCGCTATCCTTTGACATTTTTATGAGTAAAACCATGTCCATGACCGTGAGTGACATGAGGTTTGCATTGAGGGCTTTGTTCCCGCCACCTGATGCAGCATGTCTTACCCTGCGTTCCATGTCTTATCAGATATACTCGAATCACCCTCTCCACCTCCCCCCGGCCCACAGATATCGCCTTGAAATACATCTCATTTGTACCAAACGTCCTCAGCACTAGATGTCCGAATGTCCTTTGCCACTAGTTATAGCGAAGACCGTCTAGCTGTTGGACCACCACATGGATATATATCCCCCCGAGCAGGAATTAAGCACATACGACCACAGGGTGTGGAAAATAGGGCTTCCCGTCCGCTCAGCCGTACTCAAGCCACACGCCGGGAGGTTAGTAGTTGGGTGGGTGACCACCAGCGAATCCCTTCTGTTGTATGTTTTTGTATTCTTGTCATCTTTTTGATGACTTGTTTGGCCTGAACTTCACTCGATAAGGCACCCAATCTTATCCTCACCAGATTGATCGGCGTCCTCGACATAACCCAGTAGACCCTGGCGTTCGGGAGAGGCAGGTCTCCCGCGAGGGATTCTGATCTCGCTTCCCCTCTTGATAAGCGCTAAGATATGCACATTTCCTAGTACATGCAGATATGTCAAGGTTGATGCCTCCATCCCACGGCTCCTTCGACCCTATTGGTCCCCTTCTAGAAAGTTATCACCCGCAAAGCGTCGGTTTGCATCTACTCTGAAGACAACCATCATAGTGATGGGCAGAGACAGACCTAGCCGTGAAATGGAGGCGACGAAAGAAGGATTCGCAGCTATTAGGTTGAAAAAGTTCGTATTTATGACCGCGCCACCTCGTTCCTTGCCATCGATTCTCATCACATTCATGCATTGGGGATATGTGCCTAATTCCAACGCTAACTGGTCCCGCATTCCGCATGTCTTACGCGGGTAGCCCGAATTGGGCTATTGGTCTGCGTCGACGACTCCTCATGGATTACTACCACCACCACCACCATTAACAACCTGACCTGTTACTCGACTCCCCCGCATCAGGGCTGGCAGGCATATAACCCTGAGATCCGTCCCAACTGCCCGCTTCATCCAACGTTCTTCCACTCAAGTTCCTCCAGCATTTCGACGGTTGCACCTCTTAGCGGATGGACTCACACAGCAACATGCCCCCAAGCAACCCCCCATCCGCGCTGTCGGTTCAAGAAGGGTAGGTGATGTGCTCCAGAACACAGACATCCTTCCAGCCCTTCCAGGAAGAAACACTTTCTTTCAATCCTAATCGGAACAGGTTCAACGGTGCCATCATCAGCCAGGAGCGCCACGCCCTTCCCCCCCTCGTCTTCAGCTTCGAGGTCACCTTCCACCTCGCCCGGTGGCCCCCCTCCCTTCGCAACATCAAACCCCCGAAGCATTTCCACCCGTACCAGGAGGAGTACGTGGAAGTCCTGGAGGGGTTCCTGTGCGTGGAGGTCGGGAATCAGGCGCACATACTCACTCCGCAGAGCGGACAATTCCGGATCCCGCCGTGGGTGAACCACCGGTTGTATCCACCCCCGGGCGTCACCGACGGGACTATCCGCTTCCTCCTCTCCGGCCAGGATACGGCGGAATCGTTCAAACTCGACACGATCTTCTTCACGAACTGGTATGGCTATCAGGAGGAGACCGTGGTGGTGGGCAAGCGAGTGGATATGATCCAGGTTATGTGTGTGAGTGTGGGCTACTCTCTCTCTACTCCTCCTCCTCCTATGCGGGACTTTCGTCCAAAGTTCATGACTCTATCCCTGAGATGAGACACTTTGATACTATGTTTTCTTTGCTGAAATGTGTGGGTCGGCGGGTGGGGTCGGTTTGGGCAGATGTTCGATGCCGGTGGCTCCTATCTGTCTCTCCCGGAGTGGGTACCCCTCGGAAAGAGGCTCGCCATGGGGATGGGGATTGTGCTGGGCCGCTGGCTGGGCGGGTTCCTGGGGTATCGGCCCTATTTTGAGCGCTGGACCCGGGCGGAGGACTGGCCTCTGGCCCGCCGCCGCATGCAAACCGCTTCATACAATCTTTGATGTGGTTATATCAACAGCAGCCGACCTACAGAACTAGTATAATACACTGGGCCGGAGACAGTGGCTAATTAGTTAATTAGAGAGTTCAGAATATAATATTCTATTAAATCTCTCTAGCTTATAGAGTCTAAGACTGTTCTAAAAAGAACAAGGAAAATTAGAGTTAATTCTATATTTTTTCGACTAGATAAACTAGATAACATATAGGCACTGGGAAGAAAAGGACTGAATACGAATTTCTAGCAAACAGAAACCAGCCCCTTGAGACCAGACAAAACCAGAACCTGTATGTTGTGTCAGGCTTGGGCCGTAAAATCACTCAAAAGGGCCAACCTGCTCCTCGGTCATCCCCACCCACTCCAACGTCTTCTCCCACAGCTGCTGCTGCTTCTTGGGGTCGCGACTCTCCGCCGAGCTGGTATCCGCTTGTCGCAAGGTGAAGTACCCTCGCGCCCCGGCGAACGCGGGCCCCACCGCCAGCGCCGCCACGTCCAGCGCCGCCTCGGCCGCCGTGCGGATGGTGCGATCCTTGTACTGGAGCAGCGGGCGGAAGGGTTGGAGGATGAACCGTGCGATGAACTGCAGCTTGGCCGGGGTGTTCACCTGCAGGGCGCGCGAATCGCTGAGGTTGCCGGGGTTGACGGCGAGGGCGGTGATCTTGTGCAGTGGACCGGTCGTCTGGATCCATGGGTGGTCATTCGATTTAGTATCCATACAATAAAGAAAGAAAAGGAAGGAAGAAAGCCACAGAAAGAGAAAGAGGAAGAGAGAGACGTACCGCCTCCAGACGAGCATTGAGGGCATACATCCACGTCGTCACCGCCAACTTCGCGATCGCATACCGCTGGAACCCGCGCCCCAGGGCATTCTCGGCCTTGTGGGACTCGGGCACGCTCATCGGCTCCAGGCGGAAGGAGTCGAGGTTTTCCGGCAGGGCTGGCGGGTACACCTCGAGGCCATTTTTCCCGGGGAAATGGGCATCGCTGCTGAACAGGACGATGCGGCCCCCCGCGGGGCCGAATGAGCGCAAGAGACGCAGAATCAGAGCGACGTGGGACAGGTAGGTGACCTGCCAGGTGGTTTCGAAGCCATCCGGCGTCGTGGTGACCTCCCCCTTGAGATTCCAGTAGAAGGCGTTGCAGATGATGCTGATCACCGGGGGGAGCCGGTCGGCTGCAATATCGGCGGCCAGGGTCTCGGCGAAGGCGTGAGTCTCGCTAAGGCGGGCGAGATCCAAGGCGCGGACGTGCACGCGCTCGCGGTGGGGGCCCACGATGTCGAGCAGATGCTTGGTGTGAACATCCGTACTGTCGGCCGAGGGATTCCGCACGGTCAAAACGAGAGTGAGTTGGGGGAAACTGAGCAGAAGATGCTCCACCAGAGGGAGGGCCAGCGAGCCGTTGGCCCCCGTCAAAACCACAGTGCCCGTCATGGTCGCCATTGCCGGTAAGAAATGGGTTCTGAAGTTGCTTTCCCTCTTTCCACACTATAAATTGGGCCAGACTGCTTGTTGGTGGGAGGAGAAAGGAGGGGGGGCGCGGGCCGGCGGACAGCGCGGTATTTTTAGTAGGAGGGTAGCATTCACTGGGAGGGGGAAAAGGAGGCTGACATATATTTTAGTTTGTTTTTTAGTTATTTTGTGTTTATTTAGTTGTTCTCGAATTTGTTATGCTGACCCCTGTAATGAACTAATGCTCAGCCACTAGCCTATGCTCACTCAGCACTAAGCAAGTGCCAAGTAATTAGGGCACAGCTGACGGAATGAGCTTCATGATCCCGGTCCGCTTGGCCTGATAATCGCTTGGATCATGGTGTTGAGAGTCGTGGGAGCATCTATATTCGATGAACACCCCCTCTCGACTCGGTTGGCATCATTCTGGCTCATCCTTTGCTATTCACCGGGTATTGCCGAGCAATGCGTCTTACCTTGGGCTTGGTCGTCTCTTTGCTGGCCGGTATGATCCTGGCCGGCCCAATGGATCCGGTTGAGAGGGTCTGCCAGGAGCTCGCGCAGGGCAATTCCAGTGCTGCCATTCTGCCCTCCTCCAGCCGATACAGCGCGCTATCCGACGAAAATTGGTGGGTGATCTCAACTTCATATGAGGGGCTCCCTCAAGACGGGCCTGGACCCTACTGACGATGCTCCGACTGGGAATCCACAGGTCTGCCACGGCCTGGGCAAAGCCATCCTGTATCGTGCAGCCCAGACAGATAGCGGATCTTCAGGCTATTGTACGACTGGTGACTCGGGACCAGGTTCCTTTTGCGATTCGGTCCGGGGGCCACATGCCGTCCCCGCTGGGCGCCAACATCAACCGGGGAGTCTTGATTGATATGTCGGGGTTTAACAGTTTTCTATACAACTCCACGTCTACCTTGGCAACAGTGGGTATGGGCCAGACATGGTTGACCGTGTATGAAGGACTGGAGGTCTACAATCGTACCGCGGTGGGCGGGCGGGTGCCCGAAGTGGGCGTAGGAGGCTTACTTCTCGGCAGTATGAGTTTTCTCTTCCCCCTACAGCAGATCAGGATGTCGTCAAAACTGACCCGGGATATCCCCCTATAGGTGGGTTGTCATATTTGTCCGACCTGTATGGCCTAGCCTGCGACAACGTTGTTGATTTTGAGGTAAGGGAGGGGTTAAATCCGCTGCCAGTGTCCGCTTGACTGATCGTATATACATAGATTGTCCTTGCTAATGGATCCGCCGTTCATGCCAATGCCCGCGACCATGCCGATCTTTTCTGGGCGTTGAAGGGAGGGGCGAACAATTTCGGTGCGGGATGCCTTGCCTTGCTGGTGTATTGTTCGTGTGGACGTGCCTTCACTAACCCTAACGTCCTCACTCCCACAGGTATTGTCACCACAGCCACGATCCAGACCTACCCGATGGGCCCGGTCTGGGGGGGCATCAAATGGTATTCCAGTGAGCAATTGCCCGCGGTGATGGAGGCGCTCTACGAATACCAGACCGCGCCCAACAAAGACCCCTACGCGAACCTGATGGTGGAGGCGGTGCCGCTGAACAGCACGGGCGGAGTGATCCTCAACCTGGTGTATTTGAAGCCCGAGCCCGCCCCCGCCGCCTTTGCCCCCTTCGCCGCCCTCCCCACCGTCCTGGATACCACGCAGATCCAGTCCTTTCTCACCTTCATGAGCGGAGCCGTGCTCCCCGACCTCCCGCGCTGGGACTGGCACGCGACCAGCTTCACCCCGTCCCGCCGCCTGTACAGCCAGCTCGCCGATCTCTTCCTCTCCCCTCGAACCACCAACGCCAGCGACAGCGACCGTGGCAGCGGTCGCACCGGACCCCTGGCGCAGCTCAATCCCGTCCTCGGCCGCACCTTGTCGGTCGGCTTGCAGCCCATCTCCGCGAGCGCCGTCCTGGCGGGCACGGCGCCCGGCCGCGGCGCAGGCAACGCGCTGGGCCTCCAGCCCGTGAACCAGACCTGGCTCGTCCTCGACATCGGGTGGGAGTTGGCGGCCGATGACGCGCGGGTGCACCGCGCGACGGCGGGCGTCCGGGCGGAGATTGAGGCGCTCGCCCAGCAGGAGCGGAGCGACCTCGAGTACATCTTCATGAACGATGCCAGTTGGGACCAGGAGGTGATCGCGCATTACGGCGAGGCCAACGTGCGCCGGCTGAGGGAGGTGCAGCGCCGGTATGATCCGGACTTGGTCTTCCAGCGGCTCGTGCCGGGAGGATTTAAGCTTGGATCAGGCGAAAGCTTTACATGATTCAAGCTTTGCTTGATGGAAGGCTTGAAGCGAGGCAGTGCCAGAAGGGACGTGCACATACATGTCACAGCACGTGACGGGGGGGGAGGAGGTGGGGGATGACGATGACTGGTAGGATTGGTTATTTGACTCAAGACAGGCAGAGCAGTCCGGAGATAACTGTCTGTTCCATGTCCAGCTGTATTGATTGTAACTGACTGGTAGTTATCGATTATCTACATGACTTGCGAAGAGGGTGATGGTTCCTATGGAGATATTCAAGCGAGCTACGGGTTGTTGATGCCACTATAGTTTCTCACTAGTTCAAGTGACCCTAGTTTGTACTGTATAGTACCCTACAATGTATCGCCAGGCCCACAACTGCCATGTTGAATCACAAGAAACTGTCACTGAATTGTTTGTTACCCCCCGACTCTGGACTTGCAGTGGACTACTTATGACCAACCAAGACATACATACCTAGTGTTTGTGATCACACATCACTAATGCATGCGCATCCGTGAATCACACTGCATCCCCCCTCCTTTTCCACCCTGAGAGCTCTTAGTACTTTTTGATCACATATGGGTTTTACGAAGAATCGCTCAGTCCCTTCTTATCTTTGTTGGGGTTGGGGTTTATTCTAAGTCGATTGTAATTGGGAAAGGCGCTTAATGAAAATTCCAAGTCATTCTGTCCTCCTGCCAGACCCTTTGCACTAATAACCTAATATCTGACCCCTCGGTGGGCCCTGAGAAGTTTCGGCACCTCGGGCGGATTGAGCCGGCGCTTATCAGAGCGACCTACAGTACGAAAGCAGCCCAGGAACGCGGGGCACACACGCAGTACGAAAATACCCTCCCTGGCCCATAATCCTCAGAAATCCATTGGTGGAAACGGCTATCGCTCGTCAAGACCTCCGTATGCTTGGCTGTATTCTGTAACAAACACCGAGGATTCTAGAGGAAGTCCAGAAGTATCATTGTTACCTATATTCGAGACTCATTCATAAGAATAGGATGTATATCTACAGGTGAGCTTCCGAAGGGCACACTTTGAGGCTAAGGGGATCTAATTTACGATAAGGTAGCCTATGGATCGAGCAGTAGGAATTATAAATTATCTGACCAGGAAGGGGAATAAACCCACCAAGAGGAACCAACAGAAAAAAGATACAACCCAAGAGAAAAAGAGGGGGAAAGAGTAGTAGGTACAGTATGTACACCTCAGACGCGATCCGCCAACTCCACATATTCACTACGCAGCAAGACCGCATCATCTCTCCCACCACTGCCACCACTCTTGACTGCAGTCGTGTCTCCCCGCCGGAACTGGCCCGAGGGATGGGCCTCGTACGGCGGGTCGCTGCTGACCAACCCCTTCCGCGAGAAGTAGACGGCCGAGCTGAGTTGTTTGAATCGGTCCACAATGAGCCCCCGCAGGGCGGGGAGGGAGGCGCCGATCAGCCCCACGCACGGTTCCACCTGGGAAGGGATCCAGAAGGTGAGACCATATTTGTCAAATTGCGGGGGCGTCACCCGGCTCATCGCGTATTGTAGCCCTGGTGTGCGTGATCAGTGGGTGGTTGGGTTGGGTCATGAATAGCAAGAAAGAAGGCAGGGAAGACGGGCAGAAGCAAGAAGGCGGCGGCGCACAATATGGATTGATTGAATCAATTCGATTCATCTGGTCGACAAAAACCCCCAGCTTATAAGCAGCTGCAATGCTGGCTCTGCAAGTGAAGGATCAACGACTGGCCGAGTCAAAGACAAAAGGGACCGGTCCAACTTACGCAGCCCCCAGAATCAACACGGCCCCGACACCGATCCGTTTCTGGAGCGGCATCTGCAGCTTCGACACCGGGTAGATCGGCAGGACCAGTAAGATTGCATCGAACGACATGCTGCAACTGAACAGCGCCACCTGAATGTAGTAGTACCGCCAATCATTGCAGTGTTGCTCGCGGAGCAAGGGATTCGTCCAGGCCGCTGAGAAGGGAGTGCAGATGAATCCCTCGATGACGGTGAAAACGATCACGTAGATCATCTGGCAACCGAGCAGGGTCCAGATAGCCAGGAGCATCCCAGGGTAGGAGGCGGCAAAAGTGCGGCGGTAGAGGAGGATCACAGAGCTCCGGATCGTCGCACTCATGGCTGGGTAGAGAAAGGCACTCCCCACAATGCCCTGCTCATTACAGTCCAATGCGGGGCATAGGTCAGTTCCCGGGCAATCCACTGGCAAGGAGGAGGAGAAATGCACCTGATACCAGATCGTGTACTCCGCCAAGGTGATCTCCCAGAGCGGTTTGCCGACTCCTGCGTGGAGGTTGACGTAGGCAGCCATCGTGGTCCAGCCGAGGTAGAGCACCTGTAAGACGGAGAGATTTCAGTCCGACTCCTTCCTCTCCACCCCATACTCAGAGAGGTGCTTAGACAAATGAAAAGATGGTGGACCGACCAGACCAGGCATAATGCAATAGTCATCAGCCCCAAAGGCACCCGTGCGCCAGCGCTGAAAGAGCCGCGCCAGCACGACAAACGCCGCAATAATCCCCAAGATGATACATCCCACAGCGACAGAATAGACCTTGTGAGTATTGTTGATCTCCGCAGGCGGCGGAAGCAGGGCGGCAGTGACCATGGCAGCCATGCCGGTGCTGGAAGAAGACGCCGCCAGACTCATAACAAGAAAGGTCACTGATCAGGCTGGTGCGTTGATGCACCCCGTCACACACGAGTCGCTGGTGGAGCACGAAGAAGCGGAGGAGAGCGCGCATTGTCACCCATCCTGATATAAGGAAAACACCGAGACCCTGCCCGTCTGGCCCCCGCTGGATATAATCATTTTGCTTGAAATTTCTGGTTTTCAGATGAGAACAAAAGCAAATAAGGCATAGAGAGGGGTCATGCATGTCAGGAACTAGATTCACTGGAGGTGATGGTGATTGGATCTCATGCACCCCCCCTTCCCCCCCCCTAGACACCCTAAGCAGGCTCATCTCCTACAAGCTGATTGCCCTACAAGTTGGTACAAAAGTATGTTATTTAGCCAGCCCCTGGCGGCTCGCCTTAAAGATGCCAAGGATGTCTGATGTGCATTTCCAGAGACATTCAGCAATATTCTGCCAACAGGCCCATTCCAATCGCCCCACCCGTCCACCAGAACCCATTGCTGAACCACCACCAACAGTTCTGGCTGTCGCGTAGGTTAACGCGCCAGATCATCAGTCCCAGCGAGGCACTTCCCCCGCCCACTGCAAGGAAGTAATATGGAATCCCGAGCCCGCTGAGCCGCCCGGCCTGCACCAGGAGTCCCGTCATGAGGGCCAGCGCGAGCCACAGCACTATTTTGCTCCTTTCTTGCAGCAACACCGCCAGACTCTTGATTCCGACGCGAAGATCAGCCTGAAGGTCTTGATGCGCGTAGATGGTGTCGTAGATGAGCGCCCAGACGGCTGTGCCCGTCACCAGGCAGAACACCGACGGGTCGAGACTTACCTCGCCCGTCTGCGGGGAATACGACAGGGGCTGCACGCCCATCGCTACCTCTCCCATTACCACCCCCCATGCAAGACAGAACCCCAGCACGAGTTGGGGCAAATGGGTGTGACGCTTGGCGAACGGGTAATAGCTCGTGCTAATAATATTGGGGGTTGCATACAATCCATTGACCCACAGCCCAAATGGCAGGCACGTCAGCAGGAGCACCGCACCGAGTACCTGCGTAGCCCCAAAGAGAAGAGCTGCCGTCGGGGTGATGGCGCCACGGGGGATGGGCCGTCGTCGGGTCCGTTCGACCTGAGCATCCAAGCGTGCGTCGACCAGATCGTTCCAGGTGTGTGCGGCATTGGAGCAGAAGAAACAGCCCCCAAAGATCACAATGCTAGCTCGGACGACATCTCCCAGGGAAGCCTGCGTCCGAATCGCGGCATGCAGGATGCCAAATCCGTGCGGGAAGAAAATCAGCAGCAGTGCGGCCGGGGGCCAAAGGCGAACAAGCTGCAGGTAGGGCAACCATGCCGGCGGAAATACCTGCAGGACGCCAGGATTGTCATTCCCTCCGTACTGCGTCTGCACATGGCTCGGTCGTTCGGACAGGATCGTCTCGGGCTGTTCCTTTGCCGCAGTGTCCCGTCTTGGGACTATGGAATGGGTCTCAGGAGCTCGAGGCTGTCGAAGGGCCGTGATAGACTTCGACATAGTGGGGGGATCTGGTCAGGATTACTCGGGAGTCCCAAAGGAGTGGGGAAAAGGAATATGTGAATATGACGGCCAAGCCAGATATGATCAGAGACAAGTGCTGGATGTCTGAATAATATCCAAGCATGTGGATTTGACAGGCCGTCTCCGTGACCATTCTTATAACTTATCGATGCAGAAACCCCTCTATTATACGCTGGACACACTTTTACTGCAGCTAGCCCAAATTGTCCCTACTGAACAACCGGGTTTGAGATAGCGGTTGTAATTACCGGATCGCGCGTAAATGTTCTAGGAATGGTTGCAGGATCAGTAGTTGTCATATCGGCCCCTTCCTTCTCGTGTTCGCAAACCCATATAGTGGAAGGACTATAGAGCACAGACACGATACCAAATCCCTATAAACGTCCCTATCCCTTGCTAACAACGACAATGGCGCTGAACAAGGCTTACATTGTACCATTGTACTTATTTTTCATTCCGTGCCTATTCTCCATGCCGGCCCTGTTACAGCTACTGTCATTGACTTTGACATGGGGTGTCTATCTAGCCAATGCTATTCCCTCATCATCCGCTCCCTCCCCTGTCGCTTCTGGAACGGTTATGCAGGCTGTGGCTGCCTTTGTGGATGATGTGCTGGCGAATGTGTCGGCGAGAGCGGACCTTCAGGCCAAGCTCTCCACCGATGCTGGTCTAGTCGCGCTGCTCAACAGCCAGTCAGTTGCTCAGTCCACTCTGGTTCAATTAGCCTGTTACACGGCCGGTGTTGTACTGGGGGCCGACGCAGTGCAACAGCCCTCCACCAATGCAACCGAAGTGGAGCTGAATTGGTCGGCCACTTGCTGGGAGATACCTTCTTGTGCCATTCTTCCCCGCTCCGATAGTGAGGTATCCCAGACCTTGGTGATCCTGGCCTTTTTCAAAGCCCCATTTGCGGTTCGCAGCGGGGGTCATTCCCCCAACCCGGGCTTTGCTGGGGTTGACCGACCTGGAATTCTCATCGACCTCCAGCGTCTGAACGAGATAACGCTTAGTCCGGATCAATCAGTTCTCAGCCTGGGCCCCGGTGCGCGGTGGGGGGAGGTGTACCAGGCCTTGGACTCTACCGGCCTGACGGTCATGGGGGGTCGCATTGAGGACGTGGGAGTTGGAGGTTTGCTTCTCGGGGGTGCATCTTTCTTATTTTTTCCCGCTCTTGTGTGATTGGCACCTTCACTAACCTGACGCGCTCTAGGCGGGTATTTTCATTTCTCGGGCCAGTATGGCCTTGCGGCTGATAATGTGAAAAACTTTCATGTGGGTTGCGGTGATTGTGATGATTTCTTCCTCCACCAAGGGGATTTGTTCAAGGATTGATCGTCTCGCGCAGATTGTCCTGGCTGATGGAACTATTGCAAATGCCAATGCCACCCACAACAGCGATTTATTCTGGGGTCTTAAGGGTGGAGGCCCCAACTTCGGTACATATTCAGGGCCCCCCTTCTAGTTTAAAGCCAGGGCTGATAATAGATGGACAAAATAAAAGGCATCGTCACCCAATTCGACCTTGAAACGATATCCTTACCGCAGATCTGGTTCGAGGCTTCAATCTACAGCCTCGACCAGGTGCCAGACTTGTTCGATGCCTTTGCCACCTGGCAGCAGAATGCATCGGACTCCAAATCCGCGGTCGCCCTCGTTGTGAGCCTGGAATATGCGGTGCTGGCACTGATGTACACCGAGGGAGCGTCTACACGCCCGGCGATTTTTGCGCCCTTCGATAATCTCACGGTATTGGAAGTGGCTGTCGCAGCCACAAATGGTACTGTTGGGGAACTGGTGGAGCTCATGGGTTCCGACGGTGCACCCGCCTCCCAACCACGGTAAGAAAGGTCCTCCTTCTTATCATCTGTGCCAGAAACCCCAATTGTAGCTAAATGATTTGAACTGTGTGCACTCGTGCAGCCGAGACTACCGATCTGCTAGCTCAAAAGTGGACGCAGAGCTTTACAAGGAGGTGTACAACTTCTGGCAACCGCTCGCGGCCCAGGTCTATGAGTCTACTGGAGCCACGCAGACCTTTACTCTGCAACCTGTCTCGGCCAACCTCGCGGCGGTGGGAAACTCGAAGGGGGGCAACCCTCTAGGGCTGGCAGAAGCAAATACCCAATGTGCGTCTTCTCATCCCCCCTCCCGCCCCACAGTTGTCTAGTGCTCACCACGGGGAGGGTCTCAACAGGGTGGACGACCTTGGTCTATTGGGCCAATGCTAGCGACGATGATGCCGTCCGCGCCGTCTCCATTGCGACGGAGGCGAAATGGAAAGAGCTGGGCGAAGCGCGCAACACGGGAGATGACTTCCGGTACATGAACGATGCCTCCCGGGACCAGAATCCGCTGGCGACGTATGGCTCCGACAACCTGGAGGAGTTGAAGCGGATTGCCCTGCGGTATGATCCGAATGGGGTGTTTCAGACGCTTCAGAATAATGGGTTCCTCCTGTCCAAGGCGTGATCGTGGGAAGGGTCCTTTTTCCGTGCATCCACTCTTTCCTATAGACACGACGTCCACACGGAACCATAGATGAGAAAGAAGCGCACGGATGTTGTCTATCACTACTGTGTTCTCACTGATCGTATGGGGTTCTCCGTGGCAATCACTCTCTCTGTATCGAAGGAGAAACATGAGACTGCGGTTGGCCTATTTATGTGAGAAATTTTGGTTGGCACGAAGCTAAAGATAAAATGTAGACTACTAAGGTACCCACTAGGAATGGCCCGCCCGGGAGATAGATACTCTACGATAACCGATGGACCCCTGTCTGTGCATGTCCCCGGCCAAATAATGTCTTTCCCCTCCTAAACGCCTGCGTCGTTAGTGCTTACCACTCTCCCATCTCACTCCACCACTCCATACCCAAGGACCGATCTTCCCGCTAACTCCGTTCACCACTCACCCTACTGTGTATAAATAATACCATAACTCCTCAGCTCCGTCGGCCCCTCAGCAGAGCAAATCAAGCCTCGGACATATCAACAAGTCCACAATGTCCACTCCGCCCGAATCTCTCTCTCTGCAGGTGACTATTCACCTGAACCCTGAGGACCTGCCTACCTTCTGGACCGCCTTTCAGCCTGCCTACGAGGCCGTCATTGCCGAGCCCGAATGTACCTTCTTCGAGCTGTACCAGGCGCCCGACAGCCCTGGGACCGTTTCCTGGGTGGAAAATTGGTATGTCTTATCGCCGCTGTGGTTTCCCAATTCTCCTAACACATGCCAGGTCTGCGTCTAAAGAATGGCTGATTGGGGTGAGTCGAGGCTGAATTTTTTTATGTCTGGGGTCTCTGAAGCGAAGTTGGCTGACAGCACTACACAAACAGGTTCAAATGGCGAAGCCCTATTATCGGGACTACCTGGCGGTGACGGAGCCGTTGTTTGTGAAGCCTCGAGAGGTCAAGTTGTTGACAAGGGTCGGGGCCCCGTTTACGATGGTGAAGAAGGCGAATGGGGGATTGTTGGATTAGGTCATTCAGATGCGTTTGCTCAAGCAGGATGTGCCTTTTGATGGATAGCTGATTTAACCAGTTCTCCACTTGTATGCATCGATATTAATCCGTAGTAGAGTTGCTTGGAGAGTGAGATATTTCCAGAGCCCCTTCTGTCAAGAGTAATGTGCTTTTTGATGATCCCTTACCCATAACCGAGACGAAACCTGTCGGTCTGATATCTTTCCATTTCTTCGCTATACATGCAACTGCTTTGGCGTGATCACCAGTGTTTTTTTTCTGATTGTACTTTCTTAGCCACTCGAGCGAATTGAAGTGTGTCTCGTTGTACTCCTGTCCTTGTCCAGCTGAGGGGGCCAGATGCTGCTCGTTTCAAGAAACGCCCTTTGCTTGAAGATACACCCGCCACACCCATGGCGCGATAGAGGCTCTTGATCGAGTCCAAGTTTCGCTCATAGCGCGCGGATGAGATCTGGGCTCAGCACATGGTGGGTTGTAGGGCTAGAGTTACGCCGTAGGGTTGGGAGGGCAGATCCCAAGCCGTCAGGCCTGGCTGGCATCGATCTGGGGAGAGCGAAGGTGCAAGCAGAGTGTAAAACCTTTAGATGGTGAGCTGTTGATATACTCCCGGTCCTATTCAAATGGGCTCATTCCAGTTATTGGCATTTCTAATTCCATCGGGTTTTTTTTTTTTTTCTCATCTATCCCTCACTTCAGCTCATATCGCAGTGACGAGGGTCTCCTGGATCTAGAGAACAAATTAGCTAACAGTATTCACAGCTTCTGGCTCTTCAATATCCCAGAAACGGCGCCGAAGCGGGCCGGTGGATGCCAGTGATGGCCACACGGTAAGGACTAACCTGTACTTAAGCACTACCTAGCATCAATTAATCACCAATCTGACCCATGTTCTACACTAGATGCTTCGATGAACAACTAGCGTGAACTGAGTACGATTCACATGATACACCGTATGCAGTGTGGGTCGCAAAGTTATCGACCTCCTCGGTCGGGTTGATAGTTGCAGCCTGCAGAAAAATTGATGGAGTGAACTAGACAGCCTCTTGTGTTGATTTCATCTTGGCCGGATATATAGTTTGCAGAGAAATGTTCGAGGGAAGGGGGATTTGGAATATCGTTTCCCTACTCTTGCTTGATGGGGATTTTACTGTACCGTACGAAGGATTGTTCGGATTCAAGATCTTGTGGTAGTATGCTTATTTACAAAATGACTTGAGACCCGGATCCCTGTCTACCTCCTTCGGACCCTTCATGCTTCTCGACTGGCAAGAAATCAAATAAGTCTAGACTTCAATCATCGGTGGGACCAAGTCTAGAAAAGGCCCGGTTCGTGGTTTGAAGAATGTTATCGTCGAGACAATACCTAAGACTCCATGTCTGGACTAGGAGGCGTGCTTCAACCGAGCAACAACACACCACCTCATCCTATTCTCAGGCCCTTCCCCATCCCTCACCTCTACCCAGTCTCGCCTGACTTCGTGACCCCCCTCAGCGTAACTGGTATTCTGATCACGCTCGTAGATTACCTCAACCGCCAGTCCCATCTCCGACACGACCTTCAGAAACTCCACCAGAATCGCTCGTCCCGTGTGAAATCCCGCGACGACCCAGACTCGACCTTCTGGGGCCAGGAACCATTTCATTGTTCGCACGAGATTCTCATGCTGCGACCGCATCCATAAGCAGTCGGCTGCGATGATGCGTGTGAAATGGCCCTTGTTGGCTACCGCCCAGGAATTGGACGAGAGAACCCCCCACTCGTGAGGCTGGATGGAGACAGCACATGCGTTCGTCGCTGGGATGTTACGTTTCATGTTCCAGACAATTGTACCACTTAGAGCGGGCGACGAGGGATGGTCGGTGATGGTCACCTCCGAGGCACCCGCCAGGGCAGACACTATCGATGGGAGTGCAGCGCCTGATCATTCTTGTTAGCATACAGTAAAACCATCGTCAAGGGGGGGGTGGACCAGGAGAAACGAACCAGCGCCTAGCTCCAGGACTTTTTCTCCTTCCATCTTCCACATCGGGTCGACATGTTCGTGGGCGGCGTGGGCATTCTCCACAGCCTCCGCAACGACCAGCCCGGAAGACCATAGAATATGAGCGAATAGTGTCCTTCGTTTTTCTAATTGACTTGAGTCTGATTCTATCGGAAAGGCCGGGGCCTCGGACCCAGGGTCTTGCGTGGCACTGGACGCATTTCCGCTTTGCTCAGGGTATGACGGGACTTGGATCGTCAGATTGCCATAGCGTGGCGAGGTGTAGAGGAGATATTGGCCTGGGTCACCATGGAATTGGGGTGCATCGTTGGGGAAGAGGTGTGGTAGAAACGCCGTGAAGAGATCTTCGGCGTCGGCAGAAGCATCGTCATTATTATCGTTGTCATCGGCGTCGCGGGGCTTTTCCGTTGACAAGTCGGGGGGCAAAGTATGCAGGGGGCGAAGACGAGACGAGAGCATTTCCACGTGGCTGTGATCCGACTGTAAATGGAGTGGGTTCTCCGTTGTCAAGCACCCCAAGTAGAGAATACAGTGGATTCGATTCAGGCCGTGTGACGGACTTGGGAGGTTGAAGTTCAAAGCCACTGACGGACTACCCACTACAGAGTACTTATCCGTACCACCGACCACCGACCCACTCAAAATGGAGCTCTGGATATCTTCGATTCGGTTCTGCGCCCGTCGGTCGCACTTGCCTCCTATTCTATTCTCCACTGCAAAACAAGCTTGTTCCACCCGGATTTCATCGGTTGAAGGATTATCCCGTATCTTGAAGTCTACTCCCAATCCAACCCTTACTGTTTCTGCGGTTACTCTTCACGGGCATCAATCGACATCTTAGTGCTTTGTCTGGTGATAACACAGCACATCACGGGATTACAGAATTCTAAATTCATACAGCTCATCTGAGTTGATCTTGAAAACCTCCATAGTTTGTCTTCTGGCATGTCAATTGAAGCTAACCAATTCAGGGAGCATTTCTCCAGGTTCAAGGAGATGCTTCAAAATTGCAGCTTAACCAGAAATTGCTTCACGCGATAGTTGTCGTGAAAACTCGGGAGAAAGCACAATAAACTCACATATCAGAGTTCATCCGCAGGTAATGTACATCATAGAGCGGCTGAAGGTAGTATCTGTCCGCGCAGAACCCTATCCCTTCGTCCGCAGGGCGACGCGCGGGCGCAACGGGCCGCAGTGCCGTATGCAAGATGCGGAATGCAAATACAGTATATAGTGGGGCCTGGCCTAGCCGACTGTACTGTACATTTTGCAAGCTCGGCTCCGGGTCGCTACATTGTTTTTGGGATGTGTCGATGTGCAGATCTGATGCGTCAAGCAGATATGCAATGTGAAGTCCAGAAGAAGATTGTGCATTGCAAGCCTAGGTCTACAGTGCTGGCCTGACTTGGTCGGGGATCTTCGCGCAGGGGAGGTAAGGATGTTCATCGTATAGCTGAGAAACACGTTCGTTCCTCTAGTCTGGGACTAGTTTGCTGTGAAATACTGATTAAGTTGTGGGGTAGAAGATCGTCCGAACTTATTGCGGAGGCGGATGATAATGGGCGGAAAAGTGAGCGATCTCCGTGATTCCGTGGTGTTTATTCAGTCCCCCACGTCACGGTCGGAAAAGCTTGTGTGGGGATACACCACATATGTTACTCCTCATGACCAGAAAATTATCATAAAATTGAATAAGAAAGGAATCAACTGCAATTCTCCTGGCACATGTAGAGATCAAGATGAGATGCATGAAGTCGTGTGAACGCAGTCAGCACCGTGGCGACATTTGTACATCCAGGGTATGTGAAATATGAACCACGAACCGTCTTTGCTCTCTAAGCTATGAAACAGCATCCTGAGTACAAAAGAAGATCTGGACCGGATGAGATATGGGGTGGCCAACAAGACAGATCCATGGTACTTTGCGTACCAGAATATGTCTGCGAACAGTTTGGCGTCATCCTCATATACCATGAGAGGTCCTTTAAGATATGTCACACGGAACTCTACGGGAAGTTCTCCAGGAAAGACTGAGCGAGCCGTGACGCCGTGGCCGCTCTTTTTAATGCTATCAGGTCAATTCCCACCAGCCCTCAGTGTCTGTGCGATTTCGACTGACAAGCCAACCGAGCAGCTGGTACCTCACTCAAGACATAGCGCATGCAGAGAGATCCCTCGGGATCTTGAACGGCTGGGCGAGTACTTTAGAGCTGCTCAATGGTACGGATGCCCAGCTTACTGCCAGTCTTTATGGGGCGCAGCTGGTCAATGCCGCTGAGATCATGCGCTACACCTATTCTGCGTGGGAAAGTGCCGACATTGAGGCTTTCGAGTCGATGATCCGGGATATTTTCTACCCACCAGCTTCGCAAACGACAGCGTCTTCGACTCAAAACCACCCTTGGTAAGTATGATTTTCTGTGCTCCTAAATCAAAACAAAAAAAAAAAAAGAAAAAAAAAAAAAAGCTACTGACAATAGTCGCAATGTGAGTCTCGCGAAATGGGGAACAGGTGGTGAGAAAGCCATTGTTGGTTTCGGTGTCTTCCTGAACAATGCGAGGATGTATGTTCTCGTGTCCTAGCTCTCTGCGCAATGCGTTACTGATACACTGTGACGCTCAAGGTACAAGGAAGGTCTAGATCTTTATCAGAATTTTGCGTGTGCAGACCTGAACAACACCATCAACGAGGTTGGACAGAACTCGGAGTCTGGCCGCGACCAAGCTCACACCCAGCTGAGCCTAGGTAATATGGCCGAAACATGTCAAACGGCGTTCAACCAAGGCGACGACTCCTAATCTTAGACGATCAACCAAGCGAGGCTATTCCACTAAGAAGCCAGTGAGCCAATCAGAACAACCGGGGGGTTCACTGCGAGGATAAAATTGCACTACACTTTCGATGAATCCCATGACAGATGTATCAAAGCGTTAGATCAAGAAACAGACAGGTACCTGTGAGAAGACTCAATACAAAAACCTAATAATCAACACAATACACTCAGTCGCATAGCCCCGTCCACCTTCTACTCGCCGTGCTTCAATCGTAACCACGCTTCGTACTGATCCTTTAGCGTCTGCTCCACCGGCCGATACACCACACCCAACTCCTTCACACTCCGGCGATTGTCTACCCGAAATCTCACCCCGAGATTATGCGCAATCCAGTGGCGCGACACCCCTATGAACGGCCCAGCTATGTATACCATCAGACGCGGAAGATTCCGCGTCGGTAGCAGACGGGGATCACGATGACTTGGACGCAAAATATCTGCCATCTCGAGCAAGCTCAGGGTGCGGTCCCCAGCGGTGAGTAGGTAGCGGCATCGCGGCCCCGACCCGGACGACGGAGCTGGCGAGAAGCTTTGGCTGCCGGCGCGGACGTGCGCTTCAGCCACATCGCGCACGTCCACGATGGGATAGTACAGCTCCGGACACCCCATCTTGTTGGCGCCGCTGAAGATGTTCTCGATCATGAAAAGGCTGCCCGAGGTAGAGGCCCCTGTCAGCGGTGGGCCCAGCGTCAGTCCCGGATTCAGTACCACCAACTCCCACCGGCTCTGGGCGTCGTGCAGCCGCCACGCCTCCCGCTCGGCGACTACCTTGGCGTAGTGGTAGGGATTGTTTGTCTCGCTGCTTGTGTTGTTCCAGTAGGTCTCCGTTAGGGCTCCGTTCTGTGTTCGTGGGATCTCGCTGCAGTCACCGTACATGGCTGCAACTGCGGAGGTAAAGCGTGGTCAGAATGGAGTTCTGGTTACGTAGATTGAAGCTTAAGGATAATATTATTTCCAGAGAGGGAGTCGTCTATCTCGCTTACTGGAGGAGGTGAGCACAACCCGCTTCACGCTTGGACACTTCTCTACCGACTCCAGTACATTGCGCGTACCCTGCAGAGCGGGCTCGACGCATTCTTTCCGTCCGTTCTTGATTTGCTGGGGCACTAAGAATGGCGATGCAATGTGGTAGACCGTGTCACAGACCTGCATAGCCGGCCCGAAAGAGCCCTCATGGAGGAGGTCGGCTTCAAATAGCGAGAGGCGACCGGGATACTGCGACTGGAGATCGAAGAGGGGCTGGCATTTGGCGACATTGCGGAGGGAGCGCACGGTGGTGTGCACGGCGTGGCCGTTGTCCAGGAGGATTTTGACGACGTGCAGGGCGATGAAGCCTGTGCCTCCGGTGACAAGCGAAGTCGGCATGTTAATTCACTGAGGAGGGATTCTTTCAAGAGCGAAAGAGAGTCGAATGGGTAAGTAACCTGTGATATGGGCTGCGTCTGCAGAAGTGTTAATGTTGGGTAAATGGTTGCGCAGTGTCCTTGGAGAAAAGAAGCTCTCTTTTTATAAGCTGATCGGGCATTGGAATCCTGTCGCCTCAGCGAAGTATATCGAATGCAATTGATCGGGTGATCGCATTGGGATGATTTGTTGTGTCTTCCCCCGAGGACGGGATTCTTCCACCGGGGGCGGGATTCCCCCACCCGTCGGTCAGACTGCTGCAAATTGTAGTATCCGGGGGATTTGACCACCGCATCGGAAGATCAAGCACAATCGCAGAGAGGCTCATGAAGCATCTGGCGACTATCGTGTTCATAGTAATGAATACATTCAGCCGATGATAGCGAAGCACTTGAGTACAAATCGTACTAGGTACCTTAGGTCTTCTCGCACCCTGCTTCGCTCTGATTGGTTTGTCGGCGAGTCCTGTGCGCATCACGATCTTTTCTGAAGAGGCCCATGATGCGGTCTAGTAGGCTCCGAAACTATAGTAATCTTTATATATGATCAGATTCCCGTACAACATTCCGAATATGAACCACGTGACATACTTTCTGTTCTGCTGTAATTTTGCTCTTACTGCCATTGCTCTCACCACCGCCCCAAAGGTCCGCTCTAGAATCTAGAATCATGCTTCGGGATCTAGAGTATGACAGCCCCTGCAGAGTTTGCCTTGGCCTACTTTCGTCTTTCCAGATTGACTACTCGTACCTGGAGACCCGGATTTGAGTGCCCACGAGTGCTAATAAGTAAGTGATGTCTGAGCTGTAAATACCTATAATGCAGAGCCTAGACTATGATGCTCAAGTCATAGAAGATTTCTATGGGCGGTAGCATTCAAAGAGAACATTAGATGTGATAGTAAAAAACATCTTGGTCTCATCAGTAGTTGTGATGAGCTGTAGATCTGGTGGCCAGGGGGGGTAGAATAATCCACTTGATTGAGGAGTCATATGGACAGAAACAAAGCCCAAACAATCAATAACAGAAGTGATCCTGCAATGACGCTCCTTTCTTGTTCGTTTGTTGGGACACTGCACTGCAACCCCGGGTTGTGGAGGTACAGACAACCCTAGGTAATCTCCAGGCTACCATGAAGCCGAGGCATGTCGCAAATAGACCCAGAATATAGTTTATCGAGGAACGGTAGTGGTTCCAGAAGCTACCAGACATTGGAAGTCGTTTACTATTGTGGCTCTCATGCAAGCACCAAGGCACGATTGCAAAATTGCAGGGTTGCATCGACCTGTGGGCTCACGGGCTGAAGGCTTGGAATACATGCATGGTTCAGCTGAACAGGGAAGTGCTTTGATGGAGACATAGATCTATAGGCTGGGAAGCACAGCCGCCTCCCCCACAGAGTGCCCTGGCGCAACCGCCCAGCAAGAAACTCATTGTATCATATCGGGCTGCAGTGTGCAGAGGAAGAAGGGAGATTCAGGGAGTTTTGTCACTTTTCTAGTATTCTGCACGACAGCAGATTCATGGAGCAGAAGCAGACGAACCAACTACCATGGTTAGGTCAAGACACGTGCGAGTTTGGCTCGGAATGCTTGACGGTCAGGAGGTATTGAAGACAATCCTTAGCTCGTCCCCTCACGTACAGTGAGAGCAGGAAACCACCGCGGTTTCTTTCCGGGTAGTGGACAAGAATGGTATTCTTGACCGAGGATTAAGGTTTCGGCCTGAGGGAGATTTGATGAATGGATTCTGGATTCAGGTTCAAGTCAAGACATGGTCAATGTGACGGTTCTTGGACGCAAATTCCAGCTGCAAGTTGTCGGTTCTGGAACACGGAGAAGGGTGCAATGATCGCCCGTCATGGCAGCACCTGTCTTGACTTGTCACATTCTCCCTCCATACGCAGATCAGTTACTGTTATGGGAAGCGAAACGATGTCGCCAGAATGCACACCCCCGGGGACTATTAATCAATCTGTTACGGATCTACCCGCAACTGGTCAACTGTAGGTCGGCCCGTTGGCTCAATCGGGCAAAGTAGCCCTAAAAATTGGGCGGTTGCGGGAAACGAATCGAGGGGAAAACCTGTATCTATCAGACCACAGGGCGGTCGGCACTTCTCAACATGATAGAACGTCTCAGCTGCGATTGACCGCGCTGAAACATTGACCGCAAAGGAGGCCGGTCGTGTCCCGGGGCTCAGCTCCTGTTACGGGAATCTTTCCGAGTCGATCTCTCTCGAACCAGCTTCGGATCTGAAACACGCCCCAGACACTCCAGATTTGCCCTGTTCATTTAACCTTAAATGGCCTCAATTTTGAATACTCGGGCGTACTCGGGGGTGAGGATAAAAGAGCGCAAGATGCGCTGAGTTTGATCCATCTCCAATCCATTCACTCGACCGTTCCCTCCATCCTCCTCTCTCCCTCCATCATTCTTTGCAATCCACAAGAGCTGTGCTCTGTCTACCCTCGTTACTAAATCAATCATCACGTTCACTTTCTAGTCCTCTCTTTATTTTTGTCTTTCATTTCACAATGAAGTCCGTTGTTGCTCTCTCTTTGCTTACCACCGCCCTGGGTGCCCCGACCCAGACCGTCAACCACCGGTCGTTGATTGGAAGATCCAGCACCGGTACCAGTGACGGTCTGAGTGCCTTAGCATCCCTATTCCCCATCAGTGGCGCCAGCTCCGGCACCAGCACCAGTGATGGTTTGGGTGCTTTAGCATCCCTGTTCCCCATCAGTGGCGCCAGCTCCGGCACCAGCACCAGTGATGGTTTGGGTGCTTTAGAATCCCTGTTCCCTATCAGTGGCGCCAGCAGCGGTTCCAGCACCAGCGACGGGCTGGGCGCCTTGGAGTCCCTGTTCCCGAGCAGTGGCACCAGCAGCGGTTCCAGCAGCGGCTTCAGCAGCCTCTTCGGCCGTTCTACGACCGGTACGCCGGTTATTTCCCTCCCATCCGCTGCACAGGCATCCTGACATATCCCTCTGTAGAATCCTCCACGGCCAACGACGTTACCGATAAGACCGGCTGCAAGGAGCTCACCTTCATTTTCGCCCGCGGTACCTCCGAGACCGGCAACATGGGCACCATCGTGGGGCCTGAGGTGGCCGCTGACCTGCAGACCCTGACCAGCGACAAGGTCGCCGTGCAGGGTGTTGACTACCCTGCCGACTGGGCCGTATGTTTTTCCCCCATCCCGCGCCTCTACAAGCCTTCCTTCCTTTCCTCCACCTCGGCCTCCTAACTAACCACTGCACCCATCCAACAGGGTAACGCCGAGATGGGCGCCTCGGGCGGCAGCACCATGGCCTCTTTGGTCAAGCAAGCCATCAGCCAATGCCCCAACACCAAGGTCGTCTTGGGCGGCTACTCGCAGGGCGCGATGGTGGTGCACAACGCCGCGAGCCAGCTGAGCTCTGGCGAGATCCAGGCGGCCGTGCTTTTCGGCGACCCGCTTAAGGCCGAGTCGATCGACAACCTCAGCTCCTCCAAAGTCAAGGAGTTCTGCGCCACTGGCGACCCGGTCTGCGAGAACGGCGCCGATGTCATGGCCCACCTGTCCTACGGCGATGATGCGCAGACGGCGGCGCAGTTCCTGGTCAGCGCGGTCGGTCTGTAAGGGATTTCCTCACGGACTCAAACTATCTGAATAGACTTGTGCCAGGAGGGTGGAGGGGAATTTTGGAGTGGCGAGAAACGGTGGTGTGCTTGGGACTGGTTCCTGCGATGTACATAAGAAAGACCGTCGGGCTTAGTGTCATACTCCGAGCTTCGACTCGAGTCAGAAATATGTATTCCCTTCTTCACCACTAGGACACTTCACATGCCAGGATATGTCCGCCTAGCATCAAGGTCAATGAAACATACGTATGGGGTCGGAGAGCTCAAAAGGTAACCGGTAATATGGATATTCATTCTTCGAGATGGTCCTTCCTGGTATAGCTATGTAGGCATGATCCAGCCATTCGATTCAGAATTCACCCCGGCCATGACTCCGACAGAGATGGGAGCTGTTTTTTTTACCCACATAAAACCCACAGGGATCAAGCGGTGGTTCTTCCATGAGCAAAACCTGAATGCTCGCCACTTGTTTACATCCGCGAGGGCTCACAAGTCCCGACTTGTTTGGTGTAGTTTGGTTCAGTTATAATCCGTTGGGTCTAGAACTGGTCCACAGACGGATGTGCGCCGAGGTTGGGGCTTGGCTGCCCGGCTTTTGCTGCTACGACCGTGGCTGAGAAAACTTAAAATCGACCCCTTTGATCGAGACTGAAACACAGCCATTCGTCCACAGTGGATTCAATGGAACTCCCTTACTAGGTCTTGAAGGTCGCCTGTCTCCGAGGTTCATCTGTCTTTGCTGTGCGTTAGAGGATATCTGCATACGAGCTCCTCGAATAGAGTGTGGGGATCAAAAGAGGGTCAGAGCTATAGGAGTTCCTAGGATAAGTATCGAAACAGTGTCTCTCCACTCAGCGCGTGCAAGAAGGGACATCCCGTCTCTATGCCTTGAATGAGAGGTTTTGACCGAGACCCTTTGGTCTGCAACTTGACTATACAAGGGCTAAGCTTTATCTAAAGCTTTGCCGGTCAGTGCCCGTGGGGGCCACAGTTCGGGCAGCGCCTGTGTATGTCCAACAATGACCCTCGGCCATACTGTTTCTTATAAACAAGGAATATTTGTTTATTCAAGGGTAGGGCTTATTGCTATGGTGGACATCGTCCACTTGGGTGAGATCGGCGAATGAACCAACCGCAATCCGGAGGGAAAAGTGATTCCTACTCCATGTGATACCGAGTCTCTGCTTGAGATTGGGCTAGTACACGATGTAGATGTCTTTTAGTCGGTAAAGCTGTTTGAAATCCATGGTAAAGACTGTACAGGGGCGAGAGATTCGAGAAGTGAAGTCATTGATCAAATTCCGACGACGAGCAATAGCAGGTCGATGGAAAGATATACATTAAAAAAGCTTTGAGAAAGAGATAAGTTCCCGGTTGAAAGAATACAAAGTACATGACCCATGGAAGAATTAGAGATGTTGTTGATAGGGTGTCGTGGTTCACAAACCTGCGGCCACAAGAGCCGCGATTGCAGCGCCGCCAAAAATCAGACCAGCGTCATTTGTGATAAATGCAGCAGCTCCGGTGCTGCTCTGGCTCGTACCGTTATGATTTACAATCGAAGTAGCGGTGCCGGTAGCCGACTTGCTGCTGATTGCAGTGTTTGCGCCGGTAGCAGAGGCATCGGTGGTGGTGGCGGTCGCTGTTGCGGTCGCAGGAGTGGTGGCGTCCCCAGCACTGGTGAGCGTGCCAGCAGTGATAGTGACGGGCACAAAGCAGCAGAGGTCACCAGTTCCCATGGTGGTGGAGTATGTTCCGGCGAAGTCCGCACCCGTGCCCGAAATCCTTTCGGTGCAGACGCCGGAGGTGGTTCCGTGCACAGAACATTCCATAGACATATGGCTGGGTATGGCGGGGCAGGTTAGCAGACGATTCGCGCACACTCAACAGAAACAGTACAGGCCACATACATGTCATCTTCCGGCACATCCATAAGGTAGGTCGTAGTCTGAGGGCCAGCGACAATCGTCATACCGGGTCCCATGCCGCACTCATCATCATCGTCATCGTCATCATCATCATCATCATCATTATCATTAGTATCACTGGAACCCGTTGCTGTCGGGCATTCGACAAAGTAGGTCGTAGCCGTTGCAGCCTATGCTATGAGTCAGTCGAAACCGGGCGTGCGTTCTGCTGTGATCAACACCTACCACGCCCATGACCGAGCCCACCAGCGATTGGGAGTCGATGTCCGGAATGAAAAGGGTTACAATGTTTTCCGCGGAGACAAGGGAGGCGGCAAGCAGACCCAGAACCAACTTGACGTGCAACATATTGGCAGGCTAACAGGTAGTACGGGCTCTGATGCAGTTGGGAAGTGAATAAGATTCTGTGTAGGAACAAAAAGAAAGGAGGGGGTCGGCAAACTATTTGAGAAACTTTCAGGGACCGGCACAGGAGCGGAGAAGCTGAAGCCTTGCCAAGATTGGCTAATCTGACCGAACCCCTGCTTGGCAAATCTCCTTTGGGGCTTAGACTCAGGGCCTCCATTCCTAGTCAAGTAAGCCTTCTGCCAAAGATGAACTAGTGGCAGCTTGGCTTAATCTCCCCATGCGAGTCCCAAACACTGGACTTTGGTTCGGGTATAGCCGCTCTCGTCCAGGGTGCGCTAAACTCACAGCTGTGCCGGAGATGTCCGCCTGGGAAAAAAGCCAGGCCCAGGTATTCTTTCAGCTCGGGGGCGAAAAGACCAATGCTCTCACTTCGACACTCACCCGAGAAGGCGGGACTATCTTCGGATTCCTCCGGGGAACAAATGACGTATGAGGAGTATCTGTGGAGAGTCCTGTTAGGGCCTTGTACAAAGTCCTCCCTAAAAAGGGGTATTGGATTACATTTGACGCTGTCCTCATTCGTGTCAAAACCCTTGAAGAGGAGTACATCTTCTGCCTCTTGGCTACTCATATAGTACCATTGACAGCTCCCATTCGGCTCATATTGTGGGTAGAGCATAGTGCCAGTATATTCACCTTGGGTCATGTCGGTCTCAATCAGTTTCGAGGAGTCCACGCTCCGTCCGTCACACACTGCAATAGGCTGATCTTCGACCGGTCCGGTGATGGGTCGCCAAAGACTAATTTCTCTGCATCAGAGGCAAACTCAATTCACAATCCGGTCGCTGGGGATAACAAGAGCGAGGATTGTAGGTCTAGTTACTGACTTTATCAACTGAATTCGCCCAGAAAGAAGGTATTGTGACTCTTCGGAGAGGTGCTTTCGAATGCGTTCCATGATAGGAGTAGCATTCTTGTCCCGAGTAAGAAGGGTATCTCGATTGTGTTGTCAGCCAAGCATATCAATCGAGTCAATGGGCATCTCCTCCGTCTAAGATTTATCACCTACCGATATGAACCTGCCGGGCAAACCCCTGCAAGTTCGGATTCCGCGTCCGTCGCTCCTTTGCGCTTTTTCTCTTCCTGATCTGTTCAAATATGGGAGGCGTTAGCAAGGCCAGGGATCCTATGAATCTGTCACTCGATTTCGATACGTACTTTCCAGTCGAATATCATGACAGTCTCTGCTCCCTCAACTGCCCCTCTCAGGATGGCTTCGCATTCCGGCAAGAAAACATTTTGTATGTTGTTGGGATCTGAGTACTCATGAGCTCTTGTAAGAGTCGGTGTGGGACATCGTATGTATGCAAAGCCAGTGATTTCTAGACTGAATGGAGGATTGTCGGCCAATTCTCTCACGTCTCTGATGATCTCTGTCTGATCTGCCTCGCGAAAGACTAGGTTTGTCGTTTGGTCGTCGCGTTGCCATTTTGGCCTCCTTCGTCCCGTAATCCGACCGATGCGATATGGACGAGTATGAGTATAACTGGGTTGCCATTCCAGGTATGTCAATTTTGCTTCAACGTCTGTGGCCATAATAGCAATTCTACGCCTCACGCTAGCTGGATAGAAAAGAGGTAAAATGAAAGGCCAAAGGAGTAATGAATCGGAACATCTGAATCGGGCATAATCGAGGGCTTTATTGAATTCTGATTTGATATATACAATTCAACCGTGGTTGGACAACGTTCCGCTCGGTTAGCAACTCGGGTGTACCCGCCCTGGCATCCACACATCATACCCTCCCTACCTACCCTTATTGGGAGACCCCTTATTGGGAGAGCGGCATGAGTCATAAGCGCGGGGATCAAAAGAGGCTAGAGACCTTGATGGGATGAGTCACGAAGTGGGACTTCATGTTTGACTCGCCTTGCTACGCCCAATTGCTGTTTGTCCATGACTGAAAAGCCAATTGTGAGCGAACAACTCCCTACATAGAATACTGGTACAAGCTGAAGTGAATCAGCCCATTTTTAAAGTGTGTCAACCACCTTCTGGCATAGAGGTTGTAGGCGTTTGAGGAAACAGAAGGAAGGTAATCACGTCCGTGGAGACATTCGGCCCTGTGCTTGCAAGTGTTGGGGTCGGAAGTGTTGTGAGCTAAGAGAGAGGCATTTTAGTACGCGTGGCAGTCAGATCTTTCAGTAGTTTTGGTGTAATCTAGGGATATATACCAAAAGTTTAGTTTCATGGTGGCAGAAACAAGACATTATCAAGCATGGGAGAAGTTCTTCTCATAAAACAGAGAAGATGTTCGACTAGAAGTACTACACACCATCACATGTTGCATGCTGACGTAGTGCATCATAATAACTAGTTCAAAGTTATATTCAATATCGGTCTTTCCTCGTAAGCTCCCATACAGACCGCACCATACAGACCGCACCCGCTGTTTAGATATCCTGTACATCCGTTTGCCTCAAACAAATTTCCAAATCCCAATTACCATGCAAGGTACCAAATTCCAGAGCAGCCCTGAATCTATAGATTAGAAACCCTCCATTCCTCAACCCGGCATCAATCCTTCACAAAACCCTCCCACATCGGCTTCCCCTGTACCTCCATCCCAACAAATCCAACACCCTCCCCACAATATGCTCCACCACCTCCCCCATCCCCGCCGGCCGGGTGTACAATGCGGCACGGACGGAAAGACAGTCGCGCCGGTGAGGGCGACGACGATGCGTTTGCGTCGCGGGGCTGGGGAGGTGGTGGTTGATGGTGTGGAGGACTGGGGGGTTGTGGACATTGTGTTGGGCTGTGATCTTCGATGGGGAACCGTGTGAGGGAAGTTTGGAAGTGGGAGGGGAGAGTGAGGGATGTGTGGGTGTCGCTACTTGGCGGCGTGCTTGCACGGGTTAAGTACATAGGCCTCAACATCGGTGTTAATGAGGTTTCTTTTCTTTCTCCTGAAACGAAGCACACCACTCCCCTACTGGTTTCTCCACCAGCAAAATGGACGAAACAGCCTCCTACGAAGACACCCAAACCACCGCGGGCAGCTTCCGCCGCTTCATCCAGGAGCTGCACGCTGAAAGTGACCTCGTCGCCATCGACGAGGAAGTGGATCCGGAGCTGAAGCTCGCTGCTATCACGCTGAAAGTCTATGAAACCGAAGCAAGGCACCCTTGTTCGACAACGTCAAGGGCCGCCATCCGAACGGGCTCTTCCGCGTCCTGGGCGCCCCCGTCGGCGCCAGCCAGCAGCCGGGCAAGCGCTTCATCCGCATCGCCAAATCGCTGGGATTGCCCTCCACTGCCAGCGGGCAGGATATTATCAACAAGTTTAGGGAGGCTAAAAGCTGCCAGATTCCGCCCACGGAGGCCCCTACGGACCCGGGGAAAGAGTTCAAGCTGCTAGGCGACGAGATCGACCTGACGGCCCTCCCCGTCCCCAAGCTGCATGCTGATGACGGCGGCAAGTTCTTGCAGACATTTGGAATGTATATTGTGCAGAGCCCCGATAATACGTGGGTCAACTGGTCGATCACACGAAGCATACTGCACGGGGAACGCTCGCTGGTCGGCCCGATGATCCCACGCAAGAATATTGGGCTGATTCGCCAGATGTGAGCGGAGCAGGGGGAGGATTGTCCCTTTGTTTTGTGCTTTGGTGTACCGCCTGCGGCAATTATGGTTAGTGGTATGCCGCTGCCTAAGGGGGTCAATGAGAGCGCGTACATTGGAGCATTGATTGGCAGCCCCATCGAGGTCACAAAAGCCGAGATGAACGGCATCCTCGTCCCGGCCAACGCGGAGATCATCTTCGAGGGAGTCATCTCGCGGACCAAGACCGCCCTGGAGGGCCCCATGGCTCATCTTCCCCGGCGAGCAGAAGCCATGTCCTCTCCACAAGATCATGGCCATCACTTACCGCAAGGTCCCCATCCTCCCCATCTGCGTGACAGGGCGTGCTCCTGAAGAAAGCGAGACAGTCTGGGGACTCACGCAGGCAGCGGAGGTTCTGACTATCTCCGAGGACGCGGGCCTGCCCATCAAGATGGTCTGGAATCCGTTCGAATCCCACTGCCACTGGTTCGTGCTGCAGGTCGACCGCGAGAAGCTGCGCGAGCTCAATACGGCGATGGAAGAGTTCAGCATGAAAGTGTTTCACACGGTGTTTGCCTCCAAGCCGGGATATAACATCCCCATCATCTACCTCTTGGGCGACGATATCGACCCCACCAACCTGCGCGACGTGATCTAGGTCAATGCCACTCGCTGCCAGTCCCGTGAGAACGAGTACTTCTTTGGCCAGTATCCTAACATCGGCTTGATTCCGTACATCTTGCATGGGGCTAAGAGCGGCGAGAATCATCTCAAAGTCGTGCGTTGCTGCATGTTCGCCAGCGAGTTTTCCGAAGTGCCCACGTACAAGCAAGCTCGTATCGTCGAAATTACCCCGCGGAGATTCAAGAGAAGGTGGATGCGAAGAGGTCAATTTATGGATTCTAGTCTGAGTGTATAACTAGATCGAAATTGATATTTCTAGCTCAGGAATGAATGTGACAACGTTGTGGGGAAGGTTAGCTTGAAGGTAATAATTCTCCAGCCTGCATTGTTCATTTTGGCCTTGCGGCCTGACGATCGGCATGAAGGAGAACCGGTACCGGATTTTCCGCCAATAGAAATACTCTCTGCATTGATTGTGGAGATCCACCTCTCCGGTTCCGGATGAGCCATGCTAGAAAGCTCCTATAACTTACCTGTAAGAGACTGTGTGAGGCTAAGGTACGAGTATAAGGGCGATCAGACCCGAGTGCGATTCTCAAGTTGAATAGATCTCATGCGCTATTCGTGTACTTCAAGACGCACTGCTGATCGCAAGTCTACTGGTGCGATTAACATAGGGATACTGATCAGCATATATATGTAACCGCATAAAATTGACCTTGATGTTTCTATTGACTACAATGGTCTTCTTATCCAGGTCTGAGGTCCTTTCTCATATTGCGGTTACTCCTGGTTTAAATCAATGCAGAATGTTGTGCCTGCTCATACTACAGTAGCTTAGGAGGTCCTCCAATGGATGACGCGGAGATTAAAGATGCTGACATTATCTCCGGGCGGTTTCCCGCCGCTAAGCGGACCCGGCGACACCTTCAACCTTCACAACTTCACCATCACCAGCTTCGGCATCATCCATAACGCCAACAGCCTCGCAGGCTCGCACAGAGTGCTTGCTTGTGGAACTATGAACTCACAGGCCAATTCGTGAGTATCTCTCAGCAGAGGCGATGGCTTCTCTAACGACATTCTAGACCCTCGCTCCGACGGGCCAAAAAAGCTTGCACCGAGTGTCGCCAACAAAAGGTAGAATCACTGTACTGCTCCAAATGACCTTTTCTCACTCAAGTTCCAATCAGGCAAAATGCGATGCGTACATGAATGCAGACCTTCCATGCTCCCGTTGCACGAAGATGAAAACCCGTTGCATCATCTCGGACCCTTTCCGCAGAGAACACAAGCGTCTGTACGTGATTGCTCATCCAGGAGAACAAACATCGTAGCTCTTACAGCAGTCATAGACGCCTGTCCAAGCTCGAGCAAGAGACTGATGAGTTACGCCGGAAACTGAGTGGCTCGCATTCCGAATCGCTGCAACAGTCTCCCATTGCCATGTTGACGGCAGCGGCGGAGATGGAAGTAGTCCATCCCACACCAACCGCAGCGGACTCGAATCTTCCTCCTCACCCACAGACTACTTCGATCGTCTATTCACAGCAGCTCACACCCCACTTAAGCCCGAGTTTATCTTATTCCAGAATCACCGCGGTTCCAGATCGCCTTCCGACACCAACAGAGTCGCGAACATTGAAAAATGTCCATTTGACAGGGTCTGAGATCGATGAACTGTTCCAACTGTGCGTATTGCGGTAAAAGTATTATGCTGCTGTTGAAATTGACACACATCTAGATTCTTCCGACAATATGCCTGCTTTTTGCCCATCCTCGATCCGCAAACCCCGCCGGATGCCTACTACACCCAGTCAAGTTTCCTGTTTTGGGCCATTATCGGTGTCGCGTCACGATCTTACACGGACAATCCCACACTACTAATGGCCATCTCCCCGAGCATTGTCGAGATGGCATTGCTTTCCGTCACATCCAGCGCTCCGGCTTGGCACATCATTCAGGGGTTGTTGCTGGTCCTCACCTGGCCCTTTCCGAAGGAAATCAACAAGACCGATGCAATGTTCCCTCTGAGCGGCATGCTTCTCCACATCGCCATGCAGAATGGCTTGCATATTCCACTATACAGTCATGAGTTTGCCAAGAGAAACATTCCTGCACCATCAGAAGCGGACATGGCTCGACGCTCCGAGCTATGGGCTCGTTGTGTCGTTGTATACCAACGGTAAGATAACACCATCGCGTTTGTTATCGATCGAATGCTAAACATGAATAGCGCCTGTGTCACTAAGGGACAATGCCCTCGGTCTATGGTAGATCTGCAACAGGACCTAGGCCAGCAGCAAGTTGTATCCCAGAAGATCGCCCCTTCCCTAGCACTGGAACTCAAATGCCTAGGATTGATTGCTCGATGTAGCGCAGCCGTGCTGGAATTCGGAATTCGAACCATGTCGGCTGAGCAGGAAAGATCGTTTGATATCCTCTTGCGCACCTTCGAGAGCCAGGCAACTGAGCTCGAAGCCCACGTGAACTCAGGTAATATGCCCGGCTTGACCGCACTAAGTCAGAACTGATCTAGACCAGCGAATGATCGTCTTCACACAACCACGTGCCGCTTGTGTGTTCAAATGTTCCATCTGTTCAAGAACCAGACTATTCATGAATCCGACTGTCTCGCACGAGTCGTAACGACGGCTTGTAGGACGATTGATTGCATCCAGGAAATCGGGAGGGCCATGGAGAATCTTGCCAGTGCTCCGATGCAGATCACCTACGGACTCCTTCTCCCCGCATCGGCTCTTCTTCGAATCCTCAAATGCTCCACTCATCCCGATGTTGACATTGAACGAGGTAAAAAGGCACTGTTCAGCGCGATTAACATGGCTAGACGCATGTCAGTTGATGTTTACGATACCGCCTCCAAGATCGCGATCGTGATGAATCAGCTATGGAACAGCTCCAGGGCGTTTCGGAAAGCAGATGGAACCGAATTCATTGCCCTCAAGATTCGCAGCCGATTGGTTCTCAGCCCCGTTATCGATACGATCTGGTGGTGGCGCGACGAATTCGAGCCACAGTTCTATCATTCTAGTGCCGCCCATGGAACAGTGGCGGAAGGAGGTGTGTTGCTTGCCCCACCACGGCCAACGACTACGGCTCTACTGACTCGGAGATAACAGTCGACTCAGATTTCCACCAGTCAAGCGGACCACCCAACGCGCCCAGTGGTTTGGTAGACCGGCAAGATCCCGTCTTGTTCGACGAACAATTCCTTGCGGATTTCGAATGGGCACTAAGCAACGACGGTCTGCTGCAAGCGACCGAGCCGTATGGCTCGGTCTGGCCTGCTGCAGGGACGATAGCCTAGGCCGCGTCACTTCAGCCGTTTTGCTTCTGTATTGTACAAGCGGGTCGGCGGCGTCTCATAGGAAGCTGTCCACAGACGCCACGAGGGCGGGATCGAAGACGGAAGGGACGAACGAGCTGCAAGCGAGCTCGCGCCACTGATGCCACCGCTGAGGTACATCGTTTTGCCGACCAGATGAGCAGGTGATCATGTCCCGATAACTCGTTCGCTTGCCACACCATCCCTCGATCACGCTAGTCGCGAACACCACGCACCATGGCTCACGCTGAGATGATAGATCATAGCGCACGTGTGGATGAACGGACTCGAGGTCATCGAAGCCTCACTCGATTGGCCCAAAGTGTCGTTATCGTCCTCCGCGGGTAGGCGAGAATTCCCGAATGACACACACCGTCTACGGGGAGGATTCCAGTTTGCCTCCTTAGCGACGTTGCTGGGTAGCCGTTATGGGACAGCGACATCCTTTATCTAATCACAGATAGCTGGCGTTAGTTAACTTCGTTATAAACAAGCGCTAGTTCAAGGGGGCCAGATACACTTGGAAAAATCACCGAAAAAAAAAGGCATCCGTGCCCAGGAGGCAACGGAGGTCCCCAGAATAGGAAATCGGGCGGCCAGAATGGTGTGTGAGAGACATGAGCTGCTGGAGGTGGGATACGAAGTAGCCGCAACCAATCCGGCTGGGCAGAGGGGGCGGAATCCCACCTGGTATCAGAGGAAGCCTCCAGGGAGATCCATACTGTCCACGCTGTCCAGGGCTTACTACGGTTTTGTTTGAGATGGACCTTTTCTCCGACAGCCGAAACTCTCTATCAGGTCTATGTGTGGTTCAGGGGTGGAGATCCTCCGACAGTCAGACGTTTACGCCTTATCCAGCACGATGTAGGACCAGTGTCAGATTAGGCCGCACACATCGAAGTTAATACCATTCGAGTGCGACCGTCGATTTCAATTGAGATCAAAAAGCAAGCATGGATGAGCCAAGATTGCATGCAAGTTCAGCGCATACAGCGGGGGGAGATTCGGAGCAACTACGGAGTCCAGAGGGATTTGCTCCGGGTGTTATCGAACATGCACACATTCGTATCACGCGATAGTAATTACCAATACCTTCCGGAACCGGCTAAATCCTACAATCAAAAGGTACTCCGTTCAATCTCCCCGGAATCTGACCGCCTTTGCTCTGATGATCCCTTATCAATGGGCTTCACATCATTCTGACATGCCACCTTTTGGGATCGACAACAACAACTACACAAGGGCTTACTTTGGACTGGGTTTTGATGCTGTGAATGACATTCATTGCCACTCCTGACGTATAATCTGCATCGCCTTACATTCGACGTTGGTGCAGTGCTGTGTTCAGCCATTGGGTTGCCCCTTGTCCCAACCATCGGGACTCTGCACGGAAGGCCGACGACGGAAGGATGGAAGAATCCCTGCCTAGACAACTGGCTGCATTAAGACTTTGGGAGTGAAAGCCAATAATTAGCCAAGCTGGAGGATAGTCTACGGAGTAAAGCGGCGGTGGCTTGTCTGACCTTCACCGGATTGGTGTGCGTCAACCAAGAATGAGCAAAGGGCGCCACGCTAGCTTATCGTGAACAAGCCTGACACCAAAAGAGGATTAGTACGGCCTCCCCGATGGCTGGCCTGGGGAAAAACTTCACTTATCAGCGGCCAGCCCAGTGTTACCACCATTCATGCACGCGGGGATTAGCTCGGTTTATTTCCCACCCCCCCATGTTCAGCTGCTTGAAAAATGACTTGCCACCAGCGGCGAACGTACAGTCACAATGATCCAATTGTAATCCAACCTAAGATATTACTCCGATTCCGCTAGTCTTCCACCCAATCCCCCAGAGATCGGGAATCCAATTGATAATATGGACTCGAAATTAGAGTGATACCCGCTAAAACCTCGGTCTCTCGGGTCAATGCACTGAACGGCCGAGCTTGATCCCCATTCCCAAATGCCAGCCATGATAGCCCCTAAGTCGATTTCGGTCTTTGAGCACCTCACAATGCCCACTCTTGGCCTGTGCATTTCCACTCTATTCACCCACCCCCCGTGACCACGGAAAACATTCAATCCTGGCTTGCACTGTGAGTCACTGTTGTTCACTGCTAGGGCGCACTGGCACAGACGCTGCAAGCGAAGCCGGTATGGAAGGGCGGGATAAAGGGCCGTGCAGGTGGCACACGCCTTATGCATCATGGCCTGACCATGTTCCAATTCAACCTAGTCTCCCCCAGTTTTCGCTAGTGATTCCCTGTGATTGGAAGGATGGAGGGAAGTGGTGGTGATACCAGGTTACATTAGACTGACACATGGCGAACGAACCGGGGTAGGCTGGCTGATAGCCGCAGAGATAGCCTCGACTTCATTCACTGGCCGCTCCTATCAGCAACCCAATCTATTTTTCGCCATCGCGACATGCACCGGGCTACCGTCGGCCTTCGATGTCCATCGCAGTGACTAGCCGCGATTGGAAGGTCAGATGGGCTGTATATGTAGTTGCCTTCCTCCGCCGGTTCGTGGGCTGCTTCTTCTTGGTCTTCCTTCCGTCCCTCAACACCAACCTCAATTAAGTTGTCCAACATATCCTTCCACTGGGCGATCTCAATCTCCCAGTCTTCCCAACTTTTCCTTCCATCATCTGTGGCTCTGTTGGTCTGACCACAAACGATGCACGAGAAGGAAGTGGCCTACTCCACTTCGGTGGCTGATGAAGCAGCCCCGGAGGAAACCGCCGCTCACCTCAAGAACCTGAAACTCCAACATCAGTGGGATCCCAACCTCCCTGATGAAGTCGCCGACGAAATCGATGAAGCCCTCCACACCACCGACAAAGGGGCCCTCTCCGGCATGGCCCATGAGCTGCTGGACGATTCGCCCTACCCCGAAGTCCGCGCTGCCGTGCCGAACTATGACGAAGGGGGCCACACCAACACCATTCGCGCCTGGACCATCGGCCTGATCTTCGCGACGATCGGTTCGGCTTTGAACATGCTCTTCTCCATGCGCGACCCTTACATCGTCATCCCCTCATATGTCGCCCAGGTGGTCGCCTACCCCGTAGGTATGGCTTGGTCCAAGGTCATGCCCAACAAGCAACTCAGTCTGTTTGGACTCAAGTTCAATCTGAACCCGGGTCCCTTCAGCAAAAAGGAGCATGCGCTCATTGTCATTATGGCCAACGCCACGTTTGGTGGTGGTGCAGCTTATGCGACGGACGTTCTGCTGGCTCAGCGCGCCTTCTACAAGCAGCGCTTCGGATGGGGCTTCGAGATCCTGATGTGTATCTCGACCCAGATGCTCGGCTTTGGTCTGGCGGGATTCTTCCATCAGTTCTTGGTGGCCCCCGCGGCTATGATTTGGCCGTCCACTCTCATCAATTGCGCTCTCTTCACCGCGCTCCACGATACTCGCAAGCCAGATCCATCCAAGGTCAATGGCTGGAAGATCGGCAAGTACCGTTTCTTCCTGTACGTGATGATCGGGTCCTTCTGCTGGTATTTCTTCCCGGGTCTCATCGCGCCGTTCCTGAGTATCTTCGCCTGGGTGACCTGGATCAAGCCCCAGAGCCCGGTGGTCAATCAGCTCTTCGGCGGTTCGACTGGCTTGTCACTAATTCCCATGACATTTGACTGGACGCAAGTCTCGGGCTTCAACTTCAGTCCCCTCATTGCCCCCTGGCATGCGATTGCCAACACCCTCATTGGCATGGTGATCTTTTTCTGGATCACGACCATCGGCATTCATTTCAGCGGACTGTGGTATGGCAAGTACTTGCCTATCAGTGATTCCAGCAGTTACGACAACACGGCCAGCTCGTACAACGTGACTAAAATTATGACCTCGGACTTCACTCTGGATGTGAAGGCGTACGAAGCATACTCCCCCCTGTTCTTATCCACCACATTTGCCCTGTGCTATGGTCTCTCATTCGCCACCATCATCGCCCTCCTCGTCCACACCGGACTGTTCCACGGTAGCGAACTCTGGGTGCGTTTCCGCAAGTTCGGTCAGGAAGAGGAGGACGTCCATGGCCGCCTGATGGCTCGCTTCAAGCCGGTGCCCCTCTGGTGGTACGCCGGAATTCTGGTTGCCATGTTGGCCGTTGGTCTTGGTCTTGTGCTGGGTTATCCCACTCACCTGAGCTGGTGGGCTTTCTTCGTCTCGGTCATTCTTGCTGTGATTTGGTACGTGCCCATTGGGATTATCCAGGCATCGACCAACATCGCCATCGGACTGAATGTCTTGACCGAGTTCATCGTCGGGTATATCCAGCCGGGCAAGCCCATGGCCATGATGCTGTTCAAGACCTACGGTTACATGAGCATGTACCAGGGACTCTACTTCAACCAGGATATGAAGCTCGGTATGTGCAATATTCTCTGGTTCCGCACCCCGCCTGCCTCTGGATCATGCTGCTAACCATTCCCTAGGTCACTACATGAAAGTCCCCCCCCGGGTCTCTTTTGCTGGACAGATGGTCGCTGGTGTCTGGTCTTCGATTGTCCAGATCGCCGTGATGAACTGGGGTCTCTCCACCATCAAGGACGTCTGCAGCCTGGACCAGGTTAACAACTACACCTGCCCCAACGGTCGCGTCTTCTTCAACGCCTCGGTGATCTGGGGTCTCATTGGCCCGCAGCGCATCTTCTCTCCGGGGCAGATGTATGTCAACCTGCAATGGTTCTGGCTCGCGGGGGCCCTTCTGCCCGTGCTCATCTATATCGGCGCCCGGATGTACCCCAAGTCCAACATTCGGTTCCTCAACGCGCCACTGATCTTCGGGGGTGCTGGTCTCATCCCCCCGGCCACCCCGCTCAACTACCTCAGTTGGGGTCTCGTCGGCATGATCTTCAACAAGTACATCCGCGACAAGTTCCGTGGCTGGTGGATGCACTACAACTACATTCTGTCCGCCGGTCTGGATGTCGGATTGGATCTGTGCACCATCTTGATCTTCCTGACCATTGATCTCACTGGGGCCAGCTTCCCCTCGTGGTGGGGAACGAACATCGCCGATGGGACGATGGATACATTGGGTACGGCTGTGCAGGTGGTGTTGACGAACGGTACCTTTGGCCCGACCAAGTGGTAATCCCCGCTTCGATGCCTGGTAGTACATCTGATTCGGACTGATGGCATTGAATCAGTCTCAGGGGCTGTGGCAAGGAGGGGCCGAGCGGCCGATCGAGGCGAAATGTAGCCGCCAGTGGATCTGGCCGGAGATGTGATTTATGATCCCGACGAACATCTCGCTGTATTATGATTATGCTATAATTCCTAATTCCATCTGTTGGTGATCGAGCTGCGGTACCTGTGGTGATATGTGTATGCTCGCTAGTATTTTGACGCGTTCATTTTGTATCATAGCCTTGAAGCACTTCGCCCCGCGATGACAGGCCTCTTTCGGCACCCAAGGAGGCACAAGCGGCTCCTCTCTGCGCGTCCTCATCCTCTGCATCCTTGGGTGAATCTGTATTTGACCAATGAAAAACACATCCTATCCATATCCCAAGCCCATTTCTCACTGGCATACACGGAGACGCTTGGAGTAGTGAGGATGATTGATAGGCGCCGAAGACGATGTGTAATTGGAACGACCAGCCCGTTGGTCACGGGAAGGGTGCAACAATTCCACTCAATTCGTGATGATCACTACTAACTGGCTCCTCGTACAAGACCAGCTGCCCCTGAATCTGCTTGATAGCCCTCATGTCGGAGGCCGTGGGATCGGAGAGTTCCCGGGAGCTCGGCTCGTTCCGTCAGGTTGGGTCCCCCACCTCCAAACGCGGCCACAACCAAGATCCAGTCCCGCCCTATCAGGATCCACGTCTCAACAAGTGCAAGAGAGCTTAGGCTGCATGGTGCACCGGTCTTGTATTCTAGACTGATCTTCTTAGAACGACCGATCAGGAAAGGATTCTGCTGCCTCTAAGATCCAGACATATTCCACATCTCGAGCCCGATGGTCTCAGCTATAGGCCGAAGAACTAGTTCGATGACCACACGTCTTCCGGTAGCGATGACGCATCAATGAGAGAGATTTTGCAGGTCATCCACGTCGATGTGAGGATGATAAAAGCGACTATCTACACTTTCTGAATCAACTCACAACTTTATGTGCAGCCGAGACATAAATTGAAACCATTTTCCTGTCGTGAGCGGTTAGTTGTTGAATCCAGTTATAAGTCGAAGATTGAATTATTGCCACTCACTCATTAGGGATAAATTCACAAGCTCAGGGCATCTAGAGGGTACTTGACCCTTTTTCGGTTTTTAACCGTAAATTGAGCGATGATAAGCACTCGCAATAGCGCACCAGGAGAGTGCTGGCTATATAGTCGCTTAAGGACGAGTCAGGGCTGGCGCTTGAGCTACTGCTCTCTTTCCCGGAGCGCTAGGATCGACTGTTTTGCGAGCTTACATCTTGATTAGTTTGTAGGCACTTTGTTCGAGGATCAGCTCCTGACATGCAAATTGATTTCGCCGGGATAATCAAAAGAGCCAATTCCAAATGGCTGGGGGCGATCGTGACAGCGGGCGGACAGAGGATCGCTAGTGGGAAGCCTTGCCTCTTATCGCGGGGGAATGATTGAGATCATCAACCTGGCTGATTGGTTTGTGAACCGGAGCTGTATTAGGGACAGTGACAAATCATTCAACAGTGAGACCCATTCGTGGCATTCGTGTCATTCGTATTTGGAATTTGAATGTGGATGAATGAGTTACAGTGACGCAAGTGTTGTTCAGCCCCTCCAAACCCACCCCCCCGCGACCCCGCCATGTCGTCAATGAGTTGTGGATTGTCTTTGAACCCAACGCAACACGAGGCAACCTCAACCACCTTATAAATACTGCCCCTCCTCGCTGCGGTCTCAAGGGTCCTCACGAGTACCTTGATCGCTATTGCTATTGCTAATTATTCAACCCAATCACATCCACATCCAAACATGCCGTTGACCGGTCACTGTCTGTGCAAGGCCGTCACCTACACCATCGAGGTGGAGGAGCCCGCCCTGGTTGGCTACGACCACTGCGACGATTGCCAGCGCCAGAGCGGTTCGACCTATTGTATGTTGTTCTACTTCGTGACTTGACTTGACCAAGTGTCTTATCTTCTAATGGAATGCAGCCCTGGTCGCTGTGGTCCCCAAGGACAAGCTCACCATCAATGGCCCCACCAAGAGCTGGGCGGGCAAAGGTTCTTCGGGCAAAGCCGTGCATCGCATCTTCTGCTCGGAATGTGGCTCGCCCATCGCCCATGACCCGGATGCGGCCCCGGAGATCATCGCCATCAAGGCGGGGACCTTGGACACGGACATCAAGAAGAAGCTGAAGCCGGTAGGTGCACTCCTTCCATGCCATGCACCGGGTAAAGAAGAGAGAGGGGGAGTCTGACTGACGTGCGCAGGACACGGAGATCTGGACGGTCAGCAAGTTGCCCTTCTGTCAGGAACATTTGGCCAAGCCATTCCAGCATATGCCGGAGTAATTGAGGGGGGATTTGATGGGATGGAGGATGGGAAAATGAATACCATGGCTACTTAATGTATGAATGAATTTTTCCTGCCAATATGAATGACATGACTGTACTGTGCGAGTGTCTTCTCGTGTGTTGTATGCTGGAGACGTTACGATTGCATGATCTTCTGCTGGATGAAGTGGACGACTACTAAGTCAGTCTCGCCGGTCGCAAGAATTCCCCCAAATGGGAAACAGACGGGCCGTGCGCGCTGTCATTCTGCAGGGCAGGGCATGTCCTTCCATGAGTGTCCATCCATCACCAACACGAGATTCAGATTCTTTACCAATCCAGATTCGAATCCCTTTCTCTTCTAGAATCTCTTCAACCCATCTGAATCCTTCAATTCGAGAAAATGCGACCGCAGCCGCCCCGGTCCACCCGCATCAGCACGGCTTACCAATCCCTCCGATTTATCAGCCTGAGGCTATACTATAAGTGATACAGAAGTAACCACTAGTATGGAGTACAGACTACAGGAATCAACTACATATAGCCCTTTTGATCTGTTTTTCATCACCATCTATTTTTCATCACCATCTATTTTCATCACCCTCTCAATTCATCACAGCCAGATACACCCAATGGTCCAATACCTCCTCACCGGGGTCACCGGCGGCCTGGGCGCCCACGTCCTGGAATACTTCCTCGCCCACGTCCCCCACTCCTCCTTCGCCGTCGCCTCCTCCAACCCGGCCAAAGCCTCCGAGTTCACCCGCCAGGGCATCGCCTTCCGGGTGGTGGACTACAACGAGCCCTCCACGCTCGCCTCCGCCTTCCAGGAGGTCGAGAATCTGTTCTTCGTCAGTTCCAGCACCTTTGACAACGAGCGCCGTCGCCGCCAGCATCAGAGCGTGGTGGATGCCGCCCAACAGGCGGGAGTGAAGCATGTACGTGCCAGCACATGCCCAGATTTTTAATCTTGACCAGGTGCTAAGATGCAGGGCCATAGATCTGGTACACCTCCCTCGCCTACGGGGGCCACACCTCCACCTCCGCCGTCGCCGTCCAGCAAGCACACTACATGACCGAGGCGATGCTAAAAGAGTAAGCCCCCCCAAAGCCCCACTCAGTTTCTGATCCAAGCCACTAATCGCCGTGGCAGCTCCGGGGTCGCATATACCTCCATCCGCGAAGGCCTGTACACGGAAGCCTTCCCCCTCTTCTTGAACTGGTACCCCTCCTCCACCACCCTCTACCTGCCCATCCCGACAGGCCACACACCCGAGGGACTGGAGCATTCCCAGCGAGTCACCTTCACCTCGCGCCAGGAACTGGGCCACGCGACGGCGCGGCTCCTGCTGCGGGGCGGGGCGGCGTACAAAAACCAGATTGTGGTGTTGAGTGCGCGCGAGGCGGTCTCCTTTCACCAGATTGTGGAGTATATTAATGAGGCCCGCGCGGCGGCGGGGCGCGAGCCGGTGCGGGTGGAGTTTGTCGGGCCCGAGGAGTTTGTGCAGCGTAATGCGGCGGATGATGAAGGGGGCAAGGCGCGCGGGTTCTTCGAGGGCCTGCTCTCGTGGCATGAGGGGATTGCGCGGGGGGAGGCGGTTGTCGAGGATGGGTTGATGGCGGAGGTGTTGGGGCGGGAGCCCACGCCCGCCTCGGTGCGGATTCGGGAGTTGTTGCGGGAGGTTGGGGGGGAGTATACCTGGCATCAGAATTATGCTGCTTAGGGTTGGAGGGGCCTTGGGAGGGGGGAAATGTCATGCATTTACATGATTGTACTGTACAACAACCCTAAGCTCGATATCCCTCCCCCAGCATCTCCTCCTCCTCCCCCCCGCCCCACTGTCCACTCTCTGTCCGCCCCCGTCGCATCCGCTCCCTGCGCACATCATGCTGCGGCAACCCCGTATGGCGGGTTTCATTCATCGTGACCACCCTCTCCCGGGGCGCCCCCGCCACCCCCGCCGCCCCCTCCACATCCTCCTTCTCCACCTCGACCTCGACCTCCTCGTCCGCCCCAAAGGTCGACTCGCGCATGAACGGACTCCGTCGCCGGATCTCCGGCCCCTTGAGAATCAAGACCACCGGGACCACCGACAGCGCCAAGCCAATAAACCCCAGCAACGAGCCCGCCCATCCGTAGCCCAGGGTATCGAAGAGCTCGTAGCTGGCGAGGGGCAGGAAGGCGCCGAAGGAGTTCCGCCCCAGACTGGCCGCGCTCAGCGCCGAGGCGGCGTACTTCTCGTAGGCATCCGTCAGGTAGTTGACGACCGCCATGTAGATACTATAGATGCCCAGCCCGGTGGCGGCGATACCGCAGGTGGGCACGATCCAGTGCACGTCGGGCCGACTCGCCCAGCCGTACCAGAACAGCCCGCCGGCGAACAGCAGACTGCCCGCCACGCTGGTGTACAGCCGCGCCTCCGGGATGGGGCGGCCGGCCACCTCCCGATTCCGCCGGGCGGAGTGGCGATACAGCCAGTCCTGGAGGGGGTTGACCGCGGTGCCGATCACCGCCCCGACCGAGATCGCCAGCTGGATGAGCCCCGTCTGCAGCGTGCCCCAGCCGTAGTTGGTCGAGTAGGTCTGCACCACACTGCTGAAGAACAGATACAGAATCCCCCAGGCGAAGCTGATCCACAGGGTGAAGAAGATCACTACCGGTTCCGTCACCAGCATGCGCGTGGGCCGCTCAAACGAGATCTGCAGGAGGCGCCAGATGCTCGTGTGGTCCAGCTCGGCTTCCGCGTAGACGGGGCGCCCCGTCTCGCGTCGGAGTCGTTTGGCCCGCCGGGCGAGGATCACGTCCGCGCGCGTCTCGTGCAGGATGAACCAGAAGAGGGGGAGGAGACCGGTGAGGTAGATGATTTGGATGTAGAAAATCCTTCCAAGAGAGCTTGTTGTCAATTTTCGGCCAAGCCCATCATAAAGGAAGGGGGAAATCACATACCACCGCCATGGATCCTCCTTATGAATCTGCACAATCGCCGACCCAATAAACGGCCCCAGCGCAATCCCAATCACACTCGTCAGCCCAAACAGCGACATGGGCAGACTGCGCGCCTGGTCCCCATACCAGACGTCGCTGATGCTGCCGCCCACAATGTTGATCGAGACCGAGGAGGCCCCGCCCCCGAAGAAGCGCGTCACCACCAGGGTCGCGTAGTTCTGCGCAAACGCCGACGGGAACAGCGAGATGATCAGCAGGACGTACGCGACAAAGTACCCCGGCATCCGTCCGGAGGCCTCGGTCAGCGGCACGAAGATCAGCGGCCAGAAGGCGGCCCCCATGTTCCACGAGGTCGTCGCCCAGTAGAGGTTCGGAAACGGGGTGTTTTGCACGTGGAAGCGCTGTTCCATGTAGTCGTTGCCCGAGCCATAGGAGCCGGCCGGGATACCCGTTAAGATGGAGCTGAGAGGAATGGTCGATTAGCTTGTGTCGTTGGAAAAAGTCGGAGGGGGGAGGAAGCATACATGAAGCACACGGTGACGGTCAATGTCCACTTGTAGGCGGGAGTCCAGTTGAATCTACACTGATTAGTCTCGGGGTAGTAGTGCCTCCAGAATGGCAGTGCACATACGGATTGTCCGGATCACTCTTCCCATTCCAAGTATGAATCTCCAGATCCTCCTTGTCGCGCAACTCATTGCGACTGACCACGCCCACGTGGCGATCGCGATGGAAGAACGATCGCACCCTGCGTGAATGTCAATGCCACAACCCCGACTCGTTCCTGCATATCATCACGCACCGGCCAAAAAACGAGTCGTCAAAATCATTGGTATACGCCGTACTCGCACGACGCATCGACGGGCGTCGCTCCTCCGGAACAGCAGCACTCATGATTTGCAGCAATGGCAGCAGGCTCGAGGGTGCAGATTTTTCCTTCTGCAGCCCATACTTTGTTTTATAGACAGAAGCAAACTCGGACCCTGGTTCGGCAGCCCGGTGAAGGTCGGGTGTGAATGATCGAGTGCGTCATGGAACCCTGCATCCGGGCCGAGTGGGGTGGAGAGTACCGAACAGAGCCGATAGGCAGGGGGAGGGGAGGGGGGATTGATGGTGATTGATGATGATTCAGCATCTAGAAGAGAGGGGGAGAGAGTGGATTCACTTAGCATGCACAAAAGTGGGTTGTTCTTACCAGTGGTGGAGGACAGTTTCATTCACTCCACTTGTGTTGAAGAGAAGATCCGGTTTGAGGGTTTGGGAGAGGATGACATCATGTGCGGGTGGATGACTTCATAATCTGGCCCTAACAACTTGTTTCCCTCGTTTCCCCTCACTATATCCCAATAACCCATCCCTACTTCCCCCTCGTATTTATATCCCCTCGCTGATCCCCCTGGATTTATTTTTTTGATTCATATTCACTCAACTCAATTCCTCAAAACTCAATTCCCTCCCAAAACTCTCTCTCTCTCTCTCTCTCTTACTCAAAACTACAACACCACCACCATGCCTATCCCCGTCCCCTCCGCCAACAGCCTCATGGACCTCTTCAGCCTCAAGGGCAAGGTCGTCATCATCACCGGTGCCTCCGGACCCCGCGGAATGGGCATTGAAGCCGCCCGCGGCTGCGCCGAGATGGGGGCCGACGTGGCCATCACCTACGCCTCGCGGCCCGAGGGGGGCGAGAAGAACGCGGCGGAGCTGGCCAAAACCTACGGGGTGAAGGCGAAGGCGTACAAGTGCGACGTGGGCAACTACGAGAGCGTGCAGCAGCTGGTGGACGCGGTGATCGCGGACTTTGGCCACGTGGACGCCTTCATCGCCAACGCGGGCCGCACCGCCAACAGCGGCATCCTCGAGGGCTCCGTCTCGGACTGGGAGGAGGTCATCCAGACCGATCTGAACGGGACCTTCCACTGCGCCAAGGCGATTGGCCCGCACTTCAAGAAGCAGGGCAAGGGCAGCTTCGTCATCACCTCCAGCATGTCCGGTCACATCGCCAACTTCCCGCAGGAGCAGACCTCCTACAATGTCGCCAAGGCGGGGTGCATCCACATGGCGCGCTCGTTGGCGAACGAGTGGCGCGATTTCGCCCGCGTGAACAGCATCTCCCCCGGCTATATCGATACGGGGCTGTCGGATTTTGTCGATAAGAAGGTGCAGGATCTGTGGATGAGCATGATCCCCATGGGTCGCAATGGCGATGCCAAGGAGTTGAAGGGCGCTTATGTCTATCTCGTCTCTGATGCTAGCTCGTACACTACGGGCGCGGATTTGTTGATTGATGGGGGTTACTGCGTGCGGTAAATTCATCCTCGGCTTGGGTTTTCTCTGGTAGAAAAGAGGGGGTGCTGGATACCTTAGTATTTACTCACGGTTTTAATGATGATATCATATGAGAAAAATGAATACGAGATTCACTTCACTTCACTTCACTTCACTTGGTTTTCTGTAGTCTGGGTGTCGATGCTTAGGGTCAAGAAGGACAAGAGGGTAAACCGGATACGAAAAGAGGGGCAGATGAGGTTTCATTGCGCACTGACGTCAATCAACCTGACGATTCGTTGGTTTCCATACAGCATCAGATGATGGGGTATGCACTATCAAGAAAGAGGAAACATAGATTTATTGATTATGCAATTCTCACAGCTTCCCCGGCCCATTCTCCCCTCCAGACTCCGTCTCCGTCTCATCCACCCCCTCCGCCAGATGCATCCGGGGCAAAGTGCGCGCCAGACGCGGCGGGTCCAGCACGCTCTTCGACTGCAGGAAAATCTCATCAATCTCCTCCAGCGACCGGCCGTTGGTCTCGGGGAAAAAGAAATACACCGTGGGCACAATCGCCGCGTTCAGCACCGCAAAGATGATGTAGTACCGATACGAGATCGTGTCGAAGCCCACCGGGGTGACCTCGGCGAGCAGGAAGTTGAACGTCCACACGGCCGCCGTCGACACGGCGCTGATGGCCGCCCGCAGCTGCAGCGGCGCCACCTCGGTCGCGTACAGGAAGGTCAGCCCCGAGTAGCCCACCGTGAAGATGAACTCGAACACAAACAGGAAGATCACCGCCACGACCAGCGCCCCCGTGTGGTTGGGCAGCGAGGTAGTGCCCGCCAGAATCGCCATCGACACCGACATCCCCGCCGCGCTCCACAGCATCAGCACCCGGCGTCCGAGGCGGTCAATCGTGAAGAAGGCGAGAAACCCGCCCAGCGGCTGCGTCAGGCACATCGCCGCCGCCAGAACGCGCGACTGCACCGCGTCTAAGCCCAGGTACTGTTGGAAGATCGTGGTCGCGTAGAAGGTGATGAGGTTGATCCCCGACATCTGCTGGAACATCTGGCCCGTGGCCGCCAGCACCGCGCGGTGGAACAGACGCTGCCGCCCCATCCGCACGAGATCCTTCCAGGAGCCGGAGCCCGTCAGCGCCAGCGACCGCTCCATGTCGCGCATGGCCAGCGTGATCGCCGCCTCCTCGGGGGCGGCGTCGGCCAGCGCCGCCAGGATCTCGCGGGCTTCCGCGGAGCGGCCGCGCATGAGCAGCCACCGCGGCGACTCGGGCAGGAAGCCGACAAAGGCCATCACCATCAGCGACAGCACCACCTGGAGGGCGAGCGGGAATCGCCACGACACCGAACTCCCCGTCACAAAGTAGAATCCAAAGTCAATCCAGAGCGACAGGGTGATCCCGGCGCCGATGAAGATCCCATCGGTCACCACATGGGCGCCTCGCTGGCTGGAGGGCGAGATCTCCGCCTGCCACACCGGCACGGTGGCCACGTAGCCGCCCGTCCCCAGTCCCAAGACCAGTCGAGCGACGATGAATTGCGCCAGCCCGAAGGAGGTGGCCATGAGAATGGCCCCAACCATCGAAACGGCCGATGCGAGGAAGATGACTCGTCGGCGACCTAAGAGATCGCCCAGGTAGATGCAGGACAGAGATCCGAAGATGCCACCAACGGTGTAGAGCGCGATGACCGTGCCTGTGGACAGTCAAGACCGCGTCACAAAGAAGGAGAGGGGAGGGAGAGCCGGTCGAGCATACCCTGGATCGTCGAGTTGTGGTTCTGCTGGGCGCCCGTCGTGGTGAGCGTGTTCATCTGCGGAAAGGTGTCGGCAAACGACTGGAGGGTGAGGAGACCCCCCGTGACGGCCTGGTTGTAGCCATAGCACACAAAGGCCGGGCAAACCACGAGCCACATGATGGCACGATGCAATTGCGAGCCTCGCAGGCCAAAATAGGGCGCCATGCTGGCACCTTCAAAACGGACGCGGTGGGAAAACACGCAAGAGCATGGGAAACAAGCAAGTGTACTTGGGCAACAATCCCACCACCGGGCGAGGATCCTGTCCTGCAACGCTCAATGACGGTCAATTTTGGCGCAGGATAGCCCACTATAGTTCTTTGTGTCCTGTCCAGTCCTCGATCGTTTTATAGAAACCCCTCCGATGTTCGGACGGACGAGCGGTCATCGCCGGTGCCCGTGGCCGCATTGACCAGGTTTCCCCAGATTTTTGGTTTCTTGGAAAACGCACGTCGTGACTCGCCAGTACGCACAGGGTAAGGCGTGTTGAGCATAAGCGAGCCCCGGAGACGCCTCCTTTCCCCGCTGGTAGCAAGCGATCGTCGATGATGTCTCCACTAGCCGGGATGGCCTCCATCGGACCCGGCCGATGGGAATGGACCTCGGGCCAGGGGAACCCAGACAGAGGCGAGTGGGCGTATCCGAACAACGCCAGTCCACCCTCATTCGACTCTCTGGGGGTGATTGAGGGGTTTTGAGGTTGTTTGGGGTAGGGTATCCTTTCTCCGTCATCATCATCATCATCGTGGTCACCTGTGGTCGGAGATCAGCCATGGTGAAAGGTTAACCTGGGTGTCTCCTCGTGGCTTCCGCGCATTGGTTTGGTTGGAAAGAGCACTGTGCAGCGGTCATCTTGCCATCCCCTGAATCGTCAAACGAGACAGAATGGTGACTCTTTGCGTGCAGCCGAACCTCGCGGAGTCGAGCGGTACTTTCAATATTGGTCAGCCATTCTTGTAAGGGAGACATTAATGGATGAATGATAAGACGTGAGGACAGAATAATCAAGACTATTGATTTCTCGCGGGGGGGTCGGCACATTATCTATCAGGGCTGCTGGTGGAGCCATTTGTCGTGAATATGACACATCGTGGTGATTCGCGGTGGTGTGGGTGTCTGGACCAGCCACTGCAGTGGCAGATCGGCTGGGGCTCTATTCCGGACTGAATCCAGTATCTTGTGATGCAGTATCTTGTGATGAGTAGACGCTCGACGGTTTGCATGGCATAGAGGACTCTCAGAGCCGGTGTTTGAGGATAATTAGGGAGATGGTGATGGAAAGTGGGAGGAAGTTGGACCACCAAGTCTGGAATTCACAGTCGCAGTGTGGTCAGGTGACAGTTTGAATACTAGCATAAATGCTGTGGCTGCTCCAGGCGCAGTGGGTGGCATGCATACTATCATAGTTGGAATAGCTCATGCATACCCCAATACCGTTTTCGGATTCTGGCGTGCTTCCTGCTACTGAGTGCGGTCATGTATATATGTCTGCGCTGACTGAAATGGCCTGCGCGCCTAGGCTTTCATTGGATGACTGCACAAGCAGAAACGATTATGCAGCTATCAGGGACGCTACAGTCCTAACTCTAGATAAGTCCAAAGATACCAAAGGCATCCAAGCTTGTAGTTTGGGTGATGAGTGAAGTGAGGGTATTGGTGTGCTGTGGAGAAAACTTGCCATGGAGAATAGTAGAGCAATAATAACTATATATGCAAGTAAAAACACGTCTAACATCAACTGGTCCCATAGCTCAGTTGGTTAGAGCGTAACGCTAATAACGTTAAAGTCGAGGGTTCGAGCCCCTCTGGGACCATCTCTTTTTGCCCATCGACTTTCCGCTCTGGATGATGCTCAAACTATGCATTAGATTTGTGCAGCTGTGCATAGTCATGGCTGATACAGCCGAGCCATGCCCCCCAGACCAGATCTCCCTCATAGTACGTTCAACCCAGGGTATTGCATTTATGCAGATAGGGTTGTTGCAGTTCACGTGTCCGCGCAAGTAGACCGCCCATCTCATGCTTGAAGACAATATCATAATTGTGATTGGTGAGACTAGCCTAGCCTGGCCCCCCTGCTGCCAATATCAGCCCTAGCACCCTCCTGTATCTCGGATTTTGAACATCACAATGGTCCCCGCCACTTCTAGACCCTTAATGGATGAAAGCGAGCCGTGAGAAGGAGGTACGTACTACAAAGAATATAAATCACATGATAGTCGAATGGTAAATAGTAATCACATTAGTAGCGGAGAAGATATGAGAAATGTAGACGTCAATTGTTGTACCCGTCAGATGCGAGCGCGACTCAGGAGACGTTGGTAGTAGAGCCTGACCATAGACGTCAGCAAGGTCCAATGCGAGGATATTGATTCATTCCAGCCAGGAACAGCAAGGTCTAATAGTTGATTCTGATGGAGTTTAGTTGCGTTGGTCCCAGTTGTATAGGATTAGCCGGACGCACCATTATCCACCTCTTCCTCCCGTAACAGTTCTCTCCCACCCTTCAGTCCTGCAGAGTCTGCCTAGCCTGCAGAGCCTGCATGGCCTGGCGGTGCCGACTTCGGGGTCGAACCAAGTACCAGTCCTGCTGGGTCTGCCTGGCCTGGCGGTCTGCACTGCTGGATCGAACCAGCTGCCAGGCCTGGCATTCCCGCCTGCTGGATCGAGCCTGGGACCAGTCTGGCTTCCACTCTCGGCCCCACTGCTGCAGCTGATCCTGCTGGTCAGGGTGGTGGTGGTGGTCCTCGTGGTGGTCATGGCTTCCGTGGTGGTCCTGCTCAGCCAGCTGAGCCCGCCGGGCCAGCGCACCCTGCGCCGCCTGCCAGTCAGCCCTCAAATGACGCTCCGCATGGCGCTCGAGTGCCTTCCGCGCCTCCCTGACGAGTCGATCCGCGAGAGCAACGATAATCAGCCAATACAACGAAATCTTCAGCAGGACGGACACCCAGTTCCGGCCGAGTAGAATGTAGAGGTCCCAGTTGCCGGTGATGGTGCCCGAATGGACGAATTCAGTCAGCGCCGTCAAGACAGCCTCCCGGGGCGCCGACCCATGGACCTCGGGCAGAGGACGTGGCAACGCGAGGATCACAAGGTAGACCTGCGTGAGCTCATACAGCAATAAATTCAGAGCGAAGATGAGGACCCAGCCCCAGATCCAGACCGCCCTGGCGAGGTAGCGGGAGCGATTGGCCCCCCAGAGGAATACAGACTGGAATGGCGGGATGAGGGTGAGCCACATGGCCAGGAAGATCAACCCGAGGAGGGTGTCCATGTTTGGAGGAGTTTTCTATGCCGGAGGGTGTTCGGGAAAGTGCGGAGTGGCGTATGTAATTCGTGGTGTGAGAAGGGGTTGGTTGCCTTGGACTAAGGGTCTTTTTGGAGATGAAAAGACCAGGGCCGTATTTATGTCAAGATCGCCAGTTGGCGGACCTGGGACGGAGATGCTGCAGTTGCAAGAGTGAAGCTTGCATGCTGAATATTTCCGGTTGAGAAGGGGGATAAAATGATCTGTTGCGGGGAATTACTCCAGGGAAAGGGAATTATCGCGGAGAGTGTCTTGTCATTCATTGTCTTCCAAGATGTTGGCACTGCATAGCTGCCCCAGAGTTCAGGTTCGGCAGACTTTTGTCGTGCATATGGTGATTGTTGACAGTGAAGATAGAGTGAGGTTGTCTACAGCAACGGGAACTTTTCATTAAAGGGTTCACGATAGTCAGATGACTAGGGCTTATGGGAAGTACGTTTGAGGCTTGTAGCTCGATAGGGTAATCAACATGAAGGGTTAGTAGACGGAATTATGAGCAGCTCTTCCTCGCCTTTGAGGGCCCAGGCACCATCTCTAAAGTGTAAAAGCTTTCCGAGTAAGTAGAACTATAGGCTTTATTTAGAAAAGAGTAGAGTCCTGGTCTATTCTCCTGCTGCATCCTTGCCCCTGAATGACGCGCAAGTATTGCTTTGCACGGCTAGATGGACGGGGGAATGATGACTTTGTAGCAAAAGGGATAGCGATGTTTTCGTCTGCGTAAAGGATATAAGGGAGGGGTACATCTTGTGAAGCTGTTCTGAATTGGGGTTGGGTTGACATACACCTCTTCCTAGCAGGGTCTATCTGGATGAGTCCATTTAGGAAATCAATTGAATAAGCCTGGGAAGGCAGCAGTCTGGAAATTGCAGAAATCATCCTCGGAACCACAGCGTTCCATAGCCGAATCTTGCAAAGTCTATGCAGAGGTACAGCAAACAGTTGTTCCTCACTGGTGATGATACTAGGAGTGTCCGTGCTGGTGTCTCTTAACTTGGTCTGCGTGGTTGGGGTACTTAAGTTAATTATCTTTCAAACGACCCCATCTCCCTTCGTGATCCGTCGAGGGCGGGCTCGCTTGGTGTCATGACGATGTAACATTTTGCCTCTGGAAATCTTGATATACCCCATACTCAGTTACTGTGTACAGTAGAACGTGAGATGAAAGATCTACATGCCATTGTCATGGGGCTGATAAGATCTGCAAGTGGGATTGCAACGGTCTCGATACGGTATAGATTACCGGGTCCAACCCTTATCGTCTATAAGAAGACTTGCCAAGCCTATTAAACAACCCCTGTTACTCTAGAAACCTTTGAAAATCAATAAATAGAGGAATATCTATTAAAATTTACTCTGTTAATATATCAACAGACTTCCGAACTAGGAAATATATCAATAAATCTGTTAAAACAGTGGGTATTTGACACTATATCCAATGGTTATGTGTGTAATTCATTGGAATTATTCATTGATTACAGACCAGTTGATAATAATTATATTTATGTTGGGAACATCTCTAATACTATTTAGGGATATGGAACAGTCCTATTCCGTCCTACCTGCCCAAAGGGGAATAGTATTATTTTTGAATTGAAGGATGTTGTCTTTGTTCCTGGATTCCACCATAATATCATGTCAGGTTGGAAGGCTTAGGAAACCGGACTATTCTATAATGGGAAACGCGCCCTTTTGGAAACAGCTAATGGAACACCAGTCTGTTATATCAAGCCAATTCATGGGCTATATTTTATTTAATAGGAACTATCAGTCAAATCCTTAATAACCCTCAATTCAATAATTAAACAGCCAATCAGAACATCCGAAAAGCCCTATATTTTAAGTAGAACTATGAAAGAATAGTATAATAGGTTAGGACATCTAGGAGAAGAAGCCCTAAGACACCTTAGTTAAAAGACTCAGGGCATTCAATTAACTGATATTGAGCCAGAACCAATCCAGAAATGCCCTATCTGCCGAATCAGCTAATTAAATTGTCAGATTTCAAGACGGAAAATCAATCCAGGCACCAAGCCCTTTGAAACCCTATATTAGGACCTGATTTATATGACCACTGTATGGAATAAACAGAGATATATCAGTCATCTCTATTGTTTCTATTCAAAATTTCACTTAGGGCAAGTCCTAACTTCCAAGTCGGGTGTCTCACAGTTAATTATTGATATGATTATTCATATAATTAATCAATATAGAATCATGCCAAAGCAATTTTATTCAGATCAGGATAGGAATCTCAATACCTTTCTAATTTAGGCTAGCTCTAAGGGGATGATTATTAATTATTCATCTATTCACCAGCTTGAGTAGAATCCTTTCTCTGAGAGGGCTGGAGCCCTAATCACTTCTAAAATAAGATATTTATTGATTAATTCAGGCCTACCATTATTCATTTGGCCTGAAACCATGGAAACGGCTATATATATCCTAAATAGGATGCCAAACAAACAACTCGATTGGGAAACCCCCTATGGAACCATATGGAAAAGCCTTCTACAACGACCCTCATGGTTGCCAGAGAAGCCAGACCTTTTCTGTTTAAGGAAGTATGGATCACGTGCCTACACCCGGATCAGCAATCTACTAAAAGGGGATAAACTAGGGCCCAGAGCCCTTATTAGATTCCTTGTTGGATATAGAGCTTTAAATATCTGGCAAATATGGATTCCTACCCTTAACCAAGTAATATCTGCACGTGATGTCGTGTTTGACGAAGGGTCTAACTATAAATAAACTTCCGAATTAGGAAGTATATTAATAAAATAACAGCTCGCCCAGGTGATTGATTTAATCTAAATTAAATAGTTAGATATTGAATTAATTGATCAAGAACCACCTTCATCGGATGACTCAGAAATCGAGGATATCACTGAGCTGAAATCATATGATTCAGAGGAATTCTATAACCCAGAGGGACCCCATGACCCAGAGGAATCATATAACCATACAGAACCCTTGAAGGATATAGTTCTTGGTGATATACCTCCTACCCCTGAAGACTCACCGCCTGCCTCACCGCCCATGGTTCTTATTGATAATTCCACCATTAATCAAAAGGCTTTTGATGAAATTGATTTCCTTGATGTGGAACCAATCAGAGGATTGAAAAGACAGAGGTCTGAATCACCTGATCCAGACTATTCCCGAAAGAGACTAGTTCTCCAAGCTATTCAAACAATGGTCAACTGTATCAATAAAGGGGAAATCCCTACTATTGATAAATCCCAGCTTCCACCACCACCCACCAACTGGAGGGGATTAATGAGTCACCCCTATTCATCTCAATTTATTCAAGCTTCAAAGGTGGAACTCAATCAATTAGATGCCTTAGGCACCTGGATCACGTGTTCAACCCGTGATACAAAGGATAAGGAAGTCCTACCACTAAAATGGGTGTGGACCTACAAATTCGATGAAAAAGGTCAACTGGCTGGATTCAAGGCCCGGATATGTGTGCGGGGAGATTTGCAGACCCCTGATTGGTTGGAAACCCGCGCTAGTACGCTTGCGGCTAGATCCCTGAGGATTATCCTAGCCCTAATTGCAGTATTTGACCTGGAAACATGCCAATTAGACGCTGTTACCGCCTTCCTCAATAGCTCAATTGAGGAAAAGATCTATGTGGGCCCCCTTCCCGGATTAGGAAATAAACCAACAGTTTACCTATTACGGAAGGCCCTATATGGTCTAAGACGATCACCCCTCCTTTGGCAGAAGACCCTTAGGGCAAAGCTTGAAGCCCTAGGGCTCAGTCCTATTGAAGAGGATCAATGTGTCTATGTCAATGATTATCTGATTTTATTGATATTTGTGGATGACATGATCTGTGCATTCCACCAATCAAATCGAGGGAAATTCAATGAATTCAAGGAAAAATTGATGACGTCATTCAATATGAAGGACCTTGGTGAATCCACATCATTTTTGAATGTCCAGATATCACGTGATCGCCTAAACCGGAAGCTATGGATCAAGCAATCAATCTATATTGACAAAATTGTTAATAAATTTAATCTAGGGCATCTCAGAAGCCCTAAGTCTCCACTCCCAAGTGAGAAATTGACTAAGGACCCACTTTTCAAGGCCTCAGCTAATCAGATTCATGAATTTCAGCAAAAAGTAGGGTCAGCCCTATATCCTGCAGTTTGGACCAGGCCTGATATAGCCAAATCATGTCAACTGCTTGCAGAACACCTGACCAATCCAAGCCCTAAACATCTCAGGGCAGTGGACCACTTGATTTCCTATTTAGGAGGAACAAAGGACCTGGCTATTGAATATGGCCCTAGTCCTGATCAGGCAGTTTTCCATATGGCTAGTGATGCCAGCTTTGGTGATAATTTGGATCGCACTAGCTCAATGGGGTATATTGTTTACTTATTCAATGGGCCTATTGATTGGCTGAGTAAGAAACAACGCCATGTGACCCTATCCACCACTGAGGCTGAACTATTAGCCCTAACTGCTGCAGCTAAGTAACTGCTTTGGTGGAGACGATTTTTCAACTAAATAGGGTTTAACCCTGAACACTGTCTTTCTATATCATGTGACAACACCCAGACAGTCCAAATCCTGACTAGTCCCACCTTCCCTTTTCAGACTAGTCTGAAGCATGTGGATATTGCAAATCACTGGCTTAGACAGGAAGCCCTGAATAAGACTATTGATATTCATTGGGTTCCAACCAATGAAATGAAAGCTGATGGTCTGACTAAGCAGTTTGGGGGTCAGAAACACCAGCAATTCATCAACCAACTCAATATGGTAAGAACTTGATTATTTATCTTTTTTCTATTTCAGTAATATGTTTACCCGTCTGTTTACTCCAATTTTGATAGAACCACTGAGTTCTACAAAACTGCGGGGGTATGTCAGACTGGCAGCTCACCTGACTACCAAACCCTAGCCCTAATTCCTGGATTGAGCCATTTGAACCATTGTTCCAGCCCAAT